GCTTGGAGTTTTGTCCGTATAACCCCCAGGCTCCAATGATGCCGCTGCATTATGGCCCACTTGCCTGTTTGGAGCACTCCAAGAGAAAAAAAAAAAAAAAAAGTATCACCGCATTTTGTCTTAAATTCAATCTGGTTCCAATCTTTTTTTTTTTTTTTTTTCTTTTTTTTTCTTCTTTTTTTTTCTCCGGCATCTTTTTCTTTTTCCTCTCTACTATCTAATACTTTCTCCTTCCTTCGTCCTTCGCAGCTCCGTCCTTCCGGCTTCATTCAACATGGCTACCACTACCGTTACCACCAGTGAGTTCCCCGCCAGCGATGTCAACAACTACGACTACATCATCGTTGGCGGTGGCACTGCTGGCTGCGTTATTGCCAGTCGGCTAGCTCAGTACCTTCCCAACAAGCGCATCCTCGTCATTGAGGGTGGCCCCAGTGACTACATGGATGATCGCGTCCTGAAGCTCAAGGAGTGGCTCAACCTGCTGGGGGGCGAGCTCGACTATGACTATCCTACTGTCGAACAGCCCATGGGTAAGTGCCAATACATATAGAGTCCAAAGAGGAGATTAAAAGAAAACTAACGTTTCTCTAGGCAACAGTCACATTCGTCACTCGCGCGCCAAGGTCTTGGGTGGTTGCTCCAGTCACAACACTCTCATCTCGTTCCGTCCCTTCGAGTATGACTGCCGAAGATGGGAGAATATGGGCTGCAAGGGTTGGGGCTTTGAGACCTTTACCCGCTTGCTCGACGGTCTGCGCAATACTGTCCAGCCTGTCCACGAGAACCACCGTAACCAGCTCTGCAAGGACTGGGTTCAATCCTGTTCTACCGCCTTGAACATCCCCGTTCTTTCCGACTTCAACAAGGAGATCCGTTCCAAGGGTGAACTGAACGACGGTGTTGGTTTCCTCTCCGTTGCCTACAACCCTGATGATGGCCGCCGCAGCAGCGCTTCTGTCGCCTACATCCATCCTATCCTGCGCGGAGAAGAGAAGCGCCCCAACTTGACTGTTCTGACCAACGCTTGGGTGTCACACGTCAACGTCGAGGGGAGCACCGTCACCGGTGTCGATGTCACCCTCCAGTCCGGTGTTAAGCGCACTCTGCGCGCCAAGCGGGAGACCATCTTGTGTGCCGGTGCTGTCGATACTCCTCGGCTGATGCTGCTCTCTGGACTGGGACCCCGTGAGCAGCTATCGTCGCTAAACATTCCTGTGGTTAAGGATTTGCCTGGCGTTGGTGAGAACCTTCTCGACCACCCCGAGACAATCATCCTCTGGGAGCTGAACCAGCCTGTTCCTCCCAACCAAACCGTCATGGATTCGGACGCTGCCATCTTCCTGCGTCGCGAGGCTCCCAATGCGAATGGCGATGACGGCCAGGCTTCCGATATCATGATGCACTGCTACCAGATTCCCTTCTGTCTCAACACAGAGCGCCTTGGATATGACGTACCCAAGGACGCTTTCTGCATGACCCCTAACATCCCTCGTCCCCGTTCTCGCGGCCGTCTCTATTTGACTTCGGCCGACCCTTCCGTGAAGCCCGCCCTAGACTTCCGTTACTTCACCGACCCTGAGGGCTATGACGCTGCCACAATTGTTGCCGGATTCAAGGCCGCGCGTGAGGTTGCCAAGCAGTCGCCCTTCAAGGATTGGATCAAGCGTGAGGTTGCTCCTGGCCCCAAGGTCCAGACCGACGAAGAGCTCTCCGAGTACGGCCGTCGTGCTGCCCACACCGTGTACCACCCGGCTGGCACCACCAAGATGGGTGACACTACCCGTGACCCGAAGGCTGTTGTCGACCCGAAGTTGAAGGTCCGCGGTCTGAACGGTATCCGCATTGCTGATGCGGGTGTTTTCCCCGACATGCCTACTGTCAACCCCATGTTGACTGTGCTGTCCATTGGCGAGCGTTGCGCCGAACTGATTGCTGAAGAGGCCGGCTGGACCCGCAACCAGCCTAGACTGTAAAGGGATCGCCTGTGATGGGTATCCTTTTTCTTTTTCTTTGTTCGAAAGAACGAATGTTGCCCGACGTCAACTCCCAGCGGCGTTGCATTGGAGTCGAACAGGATATACTAATTTTCTATTTTGCTTTGTATATCTGTTGGTATTATGTATAAAGCTTTGGGGGAATATTTGCTCTTTGATATGTTTGCATTTGAGCGCTTGAGATTCTCTTCTTTAAAAGCAGGATATATATATAGATGGAGATGTGACATGATACGCTATGAATAATGTACGTGTTGCTCCGAATTTGATACATAAATTCAAAATTAGACAATCTATTGGTTATCTATATTGGCATCTAGCTATATAAGGTGGTAAAGAGCCAAAAGAGGTATTAGAATCTGTAGACCAAAACAGCAAAAGGGAAGTAAGAAAACTATACACTTTTCTCTTCGTCGAAAATCTTCACACCGAATTTCCATACTTGGTCAACAGTCAGAGTCGGATCGGCATCAGAGTCAGAGTCATCCAGAACGACAAGATCGGCATCAGCGCCCGCATCTAAAGTACCCTTGACACCCTGCAGACCCAGCATCCGCGCAGGGGTGGCAGTCACAGCACGCAACGCATCAGCAACAGATGCATTTGACCAGCGCCGGAAATTGTTCACGCACTCAATCAGCGTCGCAGAACTACCAGCGATCTTATTAGAGCCCTCGAGCGTCAGACGAGCACCGGATTTGATAATCCGGTCCCCGTTGGTCCAATCATAGATACCATCGGGGAGTCCGCAAAGACGCATAGCGTCAGTGACGAGAACGAGACCGTCAGGATGGGCATGGTATGCAATCTTGATGGAAGTGGGATGCAGATGAATCCCATCTGCAATCACACCGTAATACGGCCGATGATGCCGTTCGCTTTGGCCCAGGAGGCCGAAGATGCCCGGATTGCGGTGCTCGAAGGGCCGCATTGCATTGAAGAGATGGGTGACCATCGAGGCACCGTTCTGTATCGCTACTAGTCCTTGCTCATAGGTGGCGTCTGAGTGGCCGATGGAGTAGACGATATCTCGTTCTACGAAGCGTGGGATGTGGGCGGCCATATCACCCACTTCTGGTGCGGCGGTGATCACCTTAATGGATGAATTGAGGTTCTCCTGGCCGTAGCAGTGGACCAGGTCCTTCCAATCTTGAGAAGCTTGGAGCACCTCGGGTTTGTGAATGCCGTTACGGCCCGGGCTGATGAATGGGCCCTCAACATGAGCTCCCAATGATTCTGCACCATCTTCCCCGCGGTGATAGCTGTTGGATGGAGCCAAAGAGGGTAGAACCTATTTCATTCTTTTAGAAACAGAGCGCACATGTAAAGATGCCAGACGTGATACGCACCTGCCAATATACTTCCGGTGTGGAACTAACAACCGTTGGTAAATATGAAGTCACTCCAGTCCGCGCCAGACCCTTGTTAACAATGCGCAACCCATCATCATACGCTTTTCGGGAAGCCTGTGGTACCGAGAAATCAAACCCCTGGGCGCCGTTCAACTGGACATCAATAAGACCGGGGGCCAGGATACGGCCACCCAGATCGATGACTTCATCGGGCAAGAGATGCAGTTCGTAGAAGGCGACTTGGTCCCGGAGGATTTTGCCGGAACGTGAATCGATCCAAAGATCCTGTTCGACCAATTCCTTATCCTTAAGGATGCGACAGTTGGTGAATTTGGTGATACGTGGAGTGGTTGTGGTTTTGCCGGGCATCATGTATGCTTGCTTGTGCTATGATGATCTATATAGAGGATGGCATAAACAACGGGAAATATATCCGAGGTTGTGTGTCAATGTGCAACATGTCAGACCATGAGAAAGAGGATACAGGATGAAGATATAATAGGCACTGACAGAGGAACACATGGGCCTTCTTCCCCAGGCAAATGCACGTTTTGCCTTAACCAAAGGGACTGGATGATGCTTATCGATGATGCGGATACGACATTAATGGTACAGTATGATACCGTACGATACACGGGAAGATTACTTACTGTACGGCATAATACAGAGTACATAAAAGAGACACGTGCATAGAGACCACCTGATCCCTGTCATTTAGACCTTCATTTTAGAATACATCTAACCTCATCTCTTCTTTTGTATGCTATCTCTTCATATATCTTCAATTATATTCAATTCCATGGGATTCCACAATCCATTTACATCGTTTCCAATCATTTTCACCGATATCACTTATCAGCCATCCCCAGATTTCTGACTCAGCCAATTTTCCCTCGAATTTCCCGCATCCGGACATCGACCCAGTCTGTCGCACAATTCTCAATGCAACCGTCACTTCGTTTTCGTGCAATGATGACCAGTTTTTTGCCCATCCTCGCCATGGAATTGACGTTTCTGTGTTCTTCAGTGGCCGGCTATCATGATGATGCCAGTAATGATGATGATGCTGTGGTTGCTGCTGGAAAACCCGCAACGGAACAGGCCGTATCCTGCTATCTCCCCCCGATAAACACCGCTAGTTTCAAGCCCAATAGAATCAATAGAACATTCATTATCTCGTGTTCGGCACTAAACCCCGCGAAACAAGCCGCTTAGCTAAATGGCTATTATTCTTCTTATTTAGGTCTCGTGTTCAATTTCCTTGTGCATATCACACATTCGTATTCTCTTCATTCAAGTTCAATTCCGCGGCTTTTGCGCTTTCTCTCATCTCTCTGGTCTTACTGAATTCGCACATACTTGCTTGTGGTGCAGTTATAACTAGAGGGTCCTTCTTGCCTTTCTGTCTTAGTATCGCCCCCCCAACGGGTCACTGCGTATCCCTTCATTCTTGCTCTTTCCTTCAACCGGTGTGAATTGTTCATTTCTATTTTTTGGAGATCGACTTTTCTTTTTTCTGCTATATTTGCTGTGTACATATAGCAAACATATATATACTCTCGCCTTGTTTGTATATTTTGCTTCCCTTCATCAGGTCACACAACAGATTTTCATTGTTCATATGTTTGCCTGATTCCATATACATGACCACTGTGGTGCACATATTCTTTGACCTTTTATTTCTTCCTCTGCATTCTTCTTATCCGCACTCCTTCACATAGGATTATGTCGACCCCCTCAAGCAGCGTCGAAATGCAACACGACACCAAGCACAGTGAAAAGAAGGACTTAAACTGGGCATCCAGTGTCGATCCTGAGTCCATGGACCATTCAGAGCCCTTGGGAAAGCCCTGGATGTACAAGCCCAGGAAAATCGGCATGTGGACATTCCCGTGGTTTGCTTCTCCGGAGGTGCAGCTGGTGTTGGTATCCTTTGTCTGCTTCCTCTGCCCTGGTATGTTCAATGCCGTCAGTGGCCTAGGCGGCGGTGGTCAAGTGGATGCCAAAGATGTTAGTGACGCCAACACCGCTCTGTACAGTACTTTCGCTGTTGTTGGCTTCTTCGCTGGTTCTATCGCCAACTGGATCGGATTGCGCTTGACTTTGTCCATTGGTGGCTTCGGTTACTTCCTCTACGTCGCTTCTCTGCTGTCCTACAACCACAACCAGAATGTCGGTTTCCTCATCTTCGCTGGTGCTTTGCTGGGTGTATGCGGAGGTCTTCTATGGTGCGCTCAAGGCGCTGTCATGATGAGTTATCCGAATGAGAAGGAGAAGGGCAAATTTATTGCTATTTTCTGGGTTATCTTCAACTTGGGTGGTGTCATTGGAGGTTTGGTAGGTAGAATCTTCCTTGGTGACTTGATATATCAAACTAACGCCCTACCAGATCCCTTTGGGTCAGAACCTGCACTCGAATTCCGGACAGGTCAATGATGGCACATACATCGCTTTTATGGTCCTCATGGCTATTGGTTTTATGCTTGCCTGGGTTCTCGTGGATTCAAAATACGTCATGCGCAGGGATCATTCTCGTGTTATCGTTATGAAGAATCCCACCTGGAAATCCGAGCTTATGGGTCTCTTGCAGACACTGCGCACTGACTGGTATATCATCCTCTTCTTTCCCATGTTCTTGGCAAGCAACTGGTTCTACGGATATCATTTCAACAGCGTCAACGGCGCCTATTTCAACATTCGTACCCGCTCGCTCAACAGTTTGTTATACTGGCTCAGCCAGATGGTTGGAGCTTTCGTGTTCGGCATGACATTGGATTTGAAATGGTTCTCTCGTCCTACCAGGGCCAAGATCAACTTTGGTCTTCTTCTCGCCATTACAATGGGCGTCTGGGGTGGCGGATATGCCTTTCAGAAACAATACACCCGCGACACCGTGACCGCAACTAAGGATTGGACTGACAGTGGCTATATCGGTCCCATGTTCCTCTACATCTTCTACGGATTCTATGACGCTGCTTTTCAAACCTGCGCGTATTGGTTCATGGGGTCGCTCACGAACAACAGTCGAAAACTCGCCAACTTTGCTGGATTTTACAAGGGTCTTCAGTCTGCTGGTGCAGCGGGCATGTGGCGGTAAGTTTACTCCAAGGCGCATAGATATACAAATTGCTAATTGTCTTGTACAGCATGGATGCACAAGGTACCGCTTTCATGACGGAATTTGCTTCTTGCTGGGGTCTCCTCGTTGGTAGTCTCCTGATTGCCTCGCCAATCATCTTCTTCAAGATCAAGGAACACTCCGATATTGAAGAAGACCTCAAATTCTCCGATGAGACTCACAAGGATGTCGGTATTCCCATGGAAGATTCTCCAATGCCTTCCTCTCCCTCTCAGAAAGAACACGGAGAGGAGAAGACCGTTTGCCATGAGTGATCATTTTCTTCCTTTTCGTTTATCCATAGTTTGGGCAGGATTCTCTTTATTTTTGGGCTTCGGTCTGGTTTGTCATTTGGTTATTACCCCTTGTACCTTTGATGTGAACATAATAGTGTCTACTTGATGAGTCAGGCACATAGTGCCCCTGTGTTTGGGAGGTTGAATATAACTGTTCTACATGATTTGTGTCTCACTAGACCTTACGTCGGGCAGTTGCAGATGCATATAAGAGATGCACTAAGCCGCATTGTCATTGTATTATATGCACGTGCCCATTAGTGTACCCATAAGGGACACGTGCTTTGTATGTATAACGGTATCAAATCAGTTGTACGAGGATAAGTCATCAGTCGTAGCAGCAATATCATCAATGACTACCGTTAGCACTAACACTAGCCGTAGCCGAAGGCAAGGGGACCGAAGTCTGCGTATGCGTAGCCTTAGCAGTACCATTGGTGACATAAGGTGCATCAAGGTCGTTAATCTTCACCTTACCCTGCGCGATATCCCACCCGTTCAGCGTGCGATTAAACAACTGCAACGCAGCAATGGGCTGATAGTACGGCACCTCGTGGCCAGCCTCATAAACCCGTGTGAACGAGAGGTTCCCATACTCCCTGGTCTCACCATACTCGACCCCATCAACGACCATCGGCGCATAACCCGCAGCGCGGAACTGCTCCGCATGCGTGTAGTTCGCAGCAAGCGAGATAGCCTCGCCACCGAACCAGTTACAGATGTAATCCGCATCACCGTAAATCAGCGAAACACGAACAGGAAGCTTAAGAATCTCCTCAAGATCATCGATGAAGTTCGGCCAGACGAAGTCGCCGGTCTGCTGGAAGGCGTAGTACACCTCTGTGCTGGAGGCGGTGTAGTTGAGGTTAACACCCAGGGCGTTTTGGACAGAGGGCTTTTGCAGGTATTTGCTGTAACGAGCTGGTGGGGTGGGGTCATTGCTTGGGTGGCGGATGTCGTAGACGCCGCGGTCGGAGTACTGGTAGTAAGGGCTTTCGACATTGTCGCGGCACATGTTGGCAGCTTCGGTGCAGATGCTGTAATCTACGAGGGAGGTGCGGTTTGTTTGCTTGCAGGAGATGATTTGGTCTTGGCAGCCATTGCTCATGCTGTTGGCAAATTTCATGTAGTTGTAAACGGTGTCGTTGATCTGGTTTGTCAGTACATAGCACACTTATTCAGCAGGGATGAGAGCTTACACTCTTGATTCCGTAGGTGTTCTTGACAGCGAATTCAGGGTAGTGAGAAGCCTGAATTGCTTCATCGATGATGCCGTTGATGATACCCAGAGACTCAAAGTCAAGAGCGATACCTTCCTTCTCACCAGACTCGATCTTCTGGTTTTGCTCGTGGAAGTGGTTGAAGAACTGTAAAGTTAGTACAATGGCACTTTTCTGTATACAGGAAAAACTCACAGCAGGTCCGTAATGTCTGAAGAGCAGTTAGCGTATATCCGTTTTAAGACGGGAACTCGACTTACCCTCCATAACTCTCTGTCCACAGGTTGAACTTCTTGGACTTGATCTTAGAGTCCAATTTTGGCAGGCTACCAAGGAACCCCTGCAGGACTTCCCAAGCGGCCTTAGCAGCAAGGTTTGTGGTATCTACTCCCGATCAATAAATGCATATCAAGACAAGAAGGCAGGACGCACCAGTCAAAGTAGCATTGATCTTGGGGTATCTACCCTGCACACCATCGAAAGCTTCATCTTCGACAGCACCAGTAAGCGGATTGAGCGAACCAAGCTCAGTATCGCTGTACGAGAAACCAGTACCCAACGGCTGGGAAATGAAGAGCATGTTGGAGACTTCATTGAAAGAGTGGGGGTTGGTATAGGTCTCATAGCTGGAGTTGATATGGCACGGACCCAATTCTGCGATCATTAGCATTCAATCATATGCAACTGAAGAGGCCCACTGGGCAGAGATATACCCTCCAACAATCCAATCAAAGAGTCACTTCCCGGACCACCATTCAACCACAACGTAATGGGCGCATTCTGCGGATCATGTCTGGCCTCGAAGAACCAGAAGAACGTATGAGAAGTCGGCGACAGGTCAACATACCCGGAGTACGACTTGACTCCCGGAGTCGTCTCACAGACCCCCTCTTTGCCTGGCTCCTTGTAGCGAATGGTGATGTTGTTGGCTGTCGTGAGGGTATGGACGCCGGTAGGTTCCTTGGGGACCTGGCGCCTGCCAACGTGGAATTCGTCTGTTGGATGGGCCAGGCTGGTTGCAACCAGCGATAGGAGGGACAACAGCTGGAAGCGCATGGCTACAGCCTTGGTGACTTGGGAAGAGGGGGCTGGCTGTTCAAGAAATCCAAGAGAAAAAGAAAAGAAACACCACCAGCACTATGCAACGCAACTACAAAATCCATCATGAAAAGGATGCGGCAGCTTCCCTTTTATACATAGTAGACGATCAGGAGACTCGACCACCCGTGATGTACATAACACTAACCCAACGAACGGAGCACAGAACATCCCCCGACACCGATACCCCGTCCGGAGTCAAAGTGCAAGTAAGCAATACAAACACACAAAAAGTGCGATGGTCATGGCCCACATGGCGCGAGTGAGGTGATAAGCAAGAGTAACTCCATAAAATGTAGCTGCACCTATCCTAGAGACCGAGACTGAGACACAGACATGGGCAAGGTAGTATTTAGCGGATACCTGGCGGCATACTCCGTTCATAGTATTCTGTAGAGCGTAGAATCATCGCCAATTAGACCGGTTTTTACGGAGTCCTTTGGCCTAGGCTAGAGCTTAGCATCACCAACTCCGGAGTCCGTGCAAACACGCAGTAAAAGCAAAAGCAAAAGCAGGATGGCAAGGTTTCGGAAGAGGCAAACTGATGCCTTGGATATTCTTATTTCTGTCTGCCTATCGTTCCGGCTGCCGATCGTTTCAGTGCGGGATTATTGGAGAATATGGAAACCGCCGTTTGCTGCATTTGTCGCTTGACCGGTTTGATTGTTTGACATTCTGGAATCGACGGCAGTATTCGAGCATCCTCCTGTTGTAGTAGAGATAGAAAACAAAGCACTCTGTAATTCTATCCATAGACAACAACGTGAATCGAGAACGCGTTGACAACGACCTTCCAAATCGGGAATGGCGCGTCACGGGACATTCAGGGCCCCCTCACAAACAGATACCACCTCATGCTCAACGCAAAGTACTCTTCATATATTATAGAGTATCATATATTATAGAGTATCAAGAGATATTACTTTCTCTAGTCTGTACGGAGTACTCCGATCTCCGAGCATGTCTATACAGTACAGTTAAATGTTCAATACGAATTCAACTGACTCAATTGCACTGGATACCCCGCGGTACTAACTGCCGACGAGGGATCATCAAAGCTTGACCAATATTGGCCCAGCAGATCAAAGGGTCTGTTGGGGCTGTAAATTACGGTAATCTCATGTGACTCCGAATAATAATGTTGAGAAATCGTTCATTATTCTCGTTTCATACTCCCCCTAGAGTATATAAAGTGACAAATACAACAAATATATCGCACCCAATGCATAGCCGAACGCCGCCTTCCCGTGTCATCTTTTCCAAACCAGAGCAATGAAGGTCATAACGTCCCGTAAATACAAGTGTTGTAACATATATGCAGAAATGCAGAAGTAAAACGGAAAAGCTTGAAGGAAAATCATCTTTTTTTTTTTAAAACAATCCCAAGTCTGCATCCAGATCCGCCGTGATACCTTGAGCCTCCGAGCGTGGTGCTTCGACGGCGTCAGCAAGTCCGGGGAAATTAACGCCCTTGCCGCCAGCATTCATATTCATCACGTCGGGGATGGGACCCACAAAATCGTTGCCGCCATTGTTCTCATGATTGATGTTATTGTTCGTAGTGGTATTGGTGGCAGTGGTGTTGTTGCTGTTGTTTTCAGCCGCAAAGAAATCGGCTCCGGCATCGTCAAAATTGATTAAGGCATCAAAATCATTCTGTGTTACTTCGGCATCGTTGGCCAAATCCATCAACTGGCTAAGACTCAGTTCCGAATCCATGCTGGGAATCTGGAAAGTATCCGATGGCTGGAATTTAGTGTTGAGGTTGTTTGTGCTGCCGTTCTCGCTGCCATCAGATGGAGGCGGCGTCGACACAAACAGTGGCCCACCTTCCTCAGCTGCTCCAAGCGCTCCAGTGTCAGATGATTTTGGATAGGTAAGATCGGGTATTTTCTGGGCGAGAGAGTCTGGGGGAGGAGTCAAGGTGTTAAGACGCGTAGGGTCGGGCATGGTGGAGGAGGCAGTGTCGGTGTTCACGGGCGGTGGCTGTTGCACATCCTGAGGTGCAACGGTGAGCTGGATACCGGCCTTGCGGATGGCGGCTTCCAAGAATGATGTCGCAAAGTCAGCAGAGGCATAGATCTCACGTAGACGCTGGAGGATCCGCATGCACTGATAGAAGCGCTGGAGACTGGTCATCCGAACATTAGGGTCGCTGGATTTGATATCAAGTAGATGAATGATGACCGCGGGCAGCAGAACCGTCACACCGGTGGTAGGGAAGTAACGGGTCAGGTCCAGACTGTGCAGGTCCTGGGCGATGTTGGTGATCTCCACCGCCGCGTACCGCACCTTGTTCCGCGAGATTTCCTGCAGCTCCGCGTCCATCGACGGGAACGGGATGGAAGGAAGAACTTGCGGGCGATGCAAGGCACTGGATGTGGTCAAGTAGACCATTTTGAGCAGCGCTCGGTGCGAATGCAGAACCTCCTGGGCCTCTGTGAGCTTCAAAGACGCAGCCGGAGAATACTGGATCTCCGGGGGAAGGTTAGCCAGCCAGTCTTCCAGCTCCTGATCGCAACGGCGAACTTCAAATGTCTCAGCGGCAGATTTCTTAGGGACCAGCATCATGGTGGTCTCCATCGTGCCGCCAAACTTGTGGCTAAGAACCGAGTATTGTGCTGACAGCACATGGCTAACGCAGAGACACAGCTTGGCCTTCTCGATGAACATCAGGGCCAGTTCACGCTGGTGCTCAACATTGTGCAGCACCTCCGAATTTCCGACCATGGCTACGATCTCGGGAGAGAACGGATGGAAGTCGAAATCGTCGAGAGTCAACATAGGCACATCGCAGTCGTCATCCTTGACGCGCATGGGACGTCTCATTCCCAGGGCAATCAAGCGATCGCGAGTATACGTGCTCCACCAGATGCGTTTCCACATCCGCTGACGACGAAGATCCATGCGGGAGTTCCCGGGGTCCCGGTGTAGACCAATGGTGTGGGCCAACGACAGGCTGACGCCCATCCAATGCCAGGTGTCCTTTTGGTCATCCGGAGTCTCGTACCAATAAGTCATCAGCAACAGAGACTGGACGAGCGAGATACGATCAACCTCGTAGTCAAAGTCGTAGAGGAGTCGGGCTCGTTGGAAGAAGGCTTTCCGTGCAGCCTTTCGTGATGTGTAGCCGGCGCCGTGGAGGTGCTTAAGGTCGATGAAAGCGGTACCAGCGAACATGACAGCTTGGAAGAGCAGCAAGCTCATGCGGTTGATTCCATCATTCTGGATAATCGTCTGCAAGAAGTCTTCGAGGTCCAAGAGCGGCATGTAAGTGTGAACGTAGTGAATATAACTCTTGATCAATTCATTACGCAGATTGACATCCGGAATAGTCAGGGCACCCTTCATGGCCAAATAGTCGATATCTTCCTTCTGCAACCTAGCAGGCAATCCCCGAATGTAATCTGGTAGAATGACGCCTCCCGAACGGGGGCTAGCAAAGGACGGGTCCAACAATTGCTGGATTTGCGAGGTGACATGGTGCAATGGCAAAGTGGCTGGAACGGCCGGGTTCGCGGCCATTCCACGACCAAACCGGGACTCTGCTCCAATCCGTTCTGCCTGGTTTTGATCTAATGTGAATTATTAGTCACAGCCGTCTAAAGACAAGGGAGCAAAGAGCACGAACATAATAGATGAGGCATATGTGAGCCTTGGTCCAGATCGAGCGAATGCTGTGATGGCGAAGCCGGTGCCACATCGGACAGACGGCTCTCACTGAATCTCCGGAAGAAATTCCCACTGTCTTCTGAAGCGTCCGGAGGCGAGTCGGGAACATTGTTGGCATTTTCAGCCTCAACGCGGGATTTCCTGTGTTCGTTAGCTTTCATATAAGTATTGACGTTGATAGACGAAGTCGACGCACTTTCTCCGCTTGCTTTCCGTAACAACGCATTCGACCTGATCTAATCGGCAATTTGTGCAGGGAGAACCATTCTCGACAACATCGCAGCGGACCTTGCGAGCTCGACAACAACAGCACGCTTTCGAAGCACGTCTCTTGACAGGACGAGTGTTGACGGACATGCCAGCCGTGGAGGCCTTGCGTTTTGCTTGGGAATCGGTAGAAGACATTGTGTTCTTGGGATGTGACGGTGTGGTCGTGGCGGTCGTGGCGTTGGTCATAATGGGTGAAGGCGAGTGTTATGTGTTATCCATATATTCGTTGAGCAGCACGTGATACTTGACAAGGAAGGGAAGATATAGAGATAATGCTGTAGAATCGTGGCAGAGGGAGAGAAACAAGGAATGAAGGTGGACGAAAAGTGAAGAGTGGAGAGTTTCTTTTCTTGTTCTAGTATTTTTCTTTTCTTTTTCCTAATGTGTTAATATACACTCGTTTCCCAACTGGACCAAATGAAGAGGGGGAAAAAGAGAAAAAGAAAAGCCAACGTTGCGGGCGTTGGGGAAGCAGTCCTTTCTTTAAGTACAATTCCCCCAAAAAAAGCTCCTGTAATTGCGTATGGGGATTCCCGTGAAATTACTCCCCCAGACCGGAACCAGACAATTCTTCAGTGGCCCCCGTACGGTATTGGTAACGGAAAGAAATGGCTTGTAATTGGACGGTCTAAGCTCGGAATGGAGAAAATTCTCCATTGCCCAAAGTCACCTAGTCACAACGCTAGTCCATACACAGTATCAAAGTTGGCTGGATTAACTTACGTACGCTGGCAAATGGGCGGGCCTAGTGCCTCCACCACCTCCACTAGTATCCACGGACCAGCATATCCACCGGTCGTCACCGCCCGCCACTACAGCCCAAAAAGGGATAGTGCATTGCATTCGCTTAGGGAAAACTCCACCCGAACTAAAAATCCCAACCGAGACTCGGCCCGGTCACGTGTTTGTGGCTCAACCGGAGGGACCGGAGTGAATCATCGGGGGTTTTATTGGTTGAAGGTAGCCCTTATATATTGGGAGACGGACGTTGGTGTGGCCGTTTTGTGGGGAAGCAGGGGCTGCGTCATTTACTTCTGGATCGGAAAAAATTCCGTTCTAGTGCGTACTTTGGGTGTGCACGAGCATCTGAAGATGAGTTATTACTAGTATTAGCATCTACAAGTAGATAACAGAGTATACAGCTTTTCTGAGAGGAGGCCATGCTGATCAAACCTTTTGCGCACACGATATCATGTTGCATAAGTGCAGGACTACAGTTTTTTTTTAATGTCTGGAACGAGAACCTTGGGGTTTCGGATTATGAAAATACCCCAAGTGGATTCAACTAGTTTGAAGATCAACCAAAATCGCCAGAGGATACGGTTTCCATACTTCATACATACGGAACACACAAGACATGAGTAAACCCTTAACGTACCTGAATTACATGAGAGCACAAGAAACATTTATTCTACCCGCCCTGACTGGCCCCCAGTCCAACCAAACTCCCGCTAAACCCCCCCGCCAAATCAAACTCTCTTTGGCTTCTGGCCTCCCATAGACCAATAATTGGCATCGTAGCCGATCCGAATATACCAAAAGTCTGGGGATGATCCAGTAATGGTCACGCGTACTCTAGCAATGCCTACTTTGCTATGATATCACTTAACACACGTGCAGGGATGGCAGTTGAAGCGGTATGTGGCCGCTGACATCGGCAGGATCCCGACCGACTCTCTCCCTTATGGTGCTGGCTGATCTTCTGCTGTCATATTGATAATGAGAAATACAATCCTTGCACAGGGCATTAATCCCTCATTTTCTGCAGTTGCCTTTTGGAATACAAGTAACAACTTGTAGTCATCTACTTACTTAACCAGATTACTATGTACGTCCATATGAAATGTAACTTCTGTCGATCCTTGGTACCGTAAATCCCCACGAACCAATCGCCAAGTATTAACTGGAACTCATACTTTCCATTCTACCAATAGAACCACCCATAAAATACACAGACCCTGGTCCCCCGTCCCTTCCCCAACTTTTCCCACGTTTCTTCCATAATAAAATCACACTTCAACTGCCGAAGTCGGTGGCTGTGGTTGCGGTCTCGCCGCTTCTTGGTTCTCCACAAAGTATGTTATCATATTACCATACCGTATGGAAGGAAGGGGGCTGATACACGGAGATGAGTCGCCTTTCCCCAGACACGTGATGATGACCTGGGGTATGTATTGTATTATCCATATGAACCGGGTTCGTCGGCTTTCTCGCCGGACGGTCCGGTCATGTGTGGTTTTTCCTATTCTAATGCATATGCACATGTCTGACCCTTGTAAAAACGCTACATTGTACAGTACATTATACATAGCACTGATGTATGTATATGTACGGGATACTCTGTACATGTATGTTTCACAATAGAACCATCGGGAATCCGGAGACCCCAGATTGTTCGACATTAATACAGTGTGGACTTGGTACGGACGAATGGAGTCACATTCAATATACTAAAAAAAAAAAAAAAAAATCCGGGGCAGCGGAGTCGATATTGGGCAGATATTAATACAAGATCATCGTTTCGTGTCAAGTACGAGGAGATTGTCATGGTCAATCAGTCATGTTGCTCAGTACACTGTCATGGTACACGTTGATCGGATCCAGTAAATTGTATCATCATAAAACTATCCGGGATATCTGTACTCAAAACAAGAATAACAAAATAACAAGTCGTACTCATCATTATAATAGAGGCAAATCACAGAAAACTAAGCACCCCGTCCCATCCGCTCAATCGATCCCATAATCCCACTCCGTCCCGGTGTAAACACTGCTATCCCGGACTTCACCCCACTATTTCCTCGTGGCGTCTTTGCTCCAATCTTAGGGATTGCCCTCTTTCTCTCCCTTTCTACCCCACCACTTGATCCCGTGGCGCTGGGTGGTCGCAATCCACTGGTACTGCTGCTGGCGCTGGTACTGTGACTGTGGCTCACACTCTGCCGGACATCCTCCATCACTGGTTCCGGCGATGCCGCATCGTACGGACTGGGAGTACGTTCAGTGCGTTCGGCAGGTTCAGCAGGATCAGCAGGTTCAGAAGGCTGTTGACCAGGTTGTTGTACGGCCAACCATTCGTCAACCGCAGCCACCAACTCTCCCTTTTCTGCTCGTTCCATCTCCAAGTCGTCCTGGAGCCGTTCCCGATCCTCCCGTAGTACCGTCATTTCCTGATGCAGTCCCTTGATCTGAGCCTCCAGCACCCGCTTCTCGGCTTCCTGCTTGTCATTGGCACGGGCCACCAGGTTGGTAATCTCATCGTGACTGGCGGCTGTCTCGGTAGTTGCCGTCTTCTCTCGCTCCTCTTTCATCCGCTGGTTCTCCTCCTGCACACCCTTCAGCTTGTTCTCGGATTCCCGAACGCGCTTCTCCCACCGCGACTCGTAACTTTTCTTCAATGCGGCAACCTTGGTCTCGTGCTTGCCCTTGTATAATGTGTGGAGCTCCCGGGCCACCTTCTCGACGGCTTCCTGGACTTCGCGGGCTGTCTCCTCCGCCGTCTTAGTATTGCCACTAGCCATAGATTTTTCCATAGGAGCACTAGGGGTGGAAGAGGTTTTAGCCTCAACAGCCTTCCGAGCAGCATTCAGTTGGCTTTCCAATTCCACCATCCGGCCTTCTAGCTGTTCCTTGCTCCTCTCGACTTCCTCCACTTTTCTCACCAGCCGTGCCTTTTCATGCTCCCCTTCCACAATGTCCGCCTTCACTTCGCGCAGCACAGTCTCCATCTCTCCTCCCCGTCGCTGCCATTCGGCCTGTTCAATTTCTAACTCATCTTTCCGTGCCGCTTCGTTGCGAACTTGCTCCATGGCTTCTCCAACGCGCCGCTCAGCGTCCGCCACTGCATGCTTTAAACTGGATACTTCGGCTTCCCTCCCACTCAGGGTCGCCTTGAGCGAGGAGATCTCCGACATAAAATTAGATTTCAAAGACTCAAGTTCACGAGGGGTCACCGTAGGAATGGACCGAGGAGTCGGGGCCGGAGGAAGGTCAAAATCAAGCAACGACGCCTTACCGGGGGAGCGCACAGACTCGCGCGCGATCCTCAAAGGTGACCGTCGCGTGGGAGAGTAACGCTCGTTTTGCATGCTATACCGTGGACGTGGCGAGAGACCGGGCTGATCCATGAAGTCCAGGGTTTTGAGCGTGCCGCTGGGGTTTCCGTAGTCTCTATGTTCCCTCCGCCTGGGCGATGGCGAACTGGCCGGCGTATCCAGGTCGATCAAAGTACTCCTTCGGTTTGACACTCGAGTCTGGCTGGGTGTCCCCGGCTCAGGTGCCGAGTTATTTGAAGTATAATCTCGCATGGCCTTGGTGGGCGACTCTCTGCGCAAGTTCGCAAACGATGTCATATCCGCATTGGGAACAGCAGAGAAAGTACTCAGGTGAGTATCGTCAATCGAGTCGTGAAATTCGTCATCAGTAATAGCGTCGCCGTCAGCGCCACCGTTGTGTCCCTTCTCGTCGGAAGCGCCGTCTCCTTGAAGCACAGTACTCATGCCTTCATTAAGCTTCTCTTCCATCATGCTATTACTGCCTGACTCCTGCTGCCCAGCATAATCTGTTGCTTCCTGCTCGTCCATAAAACCCGCATCCTCATCGGTGTGGATATCGATATCTGATTCATCCCTCCGGTTCGCACCCTTCTTATACCGTCCGTCAAAATCCTTATCCCCGCGACTATCATCTTCATCCGGCACATATTCGTAGGATCGTTTCCGAGGCGTCGCGGAATGCTCACTGGGCGCTAGCGACGTTTGTCTCTGCTGTTGCAGCATGCGAAAATCGACAGTATCATCCCTACCATCATACTGGAACGGTGAACTTGGTGCTTCGGCCATGGATTGGCCATCGTCATCGTCTGTCTGGGCCTCGTGCGCCTGAGGGTCCACCTTGAAAGGACTCGAGAAGGTGTTCTCGGGATATTCCTCCGTGTCCAACATGTCGTCAATACTCCCCTGACCTTTTGAAAATTTGGGCGATTTAGGCGAGTGGAAACGCGAATTCTGACGCGACGGTGTTAGAGGAGAAAGAGGCGTAGACATGTTGTGAGGTGGGGAAGGAAAAGGGTAGCCACTTGCGATACCAGCAGTATCCAAGGGTAGGCCAGGTAAAAAGTCGAGTATAAGGTAGGGATATGATTCTAGGACCTTATTTTAGTAGAGAAAAGGGTCTTCGAGAGTGAGAGATCACAAGAGTAACCAGTGGTGGTGGAAAGATTATTATGTTTTGCCGTTGCCGGGATGGGCAGTAAACAAAGCTAACCTGTTTTGGGAAGGTGTACCATTGACAGGGCGGTACATAGTGACAGAATCAATCTGCCTTCTACAAGTAAAGATATTCTAGAAGGAGAATCAATTAAGCGCTGCACTTGATGAGAGAAGATAGCATGTTGTTCTAGACCATTCCCTTTGAGTCATTTAATTCCCCATTCACAATCTTATCACAAGTTTCTGCATCAACAACCCCATCGGATCCCAAGTATTCCGGCCGCGAATATAACTCCAAGACCTCAAAATCGCAACTAGAAATCGAATTCCAAATTGCCCAGGCGTATCTGAATGGCACCCGCCACTTCCACCAGATATTCCCATCATCACAGACCTCATACTGTCCCGGAATGGGGGTTTCCGGGACTTCCGCATGGATCTCATCCCAGAGCGACTTCTTCATGCCGTGATGCAAAACAATCGTAGACTGGGTAACTGACTGTTCGTCGAGCACAGCGAACCAGACCTTTGTAATCTTGCCCATTGTGCCCTTACCCGCAAGGAATTGGTAGAAATTTTGGCGGATCTCTGCATCACTCTGGTCTTGGAAACCGGTCACGATGTCCTCGGCAGGGGGGGTCCCCTTTACTTGTACCTCTTCTTGGTTGGGGGAGTGTATGAAAGTGAAGAGATTAAACGCATATTCGGGGATGATGCTTTCTTCTTGGAGAGTTTTAATTGTCTGTTAAACGGCAGTGAGTGTCAATATATATTCAACTGGGACCGGGGGTCAGCCATACGCTCGCGGGTATGTTTGTTGTTGCAAATGTTAGAACACGCGACATTCTGAGAGTGGTGTGGTTATTCAGTGAACAGCAGTACAGGTTATTTATTGTCATAAGATATGTAGCAGTGCAAGGCAGAGTCATAGGCTGAGTCCTTATTATAGAGCGATCTGCGGATATCCGCCCCCACGATCCAGTCCCGCTGCACTAAGCAGTTGAAGGACTGTAGTAACTTTGTACAGCCACTGCACTTCTTACCTGTAGGTTGGATTAATATGCAGGGACAGTCTTCAAGATGTTCCACGCAGTTGTAGTCAGCCATTTCAAGGCAGATTTGTCCTTGGAATATGGGTAGCATCAAATACGCCTGATGGCTCATCAGCAAGGTCAATGCTTTTGATCAATACAATAATATGACTAGAGCACAAGACATAAAAAGGATGAGATACCCTCACTTATTTAGGCATCAGAAACATCAATTCATCTAAACCTCATTCCATCAAGGCTAACCAAATCCACGCTCCTATAAGCACGACTCTTCAAAATGCAGCTTCAAAACTCCTTCATTGTCCTTGGTTTCTATGCTGCTGGCATCCAGCAGGCTCTAGCAGCCCCCGTGGACAACGAAATAACTGCCCGTGGCCTCGAAATCCGGGCGACACCTGGTGAAAGTAACACCAACCCCATCAAGGCCTCTGTCAACGTCCAAGGCCAGAACCAACTACCGTTTGACGCCGATTGCTACGCCATTCTCTGCAAGGGCGCTGACCGTGTCCTGTAAGTCTGCAGCCATATAACCGACTGAAAAAATAAAAATAAAAAAAGCTAACAGCTCTAAAGTCAGCGTGATAGCGACGAGACCAACCCGAACCGAAGGGATAGCGGTGTTACAAAGACCTTCTCGGGGGGCAACGGCTCTGGCCCTTTTAGGAACCCTCAGAAGGCCGATGTCAAAGTCCCAGCTCCCAAATCATCTTGGGACTCTGGTAAGCCGTTTGTGTCTCCCGAAGAGTATCCCTTTGCGTCTACCTTGCAGGGAGGAAGGTAAGTAAAACTATTTCCGTATCCATATCTAAGGATACGCCGAGGGCTAATATCGTGGTTTTCACACAGTGCATACTTGATCCCTGTAAACCAAGCATCCCAGAACTCCCAGGGCGGTGCTATTAACGGGATGTACGAAAAGTATGACATTGAGACTGCAGACTGCGGTACGAAGAGCTGGTTCGAAATCTCTTTTACTGGCTCACTGGGGTAAGTGACATGTCTCCTAACTTACATATCACACCCATGCAACTGACACTGAATAGCCCTTACTGCAAGGCCCTCATGGCCGGGAAGAAGAGTTCGGATCCCATTTGCAAAAAGGGTGCTAAGGACGCCGTGGGAGACTGGGGCTTTGATGTGGGCGAGTACATCTACAAGTACGACGGCCACTCTTACAGAGCAGCTGGCAAGCAGTAATCTTGAGAGCAGCTCTATTCTCTGGATATGGCACAAAGGAATCATGGATGGAGGGCGTTTTAAATTGGATTGGGTTTGTGTTTCAGGCGCCTTGGGTTGATTGATTCTGGATGGCGGATAACGTTGTATATATAGGGCTTGCTTTTACTAACCTTATTTCATTCAAATATGTATTCCATTATCTACATGTTCATTTAATAGCACTCAAGGCTGCCTATTAGGAAAGAAAACGGCGTCAAATCCGACAGAAATTGGGAGGGAAACCCCAAGGTTTTAATGATGAGAATGAGTTTCAAAGATAGCCCAGTAAGAAATCACGTATAGTTATAGAAACCGAGAAGCCAATATGTTAACAGACCAGACGCCAAACTCCATGCTCATGTTCAAATGCCAGTAAAAAGCATCAACCTGAAACAGACCCCATGAAAGCTATATCGAAATCCACCTATAAACATCGAAACAATTAACTTTTGAAGAGAAAATATAAATAAAGTCAACATAAACACTGTTTTTCGTTTTGTCGTTGAGCATCTCCTTATGCACTTTGCTCAGAGCCTGTGTCAGCATCGGTCACGACGATGTGAATAGTCTCCTTGTGGGCATCATAATGGCAAGGAGCAACCGGGTGTACCATGGCCGAGATGTTTTTCTTCCGCTCGATGAACCATAGTTGCATAGCACCGATAATAGCAACCAGCGAACTTCCCCACCATGCAAGGCCCGTGAAATTTATTTCAGAGCCAGTACTGTAAAGCCAACCGGCAACAGGAGGAGCGACAGTGCGTGCAGCGGCCCCAGCAGAAGCAGCAAGGCCATTGATCTTTCCGAGAACCGCGTCAGAAGGACTCGCTTGCTTAATGAGAATCAGAAGTACCGGGTAGTCAATGATCGAAAGAATGTTGCGCACGGCGAGACAAGTGTAGATACCGACGAACAGGAGTTGCTGCGGGAGGAAAACCAAAAATGGAACTATGAAATAGGCGATCGGATGCAGGATCGTGACCACAACGAAAAGCTTCCACACTCCGAGCCATTGAGCCAAAGCCGGAAAAATGACACTCTGAATGACCAAGGCGATGATTCCATCTGAAGACATAATCATACCAACCGTCCGAGTCGACAAACCCACGCCACCAGGAATGTTAAAATCGGAAGTAGTGCCAACGCCAGGGGACTTTCGCGTATTCTTATCCTGCAGGAAGATAGGCAATAAATGGTCGTAGGTCATCGAGTGATACGTGAAGATGGCCAGGGCAACCACCAGCATAACGACCAGCCTTGTAAACGCGACTGGCTTGCGCACACCTGACTCGCATTTTGTTCCATCTGCAAACACCGTCCAGCCGTTCTCCTCGTGCAGGTGAACCTCATTGAAGGTGCCATAAGATTCGGCTCGTAGATCAGCACTAGGGTTGGCGGTGGCGCCAGCGGTTGCTAGAAGAGGAGATGTGTAATTCTGCTCATCAGATACATCGCTTCCCAATTGCATATCGGGATGGGTTTCGCAGAGAAACAGCCAGCTGCCAATAATACTAAACACAAGTAAGATAGAGCAGACGAGATTCGGCAAAAGATATGGGAATTTGCCAAAGAGGCCATCGGGGGGGAAAGCAGAGGGAAACCCTTCAGCCGGTTTTGCAAGCAAACCCCCTATGGCTGCAGCAAGGACGTCAACAGCTGCCCTCGATTCGTCCTGACTGGGACATATTCTCACTTACCTGGCCCGATGATGGTTCCGATTGACCAGACAAACGGCATCACAGCATAAGCTCGAGCTATACCCTGTTAGTAACAGAACAGATAGCAGATTTCAAGGTTACTCACGTTCATGTTCTGGCCGTTTAACTAGTTCTCCCACCATGGTCTGGATAACGCCAATGTTTCCATTCAGTGCGCCTCCTAATGCTCTTCCGAAGAGGGCAACCCAGAAGTTTGTAGAAAAGCCCACCATAAGAAGGGAGATCATGGTACCAAAGCAACCGAAGAGGAGAACCGGTTTGCGGCCAATGCGGTCCGAGAGACCTCCCCAGAACATACCAGTGAGCGCTTCAGCGAGGGAAAACGCGGAGATGAGGATTCCAGCGTAAAGGGATGCGTCATGGCTATTGGCGATTTTAAAGTCCTTAACCATTACCCATGAGTATGGAAAGATGGAGGTCAACGCGATAGGCTCCGCGACGCGACATATTGCTAGTAGGAGGAGCTGAGTGGTGGGAAATTTGTCGTTGGAGGTAGATAGTCTTTCCTGGTGTGTTAATACCATCTTCTTTAGAACCGTCCAAGATTCTTACGGCAAGCCCCCAGCAGCAGAGGACCCTTGAGTGGGCTCTATTCGTGGTGTCGCTCCTCTCTATTATTAGTCTTTGGGGGTCGATGTCCTCTTTTAAGCTGTTGTCCTATAACAAGTATAGAAGTCACAATGAAAAGAATGAAGAAAGCGACAAAAGTGATGGATGCGCGGATGAAGAGGCTTATATTGGGAAGACACGGAGTAAGACAGAGTAAGCAGAAAGACACCGAAGGAGAAAGAGGCAAAAAAAAAGAAAAAAAAAAAGTGTGAGAGGATCGATCCGATATCCGAGTCGACAGTGCGACCAATGAGCAGCTGCGGATGGAACTTCCTATCGAGGTGGTCCGTGAATTAATGTGACTAACAGTGTAAAAAGTACAAGTACAAGTATAGTATACAACATACACTTAGGGTACAAAAGAGCGATGCTTATAACATCCAGAAATAAAGACGATTGCAGAATCCTCTCAATTCGATTATTACTGGTTCAGTCTACAGGCGTACTAGAACATCGCGATGACATCTTGACTGGTCGGTGTAACATACCGCTGAAATACATGAAGGTGGCGAGTCGCATGCCTCCGCGTCAGACAACTGTCTTTCCGATATCGTCTATGTCTTATCTGTCCCCTACGTATACATTGATCTTATTATAGCTGATATACTCTATACTAATCTGTACTCTGTACTCCGTACTATGTAGATACTTGTACTATGTACACAACAGTACAAAACCGTGCAGTGGACCCCTACCCGCAGCGGCACTCTTATGACCCGCCATCAGAAGCCAATCACCGCCTGTACTTCGAGGGCCTTATGTACCCCATAGCAGGCTAGTCTGTGCGGCCCGACTTAATTTAGACCTGCCAGAATGTGCTGGAAGAATCCCAGAATGCAGAGAATGATACAAGCATACCCTCGTATAGAAGGCAAGAAGATGCTGAAGGAACTTTCGCTTTACCATTTCTCATGGTGACCTATCCGTTATATGTTATCTGCCAGATTTTATGTGCCAGAATCGGTATGTATTTTTAAGTGAGATGCTGAAGATCTGCCTGGGGCATGAGTATCCTAGAATCAACCCAGACTCGACGCTCCAGTAAGCCCTTTCTCCCCCGCATGTCATGGGCGAAGAACACTAATAGGGTTACTCAAGGATCCGTCAATTCTGATGATATCTAAGTCACACAGCTCTTCACAAAGCACAAAACATTCTTGTCTAAAACCACCCATAGTACTACAGATGAGATCTCTACAGGGAACTTCACAAGTTCCTATCCGAATATATGCAAAGAATAGCTGGTTCAAAATATCTAGTCCTTGTCTTGAGTCAGACCACGAATATCATTCTCATATTTAGGCAAGGGAGCAACGGACACGGAAACAGACCGGCTGCTTCTCATTGTTCTATCAATTCTCGCGCCGTTCGTATCAACTTGGTATGCCCCTGGCATCTTAACTGATGCTGCATATATATACATGGAAAATAAGTTCATATAGATTTATCAATCACCGGGCTCCGTGACAGGAATATACTGTCGTCTTTCCCTAGCAGCCTAAATAAATCAGCATACACAACCAACCAGTATGATATGGAATAACTTACTTCAAGCCACTTCTGAACCCACGGCCTAAAAAGAGCCCACGCGAGTAACCCACTCGTCGCGAATATAAAAATGAACACAATAGCCTCGTCCTTTCTCGAATCCCTTTCTGTAGTACAACCACCATTAGCATTTATTGCATCGCATGAACCTGACAATGAAGCAGAGTTGTCATACGAAAACACGTGCTCACAACATCATCTTCCTTCGCGCCCTTGCACACGGGCAAGTCATATCCCAGGCAGAATTTCCGATTACAGTCGTTGCAGCTGAGCGCTTGGTAGCTGTTGGCTCGCTTTTCATTATCCGTGGTCACCAGGTCTGCGATGTCTCGGGCAAGGTTGCCCGCGAAAGAGGAGGATTCGGGTTTCGGGGGATCGAGGGGGATGATGGTGCTATTGCTGAAACAGGTACATTTGCAGAAGGAGGCGGGTGCTATTATAGATGAAGAAGATTCGTTAGCTAGTTGAACACTGTCGCAAAGACCGCACGATCTCCTGCAATCTCCCGCAGGGAGTTCGGAGATGGCACTCACCTGATGCTACAGCATACGATGCGAATGTGAGAAATAGGAGCAGAGAAGTAAGCAGCGAATCCAACCCGCGGCCTCGTAATAACCACATGATGGATTCAACAGTGTTCTTTATTGTGCGAAGTAAACGGGGTTTATCGGTGTGTCTAGTTATCGCCAACCGCGGATTCCGGACTCTTGGCATCATGTGATATCATCAAATGCTAGAATAGCTTCAATTCTTCAAAAACTCTACTACGTCCAAATGATCCAAGAATGCGGCTTCTTGCTCAATATATCCAATTCGAAATCTATTTATTAAAGCGACGTCTATGATTTCCCCTTCAATCCTTTCCGGCGATTCTCCCGCTGCCTCTCTTCCTTGGCAGCCTCACGCCGCCGTTTCTTCCAGGCCCGATTATTGTCTCCCCGATTTTCCCAGAACCATTTCGCAAAATCCGACTCCTCCTTTTCTGCACCGTTCTTCTTAAGGACTGGTGTGTCGATAGATGATTCATCATCCACGTCCATCTCATCGCCATCCTCATCCCATCTGATGCTTCGGCCTACTAGACCGGTGTCTGGGGTTGGGGCGGCGCTCCTCAGCCCGCGAGCTTGGATATCCTCCTTGGCGAAAGGTGTTTGTGGTGCTACTGGTTCAGTAGGTTCTTCCTCGGATTCTATGTCGTTATTATTCTCGAAGAAGCTGAACGCGTTGGTTTCCTCGACGGGTTTTGTTTCTGAAGAGGCTGGTGCAGAGCGTTTGTAGAGCGCTTCCAGGGGATGGACTTCTTTTGAGGATGGTTGTTCACTTGTCTCTGACGATTCATCCCCGTCTGATGGGATGGTAGTTGCTAGTTCTGATTGCTTCTTTTCTTCCTTGGTCTCGTTGCTGGACGACTTGTCGGACGTGTTAGAAGTATTGGCCGGCTCATTCTCGCTTTCCGAGTCACTGTCATCAGATGAAGATCCACTGGAAGAAGTCCAATCTCCTGACTCTTCCGATTCTTCTTTAGGAAGAAGCTTGGCCTTCTTTGTCGATTCTTTCGACTGGGACTTTCGCTTTTCTTTCGCTCCCGCTACCTTTCCAGGTCTATACTGAGAATCCTTGATTTTTTCATTGACCGGTTCTTTCACATTTCCTGTATCATCAATCCAGCCCTTTCCTTCCTCGTATGTTGCCGTAGTGGTTGTATCCTCCGCGGCAGAACGGATAAACTTCGGGTGGGTTATAGTATTTGCAAACTCATGGACAACTGACTCCGAAGATTTCTTCTTCTTTGACTTCTTATCCTGCTTTTCACCCACGACAGAGGCTTTGTTAGGGGGCAGTTGAGTACGGAACAAGCATTCTTCCTTCTCTGTGTACTTGGATTTGGCTTGTGCCTTTGCCTTCTTCTCCTCCTTTCTCTGTTTCTTTTCTTCCTTCCGTCTATCGGCCTTGGCATCTGTGGACTCGGTCCACCCTCGTTTGACTTTGCGATCCGACGGGAGTTCGTGACCATCTAGGACATCTTCACCGGCCTTTCGTTTCTTCGAACCCTTCTTTTCCTTGTTCGAACGTTCTGCTCCGGAATCAGACACATTTGGTTCCAATTCCTTTTCCTTCTGCGGTCGCGCAGTTTCCACCTTGAACTTTTTGCCTTTCAGGATAGACCCGTGAAGCTTCTTCTTGATCTTCTCCGCCTCCATTGTTGGCAGGGTCACGTAGCCGTAATTTTTCTCAGGGAATGTTGGTAGGGTATGAAATGATATTTCCGTAGCATTCGGTTGCAAAGAGGGAGGCAGCAGGGCAGACAAGATGTCTGGATTGAAAGGGGTGATGTGGAGGCGCGTGGTTGCTGTAGAGGTTGTCGTGGTGGCCGTCGTCATGACAGGATGAGTGCCAGAGGATGATAGGAATTGTTCAATAAGAAGGCATGCTATATTCTTTATGAATTGCAGATACTAGCACTGGGATTCCAAATCATAAATTGTATCCAATGTTCATTATTATCGCGAAGGTCAGTCTGTCGCTGGACAGCAGAGAAAAATGAAGCATACCATACCCGTTTAGGAATTTAGATTGGATTTTTCCGCCCCGGACCCAGACCGCCTGTGGCTCAGCGAGATCACCAACCACATTATGTATCGGTTACATAGTTACATACGAGGACATGCAGGCATAGTATTTATGCACATGGAGGTGACAATTCTACGTTCAATCTCGGTGCAATAATAATGAAGGATTCTTAAGAGCTGCCGAGACGTTGAAAAAGAATTTTGTGCAGTCTATGGTAGATCAAACTCAATCTTGATACTTGAACGACTTGAAATTAAAGGAGGGTTTCAGTACTCCAGAAGGTATCGTAGACCGTCCCATCGCCTCGAGCCACAGCTGATGTAATAATTAAAGTGCCTTCGCGGTCCGTGGCGTCGCATTGATATATTCCTTCTATTCTGTTTTCGATCTGCGAAATAATAATGAAAGATCAAATCCTTCATTTTTCTCATTTTCCCATGGATTTCGTGTGTCTAACGAGGGTTTAATTTCCTCTCTTGTTGTGACATTTTGTGTGATATTTCTTCTGCTGTTTCTGTGGATTCCCCATATTTTACTCCATACTCTCTATCTGGCCTAACAGAGGACGCTTTCCTTCATCTCTTTCAGCATTCTCGGCCAGCGCCATACAATTTTCTTCTTGTCTCTCATTTCTCTCACTCTTTCTTATTATATCTTTTAAGATCAGCCGCATGTCGCAAGCATCCGCGCTTCATCCCGACTGAACAGCGCGAATCCATCCCCCCGCCCGCAGTTGAACCTCCTCACTCGCGCCTCTCTCACTTTCATATACACACGTCTTCTCTTCTCTGTCCATACCTGGTATTTCTTTCCCTACCTGCGTATATCCTGTGAATATCCTTACAATACATCGTTTTCCTCTGTGCTTAACTCGATCGACTCCCTCCGACCACTACACTGTCGCCGCGTCGCTCTCCTGGAGGCAAACCTGCTTCTACTCCGCCTCTCCGCCTGATCCGGCAGTGTTACCATAACCGTCCTACTTACTGCGGTACCTCTGCCTAATCCCGCATACTGTCTTTGTCCTTTTTTTTTTTTTTTTTTTTTTTGTCCCTCTCGACATTCGCAAATCCCCAACAATCATTCGTCTCTTACCACATCCTCCCCATTCAATATGGGTAATTCACAGACCAAAGAGGCACGAGCCTCTCTAGGCCCATCGCATCGTCGCAGCCATCACCCCAGCGGACGATCTCCGTATGGCGAGCGTCACTCAGAAGGTTCTCGCTCCGGACGTTCGAGTCGACCCGATCTATCTATGCTGGGATTTGCTCCGCCTCCGGAGGTAGCGTTGGAACATCGGCGCGAAACCCGACAAGAGCGTGAAGCCCGTAAGCTGGAAAAAGAACGGATCGCCCGAGTCAAGGAACGAGAACGAAGTGTGAGAGAGGAGCATGTGGATGGTGGCTTCTTGGTCACGCAAGGTGTTTATGTTGGCACAGAGGATTTCAATAAGGCTGTGGTTCGCCAGTTGATGGTAAATTTACAATGAATTCCTGTTGGGCAGTTATAGGAATCAATGGATCGCTGATATTGCCTATCTAGATTGAGCGACGACTCGCCCCGTTCTGGAGAGGTCTTAATGATTTCTCAGATTCGTGGACAGAGCACCAACTTATGGCAGCCGCCAGAGGTCTACCGATACCAGCGCCTGACGAGATACCGCCCGAATTGGAAAACAAGACTGTTCCTAAGACTACCTCGGAGGATGCAAAAGAGCCGTCATCCGACTCGAAAACTACCCAGCATTTGATGGTACCCATCACATCGCGCTCTCAATCCTACAACTCGGACAATTCCCAGACATCATCGAACCCCGCCAATTCCCTTCCTTCCCCCACCTCCCCGATTGCCTCGGGATCTTTTAGTTCGCCGTTGTTCCGGACTCGGGCCAAGACGCTAGCTTCGCTCACGACGTCAACAAAACACAGTTCTCAAACAGACCTTGCGCCAAGGGAATTCCAACTGCCATCCGATCCGTTCGTCAACGGGCAACCGCTCGAGGCATATCTTTACAAGGATGCAGCGGAGTGTCCGATTTGTTTCCTCTACTACCCTCCTTATCTGAACAGGACAAGGTGCTGCGACCAGCCGATATGTTCGGAATGCTTTGTTCAGATCAAACGTCCCGATCCCCACCCCCCGGAGCATGGAGAACCAGACCCGAACGCCCCAAGTTCAGCGCAAGAATCAGAAGGCAACCGTGCAGAATCGGCCGACACTCAGCTAGTATCCGAACCCGCAGCCTGTCCGTTCTGTGTCCAGCCTGAGTTTGGTGTCACCTACGTACCCCCACAGTTCCGCAGAGGACTCAGTTATGCCGCGGAATTGAATGGTTCGCGTCCGCCCATGAACATCGCTTCTCCGATGTCCTCTTCCACCTCGTCGCTCTCGTCGGGCACTCCTGCAGCAGTTACTGGCCGTCGCCGTGCTACGTCATTGTCAGCTGCCGACCCGACAGTGGTTACTACCGACAAGATTCGGCCTGATTGGGCCCAGAAGTTAGCCAATGCTCGGGCACATGCTGCCAGGAGATCTGCCGCAGCAACCGCTCTCCACACCGCTGCCTACCTGGTGAATAATAACGGGAGTGAGTCTCGGAACTTCAGTCTCGGAAGAAGGGGTCTTAGGCGAACAAGTAATGCACCAGAGACTCGTGGTTCTCCGGCACTGCATGCGCTGGCGTTCCTAACAGACCGACGACCACCCGCTCCCCCTACGCAAGATACGGAAACGCAAGAGGAAGGGAATCCGGCACCACCGCGTGGTAGCTCAAGGCGCAGCCGACTGGACGACCTAGAGGAGATGATGATGATGGAGGCGATTCGATTAAGTTTGGCCAGCGAAGAAGACCGGCGCAAAAAGGAGGAAAAGGAGATGAAAAAAGAGGCCAAGCGAAGGGATAAAGACGCCAAGAAGTATGAGAAGAGCATTCGTAAGAGCGGAATCTCGGGCACAGAAGCGGGCAGTAGCACTGGGCTAGGTGCCGCGAGACTGGGGGCAAGCAGCTCATCTTCTGTTATAGAGGAAGAGGATGAAGGATCGTTTACCGAGAAAGGGAAGGAAGTAGATCGCGCAATCCCTCCAGCGTCTGTTCCTACCACAGCTACGGCCATAGCAGCTTCCTCTAGTGCAGCTGTCACACCTGCCACGGTGGCAGAAGGTGCACCGTCTTCTTCTGAAGACACTACGGACCGATTGGCAAATCAGGCTGTGGCCACGGAACCCTCAAAGCCATCACAACTGCGGAACATGGCGAGTGCATCATCCTCGTTCTCTTCGCTCGTCGAATCGACTGCGGACGAGCACACGACGACTGTCGACGGCAATCAACAGACAACTGAACCGATGTTCAATTTCCGGAGTCTGGCTGAGGTTATTGGTGATGAAGACAAGGCAGGAGAACCGACGGAGCATGTCGAACATATGCCGATAAAAGCAGAACAACCGGAGGGATCAGGATCGAATCACACTCCTGCTGCTGCACCCCAGTCGATGACCCAGGAGGTTTTGGACGCTGGGAATACAGCTGGCGTAGAGCAGGCGAGTGTCGCGGTACCAGAGTTACCAAAAGAACTGGAAACTCGGTCGGTTGAGATCACCAACACGACCCCAAATCCCGAAGCGACATAGTTACTTTCATATTTCCCTTCTTTCCTTTCATTTTTCTTTCACTTCCATATCCTCATTCTTGGTGGTAGTTGGCGCATAGGGGTTTACATATTCTGGGCGGAAAAGCGATGATGACGCTCTCTTACTGTTTTCTTTCCTTTCTGTGATTATGGCCTAGGGCAAGAGACACTGAATAGACATTTCCTTTCTTTCTTCTATTGGATCGACGTAAAAGATCCGAGTCTCGGCCGTGCATTTTCAGGAGAATGCTGGCGATACAGGACTATTCAATTCCACGAAGTACCAAATGTTAGTAGTACTGTGTAGTTTGCGCTGTGCGCTATGTTTGTGGTACTTCGTACTCCGTACGGAGTGACCTGTCATACTATCATGAGGGCTGGTTACGGGTGTTTCGGCGCGCGACTGGATGCGACAGGGGATCGGATCACCGCGAAGGATGCACGCAGATTGATTAAATAGTATTAAAGGAGATTAGAGATCGATTGATCGCGATATATTTGTGCATTGTGCATTGTGCATTGTTCATTGAATATTAGTGTTTTTTTCGCAAGTCGATGATGAAGATACAGGTCATCGCAACAGGCTACCATTGCAAAATTTTTTTCCTTCCTTCATAGCCTGAAGTGATCAGTCAAAAACCAGTGAGAAGGATCTGGTGTGATCAAGAAATTAAGATAGTCAATCTATTGGTGAGCGACACTAAAAGACACTAACGCGATGGACTGCGGACCAGCAGGAGGTGATCCTGAGACTGAGATTAACTCTTCTTTTTCAGGTTTTCTTTCCAAGTCTTCTCCAGCTCCCTCCAAATTTCAGCTGCTGTCTTTGTTACTATTCATTGTCTTTCTGTCCAAGTTCACTCCTTTGTTCGCTTTCTTCCTCATCGGCTGCGTCGTCGTTGATTGCTGGTTCCAAGGAACTAATCGTCTGCGAACCCACCACCACGACCCAGACCCCAATAGTCACCACTACTATCAGCACGGTCTCTTCTACCTTCCCTCCTACCACCACCAAAAACATCCGGTCCAGATCATGGCAATTCTGGAAAGCGAAAAGCGTCCCCGAGGTCTCCGAGTCCCCTCATTGTCTTCCATTAAGTCATTTGGAAAAAAGGGTTCCGAAGCGTCTCAGCAACAACAGCAGCAACAGCAACAGCCAAAGATGGATTCTTTACCAGAAGCCCTCCCTCCTCCTCCTCCGGATAAGCAACTGCCTTCCGTGCCTACCTCCGTGTCTCCTCAAGCGGCGCCTGCGCCTGTAGCAGCGCCAACACCCATGCGGCTGCCTGCAGCTTCAGCAACGGATTTGAACTTTTCTCTCGACACCGTGCCCATGTCTGACTTTGGGACTGATCGGTATCCCATGCCGGGTCTGGGTGCCAACCGCAGCACTCCTAATATTAGCAACGTAAATGGCAATGGCATCGGCCACAGCAACGGCAACGGCAACGGCAGTCTTGCAGTTCCACCACCCGTCCAGCGCACCCTGTCAAACGGATCGCAGCGAACAGGAACGAGCGACGGAGAGCCTCTAGAGGAGTACATCCCAGAACCCGAGCCCGAAACCGTCGATCGGATGTACGCAGATATCTCTCCGGGATTGGAGCCGGTGCCTGACGTGGAAAACACGGATATTGATGATTTCTGGACACCCCCGGGTTACGAGCCCGTCGCGGCGCCATTAACAAAATTGCATTTCGCCTGCTATCAGGAACACAAGTCGATGCCTCCCGCGGCGAATGTCTGGCATGCGTTGCCGTGTATGACTTGTCAAAAGTTCGACCGGGAGGTCCGTCATCGGTGTGTGTTTTGTTGTCTTCGGATTTGCGAGGGTTGTTACCAAAATCTGCAGAAGTGTTCGAGGAGATCGTTGGATGAATTGTTGGGTATGGTTCAGAGTTGACCTTTTTTAAACCTTTTCAAATTGCTTTTTATTTCTTTCGCCCCCTTGCTTTTTATCTGCGTCTGATATGCAGCTTTCTTCGGGTTTAGATTATCTGATTTCCCCCTCTTTTTTTTTTTTTTTTTTTTTTTCCTATTTTTCTCACCAATATCGGTTGAATTTACGGCTATTGGGTACGGTGGGCACTGAATGTACATAAGATTGTCTCTTCTTTTGCCATGTTGTCGTGGTGTGTGTATTTATGTTTTGATATGTTTTTTTAATGTCATGCTTGATATCTCGATCTATCAGTATTAATAGTACAGGTGGAGAGTAATATGCGTCAATCGTGATCCTCTTCTGTCAACCCTGGACATCCTTCCATCGTCTCATCCTCATAGCGACATTTACACCAAAAGCAATACCAATGCTTCTCCCGCAGATGCAAAACCAACTTATGCAGCCGTTCCTGCGGTTCGAGCGCGTTGAATTCATCTAGTTCCGGATCCTCCTCATCCACTTCCTGCTCAAGAAGGCTGCTCGCATATCCCTCCCCGCGCGCTTGCGGATCAATTGCCTCGCGGTCTTCGCGCTCGAGAGTTGGATCGTCGTAGCCGGGTAATTCAGGGTTGGGAAAGAAGGATGATGGAAGGGAGGTTTGGAGGGCGTGGCGGAGGTGGACGGAGCGCTCTTTTTCTTCGCGTTCGCGGACGAGGCCGCGGTAAAGGACGTTGATTTGGGACGTTGGTTTGACGTTCTTCTTGGACCTCTTTTCCTTTTCTTGGCTGTCGCCTTTGTTTTTGCCATCGTCGGCGCCATTCTTTTCATCATTATTCCCTTCCTCTGCCTCAGTATCTAACCTCTCTGCAACCTTCTGCGCCGCATGGAGTTGCGCCTCAGCCCGTCTTGTCTCGCGCTCCAATCGCACCCGATCCCGATAATCCCCCTCCTCATGCTTAACTTTCTTAAAAGCCTCCTCCGCCTCTTCTTTAATCTTTCGCTTCTTCTCATTATCCAACCCGATGCCCCCACGATCTTCCTTAAACACCAAATTCAACGGCTCAGTTCGCTTGTCGTCGTGCGCATTCGCGGCAGCATCCTGGCCATGCGGTTTCTCTGATGGCGGTGGTGCCTGTTTTCCCAATGCTTGACCAGGCTTGAAGCCAAGCTTGGCCATCATCTGGAATCCCTTGTTCGATGGGTCGAGGGTGTTGGTCATAAGGGCGGCATCGCGGCGGGCGGCTTCTTCGGCTGCGCGTTCAGCTTTGGAAGGAACTTTAGCGCGTGCTTCGGCCTTTTCATTTAAGGGTAATATAGATTAGTTCTTGCGTGCTTGGTGAGATTGGGATGTTTGGCGGCCGAGGGTGAAAGTACCTCGCGTTGTTGTCGGCGCTTCTTCTGGGTAAAGGTTTCTTTTTGCTTGGGTTCTTCAATAATCATGGACATGTAGTCCTCTTCTTCGTCTTCTAGGGGTGGCATTATCGGTTATGTAGTATTGTATAACCATGGATTGGTGGTGAGAAGAGTGAAAGTGGATTAATTGGATAAATCGGATGAACTCATTGCGGAGATGTTCCGCATAACTAATCTTAACGCTATCTACATGGTTTCTCTTCAACTCAACTCTGTACCACTACTATGCAATGCCAGAACTTTAAATCATACTTTTTAAATATTCCTAAATAATACAATGTCTAACCCAGGTCCTTCAGGGGTACTGCACTGAATAAATGACACAGGAGCTGATGTCAAAGTGATATTGACTAGTCTCGGACTACGCCCCGATCTCACTGCATACGATCTGCAGGATACGAGCATGAGGCAGACTCGAAATTTTCCGAGTTCAGGGTTGCAGAGGGGTCAATGAGCCTAATCAAGGGCGGAGCACGGAGTATATATTAAATATGCTACATTCCTTTGCTGCCATATCGCGTGCCTCATCGAGAGGTTGAAGAACAGTGCCGAATTCGGTTGTCCATGGCCATTATGTTGTTCTCCGGGCGATTTTTCGCTATTTTCTTCGTTTTTTCTGTGGTATCAGCATTGGATACTGTGGTTGACTTGGGTTATGCAAAGTATCGTGGCCAGTCGCCTTCGAATAGCACAGTTGAATGGCTGGGGATTCAATTCGCTGCTCCTCCGGTGGGAGACTTGCGGTTTGCTGCACCTCAAGATCCGGTGAAGAAGGATGGAATTCAATCTGCTAACCAGGTATGTCTCTTTCTACCTTATCTATTTTTGTGAGCTTAGTACTGATAGCTTACAGCACGGCCCTATTTGCATCCCAACTGAATTATACCCGATACCTTCCGGCAGATCGGAAGACTGCCTATACCTTGACGTCTATGCTCCTGCCCAGACAGGAAATTCTAGCAAACTGCCGGTTTTCGTCTGGATCCAGGGTGGTGGTTTCAACAGTCTTGCTGGTCCGAACTATAATGGGACCGGATTGATCAAAGCAGCAGACAATGGCATCGTGGTGGTCACTATCAACTATCGCGTTGGTCCATATGGGTTCTTAGCTGGGGAGGAAATCAAGAAAGGAGGAAGTATCAACAATGGTTTGAAAGACCAAATTAAGGCTCTGGAGTGGGTGCAGAAGCATATCAGCAAGGTATGTCTACCTAACGTACTTGACCTGTGCGAATGCTGACAGTCATAGTTCGGAGGCGATCCACAACACGTTGTCCTAGGCGGTGCCAGTGCAGGAGCTGCATCTATCAATCTGCTCCTCGGGGCATACGGTGGAAGAAACGACGGTTTATTCCACGGTGCTGCCATAGACGCGTCAAGTTTCGCCAGCATGCGCAATGTTGAACAAAGCCAATTCACCTACAACAACCTTGTCACCCGAACCGGGTGCGCCAGCAAAAATGATACTCTAGCATGCCTGCGCAACTTGGACATCGCAGACCTCCAGCGCGAGAATATCAATACTCCTCTTCCTAACGCTCAGAATGCTCCGCTTTACATGTACGGACCGACTGTCGATAACGACCTAATCCCAGATCTTACATACCGTCTCTTCCACCAGGGTCACTTCATCAAAGTGCCAGTGATCTTTGGCGACGTCACAAACGAAGGGACCACATTCGTACCCAAAAACACGTCCGACGTCGGCGACGCGGATACCTTCATCCAAAGCCAATTCCCCCAAGTCAAGCTCGAACACCTCGCCAAAATTAACGAGCTATATCTCCAACCAAACCAAACCCAAGACTTCCCAAACTCCGGCCCTTACTGGCGCCCAGCCAGCAACGCCTACGGTGACATACGCTACACATGCCCGGGGATGGACATGTCCACTGTCTTTGCTAAAGCCGGGGCCCCAAGCTGGTCCTACAAGTACGATGTGCAAGATCCGGACACTGTCAAGTCCGGCGTGGGCGTTCCGCATACAGTTGATATAAATGCTGTTTTTGGTCCTGACTACATATCGGGTGACGCCCCGGCTTCGTACCGGACTTCGAACGCACCGATTGTCCCAGTTGTGCAGGGATATTGGACTAGCTTTATTAGGAGTCTTGATCCGAATAAGCATCGTCACTCGCGGAGTCCTGAGTGGAAGGGCTGGGACAGCGGTAAGGGGCATCAGCGACTGTATATACGGACTGGCCAGACGAAGATGGAGACTGTTTCGACAAGTCAGCGGGAAAAGTGTGATTATTTGGTAAGCATTGGCGAGGCCTTGTGGCAGTGATCTTGCATTCTTTCCTGGGATTGATATATATTTCTTTTGGGCATTCAAATGATTTGACTATTGAATAAACAAGTTCTTTTGAATACACCTTGAACGTATGTATATACAACAGTGAAAATATCCCAATAGGTAATGACAAAACCAAAACTTCCAAAAAAAAAAAAAAAAGCAATTAAGATTTCCCCTGCCGCGCCCTTTTCTCCCTCTCGTACTCGTTGGCCGCTCTCCCCTCTTCGTTCTGCACCTCGGCCACAAGTTTCTTGTACTTCTTCTCGTATTCCGCATCCTTCTCCTTCTTCTCGCGCAGCTGCTCCCTCGCAACAAAGTTTGCATCCTTCCGCAGTTCGCGCAACGCACCCTTCCGCTCGCGCTTGTACTCGGTGCGCAGACGGTTGGCTTCCGCGCGCTCGCGGTCGGGGTCGTAGTGCTTGTCCGGGTTGAAGGATTCCTCGAACTTGGGGATAGCAGTCTTGATGGCTAGCGGCTTGTGGTTGTGGAGGAAGAGCGGGCGGCGGGAGAGATGGGAATTGGAGAGATTGGTGGAGAGTTTGTCGAGGGTGGACTGGAGAGTGTCTCGGATGGAGGGGGCTGAGGAGGTGGTGAATTTGCAGAGGTGGTTGAGGGTGGCTTGTGCTGGTTCGAAGATCTCGGTGTAGGCAGATTGGCCGATCCAAAGGTCGGAGGCGGTGGAGAGGAGAGTTATGAAGGTGGTGAGGAGGGAGAGTTTGAGTTCTTCTTCCTTGCCAGATTCAGGCCCGATAATGTCCCAGAAGCGGAGTTTTCGGGGGGTGGCTTTCTTGGACTTCGATGTGAGGGCCACCGATTGCTCGGGCTTTCTGATAGGGAAGAAGCCAAGGGGTTTCTTGGGCTCCTGGGGGGATAAATTGTAGAGTGCGTTTAGGATGTAGTTGATGAATTCTGGCATGTATCGTTTGGCGATGGTCTGGTACTGCAGGAACAGACTGGCTGCATAGGCACCCGTAGCAAAGTCAGAGAGCGAGTTGATAACTCCCTGTCCCATGTACCGCGCAATACACAGATGTGCCGGCGTCACAATGGCATGGAAGTGATCCGAGGTTGGGAAAATTGCTGCAATGGCCGTCAGGATGACCAGGTCGCTTGGTGAGAGTTTTAGCGGCCGCTCGGTGGCCATTTTGCGGAGACGAGCCCTGAAAGCCATGTTGACATTTTCCGGGTGGCTCTTGGCCAGCGAGTGGATGTGTCGAATGATATTTTCAAGAATAGCGAAAGGTGGATTTTCGGGCTGCTCTGCCATGTACGAAACGTGCTGGGTGAGGACCTCTGCAAACCTGCCAAGTTTTCGCTTGTTGTCGCTGTGAAGACGGGGATGGTGCAGCGCACGAATCCGCTGAACCACCGTTGGGATATCTGTCACCGGTACGTCCTTGATAGTGTGCAAGAAACTCTCGTGGTCCTCGGGACAAGGATACGTGTATGCCAGTTTTTCGTTTGCTTCTGCGCTATCGGCAGGAGCTGAAGCCTGTCCGGACCCGCCCCCAGGAAATGTGAGCCCGTTGATGAGCTCGTCCTCTTCCTCCTCTTCTTCCTCAGACTCTTCCTCAAAGCCCTCAATGTCACTGTCCCCAATCTCCAAACTAGCATCAGATCTGGTCTCAACGAGATCATCATCGAGAATGAAATCGTCTTCGTCTTCAACTCCCAGCTCAGGACGAGTGTGAATCTCATTCGTAGGTTGCTGCAATCCAAAGGCTTTCGCGTCGTCGGGGATTGATTCTTCATCGGAGTCCTCGTCTTCTGACTGCTCTTCTTCCTCATCTTCAGATTCACTTGGTTGCTCACCGCGCATTCTCCGAACTCGATCTTCCTCGAGTTTCTTGAGCCTCTCGGCTTCTTCAGCAATCTTCTCCTCGGCTGTCTTGGTACGATCTGTTGGCTGAGACCGTTTGTCGAATGTCAATTGCTTCAAGCGCTGGTCGTACTCTTTCTCGTAGTTCTGCTGAGAAATGCCCTCTAATACAGCCGCACGTTCAGGATTCATCGACGAGAAATCGTCCTTCGGGGGCTCCGGTTTCGGTGGCGGCTTCACGCTCCTTAGCATGTCGAAGAGATCAGGAAGACCCTTGTCCAATTCTTCACGTAGGTCGGCATCGTCTTCCTTGGCTTGTTGCCGTTCGGCCTTGTGGAACTTTGACTTGGCAATGACTTCTTTCATGACCTCTTGCTTCGATTTCTTTCGCTCTGGTAGATTCTCTCCGTCTTCAGCCCCATCTACCACTACTTCACCTTCGGCAAAGACACGTTTCCTTTTCCGCGGGGTTTCCGAGTCAGATAGACCATCTTCCGATCCCATATCATTGTCTTCAAAGTCGTCTTGCGGTTCGTTGTCGACGTGGGGCTCGCCGTCGAAGGAAAGAGATTGGCCCATATGTGTCAGGGTAAAATCTCCCTCATCCTCATCCTCCAAGTTGAACATAGACTCTTTGCGCGCCTTCTTCTGGCTCTCCCTGGCGAATCGTTCGGCGGCTCTCTCTTCGGGCGTCATCGTCGGGTCGTTTTCACCAAAACGGCGATCCAGAATACCACCGACTTTGTTTTTCCGGTCCATTTCACGCAGAAGGGTTGCGCGACGCTGTAAGATAAAGAATGTCAGATCACCACTACTGCGCCGTCACTTTGGATCAAACTTACTCTTTCCTCGCCTAGCGACTTGGTAACGCCGGGCCTGGCCGTCGTCTTAGACGCATTTGCGCCCCCGTCGCGGCTAGTGTAATCAAATTTGGCATTTTTCGTCGTCGCTTTGACTTCGAAAGGATTGAACCGATCTCTGATAGCTTGCAATGCCGCTTCGCGCTGGTTTCGGTTCTGCGCACTGGCACCACTCTTCACATTCTGTTTCTTTTGCTTCTTCGACTGCTGGGGACCCAGTACCCCATTGTCTCGCAGCGAGGCCTTGAGCTGTTTCAACTGCGAAGGCGGCATGATTGACCTTTGCGATGTAGGCGTTTGAGGCTGGTTTGAATTTTTAGATCGTCGTCAGAGAAAATAAAAATTGTACTCACCGCCTGGACGGATAGTATTCTGCCGGTATAATGCGGGGACTCGCCGCCTTCAGGCATCATGAATTGTTTGTTGCATGCGATCAGTTTATGACCCTATGCAAGAATAAAAATGTCTTTTCAGTCAAGCGACAAGTTATTATGGCTATGCCTTGGTAAATCTGCTCTTTATGGATGCTCAGAACATTTACTGACCGTGATAGGCGTCTCAATATTCTTCGCGGTCCGCGGAATCGCAACAGATCTCCGTCGGGTGCGCGATCTAACAGAAATCAAGCATGTCGAGAAAGAAGATAAGATGATTAGTGAGGGAACAGAAGATGGTCGGGCAGACTGACTCTCGCAAGGTCGTTACATTATCCAGCTAATACGTTCTTAGTCCTCAAATTAGACACACTTCTAAAACTCTCTGAGAGTACAAGCTACGACCTTCGTGCGGCGTATGTCAGTCAGATATAGATGTTTTATGCGCTACATTTGGGCTGACCCTTTCAAGGGCATTGCGAATTATCTCGGAGCGAGCTACGAAAGGTCAAACCCGGGATCTGCTTCTAGATGACCTCGCGAGCGAAGATCATAAGCGGCGCAGTAAAGCGCTCAATGCCATGTGGTTTCTGGTATCCAATCGAGCACGTATGGCCCCCCGCTAATGAACACTCTGACTTAGGTCTAATTTAGCTTGTTCAGTTTCTCGAACTTCCGTGTGTGTCCGACTAAAAGACCTCCCGACGTACACGGCCATTGTCGATTGTCTGTGCAATTTCCTCGAGGAACATACCGAAGAAACCTGTACTACAGTATCCCCCATCCTCCCGAAGACAAGACCACTAGGCGAAAAGAAAGCCCTGGGTATACTCAATGCCATCCTGCAGGAAGATATACCCGCCGCATTGGAAGCCGGAGTACTTAGCCGGTGGCTAACCAAATACCCGTTTCCATGCGCACTGGCCGAACCGTCGCGGCGACAGGATGTGGTGATCCTTATGAAATCTTGGTGGACCGATGATCCAGTCATGAGCTCGATATTCGGCACTCTCTCATCCCACCCAGATGGAACGAAGCAATTACGAAAACATGGTTTAATGGGCAGCATGATGGAAGAGAACGATGACGACGATGTCGACAGCGATGTGTGGATGATCGATGGAGAAGATACAGCCGGGTCGAGTCGATACTCGGGGCGACGGGTGCGTGAAGGAACTGCAGAAGAACAAGCTGTGCGGAGGCGCCGGAGGGAAGCCATGGTTTTGAGTGACGGAGGACATCCACTTGGGAACGAAGACATAATACAGCACCCCCTTCAAAGCAGTTGAGATGACGGATTCGATGCCAGCATTCGCGTGCGCATTTCTTATGATACCCTTTGTTCAAAAGTAAATTATAGTATCTAATGTACAAAAACTTACAACCCCGCCCAAGATGTTTTGGCGATATGATCCACCTTCTTCCGGCTATTCTTAACCACACCGAGCGCCTTCAACTCCGACAGCGCTCTGTAAAACAGTGCCATGATCACTCTTTCGTCGCACTCATCTCCCTGATCACTTTCGAAAACAGCGTAGAACGCACTCCAGAGATCATGGGCGTTCACAATAGCCCCGGATTCGAGGTAGAGTTGATATAAAATGGCCGTCACGGGTTGTTTCGCGGAGAGTCTGTTCTCTGGCGTATCCGACGTGGATATCAAGTAATCGAAGGGACTAGATAATGCCCGTTCGATTGCGAACCGTGGTCTGGGCGCAACAGTGTCTTTCAAGGGATACCTCATGTCAAGGAGGAACACTTCGTACAGGTATAAGTCCTGTGGTCCCACCAAGGTTTCTGCGAAATAGGCCCCCAGTGTGGCATGAAAACGGTCGAGGATCTGCGTGTATTCAACATTCTGTTTGGGTTGTTTGGCTTTGCTCTTTGTCACTTGGACTCGCTGCTGAACGACGGTGACTTTCGCGACGGAGTTCCGGTTGTCATATCCACTCTGCAGAGGCTTTGAATTCGGATATGCTTCTAATAAAGCCTCGAAGTCTCTTTGGATTTCGCGCACTTGAGGGCTATCTGCCAGGTTTTCTGGAACCGTCGCGAGTAGACCTTTGAGACCCTCTGAGTCGAGCGTTTTCATCGTATTTAGAATGTCGTTCACGATCTGCGAGTTATGCAATTCCCCGGAAAGAGCGAGAATTGAAATGTCCGATACTCCGATCTTCTTGCTGAGATTGAGGTGCTTAAGAAAGGTATGAGTTGATTTCACTGCTTCGAAGATATTTCGCATTTGCTTTTGGCCTGTCTCAAGGTATTTCAAGCATTCTTGGAACAGGTATTCGTCATTTTCCAGCAAGTTGCGCACTTGCTTGGAATGGCCGTCTTCGACTAAATCCTCACAAAGCCTGGGGTTTTTGGTTAGGATAGACTGGGTAATTCGAAAAAAAAGGATGCATACGCTCTGAAAGATGGTAAATTTCTAACTGCCTGGCAGAGCTTCCCATGGGGCAATCCAGCAGATGCCGAATCTTTTGAAAACAGAACCGCCAGCGGATTCGCAAAGAAATGGGACATATACGCATACTAGAAGGTGTTAGATCGAAGCGGATAAACCGAAGCAAGCGCTAGGCATACCTTTACTGTTCGACAAAACGCCTCAGGGGTATAGAAGTAATCGCTCGTCCGCTCAAATAAAACACCGGTAATACTACGCCCTAGCCAGAACTCTCCATCCGGATCAGCCTGTAGCCTCTCGTATATACGATCCACACAGTTGCTCGCTTCATGGAGCTCAAAGTATTGGCCCCTAAGTAGCGCAACGCTAGATCTTGGAAGTCTTCCTTCGAAGAGCTCGACGGATGTTGAAATACCAAACAGCAGCGTGAATGGTATCCTATCAAGCCACGAGCTGAAGCTTATTAGTATGCTAATGCCCATGGCGACGTAATGGCAAGGCTCACCTCAGTAGTGACAGTAGATCCGTCAATAGGTTAGGGTCAAAAGCCTCGCTATCTCGAAAAGCAAGAACTAATTTCGTCACTCCTTTCCGTTGTACGTAGTCGCCTAGTAGATCAAGGTCGTATGCAAGTAGTCTTGGCCCCTATGTTCAGAGTTAGTCTCAAGTCGCAGCGCTTCTTTAAAAGAGCAATCCTACTTCACGGTCAGTGAGAAAACTCTGATAGCCATCATTCCCTTCGGTATTTGTGACAGCCGCTCGAATGATGTTTTTCAAGGTCGTCTTAATGTTGGGTGCATCGCCGGATTCCAAAACGACCACGCCTCCCTCTCCACTTGTTATTAATCTCTCGTTGAGTCGCGTCACCAGTCGGCCGAGGGAAGAAACGTTGGACCCGACGGTTACCAATGCAGAGGGTATGCAGCCGTCATAACTAGATTTTTCGTTAGCATCCATTTCAGGTTATCCTTCAATGAGCGCAGGCTTACATCTGAGCCGAGGACTCTTTGACAAAACTTGACACTTCCTCGAGTATTTTGGAGTCGACATCCTCCAATACTTCCTGAACTATGGTCAGACATGCGCCCATAGGCTTTAAATCAGCTTAATTTCCCACGAACCTGAATCTTCGCCTCCTGTTTGGACCACAATCTTTGGTAGGCGTTGTATCTCAAATCAACTGAGGATGCGCTCTCTTCTCCGTTCAAAAGCGGCACGAACGGACGGGCCTGGGCTCCTTGGGATTTCTCCTCTTGTTTCTCCTGACCATCCGATTCGACCTTTCGCCGCTTAGGGGGACGTTCGTTTTGGGGTTTGTTCGGTTTCGCATTCGCAGGTCGGTAAATATAGACACCCTTTGAGCTGTTATCAGCGCGCTGTTTTTCTTTTTTTTCTTTTTTTTTTTTTTTACGCGCTTCATATCAACAACATACCTGAGTATTCAGACCGTCCCGGGACAAGTCCGGTGCCTCAGACTCTAAGAAAGCGGGGTCCATTGTCCAGTAAAGATTGCTTGAGTCGGTTGTTGTTCTGTCGCAGTTCTGGACGCTTTGACGGAATCGGCGCGTTCTTGCGCTAAACCCGAATAGGTCATAATTGGTTTTTCGCCGCGGAGCTCTGCGTTCATACTTGAGCAACTCCACTGACAGTTTTTGCCTCGCTATTCCAAACCCTTTCCACTGCATACCGTCCGATGATATAAATTCGCACTTATGCTCCGCCAAGCCGCCCAAGGAGCTCGGTGGTATCAACATGTGGCCTGCAGAAGCCCGTCGGTTCCGCCTCTTCCTTTGCCACGGACATTCTCTGCCGTGACACGGCGCTCTGTTCACTATGGCGGTCCTGACGACAAGGTTCGCTTCTACGAGCAAGATACGCCTGGGAGCAATACAAAGAGGAAAGTTAACCCTGAGGCAGAAGAGAACGTCGGGCGGGGGGAAGTGGAAGAGAAGCTCTCCAAGGTTCAACAAGAATTGCGGATCCTGGAAGAGGGTCCTTTTGGTCCCAACAGCGAGTTTATGAGGAGCTTGCCCAATAAGGACAGGGCCATTGCTCTCGAAGCGTTACGGAAACATGCGGTGCAGAGAGGCCAACAAGATACCGACGGTGGACTTGACCAAGTCTTTGACGAGGAACTGGATGAAATATTGCGGGAAGAGTTTGAAGGGTTTGCGGAGGAGGAGGAAAACTGGCAAGCGCACAGGGAAGATGGCGAGGACGAAAAGCCAGTGGTCACAAAGCCTTATGAGGTGGTGCTGCCAGACGAGGAGAGTCATTCTTATGTCGATAGATTCAACGAACGTCTGGACCAGTTCACTCACAACAAAGCCAACGAACCGTTGAAACAGGAGCTATGGAAGTGGTACCGTCGATGCAAACAAGTGATTCCGGGATTCTTAGAAGTGGTGTCGGAGGAGGCTAGGTCTTTAGTATGGGATTCTCAGATCTCCAGTCAAATCGCGAAGGATGCGCAAGCAGCGCATTTGCAAACTTTGGCTGAAGATGCAGCGATTACTGGCAGAAACCTGTCTACTCCTCATACTATTTCTTATATCCAGTCGCTTCACGAGGGTGGCAAAACGAACCAGGCCTTGGATCAATGGGAGGCGTACCAGAATGAGCTTAGCCAACGGAAGGAGGATCTGGAAGCATACTGGAAACTCGGGGTACGTCTTTTCGCTGCGGAGGATAACCCTCAAAGAGCCCAAGACATTGCTCTGGCCTTTCTGGCAAATGACCAGACTCGCCAGCCTCGCATTCTTAACCCCGTTATTGTGGCTTGGGGACGACAACCCGAGAAGGAAGCAGGGGTAAAAGCTTGGGCGCTGTATTTGCAGCTTAAGATTTTTCTCGGTCCTGATATGACCATGGAAGATTACGATCATATTAGCATTGGTCTTCTCAAGGCAGGTCGATTTGACCTTGCTATCGCTGTCTTCAAAGATATGATGGTGACGGACGAGCATCCAGCGGATGATTCGACCGCTTTGTATAAATCCGCGGTAGGGTTTGCAGGCAACTTACTTGCATCCAGCATTAGCGAGCGGCAAGTGAACAGAGTCTCACTATCTACATTGACTTTAATACCTCGACGGTTCCAAAACCGCTTTTTCTATGCCAGTTGGATGAAGAAACTAATTGGCATGGGAGAAGTGGATTCCGCGGCATCGGTCATTGAATTGATGTACGAGCGAGGCGTGAAGCCGGATTCAAAACATCTCAACGGTCTCATGGCGGCCTGGCTCCGCGAGGGCAGCCCATTAGCTAAGACAAAGGCTGAGAGTTTAGCATGGGCCATGATCCAACAACGAATTGATCTGGTCTGGGACCGGGAGAAAATCCCCGGGCAGGCACCGCAGTTTTCGTTGAGCCAGGCGGATCCTCGGGTCCGTATACCAAAGTGGATGCAACGAACAGTGCCACCAGGGAACATTGAGACATTCTCGATTCTCCTCCTTTACTACACGCGCAAAGGCGACGGTGATATGACGGATTACCTGATCAAGCGTTTGGCGGATGCACGAATCAAACCAAACTCGTACTTTATGAACCACCTCTTATACGCCGAGCTGCGAAGACAAGACCTCCGCACTCTCTGGCACAAGTTCCGAACCATGTCCGGCACCACCCAACCCGATCTAGAAACCTATGCCTGCCTCTGGGACTGCGGCAAGCTACAATATGACCGCGGCCGCACAGCATTCGAAGCAAATTTCCCAACGGCCCGCCAGCTCTTCTCAGAGATGGTCACATGGTACACCAACCTCTCCCCGCGCGCGAAAGCTGTAACCCAGGACGAATTCTCCAAAGACCTCTACGACCAAATCATCCGCTGCTTCTGCTTCTCCAAAGACGTCCCCGGTACTCTAGTCGCGCTTCACACCCTCCGGGCAACTTTCAGTGTCTACCCCGACGACACAACCGCGCGCCTGATCATTCTCCAAGTCTCCCGTCTAGCCAGCGTACCGACCGATACACCGAAACGACGTCTCCGTCGCTTGTCAAGCACCCCGCGCAGCAGAGAGAATATCAACCAAGTCCAGCGCCTCGTCGACATCCTGAGCCAACGGAAAGCCGCTGCGCTCGAGGAAAAGGGTCTGAGCCTTTCCAACATGGACCCACACGAACGGAATGAGAGTCAGCTGGAGATTATGGCTGATTTGCTGCGGATTGTTATGGGACGTATGGGCGATCCAGGTGAAGTGGAAGGTCGGGTTTTGAGTGTTGCTAGTGAGATGGGTGCTTTGGATGTTGATCTTGGAACGCCGTTGGCGGAGGAGAGTAGGTCTTTTCTGTGATACGACTTCTTGGTTTTATTGTGGTGTTTATTGGCTTGTATAAAAGCGTGTATTGTATATCTCACCTTTTAAAGCATATTTGGCGTTTTGAAGAACGAGGCTTCGTACATAGGGTTTTGTATATTTAGACTCTCAGTTACTGCATTAACCATTTGTTTATACATATTCACAAAATATAAAACCATATTCTTAAAGCATATATTCAATACAACTAAGAAGAAAAGAAGTTCACAACCGATCTATTTCTTCCCCTTCTTCTTCTTCTTCCCACCCCCGAGTGTAGTGTTCCCTGCTTGACCATCAGCCTCCACCAACACCGCATCATCATCACTAGCAACCGACGGTGCAGCCGAAGACTCAGGCGTCTTCACACCAGCCGTCGAGCTAGTCGGGGTAGTCGTGTTGTCGGTGGTCGCGTTGGCACCGGAAGAAGAGGATGGACGAGGAGGCTCAGTCTTGGTAGTGGTAGAGGAACCCTCAGCATCCAATTCCTTCATGAAACCATCCTTGATATTAGCCTTCTTGCGGTCCCACCATTCGCGTTCCTCGGCCAGTTTGGACTGGTGCGTTTCGATGCGTTGGCGGACGATGTTGTTGTTCATCATTTCGTTGGCGGATTGGAAGATTGTTTGGCCCCAGTTCGGTGCGTATGCGTTCGCCTATCCCGAGATTCAGATTAGCATCACACACAACAGTAACCATGGAGCAATGTGACTTGACTTACCTCAGAAACAACATCCCTAACCTCATCCTCCATCTCCTTCTCAGCCCTGATAAACCGCTGCCACAGATCATCACCCACACTACCCCTCTGCAAAAGCATAGCCAGCGCCTGCTTCTGGCTCCGCAGCGCCAACACCCTGTTGATGTCTTCCGTCGCGCGTCTCAGTAGTGCGGCCTTGAGCACTGACTCGGGCACCGCGGCCTTTTTCTCAGTATTGTCTTTGGCGGGCTGATCGAGGTGCAGGAGGGAGAAGTAGATATCGCGCTGGAGGTGAGCAGGGAACCATGGTTCGAGAGAAGAAGCTTTTTCTGTTGGAGTGTTAGTTAGCTATATATATTTTATTGTGCTTTTGGCATTTGGGCGGGATCGAGGGGTGACGTACGGGCCTTGCGCTTGCGGTATAGCGAGGAGAAGGTAGCGAGGGAGCCAATTAGGACACCTAGGTAGGCGAACGGTATGGCCAAACTGACCCAGTCGACCATGGTGAATAATTTCTTTGAGTGTTCCAGTGTTCAGGGTAACGGCGTGTTTTCTCAATAGCGGAAGTCGTGATGTTTGTAAATCTCAGCGGATCATGGCCAACCGTGGGCGGAATGGAAATCTCTGTCCAAGACGGAATACCAACAAGTATGAGCTCAGGAATAAACCAGCGACTCCAGGGAACTAAAGAGGAAAGTTGGCCGGCGCAGAGGTGTTAAGAGGACAACGCGAGGCGGATTCAAGAAAGGCCAGGCTGGTGTCTTAGTCAGCCTCATGCAGGGCGTTTTCATACCCTATTGTAGGCTCTCTGTCTACGAAATTTTTGAAAAAGAGAGGAATGCAAGTAATGCCTCTATGAATATTCACATTTTTAACACACAAAACAAGCTGCAAGTACAAGTTTCGAAGGAGACATCCTCCCGCGATCGCTAGGAAACAAACACATTTGTTTAGTGGAAGATGCACGCCAGAAGATACACAAATGTCGAGGATTAGAAAGCAAAAAGGGAATATCACAATAGCCCACCATCACCTCATTATACTTCCCATGGTCACTTTCAAACAAAAGAATGTATGTATGTATGTCCCCAGTAATGTAGCCCAGCCAGTGCCATGATAAGAAAACAAGCAAAGTCAATGAAGGAAGAAGAATAGAAAGAGTGCCCGGTGTTCATCTATTATGAATTGCATCAAATCAACACCGGCTTATATCTGGAAGCTCGGTGCCTCTCCTAACCGCTCCTTGGTCTCTTGGCTGATATGCCCGATTTCCTGCATGTCCTGCATGTCCTCCAGGACGGCATTGAAGGTCTGGACGATGCCAGCAACTACATGGGTACGGTTCCATTCACCCCGCGTCTGCCACACGTAGTCCATCAGGTTGGTGTTTATCTGCTCCAATTGCTCCACAGAGCACCCACTGGTGCGTTGAGTAAGTTCTTCATGCAACTGGTTGATGTAATCGTGGTCCAGGATCAGCTTGGGAGATTGGTCTTCATCGTTGAGCAAGTCCTGAAGATTGGGAGACGCATGTAATTGCTGTTTGTTGGGAGCATCGAAAAGGGGCACTGGCGGTTGCGCCTGGGCCTGGGCTTTTTGACTGCCACCGTTCGGTAGATGGGCATTGTCCACATTCGCACGTGGAGACGGTTGGCTGCTCGCTTCTTGCTGCGTGTCTGGAAGGTGCTCCTCATACGACGAACGATCGGGGTATTGAGTGAGGTCGGGATAATCCTGTCGACCACCTTGACCTGTCATCGGACTGTGAAACGAGTTGTTCTGTTGGGCAGGCTGGTGCTGGTTCTGTTGATGTCGAGGGCCAGATGACTGCTCGGACTTCTTCTCATCCGATGTCTGCGTGGTTGAAGCTTCATTGGTGTAATCAAGTGGCTGCGATCCAGGTGCCATAGGAGTCATGGTCCCCCTCTGCGACAAATTCAACAGGCCGGATTCGCGTCTCACTTGCTGGGAAGGCGCGGTATGTGAATGTGGAGGCTTAGTCTGTGCAGACGGGCCGAACGAGCTGTCCTGTGTATCCCTTCCGCCGGACTGGTCCTCCGAGTTGGTCATGTAGGTGTCTCCATCACCGTCCCCGTCACCATGCGAACCGTTGCTCATCACAGCCTGCGTGCTGAGATCATTGAGATCCGAACCTCCGCCATAGCCATTGGACGTAAAGCTTACAGCGAGACGATTCCGCGAAGGCGTCACTGGCGTATCCGGCTGCCCAGGTGGTAACTTCAAGCCACCTTCACCATCGGTAAATGACTCACCCAGATTGACAGGACCACTAGTCACAGTCGACTCGGTATTACCATGCGGCACCTTGTTCGCCTGCGCAAAGGCTTCCTCTTCCTCCTCAACCCTCCTAACTCGTTCCATTGCGATCTTCTCCCGCTCCAATTCCCGCAGATAAACCTGCTCACATTCGGTCACGAGAGCTGGTTCTGCCTGCTCGATAGTGCCGACATCAACTTCAACATTGGACTGGAGTTCATTAGCCCTCAGTATCCGCTCCTGATCACCGACTTGTTTGGCGTCCTTGGCAATCCGTTTGATATCTGCAAGGAAGTCCTTAGGCCGCTTATAAAACCCGTTGGAGAGTCGCTTCTCAATGGTCACAATCTCCATGTTGTAAAAGAACTTTCCAGAGACCGTCTCCCGGAGACCAAGAACCCCATGCTTGTCTTGAGCCTTCTCGAACGGCCGGAAAGTAGTCCGCTGCTCGATAGGCAAATCGCTGGTGAGGATATTCGGATTGTCTTCCTCCCACAAATACCGAATCTGAGACTCATCGATCACACCGGTCCTGAACCTCTTGTACTTCTTGATCTGATCCATGATCGGCTGGATGCGGATTTTCAAGAAATTGAGCGTCTGGTGGTCCTTCTTCTTCTGCGCTTTTAGTTGTTCCTTCGTGGGCGGCGTAACGGGCTTAGGAGGTGGCGGCGGCGCGACTTCCAGTCTCTCGAGTTTCCTTATCTTACGATTCTCAGGATCGGGGAATTCGGACGGCGAAACCTTGAGGTAATCAACCAGCTGCGCGAAGAACTCATGCCGTGCGGCGTGATTGGGGGCCTGCAGTTCAAAAAAGTTCTTTTTTGAGAATCCAAACAAATTCTTCACGATTGAAGGAGGTTCTTTCTCATCCTCTTCTCCTATCGATTCGAGAACTCCAAACACTAAGACAGGATCACTAGGCGGGAGCGAACGCAAGAGTCCCAAGAATGTAGAAATGACAGCCTTTCCCACGGTCTCATCATGCCAAGCTGAGATACTAGGGACGTATATCACACTCGGCTTATGTCTCTTGACTTCTTGGAAGAGTTGCACAACAGCAGCTTCCGCGGATCGAGTAGAGTCACTGAGCAGGGTCGGTAGGTCAAACGGCTGGACGTGAAGTCCCTCAAAGTGGTGCAAGATAGCAGACGCCAGGTACTGTTGGCCCATCCCTTGGTGCCCACGGAGGAGCATCCGAGGTCTGAAAACCCGTGACCGGTCGAATTCCTGCTGCATGTGCTCACGACGGAAGCTCCCTGAGGTCTCCGGATCCTCAAACTGAGCCTCCTCCAAAGCAGTGAGCCTCTTCCGCGGGGGCAAGATTTCGGATAGCTGCTTCTGGATATCTGCCAAGGACCGCCGTAATAAGGGCTCCACAGTCTTGGGCAGCGGAGAAGCACCGGAAGTTGTTGACCGTTCGGATGAGGGGACCATCTGTTTGGTTGCCAACATGAAATCCTTTGGACTGACGCTGATCGATTTCGGGTCTATGACGAGTTTCTCATCCGATTTGTAGATTTGGGGGTATCGTCTTTGGACTGCGTTCAAGGCTGCTTCTGTACAAAGGGCGCGCAGGTCCGCACCTCCATAGCCCTTGGTGATTTCGGCCAGTTCGTCCTTGATATCATCCGGCAACGGCGGATCCCAGCCCTTAGTATGAATGTTGAGAATCGCTCGTCGACCTTCCTTGTTGGGTAAGGGAAAGTAGAATTCACGGTCGAAACGGCCAGGACGGCGGAGGGCTGGGTCAACAGAGTCCGGTCGATTTGTAGCACCAATGACGATGACTTGGCCACGACCATCCATACCATCCATTAACGCCAACAGGGTCGAAACGATGGACGCGTGAATCTGTTCCTGCTTGCTTGATCGCACGGGAGCCAGACCTACTTGATCGTTAGTATTCCTCCTAGCAATATCATCAAACGGAGAAGTAGCAATATACCATCGATTTCATCAAAGAAGATAATACTGGGCTGAGTCTTGCGCGCTTCCTCAAACAGCAACCGCAGCTGCCTTTCAGCTTCACCCACCCATTTACTGAGTGCATCCGCTCCCTTCCTCATGTAGAATGTTACCTTGCGACCTTCAGAACTGACACTGTTCGCCAAAGCCCGAGCCAGTAGCGTTTTACCCGTACCAGGAGGTCCATGGAAGAGTACACCCCGTGGAGGAACAATGTGAAAACGCTGGAAGATCTCAGGGTACAGTAGTGGCAGCGAAACCATTTCCTTCAACTGGTCGATATGCCCCTGTAGACCACCGACACTATCGAAGTTGACCTTCAAGTCGACGCCCAGCGGGTCCGCATCCGCCAACGTTTGTCTATCTTTGACCTTGCCGAGGTTCCCGGGTGTCCCTGAAGGGCCTTGCACCGGATCAGCACCATGAGCCTGCGCGGGGGCACCTGCCGCACCAGGTTTGATAGGTTGAATGGCCTCGTCATCACTGCTATCACTGTCCACCCCCCCTGTGGCTACGGGCGCATCGGGGCCAGCCAAGATCGCAGATGGCCCGGCGCCTCCAAAGGGGCCATATGTTGGGAAAAGCGTTCGTTGCCAGGTACCGCCGCCGCCGCCTCCTCCACCTCCCCGGCCGCGCCGCGAGGGAGATTCGTTGACTTCGTTCTCCTCTTCGATAGGCAGGAAGATATCAGGACGGATGATTCTGTAGTCGACATTCTTGCGATTGCGACGGGGTTTCTCGTAGATAATCTCTGGCTGCATTCTCCGACGGGAGCGACCTCCTCTGAGGTCGTGTAATTCCTCAGCAAGTTCGTCGGCAATGTCTGCTGCTGCCTCCGACTGCCCACGGGAGCGTGATGCCCTCTTTCGTAGACCCGGCCGTCGGCTTGTATAGTCTCCGTCGTCGTCATCATGGCCCTTTTGGGGCGAGGCTTGAGATCTTCCCTCCGACTGCAGTTCCTCCTCGTCGTCATTCGAGTCCTCTTCTGGTTCGAAATCGCTCTCTTCATCTTGGCCCTTGCGCTGGGAACTGCGGGGGGGCTTCTTGCGGCTGGAGCGACGAGGGTGTGACGCCTCTCCTAATCGGGGATCCTCTTGAGTTGGTTGTCTATTTCCCCTAGTCCTTCTCCGGGTAGTCGGACCTTCATCGTCATCGTCCTCGTCGTCTTGTTGGTGTTTCTCATCGCCATTCTCGGATTCGGGGACGAAACCTTCTTCCTCACCTTCGGGTTCCGTTTTTGCGGGCTCCACCGCGGCAGGTGCGGACTCTTCAAAACTACCATGGGCGCTTTCTTGGATTTCGAGCTGAGAGCCCTTGATCTCAGTCGTCGTCTCGTCAACCACATATTCCTCGGTCTTGTCATTGTTATGGTTGTCCACTGTAGTATTTTCCTCTTCCTCCTCCACGATGACTTGCTTTAAGCCTCGAGTCTCTCTGGATGGACGACGACGATGCGCTAGTGGTGCCTCGGCCTCAGGGCTGCGGGTCGCCCGCTGCACGGTCTCCATATGGCGCCCGGAATTTGTAAGGGCATATATTTCTTCAGATTCAGCGCGCATTCGCCGGGTGATCCTGCGATTGCCCTGATTCTGCTGTTGTAGAATCTCGTTCTGTCGCTGAAGAGTAGTAGGGTTGATTTTTAGTTTAACCACCGCGCTCTGCTTTTTCATGGGAGGAATTGGTTCAACTTCTTCTTCTACTACTTCTTCTTCCTCCCCATGAGCATCAACATCATTGTCTTGTTCCTCCTCATCGTCGGAGCTAGTTGGGCCTTCTTCGTACGCCGGTCTCTTCGTTGCTGCCCTCCGGGCGACAAGACCCCTCGCATTCCGCTGAGCCATACTATCATCTTCTAGCTCTGACTCGTTGAAAGAAAGTTCTTCAGCATCGCTTAAGATCTCGTCATCGGATAAGATATCGTCTTCCGAGTCACGGCGCTTCTTTCTCGCGGTCTTGGGCTTTTTCGGTTTCGATCTCGAAGCAGCTGCTCGTGAGGAACGTACGGGGTGGTCACTGTAGTCGCCATCATCGGAGTCGGACTTGTTGGCCAAAGCCATTTCGTCGAGGGAGCGCTTTCTGCGAGGCATGTCGCGAAGTGGGCTGGAGAGGAAGAACTCCATGTTAGCAGGTTTGCCAGATACCAAGTAGCACTCAGAAAAGTAAAATATACCCGTATAGCAGCTAGTGCGCCCACGAGAGGGGGAAAAATGAAGAGGAGGGGACTGTCTCTAAAATGACAACAAAGAGGATTTAAAGAAGGGCGACTCACCACTTAGCAATTCACCAACGGGCGCAAGGCAATTGTATGCAAGGAACAAAGAAAGCAGCAAGCAAGCACCTCCCAATTGACTAGGGAACAATAATCGAAAGAGCTTGTTTCATAAAGCGAACGGAGCCGGATTGTTACTTCAAATTCAAAACATCTACGTCCAGCATCAAATATGGGGCCTCACGGTGTGGCCGTCGAGTAGACACACTCTAGAAAAAGTTATATCGGATGAGTATATCGGTTGCAATGCGCCAACGTCTGTCTGTTCGGGTGCCAGAGGGAGTGAATAGTAACGGGGACAGACCACCACCAGAAATGGGGACGCGTCTCAACCTACGGGGAATTAGTAAAAATCCAAGCAAAACAAGCAGCAGAAAACAATAGCACCAACGACAATCAAGAAACACAATCAACTTACCGAATAAATCAAATGCGATCGCAGACAAAACAGCGACAAGAGCAGCTCAACGTTGACTGACTGGACTCACAGGCACTCTCGCTGTGAAGGGCGGAAAGACTCGCGCCGATTCACCAGCCACAATCGATCCTCCCCGCGCCACGACTAAACCACAATGGGCTAGTGCGGCTGCGGAAGCACGTGCCTTCATCAACTCGGAGAGTCAATTGTGTTAATCTGTCCCCTGGCCTCAGTCTCCTCGATTTTCGATAAATGGGTAGAAAAAAAAGAAAAACAGAGAGAAATATGCAAGTATCCATCCCGAGCAAATCCAATAATATCTCAACCAAAAAAAAACCGGCACGACACCCGCAAAACCGACGAGGGGTCGAAGCGAACACAACAACAAATGTCAGAAAATGAAGTGGAAAAATGTCAGGATCCAGGAACCATAAAAAAATTCCAGGGCGCGGATCTTGAATCGACCCGAGTGGAGTCCAGACTTGATGTGCGGCTCGATCCGTGCAGACCCTAAAAGCATAGTCTTGTTACCTGACCAGCTCCAGGAAAGGCATCTTAATCAAAAACTTGCATTGTTGAGAAGGAATTGGAGGTGTTTACGACTGTCATAGCTGCAGGGGAGCCCTTAAATGCCCTCCGCGCATATTCCCCATTCGGCTCCGGGGTTTGTACTCTGACGTAGCAGACTACATTACTCCGGACACTGGGAAAGCGGTGAGGGGTAAGAGAGCATGTTTATCGAGACCAGATTATCGTTGCATTGTAGTCATTGTACAGACATTCCAGAGTAATTTCAATTGTATGCTCGTCTAACCATTCCGGTATAAAATCAAGCAATGTATACATAGTACACTATTCTATCGTGCCATTGCCGTGAAACATGTCCTTCAATAGCATAGAACTGTTCAATACCCCGACCATAACCAGTCGACGATCTATGCTACACTTCAGAGTAGGGATGGCCAGCACCACGTGACTCTGACTCATTCCTTACTAACACACATGCCCGCCAACCAAACCAACCTCATCGGTTCTCTATAACATAAACCTGGGAGCAAAAAGCAGTGTCTAGTCTAATTGTTCCATCATGTTCACACGGATACCAAGTACGGCACAATACATCCGTCCATCCCGGGTACCCCGGCAATTATCCGCCAGAAGAACATTATCCACTACTCTTCCTCGGAATAATGCACCAACACCACAATCACCACCAAAAGAGCCCAGTTCGTATAGGGATGGGGTAAGTTCTCTTTGTTCACCTTTACGGTGTATTTTGAGCTCACAGTACTGGAGATGTCGCGGTATAAAACCTTCGTGAGCCCGTTCGCCAAGGTGTTTTTGGGGGCCATCTTCACGTACCAGGTGATTTACTGGACATGGTTGAAACTGGAGACGGATGAGATCAAAGTTGAAAAGAATAGTGCGTTTTTCCCCCCTTTACCATGGGTATTGACAGTGACTAATGGTTGACAGAAGAGGTTGCAGCGTTGGAGAAGAAGGCTAGAGATTTGACGAGCACGGCGAAATGATTGCGTTATTTATGTTTTTTTGTTATATTATACTTGAATTTAACCATCGAATTCATAAGTCGTGGGTCTAACAGTTGACTCACACTGTACACTGTGGGTAAGAGTATATATATGTATATAGCAAACAAATCCTGAACCGTAGTGCAAGAAAATCCAAAGCAGAAGCAGTATTAACCAAACAGTTCCGGAATAAAATCCAAACCAAAATCATACTCCGTGGAACCACAATCTGAGTCCTCACCGGAGTTTACTCTCCTTGACTTCCGGGGTACAGTACCAGGGCTGACTCTCCGTCTCTTCTTCAACCCAATGTCATTCTGTTGTACAGAGATGGCGTTCCCCGAACCGTCGTAACTCATCCGGTCCCACAGGCAAGTGCTGCGAGAGCTGTCGTTATCGTCATCATCTTCATCATAATCCTCGTCACTCGTTGCCCGCGTGTCGTATTCGACTTCGTTGTGTTGTTTCTTTGTCAAATGTCCTGATAATGGTAGCCAGTCACCAATGCGCTGACCCTTCTTAATGTGCTGAGAATCGATATGGTTGAATCGCTCATTCCTCGCCGCAAGACCACGGCTTCGGAGAGGTATGATATCCCGACAAAACCCACACCAATATTGTTCTTGTCCGTTTGGGTCAAGATAGCTATTTTTCATGGCCATTTGCACGACGTCTTCGTCGACACAGTGTTGCTCCTGTAGGTGCTGCACGTATACTTCCTGTTGGTCGAATAAGCGGGCACATGTCATACGGCTTTTGTCTGGGTCGGACATAGTACAGCGCCAGCCTTGGAAATGAAAGTGCTGTGAGCTCTCGTGCCGCTTCCAATCGGCCTTGCTGCCAAAGGTCTTGTTACACCCATCGAACGTGCATCCGTACGGCCGCTCATGGCGTTTTTGATGTTTCCTGGTTGTTGTTAGCATTTTCATCCGTTCAAAAATGAGAAGATGTCACTTACTTCATTTCACAGCGCAGCCTCGTGCGCTTCGGGCAATTATCGCACGTGAACCAGCCCTCCTTACCAAGCTCTCGTTGCGAACCCGAAGCAGCGGATTGGTCGGATGACAACTGATCCAATGCAGCAGCGAAGATCTTTTGAAGTAGCTCTTTCTTCCGGCCACATAATTCCGAATTCGGATTTATCACGTCAACTCCTTCATCCATTCGCTGTTGTTGCCTGTGTTGATTGCGGTCCATTAGCTTCGACATGGCGTTGATTACGCTCCCCGCAGCTTCGGTGATACTGGCTTCCACATTCATATCCCTAGCAGTCTCGATAGAACGGATGCTGTCTGTCCTCATTCGTGGAGGTGGCTGATCATTGTATTTGAATGGCGGTGACTGAGTCGTTGCTTGGTCATGAATAGGGGACTGCATCGGAGGAGCAACAGGACTACTCTGAAGACTCGCTGACCGACTACTGGATTCACTGACTACCTTTTTCGAACTCTCGCTTTCCAGCGACCATTGAAAGTCCGAGCTGGTAACCGTTTGGCTTGGGATGACGGCAATGCAACCATCTTGTTGCCCGAAAAAGCCCATATCATTGCGTGTCAGGCCATCGGGCATTGTATCTTGCGTTTTGACATATCCTTGGTACCATTCTTCGGATCTAGACCCATGTCTTAGTCCTCCTACCGTGCTTACCGTGAGGGATGGCAGGACTCACTTCTTCAACAACTCCGCAGCATCCTCACCACCGTGCATCCGCGTCAGATGCTGTTTGAAATTATCCAAGCGTGGCCACATTTTGCCTTTGCGCGTGCAATTTTTTCCAAAACACATGTGTAAAACTTTGGGACCGCGCGTGGGCTCTTGCTTGTGGACGCATTTCTGATGTCGGGCCAAATCATTGATGGTGCCGAAGCCCTCTCTGCGGGCACAATTTGGCTCATCGCATTTGAACAATTTCTTGTGTCTTGCTTCGTGTTTCCTGTATAGAATATGGATTAGTCTGAAGCGTCCATTTCTTTGCATGGTAATGATGTGCGTACCTTTTGTCAGACGGACATCGTCCTCTCCATGTGCAACTATGATGATCGCATTTGATGTCTTCTGTGGGGGACTGCACAGAGCCTTCCTGGCTACCCTGGTCTGGACTGGAGCATGCAGGTCCTGGTCCTTGGGGTGATGCGAAATGCGAACTGCATGCTGTATTCACCGCGTCGGACGAGGCTGTTGAGGCCGAGCGCGTCCCATATCCCGAGTCGGATGGATTGTATAGGCTAGCACTTTCAGACAGCACGCTCTGCGGGTGTAAATAGGTTGGACGTAGGTCGGTGGGCACCGGTGGCAGGTTCAATAGTGGTTGGGGACATGTCACCAGCAACGGGTTCCAAGCGTCCGAGTATCGTCCCGGTTTAGGGTGCTGCGAAACATCGGGAGTCGCGATACTGGGAAAAGATAGTGGTTGGGGATGCGATAGTAAGCTCTGAGGAAGAGACGTATGTGTGTGAGCGATGATAGCGGGATCTGAACCAAGATGCAGGCCAAGTAAGGCTGTCGGGTCCCCTGGAGTAAAACCAATAGGATCATCGTGCGAAGAACCTGCTGGCATGATTCCCTGGAGATCATGACCAGAGGAGCCCCAAGAGCGAGCTGATGTCTGTTGGGTCATGTTTAGTACGCTTACCGCAACTTTCGGAGGACTTGTTAGGAATATATTCCACATACATCCATAGCGAAAGATATACCGCTCGGGGTATCGGACACCGATTTATATCAAAGACCGACGATAAAAACGCGATTATAAACAAGTCACCAAATGTAAATGCCCGAGGGAATTCCAAAAAGCGCTGAACAAGGCAATGAGCAGATAACAAAGTATGTGGATATATATATATATATAGCGCCGAAGACAAAGGACGGGGAAGAAGGGAAAATGACAGTCCCTCTGATCGACGGATTATCGCCTTTTTTTTTTTTTTGGATTGGCAAGGAAGGATGGAGATAACGTGTGACTGACAATTTATCAATCAGAAGAGAGAAAATAAAAAGACGAGGAATGTGTCGTTGCACGTCAAGCAAAGGAATCTTAAATGCCAGAAGTCGCTGTCACTCTGATAGTAATAGTGTAGATGTATGTCCGGGTGTGTATGTATGCTGATGCGTCAATTGACCTGAGACAGAAGGGAGGAAGCAGGCGTCGTCATTCCATAATGAACTATTAATGCACTCCGTGTCTACATCAAGTCAGGATGAAAGGGAGGTCGAAATAATAATGATAGACGATGCAGGAGTTGTATTATTGTGAGGTGGAATGAGAAAAGAGGGAAAGAAGCAACGAGGAAGAGGAACGTAAGGATCATCACGGGATCAGGAGCATAAGATGATGAATCAGGCTGATCCAATTATGCAATGCAGGCGCACCAACACAGCCTTCTTTGTCAGGCCTCTAATAACTGCTCTTTTTTGGTAAAGGGTATGTAGGACCAACTATAAAAAAAAAAAAAAAAAAAAATTACTCGCTGTTGCATACCAATCATCTGCTAATGAACTGTGCAGAAATTTCCAAAAGGGTATCATTATCGTGTACATCAACAAAAAATAGTGTCCAAGAGTGTGTATAGAATGGAAGTGCGGATGTTGTCCGTGCCCATGCATATCTGTCATTCCCCAAATGATCCTGATTACGAAATGCCGTTTCAACTAAGAACCCCTTTCGCCTTACATATACTGGTTCTGCATATGATGCGCCATCCCAGAGTCATATGACAAAGACGTGGCTGTCAGGTCCGGTTTGAAGTAGTCCTCCTCTGTTGTCGGGGACAGAAACATTGACCCCTGTCCGTCGTAACCCGTATCCAATGGTCCGGGAGAGAGCACAACCGGACTAGGGCTATAGAAGCTGCTCATGTCCGGATTGCTGTTGACATCATGGTTACTGGGCGTATGCGGCCGTGACATGGAATTGAATGGGGGTGGATATGAGACTGAGTTTTGATGAAGGGGAGGGTGATGCCCCGCCTCCGGATGTAGAAGTTGCGGTGATGCCAACTCTTCGAATATATTCATGGATTCAGGCTCTGCGGAGAGAAATCCGTTCTGTGTCGTGGTCAATTGCGGAGGGGGATATGTCAAGTTGAAAGCTGCCGTCGAGTTATCTTGATCAGATGCCGCAGGCACATCTGACTTCTGTCTGGAAACTGCCGCAGGACTGGAGTTGGTGTGCGTAGGCCCCACTTCTCGTTCCTGCACAAGTCCCAGGATCGGTAGAGCAATCTGCTCCATATGTTTGGCCAGATGAACTGTGAGCTTCTTCCAGCTGCTGCATACGTTTCCACAGAACCGACAGGGCTCGTCACGTGGGTTTTTGGTCGTCTCGTGCCGGCAATTCTCCACCAATTCCCAGAGTCGTGCGATCTCCCGGTCGTGCTGGTTCTCTCCCTTGTTTTTGCTGCTGCCCTTCTTCGCTTTCGGCTCAGGCATCTTGTGCTCGCGGACAAGATGCTGGACAAAGTTGTCCTTCCGGTAACACGTATGACTGCAGTCGGGCATCGTACAGGTCCACCACTCCAGTTGCCGGTGTCGCTCACTCTCGTGTCGGACCCAGTCCGCTTTGCGCTTGAAGGATTTAGGCTCGTTGCAGCGCTGGAACGTGCAAGTAAACGGTTGCACATCTTCGTGGACGTGCTTGGACCAGTCTGACGGCTTTTGGAAGCCCTTCACCTTGAAGCAGAAAGGGCACTCAAATTCGGCAGGGAGGCGCTGCACCGGCGGCAGGGGAACACCAGGAGGAAATTGAGCCGCAGTAACAGCACCTTCGCCCAGATCCTGTGGATCTTTATCAATGGCATCGGGGCCAGGGATCTGAAATTGTGTTTGTGCATTCGCATCTTGGGCAGTGCTCGTCCGCGGAGGCAGGATTCTCGCCTCACCACCTTGCCCAAAACAGTGTTTCCCAGCCCCACACGAGTGAGAAGCGACGGCACGAGAATGGCTGGCTTTCTGGTCGACGAGCTTCTTGTACCGACGAACCTGTTCGATTGCCAGGCGGTCAACCAGTGAAGACGCTAGCCGAGGGTTCAATTGGGTGATTTGCGTTTTAAACCCAGCATGTGTCGGAACAGGGAGGTGCGATTGAACTGGAAACTCCATCACCATTCCCTCTTCCTCCTCATCCTCCTCGTCTTCTCTACCGGCATTGTTCCCATTCAGCCCCTTATCGATCGACTGCTGCGGCCTCTCTGGGAAGAATCCAGGGCTGGGAACCGGGGAGGGAGCATCAAAGCTAACCATCAGATCTGGTGGCGGTGGCGGGACTTCACTCTTGCTTCTTCCACGGGACCAGCCAGCAGGAGGACCGGGCGAAAGTTTGTTCCCACCACCAATTGCAGCCATCGAACCGGCAATCGCAGCCATCGCGCCACCAGTGTTTATACTGGTTGACCTGGGGGAGCGACCAATACTAAGCTTCCGGCGGTTTGACGACACGCTGGATTTCCTTTGCACGCCAGCTTGACTCTGGCTACCGTTGCTGTCCAAGGCCGGCGTATCGAGGACACGTTCCATCGACCGCTGCCGTTTTAGGGGGGAAGTGGCTCTGGGAAGAAGGCTTAGAAGACTGCTTCGTCGTTCTTTGCCCCTGTCCTGTTCGCCAATTGTCAACTTTCCCATGGAGTCACCACCAACAATGCTGCTGACTTCAGCTTCGTTGACGTGTCGAGTGCCGTGTCGAGTGCCCCAAGTAGCCATCCGCGAGGCCGTGTCCATTTCTCTGACCTTCTGCTGGAACTCCAGCATGGCAGCAGTCGAGTTATTGGCCTGGAGGTCATCCTGCCACTGGCGAGCGCGAATGAACTGGCTAGGCAGGGGATCCTCATATTCCAAACTGGGCTCGTTAGCAGAAATATCGTGGTCCATTTCATCCTCCGTCGTCAGCAGAATACTGGCAACGGGCGATCCCGACCTGCTTGTTGAGTCGGGTTCACTGGATCCTACATCGCTCTTTTCCTGGATCAGAACGCCTGGACCGGGGATCGCGAGGCTATTGTACTGAGACCTGTAGTTGAGATAGTCTTGTTGCAGGGACGCATCTCCCGTGCTCTTTGCACGACGACGGTGCGCCGGCCGGGCGGGCCGGCCTCGAACGCTAAGAAAGTTATCATCTCCCACCTCACTTGTGGCTGCACTGACTGTAGCTGTCCAGCTATGGATGTCGGCGGTCTTTTCGAATAGATCGCGATGGGCTTCCATATCGTTGGGGCTGGGTACCCAGATATCTTCTCTCAAAGTTGGGTCCACACCGCCAAGCCCTGTGGTCGTGTTCCGGATCCACGAACCATCAGACGCACGGGAAATGGATGAGTGATCATCCTCCATGTCTTGATCGTCATCCATGCCGCCCGGGGAGAGATAGGCGGATGACGGACGTCGACTGTAGATGGCAGCACTGGGCAGATCGCCCTGGGACGTATCTTCCACCATCACAATGGGACTTGGGGCTCTGGTAGATTCCGGATCCGCATGAACACTCAGATTATCGTTGAGTGAAGTAGTAATCAGCGATGGTAGCAGTGTGCCGTTCTTCTGGGAGCCCTCGGGCGACAGGAGCGCATCATTGCCAGAAGGGAAATATGAGTGATTGCCCAAGTCCGAGGTTGGACTCGTGTGATCGGTCAAAACGGGGCTGAGAAGCTGGGAAGACGCCATCATTGGCTGGGGAGAAGATAAGTCCATAGATCCCAAATCATGCTGTTGTGTCTCAAGCAATGTAGACAGGTTTTGTTGCCAATCATTTGTGAAATCCGTGGGGTTTAGATTCAGGTTCAGGTTCAAGCCCGTCATGCCGTAATCCACATTGGGGGAGGATAAGCTAGGATTGCTCAAGAGTTCCTCGCCCGGACTGAAAACGGAGGTACTGCTGTTGTCTGGATGGAACGAGTCTTCGTCGAAACATGATGTATCGATGCTGGGCGCAGGAATGCCATTCGTATGGAAGTTTGAGGAGGGAATCGGAGATGAAGCTGCAGGAATGTCGTCAGGCGCTGGAGTCAAGCGGATTGCCGACGACCGAAAAGCAGCTTCATCTGGGTCGAGAGGGGCGGAGAGGTAAGGATCTGAGTAGCTGGGGTCTTTGAGGCTGGTCTCGATGGAGTGATGATTTGGTGACAGTTGAGGCGACATGGTGGTGTTGTTTTCTGTGGATGGGTTTGCTCCTCAAAGAAAGAGTGTCTCTTTGTCCTTGGAGTTGGAAGATCGGATAATTGAAGATAACGAAAAGAGAATGCACCTGTTTAAGAATCCATTGACGAGATGATCATAGTATAAGAAAGCGTGCGTAAGAAGGCAAACGTAGCGAGCGAAGTAGAGTAATCCAAAGTACCAAAAGATCGCTTATTCTCCGAAGTACTCGATGGTAAGACGGAGTGAGATGACTTGCAGATAAGATGGTTGACAATAGAACGGTGGGCAATGTGGGAGTACAGTATGTACCCAACCTGAACGCAGAGGCACAACCGAGAAGAAAGAAAAGAGAAAGGCGTTTTACTGAAGAATGCGACAGAGAAAACGGGGGAGCCGGGACCCTTTTTGTATATTACAGTCCGACGGAGGATAGACGGACAAGCGATCAAATCAAATGGGGCCGGGGAGCAAGACGCGAGCACCCGAGGAAATTAGTTCAGGGACTAAACAGGTAGTGATAAGGACGATGAGGGGGAATGAAGAGTTGATGGGGGAAAGAAAAATAGAATGTCGAAGCTGTGTGATGGTAGAATGTTATATGCTGAGCCACGGACAAATGATGTCGGACTGAAGGGAGAGAGAGAGAGAGAGAGAGAGAGGACTGCTGCTGCCCTGGGCTTTGTACTTGGGGAGGAAGCGCTCCATGACAGACAGGCGGCGGCGCTCAGCAAACAAGCAAAAAGAGCCTCATTCCGACGACGGACAGACCACCAACAGACACAAGTGGAGAAGAGGAGCGAGAAGCGAGTCGGACACCGGCCTAGGGAGGATTAATATGGAATGGATCATCGACTGGCGCAGTCCACGAAAGGAATTGATTTGACGGTGGAAATAGGTGCCCTGTGCTCCTCATCACAGTTAGCGTGCTTCATGATTGGAGCAGGACGAGCGTGACGGATGTGAAGTGCTATATAAAGCAGGTGATCTTGCAGGGAACCGAGTTAGGAGACCCTGAAGGATTTTATTATTCAGGGGAGACTGTATTGTTAGTTGCAGAGTATCCTGAAGAGATGAGGATGAAGAAGAGGAATTGCCGCGTGTGGTCATTGTTTCCCGTCCCGGCCTAGTCTGTCCTGCAAAACTCCGGAATATCTCCAGGTGTCGTTGTGAGTAGCAGTGCGTAGTAGTATGTACTCCGTACTATTCTCACTCTGCTCTGGCATGCGATTTGCAAACCATTCCTCATGGGAGTCCATTTCCGCTCTCGTAACTTCGTATAATACGCGGAAAACTCCGTTTGATCAACAAAATATCACTGGAACTGGAAATCGATCTGATACCGGATGGGGAATGCATTTTCCGAGAATGATTACAGGACGACAGATCTCCATTTTACTCCGACTTCTTTCCCACGAATTTTTTCCGTGGGCGAATGCTGTGGATTTTGACAAATACATCGTGACTCCACTGCCCCTCGATCTCTTTTTTTTCCCACCTACCAATCACCACACGTTATTCTGGTTCTGCCGCTGATGGATCAGCACTCAGCCCTGTGTGAGGCAGTGTCAACCAGGTCAAGCATGAGCACGGGCATGGAGACTGAGCACAGGGCACCCTAGTCAGAACAGAACCGTTTTATGAAGCAAAGCCACAGTTGTAGCGGGTATTCATGACTCTGAGTGGTTTATTCCGGTCCATCTCAGTGGCCGTGCCATTCAGGAACCAGGTACCGCATCTGCTCAGCCATGTTTCATCCGTACCGATTAGGAAAGGTCACAACACAGTATGCGACATGCCATCATAACTCCCATCACAGCCTCAGATCACAACCAGTTTCATTAATATTATAGAGTACAGTGGTAAATTAACAATTAGTCAAATAGTAACGCTACACAGATTTCCGCTTCCTCGCAGCCAGTTCCTGCCGTCGCGCTATGATGATAGGAGAATCCGAATATAGCACATTCCCAGCAGAGTATGTGCATGGCGATTCCGTCTCTTCATCCCCCACAAGATCCTCATGCGCCACCTCGCGCGCGATCTGTGGAAACATCCGGAGCAGCACGTGTCCACTACCACCCCCCTTCTTATCCGTTCCGTATTCCTCCCAGTCCTGGTTCGAAGCTCCCTCCGCGTCCGGCGCAGGTAGACTAGCCACAATGAGCCCCCGCTCAATCCGCGCATGTCGCCAAGTCTCCGCAGCTAACTTGACGATCTTCCGCACACCCATTACCAGTGGATCGAGCTGTGTCGGGTCCGCGAAATGTTTGATGTGGTCGACGATCTCGTCCACTATAACGGAGGCTGTCATGTTGATGGAATGTTTTGCGTCTGGGGCTGTGTATGCCGCTTTGAGCGTCTGTTGGCGCCAGAATGCTTCGCGACGGACGGACTTGCGGCGGATATCCATTGACAGCATTTGAAAGAAGATGTCTGCATTGTCATAGCGGCGGCCCAAGGTGAAGAGGAAAGGTTGGAAAATGCGGTAGTTTAGCGTCTTGGAGATCACATGTTGGATGTAGGCGGATCGTAGTTCGCGCGATGCTGGCATGTTATCCAGGAACGATGGTAGCTCTGACGGGACCTTGGCCAGGACACTCTTGGGAGGATCAATTGGGAGATATGCAAAGTGTTCCTTGGACAGTGTGACGATTGAGCGGCGTAGTTCATCGAAGCTTTCCAGACTAAAATCGCTTTATCAGACCAAGTACGTTAAAGGAAACATGAAAGAAACTTCTATTTAACATTGGACATCTCATCATCTCATCGTAACAAACTCTATATGAAGACAGAATAGAGAAGAATAAAAAATTTACACAGAAGAAAACATCGAAAGGAACCCGGAAAAAAAAAGGAAAAAAAAAGAAGAAAAAAAAAAAAAAGGAGAAACATCCTGTGTACAGAGTACTAGGCCACTTACAAGAATTCATCGCCCTTCGAACTCTTCAGATCAGTCGCCTCTCCAAGGCTACTCAGGGTCTTCATCAAGCGTTCATAGTCTTTACCCAGATTCTCCATGGTCGCCCGCATCTCATTCATGGCATGTTGCAGCTGAGTCTCCTTGAGAATGCAGTCTCCCTCCAATTTCTGCCTTTCCTGTTCCATGCTGGCCAATGCCTCATCCTTATGCGAGAGCTGGGTCTCGAGATCGGTCCGTTGCTCTTCCCACTGCCGCTCTTTGTCGCTAAACGCGGCATTAATGGTTTCGATTTCATTTATATAAATCTCGCGAGTCTCTTCGAATTCCTTGTGACTGGCATCTAGATTAATTTTCGTGTCCGACAAGTCGGTTTGAGTCGATTCGAGTTCCGCAGTCTTCGCATCAGAGTCCGCCTGGAGAACATCGTAGGCTTCTTGTATCTGCCGCTTTTGCTCTTCGTACTCGTTCTTCATTGCTCTTTGTTGATCAAGCAACTTCGTCTCAATAGCCTTCATGGCTTCTCTATACGACGTCGCTTCTTCAGCCATGACGCCCTCGAAAGTATCCGTTAGCTCCCGTTCCTGTGTCGCGAGAGCTTCCTCGCGTTCTTGCTTGAGAGCCTCTATCGCCCTTTCGTGGGCATCTTGCTCCTCTGTCAAATCAGTACTCAGCTTTGCGACATCACACTCTAGCTCAGCTTTATGTTGTGAGAGCTCCTCGTTGGATTTCTGCGACTCAGCAAAAGCCTCCTGTAGGTCCTTGTGCTTCTCGTCAAGATCACCCAATTCCAATCGAACTTCATTGACAGCGTGTTTCAGCTTGCTGATTTCTTCCGCATTATCATTTGCAGCCTTTCGCATTTGGTTTTGTAGTGCCTCGATATAAAAGTCTTTTCGCATTGTTGATTGTTCGTATTGAGTCTGCATCTGCTTGATCTCCGACTCGCGCGCCATGAGTTTGTTCTGCGTAGCCTTGTATCCATGAAGCAGGCGGCTTAGGTCGGGGATGGCATCGTTGAGTCTCTGGAGAAGGAAGATATTCTCGCCATCGACGTCGGGCTGTGGCACAGACCCTTTAACGTCGTTGAATTTACCGTCGACTCCATTTCCGTTCATCATAGAGAGATCACGGAGATTTTGGAAAGACGGCATAAAACTCGACTCAGAAAAACTACTGTACCGACGATCGTGAGCTGGTGGCTGCTGCGACTGCGGCTGCTGCGGGTACATCGGAGAATGGCCCTGGTAGGCATTTTGCGTATATGGAGGCAAATAGCCACTAGCACTAAGAACCGGCGATTGGAAAGCTCCCCCGTATCCCGGAAAGGCTCCGGGAAGCATCGACTGGTTTGGATGTCCCATTTGCGAGTACGAATGCATTGTCTGGTGCGGGGACATCATGGGAGAGTAATAAGGACGTGCAAGAGGGCTGTGAATCTTGGGCATGGGTGAATGGGCTCGACATGTGGGATATGTTGGCTTCTGCACTGGAGATGCAAGTTTTTGCATAGGCGATAACGACCCTGACGATGCGTAGTTGGACACGGATCCACTGTTTCTGTGCCCGGACGACGTCGCTTGTTTCCCATGCGATTGTGCAGGAGAAGCGACCCTTTGAGAAGGAATACTGCCCTGTGACGAAGGTGATGGAGGAAGGACGGGCTTCAGAGGAGACACAGGCACAGGCTGCCGAATGGGTGCAGGGGTGTCGTCCTGTTTGATTGAAGTTGCAACATTAGGCGAGGCAGCTCGTGGGATAGACGATGCGGCCTGTGACATAGACGAAGAAGACGCAGTGCTGGGAGCGAAATTGGGGTTAGAGAATGCAGGTTGCGGTACAGGCGAGCGCTGTGTCGTGAATTGATTGGCCTGAGCCACGCTTTTTTCATACGGCTCTGCAGGTTGTTCAATTTCTGTGGACTCCACTGGCTCTGCACGTTCTGTGGCCTCGTTGGCCTCTGCAGGCTGTAGCTGTTCTACAACCTGCTTAGGTCCTATATCATTAGATGGCTGAACACGCGACTCCGTGGGCTCGAACTCAGCGGATCTTGGAGTGGCAGGCGGTTCTGTAAGTTCAATTGATTCTGCGGATTCGGGCTCGGCCGGTGTAACGATGTCTGTATATGCCGTATCCTCCGTAGACTCAACAACTTCTGCAACTTCCGGATTCTTGTCCTCGGTTGCGTCGTCGATGGTCCTATTGGAAATGGAATGATGGGGTACGTCGGTAAGTGCATTGTCGGTGGCGTCGTTGACTGTATTGTCTTGCAACTCGAGTATGGTCTCGGGTATTTTCTCCGGTGCATTGTTTTGTGTCTCGTTTGTTGTTTGATTGGCTGTGTCGTTGGTGTGCTCGTTGTCGATGCTCACCTTATCATTGTGAGCACCAGGGGCATCAGGTACCGATGTCTCTAATTCTTCGGAACTTGGGTATTGTGGTGGGTCGAACGGTTCTTGAGCATCGTCCGATGCACGTTGCTCCGCAGTAGTCTCTGGCTGTTCCAGCACAGCTTCAGGTTCTGGATCTGGCTCTGCAGCCACCTGTGGTTCCTCTGGGTGCGCTAGTTCCTGTTTTGGTTGATGTTCTGGTTGTTGTTCAGGGATATCGGCCTGTGTCCGATTTTCAGGCACCTCTTCCGCCATTTCCACCTAAGTCTTGACTCTTTCCTGTCTTTGATGGAACAGATGCGGCGCGAGTTCAAATAGTGTAAAGAGACGTGTTTCCAGTAGAATGAAAACTGAAGTTGTGAAAAGAGAACGGAATTATCAGCTAAGAATTCATTGGATGGTGTTGATTCAATGGCCGTACATTTGCAAACGCATGCGGCGGCCTCCAAGATATATTCTGATTAGACAAGGATACAGAAGGGTCCGATGCCTGATGAGGTCAAATATTATGCAGCCGAAAGGGAATGTATTCCAAGTAATGAATACTTTTAGACGTGGCGTTCTGCAAGCCAGGACGAATAAATAGAATACACGAAAGACGGCCCTGTTGGTTGTCAATGCTATTTCAAGCACCAGGGGAACTCCGGACTGATATTGATTTGTGGTGACTGAAATGATGTAAGGAAACCCAAGGAGTGAGGTCCAAAGGGAGCCCAAGAACACAGAAGAATGCCAACTAATAAATCTATATTGATCAAGACCCGAGCAGAAGAGGCCAAAAAGGGAAAACAAGAGCTCGCATCGCGACTAAATGGTGGGACAAAATACACCGCATCCAAACCCAGCGAAACAGACTGCGGACGAGCCTTGGTCATAACTGTCGACTGTCGACTGTCGATAACACTTGTGAGAACAGTCCAACCGGACAAGGGGCACAAGAAAAAGGAAGCATAGCCAATGCGGGAGCAATCAGAATCATCATCAGCGTAACATCAAGGACCGTGCCCCGTGAGAACATTGGGCATCAATTATTGAGAGCGGACTCAAACTCCCAGTTTTCTGTACTCCGTACACTGTATGCACGTATCATGGAGCCAGACGAGGTGGAGACGGTTTAGCAGTTGCGATGACATGTCCGCTTAACAACCATACGTTCCAACACTTAGGGAGGAGTCGGAAGTGGAGAGGAAAGCCTGCGGCGTGAGGCAAGCTCCGATTATGTTCCCTGTTCGAGCGACGGCAAAGGTGCCCCGCGGAGTGGACGATACAGTAACCTAAAAGAATCATTCGTTCCATGCACTATGAGCATCGCGACCTCCATTCATTTCCAGAATCCGCATTGGCGTGTAGTTCGCAGTGCACAGTTGAGGTTGAAGTCCTCACACCCTAGTCCGTATATGGAAGGTATCACGTGATATCCGACCGCCCGCCGCATTTCGAACCTCATCTCCGGATTGCGAAAACGAAGGGCGTCATTACCAGGATCTTTTGTTGTCGCTCGGCATTGCTGCCAATTGTATTTCTCTCCGCTCCTTCTCCGTCCTTCCTACAATCATGTTCTTCGCCAGGCGATCGGTGGCCTCGATGCGGCCTTTCCTGAGGAACCAGCAGCCGCGACGATTCGCTTCTCACGCTGCCCACGCCGAGCCAGTGAACGAGGGCGTCGGTGTACGTATTCTCCGTGGTTATTGTCCTATTCTCTCTTTTAGGTTTTACGGAATTTGCTTCTTTAATTCCAATTAAAAAACCAATGCGTTGCGTTCCGTTGTATACGGGGTAGTAATATCTCGTACGTGATTTGACGAAGCTAACGGTCGATCGGAAACCATATAGCGCAGTTTCTACGTCGCCGTCGGTACCTTCGCCTCTAGCTTCGTCCTCTACCGTATCCACAAGTCGACACAGGATGCCGGCGAGCAATCATGGATCTCCAGCTTGATCCAAAAATGGACTCCCGATGAGAAGGTCTTCGAGGAGAGAAACGCTATCCACACCGTGGCCATGGAGAAGGCTGCGTACGACCGTCACTTGTTCCAAAGCCAAAATCCTGCGCAAGCTTATGACCTAAAGCAGCCTGAGTACGTTTACCCTGACTGTAGTGTTGCCGGTTTGATATGTTGGTAACTAACGGTGTTGCTTTTTAGGGTGAGCTTCAACTCCGGTGCCCCGTGGAATGTCTCTGCCGGTTCTCAGGCCAACTTGAGCGCCGTTGCCGCACACTACTACCGTCAGAACCAGAAGGTCGAGGAGTCTCGTGTTGCACGGTTGAAGGACGGCAAGGTTGTGTCTTTATATGATTAAACAAAATCAATACCTACGATCTTTGCTTCAATTTGTTCGGGTGATCCCAAGATGCAGGAGAGTGGAGATGGATTGTACATATACTGGGTTAGCAAATCTTTATCGGGTTCCTTTGTTCGATTGCGGATTCATGCCGTTTTATATACAAGGATGAAGGGCCAAAAGGGATTCGCTATTGAGGATTAGAAGAGAGACGAAGCGGACACTAAACAAATCCTGCCTATGCCTTAACACTCCCAGCCTGTGTAACCTCAAGCACTACCCTGCCCACACCTTGAGACTTGACATCCACCAATTCCTTCACATCCATTTCATTTCCGCTAGTATTCCTCAAAACCGCAAGGAATTCATCCACGCCACCCCCAACTCCGAAATAGACCTTCTTAGCCGCAATGAGAGCCTTGCTCTTACTTTCAGTCGTTCCAGACAGCCGTAACAACGCGAGTAAGGTCTCAGTAAAGGCGCCCAGCGATAACGGCGAGTAGATCGTCTCACTAGCAAGGACCAATGTTTTATGGTTTCCACTAGGAGAATGCGAGAAAGTCAAGTCGACGAAAGCAGGCGACCAAGCACCGGAGATGAAATCGATGGTGATTCCGCGTTTAGCCAAGTCCTGTTGGAACTCTTCCAGCAGTTCGGGAGTGACGTCCAATTCTTCTTCCTCTTCCTCTTGCTCTCCCTCTTGCTCTCCCTCTTGCTTTCCATCTTGTTCCTGTTCTTGCTGTTCTGATGATGGGGCACCTGTTGACGCCAACTGCTTCTCACGGTGCTGGTTCCAAGTAAGGAGAAGATTGGGCAGTGTCACCAGACGTAGAACAACAGCGTTATAATCTGCAAAAGTAAAGTGAGTTCTCCGCTGTTGCGTCGATGTGGAGAAAAGCTGCGCGAACAACACCAGAGATGGTACTGCCGTACCAGCGCCAAGCTATTCAAGTTAGCAAAATAACACCAGAGACAATAAGAAAGGCACCAACCTCAATAACATGGCAATCGCCGTCGACATCACTAACAGCATAGTCATTCACGACCCGCTTCGCCAAATCCATCGCACACTCCCATGTCTTGAAACCTCCTTCATAGAAATTTGGCTTGAGATCACCATGTTCCAGGCCGGAGATCAGCTCTTCATTATCCTGTTCGCTGTCTTCTGCCATGAGCTGGGTGCGGATGTCAAAGACCTCGCGACGGGCGATAGTCAGATCATCTTGCTCATTGCCTACACTGAGCTGAAGCTTGTTGTATGATATTTGAGATGGGAGAGTTGGAATCTGGATATTTTTAGAAGACTGTATCAATTCAAAGATTAGGAAATAAAACTCACCCATTCTCCCATTTCATGTCTCTTTGCCTCTACTGGCGTGGGAAGTTCATTCTCAACCGGTGCAGAAATCGAATGCTCTTGGACAGGCTGCTCAGTCTCCGAATCGTCGATATCAATATCGTCGCCTGAAAACCCAAAGCTGAATGCCATTTCTGTAGAGCGTGCTATCTGATGCTCTATAACAAATCCTGCGGTATAAATTTATCTTCGGCGGGGAATATATCAAAAATCTCCTCTGCCCATGAGTTGTTATCGTAGCTAATGTGGCTTTCCTTTCAATTGATGCAACCACGAGGAATTGATATTCCAACAAATTGGACCAATTAAATTTGACAATGGGACTACTTTCTGTGCTCGACCTCTTCCCTCAAAAAAGTTTGCCGTGCATTATACAGATTACTAAGCAAAATTCCTGCATACTTAACTGCATAAGAATCAAAATCAAAAAAATAAATGAATTAAAAAAAGATAAAGATATTAAGATGATGCTCTATCAAATACGGACGTGATGTATTATGGCACGTCCTTTCTCTAACAAGTTGATGCGAATTTGCTCTCTTTCTTCAAGTCTATGAATCTGATATCGTATGTTTCATCCAGAGAGAATCTTTCCTCCGTTTGATCTATGAGCTGATAGCGACAGCCTTCTCAACAGCCTGAAGCACATCTTCCCGGAGATCTTCGAAATCCTCAATACCGGAGCTGATACGGATGAGATCATCGTAAACACCGGCGGCCTCGCGCTCTTCCTTGGGAATACCGGCATGGGTCATACTTGCAGGAACTTCGCAAAGACTCTCCACGCCTCCAAGGCTCTCTGCCAGGGTATAGATCCTGGTGAATTGGCAGAATCGATGGGCTGATTCTTTACCACCCTTGATGCGGAAGCTTAGCATACCACCACCCATGCCATTGCGGTGTTGCTTAATAGCGACTGCGCGCTGGGGGTGGGAGTCTAGTCCGGGGTAGTTGACGGATATGACATGAGGTGAGGATTCGAGAGCTTTGGCGACGGCTGTTGCGTTTGTTGTGGCCTCGCGGGCGCGCAAGTGAAGGGTCTTCAGGCCGCGGTGAGCGAGCCAGCAGTCGAAGGGAGAGGGGACGGCCCCGATGGCGTTCTGGAGGAACGTGAGATGTTCTTTGAGTTCTTCAGAATTGAAGGCTGCGACACCCATCAATACATCCTGGTATCAATTAGCAAAAATCCCTTGCACAAAGGATGCGGGTAAAGCATACAGAATGGCCGTTGATATACTTCGTGACGGAGTGAACCACAATATCAGCACCGTGATCCAACGGGTTCTGCACATAAGGACTCATGAATGTGTTGTCCACGACCACTCTGATTCCACGTGCATGGGCGACCTCTGCGACCTTCTCAATGTCCACCAGGCCCAACGTCGGATTCGATGGAGTCTCGATCCAGATCAACTTGGTTTCATTAGGCCGGATCAACTTCTCTACTTCCAACTCGATGCTATGACTAAAGGATACATCCACACCATGAGCCGAGGCGACCTTGGTGAAATATCTATGCGTGCCTCCGTAGACATCAGAGACAGAAATGACGTGTGATCCTGCTGCCAGCGACTGAAGAATTGTAGCAGTAGTGGCGGAACCAGAAGCGAATGCTAGCGCATATTTGCCGTGTTCGAGCGCTGCGACAGCCTCTTCGAAGTTATCTCTGATAATCATTATAAGCGTACTGATATTGACAAACCAGTCCTTCCGTCTAGCTTACCTGTTGGGATTCGAGCTGCGAGTATATTCGTAACGGCCAACAGGGTTCGCAACGTCTGTTTGAGCAAAAGTGGTTGACAAAGAAATCTGAGATGTTGTCAGTTGCAGATTTAAAAATATGCGATCAAGGGGCAACTCACAGGAGCAATCACTGCGCCTGTTGTAGGATCGTGGGGAGATCCAGCGTGGACAGCCAAGGTCCCAAAACGGGCCTTATCTGATGCTGAGATATGGCCGTTGTCCTTGATGGCTGAAGAGTGGGCAGTCATTTTGCTAAATAGCCTTGCGATATGAGTAAATAGAGAAAAGAAATAAAATGATTCAAGGTTGGTGAGGATTATAAACAGTTGCAAACAGCTATGGCGTTGTTGATATGATATCACCCCGCTCAACGGTTTGACAGTCTTGGTAGTGTCAGTGCTCTAGAAGTAACACAACGTAGAAGAAAGAGAAATAGAAAACGAATATAACCTCTAATATATGTGAATATTTCTTTCAATTCCACTCACACCATATCAAAAAACTATGAGCACACCGGTGATAACCGAGTCCCTTGCTTTACTCCGTACTCCGTGTGCCGGACAAAGACACCGACTGCTACGGAGTGAAAATTTGCTACTATGTTTAGAGATTGCCTATTGAGGCATTTGGAGAACTAAATGTTCATGAATACCATCCAAGTCGTTAATGCGATTTAAGAATAAACAAACGTCAACTACCACCAGGAAATCGGACCCAGACCAGCCATCTGCATCGAGCCCTGAAAACTGCATTAGCGTGGATAGCCCTGCTACTAGAAAAGAGAAGGGAGTCAAGATACTCACAATGATCGAATACGGAGGCTTCCTCTCAGTTGCCGCAGCATCCCCAAGGTCTGGCGCATTGGGAATCTGGTCGTGCCATTCTTCCATTTCCACGCGCAACCGGACAACTTCTCCTACATCGAAATAGAAAGAGGAGCCATCCTCGCTATCCCAGATCCAGACTTGATCTGCATAGTCGCTGACAATGTGTCAGTTGTATTCTTATAGGAGACACAAGGCAGATGACTTACAATCTAGCGCCATCTAACAAAAGGTCTGGAGGCACGAAGATGTCATTGAAAAATTCGACACCAACTGCGGTACGCCCATTAGTATTTAGGTCTCCAGATCCATTGACACAACAGGAACCTACTCTTGATCCCATGCTCTGTGGCACCAGAGATCTTTCCAAGTATGATTTCTCCCTTAAACGGCCGGAACACAATCAAACGAAATTTGACTGGCTATGGTTAGACCTGGATACCTCCCGAACAGCGCGATGCATACCATTAACGTTGACCAGACCCGTCCCGTGACCAATAAGACCGTCCGAGGACTCTAATAAGTCGTAGAAGCCGATACATAGGCCAATTTTTTGAATCACCTTGGCACTTATTAGCCCAAACAGACCTGCGTGGCACTAGCATCGCAGACGCACCTTGTTGGCATATTTCTCGTTGATATTGTCTTCAATAGCAACCGCACTATACTTGGAAAAGTCTTCTGGCGAGATCTGGATCAGATCGGAGATGGTAGTCTATGAAAGCGGTTAGTCTCTGACTACAAGGCTAGTATATGCGACTCACCAGGATGAACATGGTGAACTATAGGGGTGCTATGACCAGCACCAAGGCGATGAAGATATCTCAGTTGATCTCACACGGCAGACACGATAGAACGAGGGTTGCATTTCATGTTCGGATTATCCACAAGAACAACAAAGTTAAATATTAGATATCCATGCTGTATCGCTTTTATACAATGCAAATATCCCAGATATCTTTCTCTTCAATTCTCGGCCAATCGCAGCCTATAAATCCGTTTGATTTTTTGCCCGATCGAGTCTGCGAGTCACATGACCTTAGCCGTTTTGCGTTCGGAACGGAACAACGCTCGCTGGCCGCAAAGAGGTTGAGATCGAATTTCAAGAAACCCGTCAGAATGGCTTGAAGGATGGCGTTCGTCCTGTCATTTTTGAAAGGACTATACAAATCGACCCCGTCATGAGCTCCCAGGGCTTTTCATTTCCTCCCCCTCCTCCGCCTCCACCCCGGCAGCAGCAGCAGCAGCATAGCCATGCGCCGCCGCAGTACGGACAAAACCATCGTGGCCAACGGGGTGGGCGAGGTGCTGGTGGGAATCCTAGAGGCCGTGGAAGAGGCCAAGGGAATAGAGGAGGAGGCAGAGGGGGTCACTATGCGGCACCTTCTCCAGCATACACCGGGAACGCTGCTCCTCCGTCTGTTGGATATGCACCGATGAACTACGCCGGTTTCCCGACTCAACCCCTATCTACGACGCCTACACCAGCTATTGCGGCACCTCAATATGACTCTAATTACCGTCCTACGTCGACCGCATTTACGTCCCCGCAGACCTTTTCCCAACCGTCCGCTTCTCCATACCAACACCAAGCGACGAGCTACGATGCGTACAACCAAGCTATGGGGCAAATGGCACAGGCATATGCGGCAATGCCGTATCAGCATACATCTCCGGCTATGCCATGGGGATATGGGCAAACTGGACCTACGGGGACATTCCCTGGAGCCCAGCAAGGAAATGCTTGGGGTCCGCACCCATTCAACAATAATGCTTACGGCAACATGTCCAACGGGGATAAACCAATTAAGCACCATAATAAGCGCGACCATTCTTCGGCATTTGGAAAACCACAGTCAACCGCACCTCGAGTTCCCGCGCCGCCTCCCGTTCCGAGCTTTGGAAACCCTTTACCGTCTAAGCCACCGCCGCCTTCAGATGTTACACGGAAGTCCAAGAAAAAGAGAAAGCACAATCAGCTTGGCCTGACCCCCAAAATAGAAGACCACGAATCTAGTGAGGAGGATGATGATGTAGATGAAGAGTCAAAGCTGGCATCCGGGGGGGGCGAATCGGTCAATTCAACGCTCCGTTTTACCTACAGAGGCCGCACCGCAACACTTAAGACGCCAGAGGATATCGCAGCTTGGATTGAAGAGCGGAAAAAGCGATTTCCAACCCAAGCCAGGGCCGAAGAAAGGAAGAAGGCAATGGAGGAGGCAAAGAAAGCCCGGGAGGAAGTTATGAAACAGAAGAGAGAAGCACGACAACAAGACATTAAGCGGCCGCAGAAAGACACTCGAGAGCAACAGCAGCAACGCACATCAGTAGATCCTGTTGATGCAGTGGCCAAGACAAAGGAGAAGGCCGATAAGCTACGTCGGAGACTCGAGCGAGAGCAGAAACGGGTTGCTAAAGCCGAAGTGGACGCAGAGCGGGCCCGACTCAAGGTAGAAAAACTGCGAAAGGAATCGACAGGACTCAGCAAAAATGGAGATGTGTCTCAAGAAGCCCAACCGTCAGCCACACCAGCCGAACATGTCTCGGGCGAACCAGACAAACCAGTTGCTCACATGGAAGCGGCCGAAATCAACCCATCTTCTGATACGCCAGATGATAGCGATTGGACATCTTCAAGCGGGTCCGACTCGTCGGACTTGGAAGAAAGCGGTGATGAGGATGCTGGTGGTGACGACTCGGCCCCGGAGGAAATGACTTCTCGTCGCGAAGGCCCGGAAAGAGTACCACCGCCACCTCGTACGAATGTCAAGAAACGAGTATGCCGCCACTTTTCTCGTAACGGACGATGTCTACGAGGAGACAATTGTAACTTTTTGCATGAATTGCCGGAGCGGAAAGCAAAAACAAAGCTAGCAGCGCCGCAGCAAAAGGAGAAGGGCCGGAAAGGACTGTTGCATATGGTAAGTGCTGTTGACATTCTGTATCGTATCATAATACAAGACTTATCACTGATAAATTGGTCACAATTAGCTACTTGATCGTCAAGAAGAGGACGACAATCATCGGATCATGGAGGCGATCATGGCTCTAGGGGAGAACGGATTACTGGATGAACCGGCCATTCCGCAGAATCATGGAGAACCCCCAGTTCCTGTCAACGAAAACACCACAAATGTCTCAGACAAAGATAACGCTGCTGCTACAGCCGCCACTGCTATTATTGAGCCCGGCACTCAAGCCCCAGGGAACCAGGAAGAAATCATAGCCGGTCTATCGCCGACGGCCTACGGAGATACTATCGCTTCCGATGCGGCAACTTCGTGATTATTTTTGGCAATTGTACTCTAATCGCTAACTTACTTTGTACACTATTTAGATACCTTTTGTTTAGAAAAAACCTTGTTGATAGACCGAAAATTCTCCTCGGGCGATTTTCTTTGTCCAATTTCTTTGAATCCCTATCCCAGGCTCACGTAATCCAAGTCCCAAAGGAAATTAATTCATACGCCAAAAACCGCTAGTAACACCGATACCGGGATCAGCCCCTTGACAGGCACATTGCCTTATGCAGGGCCCACATGGCTTAATTTTAACAGGACCAGGTGGGGCCTTATCTTAGCTACTGAGCATTCTAATTGGCCCATTCGTTGAAGAAGCACTGAAAGGGTTCGTTTGTTTGAACCCACTAGTCCTGTACGAGACTAGCTTAATAGGTATGGAATGGTATCGTCCAATAACGGGCGTGTCTGCCGTGTAGTTTCCCAAAATGAATATTACGACCGGCAGTGCGGACCTTCCAAATTATGTACAACGAGAAAACGCTCCTTTCTTTTTTATATAACTCTCCTTCCCCGGTGGTCTTCTTCTTCCTCTTCTCTTTCTCTTCTCTTCTCCATCATCCTTCTATACTGCATCTTCGTTGCCTGTATACTATCCTCGTATACTACTGCCTCATATATATCATCCTCTTCATTACCGTTATCTCCTCCAGCAATATAGCTACTCTCAATCAATATGCGTTCCAACTTCTACTTGACCATCGGCGCCCTTGCCACTCTTGCGGCCGCTGACAACCCGAACGCTTTCAACATCCCCAAGGGCGGTTACCAGTTCGAGGTCGGCGAGCCCACTACTCTCAAGTGGAACCCTACCACCGATGGCACGGTCTCGTTGAAGCTCCAGTCGGGTGAGGTGTCGACCCCGGAGTCCGGCAGCACCATTGCTTGTAAGTATCCCCCCATAAATTTCTCCAAGGAGTTGGCAGTTGCTGACTGAATCTAGCGCACATCGACAACTCCGGAAGCTACACCTGGACTCCGTCCGATGACATCGAGAACTCGGGCTATACCATTGAAATCATCGACGACTCTGACTCTGCTGAATCCAACTACCTGCCTAGCTTCAGCGTGTCTGGCGCTACCGCTTCCGCCTCCGCGAGCTCCTCCAGCAGCGCTTCTTCCACGGCCTCCTCCAGCGCCTCGACCTCGTCGGAGAGCTCTACCACTGCCTCCGCTTCGACCATGACCACCATGACCAACACCACTAGCTCGCCTTCGACTACTGCTTCCACCACCACCGGTGCCTCTTCCACCACATCGAACACCTCTTCTACCTCCGCTGAATCCTCTTCCAGCACCCCCTCTGCCTCGAGCTCCGCGGCTGCTTCCAGCTCCAGCGCTGCCGCCGCTACGGCCTCTGACACCAGCGCCGGTATGATCAACCGGGTTTCTGGCAGTATGATGGCCATCGTTTTGGGTGCCATTGCGCTCATTTAAGCCATATGCTTGTTGGTAAGCTTCGATGCCGTGTTGGGTATATAAAATGGAGGTTATTCTTCTATGATTCTTTTCTTGGTACATAACTTTTTTCTTTCTTGATGATCGTTCCATTCGTTCACTCGTTTATACTTCTTTTCTGGGATTGGACGATGTTTGCTTCTTTAGTCTTCATGGCTACTGAGAAAAAGCGATACCGTTGCATTTTTGTTGATTCTGTTTTTATTAATAGTCTGGGATGGAACAGATTATTTCAGTGATACCTTTTTGTACGTTAGCTAGTTATGCGAATGAGGATTAATGGGATGCTAGTACTGGCATAGACTGCATAGATACAACATTTCCGGAGACTGTTCTTGTAGAAAACTTTTTTGCCCCTGATAATCAGAAAGCTCTGTCGAGTCTGATGATGATCGACAACAATAGCCGAAGTGTAGCGGTGAGCCAATCAACATTGGCGTCTCATTATCTGCAGATTGGGGTAAACATTATCAGAGATTATCAGCTTGATTAAAGCCTATGACTTGGTTATGAGAATGTAAGAGATATATATGAATAAGGGATGAGGAACATTCAAGGCAGACTGGTTACAGAGAGAAGCTATTCTCCGGCAATATCCTTGAGAATTCTGTTATCAATCCGGCTTCATCAAGCTAAAATTTAGTGTGCGGGGAGCGAGGCCACGGGCCCTTGTTACTAATGAATACCCAAAAGTCTTACACTTATACATGGTGACAGGACCCAATGGAGAAAATGACCAAGAGAATTGCATTTGTTAGGGGTTGGCGCGCAGCCCATTCAACAAGGTACCCAAGGCGATGCTATATATATTGACGATGGCATAAGTCTCCAGCAGTCAGGGAAAAACTGAATGGGCATTTCTTCAACACAACCGTGACTCGCGCTTGAAGCCAGTCGCGAATTTTAGGATAAGCTCTTGTGTCCCGTATTCGTACTGAACATCTTGACTGAACCGGAGATCGATACGGAACACGCCTCAGAGCAACAGTCTGCATCTTCGTGAATGTAATAGCTACCTGGAACGTATGTTATGTCTAATCCCGGCGTGTCATGGATTAATATCCAGCACCCCACCTTTAGATCACCCGTAGTAAAATAACCGATAGCCTTTACGCCGTACTCACCTATTCGCTGGCTGTTTCACCCAAGCCCAGGCACGGGGAGGGGGCCCTTCGTCGTCGGTCAACCACCCGTGTTGTTGGTGGATCGTAATTGACGGATCGGTCAAACTATTGAAGTGTTGTAGTAGAAGCACGACTCATGGTTTTGTGCAAAAGGGATGCAGCTGGAGATAAGCTTGTCAGCTCGCGCTAACAACCTTGGAACGTTACAGGACAGGCAGTTCAGGTTGAAGGAATGGCTGCTAAAACAAAAGTCGATTGAAGAGCATACCAAACCCGTCCTATCACATTGAGGTCGCTCTTCTCTATAGGTGTCTACAGAGAAGCAAGGGTGTTACTTTGCCATATACGAGCATGTTTACGATGAATAACGATAGTACAACATGTGTTTCAACTTCCAACCTGCAGTATCATGATTTTTCACAGCAGACTATTCATTCCTTTGGTGTAATTGTCCCTCGGGAAAAGTTATGACTTTGACTTGCGGACCCCTTCTACTACGATGTCATCATGTTTGGTAAGTAGTGATAGTATCATCCCATATAATCGTAGAGGTAACCTAACTTTTTCAGGAAAGGTCCTTCGATTCTTTGCTGACATCTTCGACTTTCTGTTGCTCTTCCGTTCAAACGCCACTGACGCCAGGCTCAATACGACAAGATTTATTGTAAAAAGTGACGGCAAGGGTACCTAGGCTTGAGCCGGGCTCCTCATTTGTATTGATATAAGACTAGACCCTTAACACCGCGTGAAAATCGGCTCAGGCCTCGGAGAGCGCGTATGTACTTCGCCGCATGAGCGACAAACTTCACACACAGTAGGCACATTCGATCACTGTGGGCAGCAGGGCCTTGCCGAAACTCAACTATCGCCTCGTCGCCCTTTCGGAGGCTTGTCTGGTCCCAGAAAGAATCTCCTACCATCATGGTTGATTAGATTCACCATTACCTCGATGTCCTTGCATTCGGTTATCAGTTTGGAGCAGTTTTGCAGATCTTTATGGACAGCCTTCTATTCGTCTTCATGTTGCTGGCTGCCTAAATATTGAAGGCATGGACGGGCGAGCACCTCAATTGCGGCATTGGAGCGGAGTATAGCTTGTATCATGAAAGAAAATAGAGAAGTGGCAGTGATACAGTACTTACGTTCTTTTCTATCGTAATATCAGATGCAGAAGTCTGCGTGGCTATAAATGTCCTGGCAAGAGACATCACCTCAAATGACTGCGACGTCCACAATAACAATATATGAACACTCTTGTCTTATGGAGGACGCGTGGGACAATGTCACAGGTTAGAAGATACTCGATTCCGACGTCCATATCCGACAGGGATGACCCTGAAAGACCATGGACGAAGAGGATATTCAGAATGGGATACCTTGGGTGATAGAACTTAGTGAGTCTAACCTCTGGAGTGTATTCATTTGTCGAGTTGCTGTCGCATCTTTGTGTCTGCTCAAGTGTGGAATTGTTGGAACAATCTGAGATCCTTTGCTTTTTTTTTTAATGCAAATTAGTTTCTTGCTTGGCAACGCTAAAAGAAAAGGACCGTGAGAATCTAACCAAGCAAGAAAGTGAAAAAGAAACAAGACGGTGAGCCCTAATTCCCTCTCAATTTCTATACATTTTTGAACACAGTTCGTGTATGCTTCAGTATGACAGATGAGAATGTATTCGAGGATGTCGTGGTTGAAAAAAAAAAGATTATGGTTGCTAACTTACCGTGGCCATCTCCGTGTCCGTTCCTTCAACATACCTCTTCCCCTCTTCCTCTTCCTATTCCTCCTGCTTGTCCTGCTTGTCCTGCTTGTCCTGCTTACGCTACCTGTCCGGTTTGCTCTACAGGAAATGGGACAAGTTTAGACGAGAGACCCTTAGTCGGATCAATATCTTCACATGGTCGCATCGCTATACCCAAAATGACTATTACAAGTGATATTGATGACCGAAGAACCAACAGGTTCATATGCCGGGAGAGTTTGGGGCATCCAAAACCACAAGATTCCTTGTAACCATCACCAAAGCCATTAGCATGATGATTCAGAGACAAAGAGCAAGGCTTATCCTATACTGTGTTGACAGTTTTGCATTTACCAGCAAACTTCCATTGATCCTATTGCTAATTCCTCGACTAAGTGCAAAGGCACCCGTATCATTTACGCGGTCAAAAACAAACCGATAGCCATAATGTGACTCAGAACATAGCCATGCTCGATTGGGTCCCCCAAAATGGTAAGAGACATATGCAGGTGCATCCGGATACTAACCAGATCATGATGATACCAGATCTAATGCCATTTTCAGTCGATCAGTTTATGGGTGCAACTATTGCAAGGAGGCATTCGTTTCAGGAAAGCGATATGAACAAATAGTTCACACATAACCAGACGCTGGCTGTTGCTTGATCGGTCTGCTGAGCATCTCGCAGGTCTCGAGGATTGACTCTGAGGCACTAACGATTCTTGTGATTTGGGTGGCGCAGGTTATGATCCTGGCTGGTGTAATCCATTGAAAGTGTAGGATGATAGCTGCATTCCTTGATGGGCTGATGCCTCGATTGTCGATTGACGACAAGAGACAACCAGAGAAGACCAACATATCTATGGACCATCTTAAAAGATGCTGATGTAAAAGGACGAAATTATGCTCCCCGTTGGCTTTGTCTGCAATTGAATTTTATTGTGTCTTGTCTTGGGCAAGGAGGATGTAGGTGGCTTAGGAGATCTCACTCTATCCCGTACGGGTCTACAGACATAGGGCTAGAATTCCAGAAAAGTGGATCTTCATCATGCCATTATAAGAATAAGCTAACCAAACGTAACAGGTATATCTAGCGCAAAAGACCAAACGAGAAATTAAGACGAAGCTACTACCCACTGGGGAGTAACCTTCTTCAAAAACTTCATAAACTTCCAGAGTCCAACAGCATACTCGACATTACCATGTGGATCGACCACCCGTTCCGGGAATGCAATGCCAGCACCGAACAATCCCCGCACGGCCCGTCCGCTTTCCGTCATAAAGCCACCGGAATCGTGATCGAACTGCGGCTTTTCCAACGCATAACCGTCGATAGACAGTTCCGGCAGCGGATCCCGGGTAAACCCAACAGCCTGGACGAGATGCGAACACGAAGACAAATGCGCCGCCATCTGCTCCTTCTCCCGCTTAGGACCCCCACTACAATCCACCTTAGAAATGAACCGGCCCGCTTCTGACTTGGGCAGGACAGCATCCTCGAGTTGTTGCCGGGCGAAATCAGCTGCCATACCCTTCAGACCGGTGTTGTCGCGCAGAATCCATCCGTCCATGAACTCGGCGTACCGCAGCGGATGACGAGTGAACCACTTGACGCGGAGGTGGGGGTGGGTAGTGCGTGCGAGGTCGAAGAGGTTAAAGAGAGCTAGAATAGCACTGTGCGAGGCGCCTACGACGGCAATGATCTGACTATGACTGCGAGGAATGATGGAGACAAGGTCGCTGGGTTTGAGGACAACATCAAGGTCCAGCCTCTGGAGGTTGTCGAGTCCGGCTACGGGAACGGGTACGGATGTCGGGTGTGATCCAGTGCAGAGGATTAAGCGAGGTGTAATGAGTTGGATCTCGTCGGGAGAACCTGGACGTTGGACATAGACGGTCCAGTTCGAAGTGTTTCTCGTCTGGTTCGCAGCCATGACCGACCCCCGACATGCGTAGACTTGATCCATCTTGACAATACCCTCGGTGAGGGCGCGCATCATATCAGCGGCATGATGCAGATGACAGGTCTTATCCTGGTCGAGTTTGGCCAGTGTAGCGAATGGGTTTGGGGTGGGTGTTGTACTGATGACGTTGCGGAATGGCTGGACGGCTGTCGAGTATGCTTGGAAGAGAGAGACTTTGGTGTTGCTGTGATTGTTAGTTGCATGCTCGTATTTCGATTTCCGGCAATAAAACCCACCTAGGAACTTCGCGGTATTGCTTGTTGACACGACCACCCTGGAAGGAAGGATCAATCCAGGCGATTTTGCCAGCAAGTTGTCGTTCAAGTAGATTCCCAATGACAGCCAGACCAGCTGGACCGGCACCTACGACGACTGCAGCACATTTCTGGGCGGTCATTCTGTAGGTAGTGTCCGGTATGTATAAATCGAGTAAAATAAAAACAGAGCCAGAAAAAGGGCAGAAAACGAGTAATAATTCAGTAGAAATAGCGGAAAGTCGTAAGTGTGACAGCAGTGAAGTAAACGGCGGAATCGACCCGGCTTTATCTCAGCGTAGCGACACCGTCAGGGATAAGTACGGAAACACAGATAGTCACAGAAAGAGCGACACGGCGTAATTCTCGGGGAAAAGGGACCAACGACGGCACAGCAAGAGAGACGGTGTGCGCATTTCACTCGTCAAAGGAAGGAATGCCTCGTGCGGTGCGTAATCAGCTGACCGGCGTCTCCCCCCCCATAGTCGCCTGAACGCCGTTTACTCGGTGTCCTCATTGCTATCATTCTGGCACAAGTACGGCGAGTACCGCCTGGACTCATTCTCCTGATTCTTGAATCCCGGCATTGGACAAAAGAAACACGTCACGCCCCACAGGCCCTGGCCTTTCGCTTTCCGTCGGTAATGGTTAAGTTGAGGAGAATCGCAGTGTCGGGGGGGTCTTCATCCGCCCGACGTCGGTGGGAGTTGGGGAGTTGTCATGATGGCAGGCCCGCAAGAGTGTCGGAATGGACCTGACAGTCTGAATACAAAGATATCTGGAGAAATTCAAGGACATGCGATGAGAGCGAAGAGCGTCTCTTATAGTCAAACCGATTTGTATAGCGGGTCAAGGGTCTTGGCGTAATTGCGTGATTCAGTCTAAGAATGAGGTTATTGGCTTGGGATGTTTCTTAGTCAGGGCTGGAAATATCCCCGGATTTACTCAATGCGGGTACATATTCAATCATATCATATCATGTCATTAGAAAGTTATGTAGTGCTATGTTCATACTGCCCAGAAAACTCGCACACTTAACCCTTGGACATGGTTCGCCCATCCCCCAAACCTCGCTCGTCCCCAGACCGAAATCGAATCGCCCGGCCGCATTTCTCGCACGCGTCGCCCATCCAGAGTCGCCTGTCCACGGCCTTGGTCTTGTTCGATCTCTTCTGCCTCAGGCGTTCCAGGTTCTATAGCGTCCAAGTGATGCCACGTGGTAGTATAGTGCTTGGTTTCCTTTGTGGCAGTCAAGTTGGATTGTAGTTTATTTCCGTTGGCCATGAAATTCGGTTCGCCCGGTTTTGTCCCAGCCTTCCTAACCTCCTCATGTTCGCCTTCCAGTGGAACGACTTCTGCATCGAACCAGGTATGCGACCCCCGGTATGTACCCCTGTATCCAGGCTCCCCTCCCCAGCCTTGGTCATGAGAGTACAGGTTAAAGATGATCTTTCGACAGGGGTGGGCAAGTCGATGTGGAAGGAGCTTAGATAACGATCCATCTGGTGTCTACAGCATCCGTTAGCCTGCACGGTATCGTATAATAGTGAATGTGACACATACTCTCTCACGACACAGCGGCACCGTCCTCAGCAGCTCCCGGTCTGCATCTTGTCTAACGACAATCTTGTGGTCTATCCTCACTTCCGTCGACACCCAGTACTCAGCCGCCTCGATAATCATATCTGCAATCTCAGGCGGTATCCCATCTGCCACAACCTTCCATTGTAGCAGATATCGAACAGTGAGAACGTCTGAGATACTGGGATAAAACGTTGAATCACCAGCATCTTCTATACCTCTTTCGGAACTTTTTTCAATATTGGGTGCAGGGAATTCCATGTCGTCCGATTCCAAAAGCTCGTCTGAGTCCGAAGACTGGTCTGGCTGTGGACGTAGAGTCTCATGCTGCATTGGAGACCGCATTTTGTATCCGTCTGACGTAGAATATGTCGTTAATAATAGATGGATGCAAGGAATAGGCAAACAATCTAGTATCGATGTGTATATGATTTGTTTTAAGTGATTGCTTATATGCAAGTAGAGAGTGCTGTGAAGATGGACAGGAATTGGGGAGTAGTTATCTCAGCTGAACCATATCACTAGCTCCACCTAAGGCGGTGCGTTGACCTATGAACAACTGTATTGAGCTCAACAAAAATAGAAAGAAAAAGAAAAAAGGAATAGTCGGACAACTGAGTATTCTTAGAAGGGTCTTCTGAAGGACTTCATTATTATAGAGATTTTGTTTATTCTGGCATGTTTCCGACCTGGGAGATGTTGTGAGGTATAGCTTTATGACGTCATGAATGCCTTATCACTGTTATCAGATTATAAGATGGAGAATTAGAATAAGAACTTTTGCGATCTATTTACTGCACTGAAGCCAAACTCCGAACATACACCATTATTTTTTTTTCCCCCCTGCTGCCTTATATGCCGCCGCTCTCTGACTACTGCGATTGTTCTTCTTCGACTTCTGCCCGCGACTTTTCGTCTTCACCTTCATCCGCGCCCCCTCCGTAGCCCGGTGTCCCTCAAACACTAGCGAATTTTGCGCAATAGATCCCTTATCCTTTGCTCTAATCTGAGCCTCACCGGCCTTGCCAAGCAACTTGCCTGCGCGACCATGCAGCGTCTTGCGCGACTCAGCCAGCTTCTCGTTACTAGGAGGCTCACGCTTCTTGATGACCTTCTTGGCGCGTGACACACGGAGTTTGCGGGGTAAGAGAGGGGGGAATTTCTTGCCTTCGAGTAGGAGTGCTTCTTCCACGCAGTTTTCGTCGTAGAATTGCACGTAGGCGAAGCCCTTGCCTACTCGTGTAATTGAGTCACGAATGACTCGGACGGATTCGACGTTACCACGGGAGTTCTTGTTGACGCTGGATTTGCCAGTGTGTTGGTTGAAGGTGCGCCAGAGACCTTCCTCGACATCCGCTGGTGCTCTATTCTTCTTTTTCTTGTTCTCCTCGTCTTCAGGGACGGTTTCCTTGTCGACGAAATCGAGGTTACCCACGAAAATACAGCGTTTGTGGTCTGTAGCTGCCGGATGGGCGATGTTGTCCACACGTAAATGTCGGTCAAGGACGACTGTTCCGTTCAAGGCTGTTGGAGCTTTGCGCGCAGCCTGGACTGTGCTGTAGACAATATAGGCGTTGGTGCTTGGTGTCGTTTCATCCAACAACTCGCGTCGGGCGAACGCAGCACGCTTGGGGACCTTGCCTCCGCTAGCAAAAGCAGTAGACCGGAAACGGATCGATTCCACCTTGTGAGGACCTGTAGACTCGGGAAGTTTAGATAGGAAGGACTCGAGATGTTTGGTAAGAGTCTTCTTGGCAGAGTGCGATTTGATAGCCTCGGACGACACATTGCCCAGGAAAACGGTGCGGTTGGACTTTTCAATTTCTTGAGATTCTGCATCGCCGCCGGTCTGGCTCTCATGACGGACGGCAGATAGCCTTTCCTTTTCGTCTGATGTAGACTCATCCTCGTCTTTCTCCCCTTCGGATTCACCCTCAGATTCACCCTCAGATTCCTCCTTATCTTGCTTTTGCCGCTTCGCCTGCTCCTCGCGATGCTTGTCATTTGCTTTTTGCTCCTCCTTGGCAAGGCGGCGCATGTATGATTCTTCGAGATCGTCTGTTGCAGTTCCCCTTTTGCGTTTCCGGTTGGGTGCTTCGGGAGCTTCTACCTCATCCTCTGAAGGTGCCTCCTGCATCTCCTCGTCTGCTGATACGTCCTCCTGAGCTGCATCGCTTTCCTCATATTGTTCTTCGGTCTGTTCATTTTCGGGTTCTTGCTTTTTGCTCTTAGACACGCTAGCAGTCAAAATGGATGGGGCTTGAACTGGACCGGCCTAGTAATTCAGAGATATCAGCAACCAAAAATTCACAATTTGAATATAATATCAATTGCACTCACACTCTTCTCGAAAAGCGAAGCCACTGTGTTATCCACAGAAGCGTTTCCAGCCAAAAAGGAAAGCGATATGGACGGAGCAGCAGATTCAGTCGCTGACTGCGACTGCGACTGCGATTGCGACTTGCTCTTTTTGCCCATATTGTTTAGTAATGAGCAAAAGGGTCAAACACGGCAGTAAAATCACGTCTTAATTTCGGCCGATTGTCAAAACTTGGTCCTGTAAACCGCGCGATATTTGAGCTCTTGTAGTTCTTAACTTTTTTTTTTTTTTTTTGCGATGCGTCGGTCTTGGCGCGGACTGTGACATAATCACGTGATGATATTGAAAATCCGGCTTGTTCAGACAACATTGGATGAATATGCATTGAATTGCAATATGTGAGAAATAGAAAGGGTCTACATATATAGTAATGCTTTCTTTGAAAGACCATCATCTATTTTTGTACAGAGAGCTCTCGAATTGCTCGGCCAAAGGGATGCCGGATTGATAAGTCCTTATCTGAGAGCAGTCGCTGGAGACGACACAGTGGATTGACTACGTTTCCTGTAGAGGAATTGATTGTGAGATAAATAGATATACAGTGTTCTGTACTCTATATCCTATTCTACTCTCACTCTCATCCATAGCCAGTGAGAAGTATTCCGATGTACAGAATGCTCTCTGTTGCTGATGACCGGGCGGTGAGCTACATGCGGCAGAATCCCGCCGTGACGCTTCTTTCACTCGCTCTGCTTTCGCCCGCTGAAATCCTCCTCTTCCAGGCGCCTTTGGACTGTGCTCTGCTATTTCTGCTGTGCTGCTGCTGTTATTTGCTATCTATTTCGTCCAGTTGATTTACTATTTCTCTTGACCCGTTCTCTTTGCCTCCTTTCTCATGCCGACTGTTCTCCCGCAACGCTTCACTTTCGTATTGCCGTCTTCGTGAAGCCCACACCACCGTCCTCCCTCCGTCCTTCTCGAGCCCCTAAGTGACACTCGACTCGTCTGCGCAGTCTCCAAGTGAGGATCTCCAAAGTTGAGCCAGACACGTCCTCTCATATACAACATTTGTCGTCCTCCTCGGACGCCCGTATAACGTGTGGTGGTGGGAAATCGTGCTCGGTCGCGAGCCGCCGTGGTCCAGAGTTTCTGTTGGCGCATTGCTGAACGGTACGTGTTTGATGGTCTACAATCTTTTTGGTGGTTAGTCAGATACCCTGTTCCATCGACCAGGGTCGACATGTTACCCGCAAAGGAAGGGAGTGCCTCTGGTTGGCGTCGCAGTCTGCCAGGGCCCGATCCGGAGCGCTTGCTGATGATGCTCTCGCTGGGGCTTCAAATCTCCGCACCGCCTTCTGGGGGCTCTCCCCTTGAGCTACTTTTTTGCTTGTCTTTCTGAAATTCAGTTGTCTTTTTGCTCTTATTTACAATCTCATGCTTCATGGCGCTTGAAGCGACGGTTCCACTGACATATTTTCGGATTGACCCAGGCTCGGTCTCTTTTTTCCCTTTCCCCTCCGCCCACTATCCTCGCTTTGACCGCCGGCCTTTCCTATTCCTCCTTTATACCTCTAGACTCTTGAGACAGACGACGGTATAAGGTCGTCCATCTGGTTTTTGTTTCTTTTGGTTTTTGTAACGCGGCCGTGTGCGCTTTCGCGTCTGACCCTCCCCCATGGAGGTGGCTGAGAGCAGAGAGCCGGCATCGGTTGGTCCATCAGCCAGGACTGGGACCAATGATGCCAATGGCGCACAAAACCCTTTTCTGGACGATTCGCTTATCGATGATGGCCGTTCCAGTAGTTTGAGCGAACCTGATGATGTCTCGGATCATGAGCTGTCCCCTTACGGATCGCCCAAGCTTAAGCCGGTACCCGAGAACGATTCAGAAGCGGAAACGGAACGCGTCGAAGATTCGCCTTATAAGAAGGGAAATAACATCGTTCTGAGTGCCAGTCACGGGCCCAGTCCCAGCAAACTGGCTCAGTCCACAACTTATGACGACGCTGAGGAGGATGATGAGCCCGTCGCGGACGACTCCCCGAGCAAGTCGCGCACCAAAAAAAATGGCATCACTGCAGCCATTGACGAAACACCCATTCTGGACGACTCAACTCTGTCAAAAGGCGGCAGAAAGCGCAAGCGCCTAGGTTCGCTTGACGAGACCGGGACGGATTTTGGCGAAGACGAACCGCTCAAGAAGCGTCGTGGTTCTATCAAGAGTGACCTGAGTGATCCTCCTCCGGATGACCTGATTCTATCACCTGTACCGATCGAAGAGCCACCCAAAAGCAATGAAGACCAAACTCCAGCCGACGATGTTCCCGAATCCGATCTGCCATCGATACCATCAAAAGCTAAAAAGGGTAAAAAGGGAAAACGTAAAGGACGGAAAGTCAGAGATGCTGATGAAGAGACTGAAGCTGGTGGTATCGAAGGTGATGACCACTTGGATGAGGATGACACTGCCGAACGTGCGGACGAACCAGATGATGTCGAAGCCGCTGCCAAGCAGGAAGAAGAGTGTAAGTTGATATAACTCCCTATTCGCAGCTATCTTGCTGATATGCTCTACAGCCTCGAGGAAGATGTCGGCAATGGAGTCTCTTGCGACGCTAGAAAAGGAGTTTGCGACCCTACGTGACAAGTAAGTCTGGCCTATTACTCTTGGGTCTATACCCGTTGCTGAGCGTCTCAGAATCTACGATGAGCGGATATCAAAACTCAATCGTGAGCTTGAGATGCTCACTGGGCCGAATCCTACGCATCCGGAATACCTGCGCCAGCTCGAATGTGTCCAGCGCCATCGCGACGCCAAAATCCATTACGAGCAAACATTATACCGATATCGGATGTCATCGTTGATGAACAAAAGTTTGGCTGAGCGGGCGCAGATTCATAGCACCTTCTTTCAGCGAGTTCGCGACACCCGCGAGAGGCATGCAAGTTCTATTAGCAAGCAGTTTTACTCCATTCAACACGATCGCTTCAAAACTGAGGAGATTAGCCCTCACCATTCCATTCTATTCCCCACACGCCGCTCACAACAAATTGCTCACCAGACTGCCTACAACCAGGAGGTGTCTGTTATGGCTGGAGTGGCCAAATATGTCGGTTTTCCGGCCGCGCCGTCGTTAGCAGCTGCGCGACCCTCGGAGATCGACGAGGATATGGAAAAGATGGGGGTGAGTTTATCCTAACATAGCCCCTGTTTAATCCTGTGAAACTAACTCTAAATCCTTCCAGATTGTCACGGAAACCCGAGCCGCGGTGTCACAACCGCAAACGAACTTTCCGCGCATGACAACCATGTCGAATACATTCCGTACAGCGGCAGAGGAAGCTTTTCTGGAACACACACCATGGGCCAATCCGCAACATCCCGTTCATCAGCAAATGCAGCAAAGGCCCCAGAATCGGGTCTTTGAGCAACCGCGAGCCCCACCATTCACCACACCAGCGGCTCAGAAGCGGGTGGTCGACATTCATGCTCCCAACGGATCAGCTTCTACAATTGCGGAAAACTCGTCTGCGAACAACACGCCGTACGGTACGGAACAAGAACCACGGTTGCACGGTTATAACCCGTTTGGGAATCACGATTATGATGCGGATCAACATTCAGGTTTCCGGTCACCAAGTGCATCGCCGCTGGATGTACGAAAACCTCAGCTCCATTGGAACAATGCCTTTGATAGTAGACCGTCGCAAGAATTTCGGTCTGATCCCGCATCCCGTAATAATATGGCCTTCTCCCCGCCATCTGGCCGACTTGGACTCTTCCATTCTGCGGCTGCAAAACGAGAGCCGTCGCCGCCTATACATTCAAAACCTATCCACCAGCCCAGAGGGATCCCTAGCGGGACTGGCTCGAATCAGATGACAGCACGGTAGAGCCGGGTCTTTTCACACTTCATCTCTTGTTTTTCGGGAGTTTGTTCCTTCATTGACTAGGTTTGGCTTTTTGTACAAAGAAGGCGTGTGGAGCGTTTGGTGGCCTGCATGATTGGAAACACCAGGATGGTTCAGCTTTTCCCCCACACTGTTGTACTTTTTTTCTCTTTTCTTGGGATGTGTGAATAGGGGCGAGTTTACTGGGATGCATTGGAGCCTCTCTAAGTTTCGATATATTTTTTTTCCCGCTTCTTTCTCATGATATAGACCATGGTGCCATGTCTTTTTGCTTGCTTTTACTGGAGTTGAGTTGATTACCATATGGGAGGTTTACTTTTCAATTTAGCTTTGATTTGTTTTTGCTTCTTTTCCTTGTCCTTGTTTAACACTCTTCGTTCTTTCAGAACGAAGAGGAGTGAAAGGGCGATGGATATCCAAGTATATGGTTGGCTAATGTGAATGAATTGGAGTAATGAATTTGTTTCTATAGGCTTTGGGCTGGGTTTCTGGAAATATATCCTATTAGCTTGAGTAGATATTGTACATTTAAAAGAATATCAACTCAGCAGACCATATATTCTTCGTTCAATAATCATAATTACGCTAATATCTATGCTTATGACCAGAAAAAAAACCATTCGAGATATTTTAATATACAACCCAGGCTATAGAAACCCCCACAACCCAAGACACATCTGGTAGGGGAGAATCATTTAAATTTCCATTCTGAATGCAATATCGAAGCGAAAGATAACAAAATATCCTAGCCCGACGGATTTATGCAGAAGCTTCATTCGCAGCAGCTGGTCGACTGACGAGAGATGCTTGCTGCACTTGTTGGTCTGGCTGCTGCGACTGCTCGATTACATGTGGGCGCCATCGGGCTAGGATTTTGCCAGCGGATGGACGGGATTCTTCGTCTTTTTGGATTGTTAGCTTCGTAGGTTGGTTTTGGGGTGTGATGAGAACTTACAGGTCCGGTAGACATCTTCGAGTGCGTTTAGACAGATTTCTCGTGCGGGTAGACGGAACATGATGAGATACCTGTCAAGTCAGCTATACAACGAACCAAACGGAAAATTAGGGCAAGGAACCTACAATAACGACTGAACACAAAGGTTCACACGTTCCGGATCCTTCGCTAGACTAGCAACCCGTTGGGTAATCGGAATAGTAACTTCAGGGATCTCACTCAAAAACCTGATGAAAATCTTGGTATCCCGCGAGTCAAGATACGGCAGGAACCCATCCAGCAATCGCAACACCCAGTGATCATAGTGCAGTGGTACTGTTGGCGCCTCGTCCTCGTCCCCGTCGCCCCGCTGGGACGCGGCAAACTTCATCTGAACCCGGTCGTTGTACCATTCCTCATTCAGCCATGTGACGCCGATGCTTACACGGGATCGGAAGTCTTCGAGGATGTAGCGGTAGAGTGTTTCGCGTATTGAGTCTGAGATTGCCGGTTTTCTGTTCTGGCCACCGCTACCTGCGAGCTCGAGGCCAGCCGGTGCGCGCGTAGCAAGTCTGGTGAGGAGTGTGGTCCAAGCACCATGATCGAATGTGCTTCCTGCCAACCGCGCGAAGCCCAGCTGTCGCTGTGTTTTGTTTTGGGCTGGTTTTGGAGCTACTTCAGTCGATGCGAGCATCTCAAATACCCGTCCAACGGCATTTCGACCGATCTCGCTGGCTTCGTCTTCGCCGAGTGGTGGGGGTTGTGGTAATACGAATGGACCGAGGGATACTAGATCGGGTTGTTGGAGATCTGCTACCTCTGTTGACACGGCGTCTGCTTGCTCTGCGGTCTCTGCGACATCCATGGGTTGGTATTCGGGTTCGTAGTCATCGTCTTCGTCCTCCGCGGCGGGGGCGTTGGTAGCTGCTGATTGTCGTTCGGCAGCCTGCTGCTTGGTGACGGTTTGATATCGGACTCGGACAGCCTGGATTACAGTTAAAATTATATCACGTCGCAGAATCCGCAGGAATACATACATCCATAGCCTGAGTCATGACCGACTGGTCAACGCGAGAAAGCAGAGGAACTACGATCTTAACCAGAAGATCGATGGGCAATTGCTTAACATCGAATGATGAGAGCCCAGCATCTTCGGTAATCTTAAAAAGCTGCTGGTAGCTTATCGGGCCCGGGGGCAGAGGAGGAATCTTGATTAAAGGGGGCATTTGCGCATCGAGCCTGACCCGTTTGGCGTTATCCAGACCATCTGTAGGTTCTGCAGGCGATCCGCGCTTCCTCGACGCATCGTCGGCAATTTCTAGACGTGACTGCATCAGGCGTTCAATGTGTTGTTGCATCTTACCCGTAAGAGGGTGGTTTGGATTCCTAGCCAGCCATTAGCTTTGTCTCTGTTTTGTGTGGCTTCTATGTCTCACCTTTTAATGATATTGATCAACAATGCCCTAGCAGTGCGCTCCATTGACTTGACACCAACTCTGATGACCGGGGTCAAAGGCCCCTGTACTTGTCTTGCGGGATAGAAGTTGAGGACAGCATTGACGATTTTGCTGCCGACGGATTGACGGCTCCGAATGAGGACCGCAAGGCAGTTCAGTGTCGCGTTCACAAGGAGGGGATCGCTTGATTCTTCCTGGAAAACGGAGAGAAGTCGATCAAGCAGACCGGAAGCTTCTGCTTCCAGATGCGGTAGGGCCAGGACGGGGTGGCTTTTGGGGACAATGGCTAGGGATGTTTCGTTTTGCTCGGGGCGCTAGATTAAATCAATACTGGTCCATCCCGGCAAGATTGAATATAACATACTCTCGGGTCAGAGATTGTGCCGTGAGTCTGGACCTGGACAACCCGCTGCGCAAACTTGATGCAGCAGATCTTAACCGGGTACGGGTACGAATCCCATTGCCGTAGAATATCCTGCTTAATCGCACTCATTCGCTCCCAAGCACCAGTATCTTCGGGACGATTTATGCTATGATTTCCATGCGTCAGTAACCATAATCCTTACCCCCATCTTCCAAGACATTTACGATATCAACTCCCCTAGCCTAGGAAGAAAGAGAACCTACATATGCCTAAAGACCAACGGATATATACTAGCCGCAGTCTCCACGCTATGCTTTAACACCACCATATCCCCATCCGGTAACCCCAAAAGATCATGTATAGTTTGCAGCACATTGGCCGCCAACTGTTCCTTCTGAGCTGACGCCAGCACGGGGCTTGCGAAGGTCTCCGCTAGGAATTCTGCGCCCCATCGTCGCAGTTCCAGTCGCGAATTTGCTCCGATGAGTGGGAGGATACCGTTCACGATCTGGGGGTAGAAGGCGGCGTCTCCGAGAACCAGGGTGCGAGCAGCGTTGAGTTGGGCGATTTGACCCGCGAGAGGGTCTGCGGAGGGATCCATAGGCGGGGAGTCGTCGGACGTGATTGATTATGACTGTCCAGTAGTCTAGAGTCGGTTGTAAGGGTTTGTGTAGTCGTGACGGTCGTTCTACGCGGGAGACAGCTCAGGAAACTCGGCGCATGAGCTTCGCGGCTGTACGACAGATGCGCAGAGTCCAGATGTTAGAGTAGAAAGGACGAGAAAAAAAGAGAAAAGGAAGATGAGGGAATTGAAACAGAACAGAACAAAAACAAGAAACAAACCCAACCAGAAAGCAGAGTGAAAAAGGGACTACGAGGGGCTGTGGTCGAGACGAGAGCAGCCGGAACTTGAAGCGATACTGAGAGCAAATAACGCTAGTCTGCTTTGGGTTAGTATGATATATTTCTGTAGCTCCCCAACAACAGGTCTGAAATAGTAGTATAAAGGATAATAAAAGATCTATGTAAGATAACATGGATTTCTTATACGACTTCCTGTTTAAACTCAAGTAGAACATACTTAAGAATCCTATTTAGTAGTATGCTGTCAGGCTATCTACAGACCGCGCCAAGACCGGCTCCATCTCCGCCGGCCATCTTCCATTCGAATCTCCGACCAAAAATAGAGACCATTCCCTTCTTTCCCCAAGTCTCACTTTCAGTCCAGATTCATTCGCAGCCGCTTGAAATTGAGAAATAGAGGGAATTATCCCATCTATCCAAGATGCCCGCCGGAATGTACGTCCAACCCCCGTCCCATTTATCGCATCCGCATCCTCATCGCATCCCGCAATTCCGGCCCTGACTGACTGACCTTCAATCCAACAGTTTCAACTCGACATACTACGGAAAGGACTACCGCGCCGGTGCGGCCCTCCTGCGTGCCCGCAGGCCGTACCTGGTTAAGAATGCAGTGACCGGGTTGGCGCTTTGCGGAATAACGGTTGGTGTTTGTATGTGGTCCGATCCCATCTACGCAGAGGGGTGTTGTAGAAGAGGGGCGGCACCATTTGGTGTTATACGAAAATTGGGAATAGACAGGAACGAAAGCTAATTGCATCCCGCTTACAGACGCTTACACCCTTCGCGCCGTCGGCCAGGAAGAATTCTCCGATGTCCAGGTCCCTGACACCCCCGCCGAGCCGAAGAAGTGATTGCATATGAACCTGCGTCTCTTTTCTGTGAATGAGCGAGTGCTATTTGGATGTTTTATGGGATGAATGGTGCACTAGGGTAAAAGGAGTATACGGAGAAAATTATGCATTCATGTCATTTTCAATGGGATTTGTTGTACGGAGATACAATACCCAGGCTTCTACATGTCGATATCGGGGTTAGAAAGTCAACACGAGCCGCTGCGCACTGCCCAAAGGCCCTGGTAGCTTGGCACAAGAAGATGGCTCATACCTCAAATACGAGACATGAGACGAGATGCCTCCCAGCTCCTTTGTTATCTAGATCTGTATAGTATGTCATTGATATTCTATCAATTTGTCTGCTTCCAACTTGACTCGATTTATTACACTATGGGGAACTTTCTATCTTAGCAATTCATTAGACTTGGAAAAAACAATTGTATATTTTTGCCTATTCACGAAATGCAACGAGAACCAGGATGAAAAAAGCAAGAAAGCCATCTATACCATTTGAGCTAATATTTTTACTCGGTTCTCAGAACACGAGGGCCTCGTCTCTTGGAAGCCCTCTTACGTTTCTGACCCCGGTCAAAGGCCGCAGCGCTCATGTGGTCACGGTCAAAGTTGTCAAGGTCCTTGACCTTGTAGATCCGGATGATCCAGTTCTCACTGGTAAAGGCCTCCTCCATAGTTGACAGCTGGGGTCCTTCAGCGGGAAGTCTCACACCGCGGACACGGTCGATGGCCTGGCCTTGCTGGAAGAGGGAGTTGTAGTTGTAGTAGGACATCTTGTACCTGTAGATCGCAGATGGTTAGCAGTTGTTTCATGCACTGTTACTTAGGGCAGGGCTTCTTACATTAAGCTGTTGCGCATGGTAGGAGTGGCCTGATCATCAACACGGTACTCGCCACGAGAAGTGAAGAAGTCACGCTCCTTAACCTCGTCAGGCCAGATGCCTTCGGCGATACGGACCATCCACAGGAACTTGTTGAGATCATCACCAGAGTATCCGAGCAGACCACCGAAAACGACAAGCACATAATCGACATCGTGTTGGCGGAGGATTGGGTAGCTAACTTCCTCGGGGGAGCTCATGGCCTTTCCAACAGTGGCAATGTGCGTGTTATTCCAAGTGTTGTTGTCCACCAGAGTTGGGCGGTCAGCCATACCACCAATCTGGTAACCATAGTCCCACCAGGACGCAATTTTGGCGTTTTGAGGAGTGTTCTGACGCAGCCAGTAGTAGGCCTCACGGTAGTCGTCAATGAGGAATTGGCTTCCATCAGGGAGTCGGCTAGCCAGAACAACGGATGGCGACGAGTAAGCGTTCGAGGTGACCCAGGTACAGTGAGCAACGAAAAGCAGAAGGTAGATCACGACAGACGATGTCACGATAGCCTTAGAGGCGTAAGAGTAAATTCCTACAACGGGGGAACGGCTCGAACGGAGGGACTCGGAAGACGACTCAGTTGACTTGGCCTGAGCCTGCTTCGGCGAGATGGTAACATAGGTGTCGATGATGTGGGAAAGGGCCAGAGCAGCCGCAACGCAAACGATGGGCGTCAGAGTCAGCATCAGACGAACCATGACACCTGCGAAGTAACTAGCAAGGACACCGTAGATGACGACGAAGACGTGTTCGTCCTTCAGGTCACGGAAGCAAATGTAGACACCGGCGGGGAATAGCCAGATCAGGAAGTTCAGATCGAAGAAGAATGCAGGCCAAGCGGTTGGCTGGTGCTCCGAAACGGACGCAATGATGGGAATATGGATCTTGGCATAGCTGGTATCCCACAGCGAGTAGAAACGGCCACTCCATGGCGCAATGACCCCTGAGATTGAAAGCAGAGAGAGACCAATAAAACCAACAGCGACAGTGATGATGATCATGCTGGTGAGCAATTTCTGGAACTGTTTGGTTGGCACATAGCCTCGAATGAATTCAGCAAAAGCCACGAGCTGTAGCAACCCAAAGATACCTAGACATTGCATTAGCAAACTAATTTCCCTTGAGTTCCAACACCACCGCAACTTACCAAAGGCGGACATGTGATCGCTGTTCCGAATCGGCAAGAAACCGACAAACGGAATCTGCATGCTCGCCAGAGTTCCCAGAGCATACCATGTGGTATAGCTAATGTAGAGGCGAGTGCTGTATCTTCCCATACACAAGAGGACAAAAATGTGCAGCGGAATCAAGTTGGTAATGAAAACATATCCACCCCAAGCTGAAACCATATACCCGTAGGACAGCGCTGTCAGGGCTCCATACATGATGGAGCCGTTCTTGACAGCCCGGATCCACAAGAAGAACGTAAAAACGAGCAGGAAGATGGCAATTGCTTCGTTATCATAGCTACCGGCGACAGAGCGGGAGATGTATCCGGGAACAATTCCCATGAAAGCAGCCGCGAGAAGACCTGCGGACGGAGACGGAGACATCTCATTGGTCAACAGGTACATTGCGAAGGCCGTCAGACCAGAGAATGCAGGTGCTAGCAGAACACAGATGTTGCGGATATCGACCGGAAGCGTGAGGAAGCGCAGGAAATGGTAAATCGCGCCGCTTGTCACCATCAGACCGGGGTAAAGGGTGCCACCAGTGACACGTCCCAGGGGATGCCATGTGCCTTGGTCATTGAAGAAAGCAGCTGTCAGTATAACCTTTCGTGTCTCTATTGGTGGCTGGATGCCACTTACGGTCGTCAAACCAATCCCAAAAGCTATGGAAGCCATTCTCAACCAGGTATTTCGTTGCGCGGAAGTTGAACCAGGGATCGACTAAGACACGGAAATCACATTGTTAGCATTTCGAGTTCCTTCCCAACGTTTGAAGGTGTATATGCGATTGCGAGCGCAGGATTCGAGGCGTAATGTAGGAAGTAGACGGATTGGACACGCATACATTCGTGGATGATACTCTCGAAACCTGATAAGCAGAAACCATTAGCAACTCGATCAATTGAACTCACAATTGCATCTCTCGAGGGATCATAGTTTCCAGAAACATACGGATAACACTAAACAGACGACTGGACACTGCGGCCGCTGCGATAGTAAATAGAATGATAGTGCGCAAAAGGCCGCGTGTGTTCTTGCCGGAGCTGCCCTTCAGCAGAGCATCAACGGGTGCGTCGGCCATAATGGCCAGGCAAAAGAAGAAGGACGAGATGCCAATAAGAAACAGACAAAAAAAAGAATGGCCTTTCGTCCAATTTGGCCACTCCGATGGGGGTGAATGAGAGGTTGTCGTAGGGTTAAGATGGGTGTTGATTGCAAGGTGGTCTCAGTTGAAGGTCGCTCTCTTGGCACCAGGTACGCAACTCTCCGCTCCCCGCACGGATAGCTTCATCTCACTACCATACTTACGCTGAAAGAGCTCCCTTTTCTTGAGATACCATATCCACAAAGTCGATACAATTCTATTAACCTCGATACACGATGGATGCACCGCCTCTCTCCCAAAAACAGCTCTCGTCAATCCTATCATCCGCTGCGACGCCGTCCGAGCTCTATGACACACTATCGCAGTATGAAGGACAAGCTCTTCTTTTGGCAGACAGCAATGGGGATCCGGAACTGCTAAGCTTATTCTATTCCTTCTTTTTATTTTCGCACCTTCTCATTGAAGAACTGTACGTGGTTCTGGTCGTTGGAGCCTGGATATCAATGCGCTAATACGATAGCAAACAGTTCCGAAGCCCGCATGTTGACGAAGCGAATTCCACAGAACCTAGTCGCGAATAACTCTTTACTACAGAACTGCACGATCCTCCTGCGCGCGGTCTGGCAGAGAAGCCATGACCATGTTTACCGGTACCTCAGGGGATTTCCGTGGCCAGAACCACTCCAGCCGTTAGTGCAAAGATATGAGGGTAAGTAAGCAGTGCCCGGACCATAACCTTATCGCATTGACTTACACCAGTCTCTAGCGTATTTCCAAAACAAGACCTTAGAAGAAATCAGCTACACTTACGAGGCGATCAGACCTGAAGTGGCCGCAAGTTATCTTGGGCTAGATTCTGCTTCTGCACAGCAGGGCAATTCCGACATAATTCAGAAGTTCACAGACTGCGGTTGGAAATGGGATACAGAGGCGAAGCTGCTACACCCGAAACCAATTGCTCCAGCTCATAGACCAGACGATCGTCAAGTCAAAGGACTGCGTGAGGTCATGGCGCTCCTGGGAAAGAGTTGAAACGGAGATTTGAAGACACAGATACCACATACGTTAAGCATCTTGGACCATACCCATCGCGTCAAGATTCAAGGTTGTCCACCCCCGAATTCTCGGGGATAACGGTTCATGAGGCATGGATTAGGACCAACAGCATTGGGAACCGAGCATTGACAGAGCAAAGCAAGCCGGTGGAAGATCAGAGTGGGACAATAAAACAAACACTTGCTTTCTCTGGTTTAATTGTAGTGTACATAGTACAGCCGTACAACAGCCCAGGGTATGTACAAGATTCAGAGATAATGTCTAGTAATTAAAAGAGAACAAAAGAGAAAAAAAAAACATTCCTTCTTTTCGCTCGCAAAGACACGACTCTGGGAATTATACCAAACAAATAATACACAACGGGGTGAAGCCCGTACCGTACCCTGGGAGGCACGATCTTTGCACTGAAACGATAATTGCCAACTCTTCCTCATTGCATGTTCAACCGTCAATCATCTCCATGATCCATTTACTCCCCGAGTTTCGCCTTCAAGTAGGCCTCCAAGTCAAACCGGTTGTCCGCGGGATCCGAAATAACTACACAGGAGATAATCAGTCAGCTCGTCTATCCCCCTTCCCCTCTTCCAGGATTGCGCAAGATGATGGGATGCTAGGTCGCATTCGAATTGCTGGACCGGAAAACATACCTCCACTGGTTTGTGTCTGGGACTGCTGAGGTGTGGTCTTCTTCTTCCATTCTGCCTTGGCCTGCTCGATCAGGGCTGCTTTACGGGCATATTCACGGTCGGCCTCCGCACGTCTAGCATGGGAGTTAAGCGAAGACTGGTGGTAGACACCATACGCAAGACCGGCAGCGAGAGCCGAATAACGGAGAACCTGTAGAATGATACTTGGTCAGCCCACTAACCATTGCCGGGTCCCAGCGGACGGATGAGAGACAAGCAACGCAACACTCACATTAACACCCTGCGAAGTGGACATTTTGCGAAGACCCCTGGCTTCCGGAGCAGCAATGAAGAAGACAAATCAAAGATAAAAAGAGCCGGGTCGCTCGTAAGGGGTATTCGACCGGTTCGATAATTGGCAATTCCGGGGCAGAAACACAGTGATCCCAAGAGACGTTCTCGTTAGGGAACGACGAAGTCCCTGTACGCGAGTTTTTCCGGTTCCGTCCGCCGTCCGTTTCGCTGCTGCTTATGTCATCCGCCTGTCCGGAGTGCGGACGCGGGAGTGAACAAAACAACCAAGTCCGCTATCTATATCGACCGGCATTTCTAGAGATCTACTCATCATGTCGTCCATGCAGCAGCGCAAGGCCGAGATTCTCGCCAAAAGAGCCAAGCTCGCTGAATTGAAGCGACAAAGGGAGTTGCGGCAGCAGGAGTTTAGCCTGAGCAGGGCCAATAGCGGAGAGGGTTCAGAGGTATGGGTTACTCCTTAAATGGCTTATTTTTATTTCTTGATAGCTTCCTAACCGTTGTCGCCAGGTTGTATCGCCCGTACCCAGCCGCTCAGACAGCAGAGCAGAGCTCGATGACTTGATCGCCCGTCTTGTCGACCGCCCCGATGGAACAGATGGCACGTCGCGGAAAGACAGCAGGCCGAATTCAGTGCTGAGCGCCAGCCAGCTAAGCGGAGAGAATACGGAGTCTTTTGCCCCATCCACGCGACCGACATCTACATCAATTGCCGTTCAAACAGTTTCCGCAGAGGCTTCTGTGGCTGCCCCTGAATTACCACCGGCTCCCACACCCAGACCAGAAGTCGTCACTTACAGCAAAGGTATACAAACAGACGACTTAGCAGGACCACAATCCGATTCCGAAAGCGAGGTGGAATTGGAGAGTAGCGATACTCAGGATCCCACGCAGCCCAAGCGCCGGAGTAAGAAAGACCGTCTGCGCGATGAGGAAATCCGGAAGAAGCTTCGCGAGGAAATCGAGGAGGAAATACAGGCTACTCAGGCATTAGCAGATGAGGACGCTGCTAATCAGTCATCGCAACTACGATACCCCCTACGTACTTTGGAGGAGGATGAACTAAAGGCGGTTACCTCTTCTGAAGACTTCTTGGACTTTGTGGACCGGTCAGCGAAGGTGATTGAGCGTGCACTTGACGAAGAATATGATGTCCTAGCGGACTATGAATTACGAGGAATTGATGGTGATATAGTGGAAGATGAAGAACACGGAAAGAGGAGAGGGATCAAGGAGGTTTGCCAGTTCTGGGATGAGCGGTGGAGCAAGAAGCGTATGATTAGCGACTTGAGCTTCTCTCCAAAGGTCCGTGAACCGCAACTACCCATTCATTAACAAAAACTGACTCTCATAGTTCCCTGAACTGGTTCTGGCCTCTTACACCAAGAACCCTTCGGCCCCTCACGAGCCAGACGGTCTCGTCCAAATATGGAATCAACACTTGCATTCCCGCCCGGAATACATCTTTCACTCGACCTCAGACATCTTGACGGCCAAATTTTCTCCTTTTCACCCTAACCTTATTGTCGGTGGTTCGTATTCTGGTCAGGTCTTGCTATGGGATACTCGTTCGTCGCGCGCAGGCGGGGGCGCGCCTGTACAGAAGACGCCGCTTACCGGCTCCGGACACGCCCACCCAGTTTACAGCATCTCAATTGTTGGCACACAAAACGCTCACAACATTTTGACTGCATCGACCGACGGAGTTGTCTGCGGCTGGACAGTCGACATGCTTTCCCAACCGCAGGAATACCTCGAACTAACGTCCATTCCGCCATCCAAAACCGAAGATATCGCACCTACCACCATGTCTTTCCCGCAATCTGACCCAACATTCTTCATTGTCGGTACGGAAGACGGGGGAATCTACCCATGCCACCGCTACGACCGAGCCGGCGCAAAGGCAGGTACAGACCGCCGTCTCGCGTACCGCGGCCACACGGCCCCGATCATGTCAACAGCATTCCATCCAGCCCGGGGACCGGTCGATCTTGGCGATTTAATGCTCAGTTCGAGTCTGGACTGGAGTGTCAGGTTGTGGCGCGTGCGCCCACCAGCGACCACCGCATCTGCTACGTCCATTGCCGCAGCGACCCAAGTCGTATCTCCAATTCTAGACATCAATCGCGAAGACATTGTCTACGATGCGAAGTGGTCGCCCCACCGCCCCGGTGTTTTCTCCCTCGTCGACGGTGCTGGCCACCTCGAAGTCTGGGATCTCTACACAGATACTGAAGTCCCCGTTGTTCGAGCCACACCATCCGCTGGCCGCGCTGGTATTATCACCCGCAGCTTGAACAAGGTTGCCTGGGAAGAGCGCGAGGGACGGCGTCTGGCAACCGGTGGACTCGACGGTGTCGTCACCGTCTTCGAGGTCGGAAAGGGACTCAGCGGTACGCCTGAGGATGTATCTTCAGAGGAATGGACAGGGATGAAGCGATTGGTTGGGAAATTGGAACAGAAGGATAAAGTGGGTTGAATTGCATGCATATCATTTTTGTGGCATATATCCTCGTTGACTGTACATGTCATTCATGTAATGTTTTTACCGTCATTATTTTAGCTTAGCATATACCCCTTGGTCATGTACTTCTATCCATCTTATTATACATTTAAGTCCATACTTCGTAACTATGTTTCGATGGAGACACGGTTCCTTAGAAGTAAAGTCTCAAAGAAAATGAAAGGGTCGACCATGTGAATATATTTATCCGCGTCAGTATCTGCCAGCGAGTCTCGTCCCATTTGTTCTCACTTGAACACTCGGACAGAATTTGTCATTATGATTTGTAGTAATCTATATTTGATGTGTTTGCAGTTCTCAATCACTTCAGCAACCATTGCGACAGGTATTGGGACCGAGCTGTTGCAAATCTACGACATTCCTTACCAACTAGCTTAGCAAGCTACTTAGCCACTGCTTTGTTTTATCGGAAATGGCCTAGGTCGGATCTGCTTAGCATCGAGGAGTACATTAAGTACTTTTCCCGTTCTTACGGCCCAAAACCTCTAAAGCGAGTGCTCAATTATTCGACAATGGCCAATGTTCAATACCCAGTGCCCAGTGCCTCGAGATTTCGGAAATCTCTCGGGGGAATTTATCCAAGAAGGTGACAATAAGCGTGCTAGTCGCACATGAAAACATTATTACCCTCCAATACATCTATAGGAAGGAATTCTGATCACCGTTACCGGGATTGAATAATTCCACATCTTCAACAGGAGATCAATGGCGATAGCCAATCGAGACTGCGCTTCCCGATGAGCTTGCTGTGTCTCGGCCTGAGAGAAGGAAGCCGACCAATTTCCTCGTGGCATTGGGCAGTCTTGGAGGGCTCGTAGCTTTCGAAGGAGAATTGGCGGTTTGCAATATGATCCTCTCTTCTAGATCAACGCAGGGCTATGTCTGAAAAGACATACCGTCGCACTATGCACCGTAAGACGCCGGGAAGGGCAGTGAGGTTACTCTAAGCGGAAGAACCATAGCTTACTTTTGTCTAGCCATCAAGACGGAACATGAAAGGTGTCTCTTTGTCACGAAGCCAGGTCCTCAGCCGACTTTTGCCTGCTGCCATGTCTTATGTGTGGGTCTCCTCGCCCAATGACTGATGAACAGATCACGGTTAGGTTAGTATTTATATACATCTTGCAAATATGGATCTTTTTCGCTTCTCCCACGTGAAAATGTGATTATGCGTTAGGTCAAGAAGTTAGCGGTTGAATTGGATTACGACCATAGGGTTATATATATATCAGAAACCGTACCTTCGGATCGGAGTCCTCGCAGACCACCACAAAACATCACCGAGCATCCGCATGTAAAGCTGATCAAGTCTTCCTCTAGAATGCCTCAAAAATAACAGCCATTACGAAGCAACGAAGTTAATAAGTCGTCGAAAAGGGTCTGGCTCTTTCCCAGAGGATTCGTACCCTCCGAGGGAACCTCGAAAGGCCGGTTCAAAGTAAGTATTCATCCTTTAAATTAGTAAATAGTCGCCAAGTATTCGCTTAATCTTAGAGAGAATCCAGTTCCAGAACAGCTACCGTATCCTCTGCGTCGCCACTAATCAGGAACTTGATGGAAGCCCATTATGAGATGAGGCCAAAGGAATAAAGTTCATTGGTACCTCATTTCTTTTGGTTGGATTGAATAGTAGCAATACATTTATTAAGGTATGCAGTCACTTCCTTGGGTTGGAATTATTCTATCATATTGCAGTGAAATTTTTAGCCATTTGATTGTGTTGATTGAGCTAAGTCCTTGTCATTTAGAATTGCGCGTGCAATTGTGAGGTACCTTTTGGAGTATTGAAGACGGTAGACAGCTTCAATACCCTTCAACGTGCATTATCCATAGCAGTGATATGGTAACTTCGGGGTTAGAAGGACGCGGGTAGATATGTATCCCATAATTTCATTTCTCGTCATATTTATGAATTCACATATATAACATGCTTTGTAACTCTATCAATAAGTATATTTGAACGTTATCTGCAATTTGTTAGTGTCAATCATGCCCACATGGTAAAACAATGCATAAGACATACCGTTCCCCGTCGAATCGCCCTCCGATTACACAGAAAAAAGTACACCGTAAATACGGCCACAATCCCAATCATGAGAATATGCGAGCCCACAGACACCCACACAGCAGTCGGATACTGTGGTGCCTCTTGTTGCCTCACGATATAACTCCCCGCCACTCCCCCGAGTCCATTGCATGCCGCAACAGCGGCTGCGACAGTAGCTCGCTTCCACTGACCAACTATATTGTTGGCCATGAATGCGTTCAGTGCCGCCCAGTTGGAGACATATGCGCCGGTTGCGAGGAAGGTGCCAATGTAGCGGACTGTGACTTGGGAAGAGAGGCCCAGCATCAAAAAACCAGCGATAAGACAGAAGGAATTGATGATGATGAGGGGCCCGCGGATGCGGTAAGCGTCTCCAATTAGAGAGGTGAGCAAAACGGGGATAACGGCCCAGTAGTATGGCTGTTGGAGTTAGTACTGTCATTGGTATGATCAAGGAACGAGCATACCGGAGTGGACAGGATAATGGATGCACTACTGGAAAATCCCATGCCGGACTGCAATATTATGGGAAGGAAATAGCTCAAGGAGGTCGACACCAGATTTAACAGAAAGAACATGACAGAGAACCCATAAAGCTTGTGGTCCGCAAAGCACACCCAGACTTTGCTCCATGAGAAAGGCTCCGCGACAACATCGCCACGATCATGCTGAATTCGCTGGGATGCTATGTAGGCCTCCCTCTCTGTCAGAAAGCGGAAGCTGCGATGCGCCTGTTCCGGAAAGTCAATCATCCACCAATACGTGCCGATGCCGATCACACAGGCGATAAGGCCCTGAACGAGAAACATCCAGCGCCAGCCTGCCAGTCCGCCTTTTCCATTGAGATGATTGAGTGCATAATTGATAATGTTACCCGTAGCCAGCCCGAGCACTTCGCCAGATTGCATCGCAGCGAAGCGAAGCTGCTGCTCGCGCCGGGTGTACCAGGCGCTGATGAGGTAGGTCATAGATGGATAGATTCCAGACATAGCGACTCCCAACAGCACGCGCAGGGCAATCATTTGTCCCCACGTGTGAACAAAGGCCGTGCAGAGAGTAATGACACCGAAACAGACCGTAGTGGACGAAAGCCAGAGACGCGGCCCGACAAGACGCACAGCCACAGTGCTGGGAAGTTTAAAGACCACATTGACAATTGTAAATATAAAGACGGAGACAGAGTATCGTGTGCCGTGAAGATCCAGGTCTTCGAACATGGTGGTGACTGAGGCTGAGGAGAGGATGCCCGAGTCCAGGAGATTCAAACAGCACAGGGTACCTGCGATTGTACAGAGACGAATGTCAATTTTGAGTCGGACCTTTTTCTCAAGACTCGTAAACTCCTCCGGTTGCAGTCTGCTGTAGGCATCGTTGCTGATAATTGTTCTGGTTCTGTTCCTGTTTCCTACCGACTCCTCGAAGGGATGATCTGTTTTGGCTGTGTTATCGACATGAGACTCAGCGGTGTCCATAATTTTTCTTGGATTGATGAAATGAAGAGGAATTCTCATGAAATCGAGCATCAAGGCTGAGAGACTCTAAAATAAAAAAAGATTCGAGATGCACGCTGGCATCCTCACTAATCGGTGTGCATGCATTGATAGACGGGCAAGCTACAACATTCTGACCGCAGAGATTTTGAGTCGACTGTGATAGTGGGCCAGCTGAAAAAGCAAGATAAACTTAAAGTCGACGCTGGAGGAATCAATAAAAGCCAAATAGCCCGGTGGGTTACTACGTACTTAGTCCGCGGATCCTGGGCTGACCTGGTCCGAGTATTACTATCGCTATCAGCACCCAAATGGTACAAAACACAGAGAACACAATTGTGATGGCGATAAAACTGTTTGCAGCTTCGCCCAATTTGTATAGCTTCACTTTCCCGTTTGGGAATTCTCAGCGCCAGCATCGCATTCCATTTTACTTGTGCTTGGTATTAGACGGCAAATATATACTCTTGTTCACTGATAGTTGTATATATGCCATGGTTCGTTATTCTCAACAGTTCAGGTCGTGTGTTTGCACATGAAATAGTATATTCGCTTCTCTGTACATAGTATGGAGTAGAGACAGAAAATCGGTACTTGCCATTGCCACAATTGTTTAAGAGATCTATCTCCATTCCTCCTCTGGATGCTCCAACTCAACCCCGCAAAAGCGCCATTGACCCACGCCGGGCGAAAGGAGAGTCATCAAGAGTACGGATTATACTGTCCTCTGGGGTAACAGTTAAAGAGTGAGGCTTCCCTGGTGAATTTTCTCTATTTGCTCTGCTTTTCGCTCTGTTATTGCTGTGGCCGAAATTCTCATACTATGTACTACTGATCCATACAAAGACCCAATTTGGCCCACCGCTGATAACGATAAACAAACGCACCTTTCTTGCCAACAAAGACTTGACCACCTTTTTCCTTTTATATCACCCTCGCCCAACTGCTTTCATAAGAGAAACAAAATCAGACAAGATGGTTGAACTTATACATACTCCCGATCCCCGCACATTACTGCCTCCCATCCTGGCGTGCCTCCCCACCGCATTTGTATCGCCACGCCCTCCTCCGGCTCTTCTCCCTCTTTTGTCTCCGATTTTGCGCCAACGAGTCCAGTTCCTCACTTCTGTCTCGGTTTCGCCAACGGATTCATGGCTCCGGCTACTTTCGTGGAAATCAGAGAAAGGAGAGGAACTTCAGGCTCTTGTCGATGGCACAAATTTCGAGCCCCACCCCGTCTCGGGGGAGATCGAGCTGCCCGATGAACTGCCCGTGAGCTACAAACGGATCGACGAAGAGACCCTCCATGCACAGATCGCGCTTCCCGAATACTGCTTAAAGGCTATTTACCTCTGGTGCCCGCCTGATCAAGAGAATGAAGGACCGGGCTGGCGACTGGCTGAACTACTACCTCGAGAAGGAGCGGCGGAGGATGAAGAGACTTGGTCCACTTCAATCGGGGAGGCGAATGCACAGTCCAAGGAGAGATTGATGGAGGATGCACTACGGACTGCGGAGAGTGATGAACGTGCCAAGCAGAACGGTCAAGGACAGCAAGAGCAAGAAGAGGACGAAGATGATGCTGCATACTGGGCCCAGTACGATGCGACACCTGGACGAACTCCAGCTGTCAAGACACCAGCTCCTAATCCTGCTTCCTCCCTAGAACAGCAGAATGCATCTGAGACATCGTATTTCTCGCGATACGGCGATGTACAGCCAGCCATGGATAACCATGACCCTGAGGAGGAACAGCCCGAGGTGGGACCGACTTCCCTCAACGGGGACCTGCTGGCCAGTCTCCTGCAAAGGCAGGTTAATGGCTCTGAAGCAGACTCATCTGCGCAGATTAACGGCTACCCGTCAGGAGCAGCCAACGAAGAGAGTGTCGCGTTACTCAATCATCCTCGTCCATCGTCAGATTCGACTGCCAGCTCCGATGCAGTAGCAAAGCTGGAATTGGAAGCGGAGAGCCGGTCTGCGTGCGAAGTAGGAGTCAAACAGCACATCACCTCCAACATCAAGAGTCTGTTCAGACTGGCCAAGAGCACGGGGATCTCTCGAACGGAGTTTCAATCTTTGGTCAAGACAGAATTGGACTTGCTTGATATGACTGATGTTGACGAGTAACGAAGTCGTTGTCTTTGCTATTTTGAGCTTTTTGTTGATTCCAGAGCGTGTCTTGGACGGAGTCTAGGCATAGAGTATATACTAGTATGGTTTGGGAGTTGGGTTGCTATCAATCGGTTAATCGAACGTATACAGAACATCAATTCAATTGCAATTCCTAATATTTTGTACGTCTACTCTTCACATGAAACAAATTGGTGCATACTCCTATATCGGCCCTCCGCCTTTTCCGTTCCGCTGAAGCCAAAACATCCGACCCAAAAACGACACGCAATCCGCATCGCAACCAGCTCCTCATCGTCGCCCCTCCTTTTCTCGCTTTTGCTCATGTTCTTCGTTTGATTCCTTTTGTTGAATTGCTTCTTGTAAGTGTGCTGTCTTGGTCCGTGGCCGTGGTAATGCTAGTGCCTCTTGTTGTCCTAAACTAACGCCCCTGTTACTTCCGCAGTTCTTCTACTCCTGGTCGCTCTCTTGATTTCTTGATTACACAATTTCTTTACAACATGTCTGGCACTTCGCCGTCTCTCCGTAAGAGAGGCGGAAAGAAGGAGACCGACTACGCTTCGGACGATGCTTCTTCGCCATTACTTGCTGGTCAAGGGGGCTCTGACACTCCTAAGCGTCAGTCGGAATGGAGTTATAGGCTGGCCATGGCCATTCTGACTGTGCTGGCGTTCGTCACCCGATTCTGGAGAATCTCCTACCCCGATGAAGTTATTTTCGATGAGGTGCACTTCGGAAAGGTAAGGTCGAATTCCTGCTCCGCCAGAGCGACAGGAGGTCTGACTTTGGTTGCTTTGTTCTAGTTCGCCTCGTACTATCTCCAACGCACCTACTTCTTCGATGTCCACCCTCCGTTTGGTAAACTTCTCTTCGCCTTAATGGGATGGATGATTGGATATGACGGCCACTTTTTGTTCGAGAACATTGGTGAATCGTACATCGAAAATAAGGTCCCCTATGTCGCTCTCCGTGCCATGCCCGCGACCCTCGGTGCCCTTACCGTGCCTGTGGTTTTCCAGATCATGTGGGAGTCGGGATACTCGCTGCCTGCTTGCGTGTTGTCGGCCGGACTTGTTCTGTTTGACAATGCCCACATTGGAGAGGACCGTTTGATTCTCATGGACTCGACCCTGGTGATCGCCATGGCCTTGAGCATCTTGTGCTATATTCGCTTCTACAAGCTGCGTCATGATCCATTTACTCGGAAGTGGTGGAAGTGGCTCCTGTTGACTGGTGTGTCGCTGAGCTGTGTCATCTCGACCAAGTACGTTGGTGTGTTCACCTTCATCACCATTGGTGGCGCGGTCGTTATCGACTTGTGGAACTTGCTGGACATTAAACGTCCACGGGGAGCGCTCAGCATGTTCCAATGGAGCAAGCACTTTGGGGCGCGTCTCTTTAGTTTGATTATCCTGCCCCTATTCTTCTATCTCTTCTGGTTCCAGGTCCACTTCACGATTCTTAACCGCTCCGGCCCCGGCGATGATTTCATGACGCCAGAGTTCCAGGAAACGTTGAGTGACAATGCCATGGCCGCGCAATCCGTCGGCATCCAATACTTTGACAGCATCACCATCAAGCACAAGGACACCAAGACCCTCCTCCACAGCCACTGGGAGAAGTATCCTCTGCGCTACGACGACGGACGGATTTCGAGCCAGGGCCAGCAGGTCACCGGATATCCTTTCAACGACACGAACAACCATTGGCAGATTCTTCCTACTGTGCCTCTAGCCGATGGCGAGGTTCATTCGGTGAAGAACGGCGACGTTATCCAGCTGCGTCATTTGGGAACGGACTCCATTCTCCTGACCCACGATGTAGCATCGCCATTCTTCCCAACCAACCAGGAGTTCACTACCGTTACACAAGAATTGGCCGATGGCGAGAGACATAACGACACGCTGTTCGAGATCAAGATCGAAAATGGAAAGGCTCAGCAGGACTTCCGAACCCTGTCGAGCCACTTCAAGTTGATCCACGTTCCTACCAGGGTGGCGTTGTGGACGCACACGACGCCCTTGCCGGACTGGGGCTTCAAGCAAGCCGAAATCAACGGAAACAAGAACGTCCTGCAGTCCAGCAACTTGTGGTATGTAGACAGCATTGAGTCGTTGCCGCCAGACAGTCCTCGTTTGTCCAAGGAAGAGCGCAAGGTCAAGCAGTTGCCTTTCCTCCGGAAGTATCTCGAACTGCAGCGGGCCATGTTTTTACACAACAATGCCTTGACCAGCAGCCACCCGTACGCTAGTGAGCCCTTCCAGTGGCCATTCCTCCTCCGCGGTGTCAGCTTCTGGACCAAGGAGAGCACCCGGGAGCAGATTTATTTCCTTGGTAACCCTATCGGATGGTGGATTGCTAGCAGCTTGTTGGCTGTTTTTGCTGGTATCATTGGTGCGGACCAGCTTTCTCTTCGACGTGGGGTCGATGCTTTAGAAGAGAGTAAGTCCTCTTATCCGTTAATGCTGAGAGATGCATGCTAACTGAATTAGTCTGGGGCCCTGGTACCCGCTCCCGCGTGTACAACAGTACTGGTTTCTTCTACCTCTGCTGGGCAGCTCATTACTTCCCTTTCTGGCTCATGGGACGTCAGCGTTTCCTGCACCACTACCTCCCCGCCCACCTGGCCTCCGCCCTTGTGGCCGGCGCTCTGGTCGAGTTCATCTTCAACCTCCAGCCGATCCCCGTTAATCAGGCCATCACCGAGACCACTGACGACCCGTCCGGCAAGTCCCGCACTGCTGCTCCCCGCCGTTTCGTGCAGGCCTCAGAGCGCATGGGCAAGAAGTCCATCGTCGCAGGATGGATCGCTACTTTGGTTATTCTTGGTGCCACAATCTACGGATTCTGGTTCTTTGCGCCGTTGACCTACGGTACTCCTGGTCTGGATGTCGCGGGTGTCAATGCGCGTCGCTGGCTGGGCTATGATTTGCACTTTGCTAAGTAATTGGTCTTGTAGTTTGATGTTTGCGTTGTTAGGTTCTGGTGTCATTGTTGGTGATAAGCACGGGGTACTCGGGGTTGTATGCGAGTTGTAAGATAGACAAGCTGCTCTTTTTTGCGCTTTTGAATGTTCGTTAGGACGAGAATAAATCATAAATACAGGGTAAGGTAGGATCATAGGTATAACCAGAATTGTTTTATCACATTGTTCATCCTCCATAGCATTCGGAGCATTAATTCAATACACGTACTCTACTTACATATATAACCTATCGAACCAAAAGACTCCAAGAAAGCCACTCAAGCCGTCTTAACCTCAAACTCCCCCTTAACTCTCACATCCCTTGAACTCGCCCCAATCCTAACGCCGTAACTCCCACCAACAACACCCCACTTCTGCGCTCCAACATCCCAATACGAAATATCCCTCCTCCTTAACCCGAACCTAACCTCCGCACTCCCTCCCTTCTCAATCTCCACCCTCTCGAAACCCCTCAACTGCCGAACAGGCTGCTTGGCGGCCTCGGGATATTCGATGTACAATTGCGGTACTTCAGCACCAGACAGTGGACCTGTGTTCTCAATGGACAGGGTGACGTTGGCGACGATGTCCCAGAGGTCTGTGGGGCCGCCGACGGAGGGGGTTCCTGTGGGATAGCGGGAAAGGGAGGTTTTGGGGGAGATGTGGAGGGAGGAGTAGTTAAAGGTTGTGTAGGAGAGGCCGTGACCGAAGGCGTAGCGGGGGGTTTTGTTGTAGACATCGAAGTAGCGGTAGTCGATGTAATTTCCTGTATCATTAGCCCACTGAAATAGGGCGGGGCAAGGTGTTTGGGGGAGGAAAGGTACCTTCGGTAAAGTTGCATTGGGAGGTATAGCAGAGATCAACATTGTAGTCACTCTCGTTCTTCGCGATGGTGTAAATGAGACGACCACTAGGGTTGACATCGCCGTAGAGAACGTCCACGATGGAGTTACCGGATTCCTGGCCCAGGAGGGAACCGTATACAACAGCGGTGACGTTTTCGTTTTCGATCCACTGATCGACGAGACGCGCTCCGACGGTGTTTATGACCACGACGGTGTTGTTGCAATTTTCTGCAACGGATTTCACCAAGTTATCCTGGTCGACGTTATACAGTTCCGTGCGGTCAGCGCCCTCGCCGGCCAGCGCGTTGAGGAAGACGACGCAGACGTCCTGGTTATCTGCGTATGTGGAGATGGATGGTGTAACTGCCGTGCTGTCGGAGCCCTGCATGACGAGCGCAGACCCGCTGCCGCCGCTGTACGTATCGTTCAAAACCCAGCGGATCATGGTGCCGTCTTCGGCGGCCTTGCTGGTAAGCGCGTGCTGCGGGGTGATGAGGTAGGGATACGAGCTCTGTCCAGATCCAGTGTCTGTAGCCAGATGGCCCTGGTAAGTAGGACCGGAACCCTGGACGCTGAATTCAGTGTTCGGGCCTGCGGTGGCTGGTCCCGCGTGTGAGCCAAATATGGACATCGTGTGCGGTTTCTTCAAGGGCAGGGCGCTGTTTGTGTTCTTGAGCAGGACGAGGGATTTGGCGCCGTTGGCGCGGATGAGCTTGGAGTGGTTTGCGCGGACGTCGACGTAGGCGTCTTTGTCGGCGGTTACGGGCTGTGTGCCGTTGTCCAGGTTGACGTGGTAGTAGGCCATGAGGTTGCGGATGGCCATATCATTGAGTTGGGCTTGGGGAAGGCTGCCGTTCGAGAGGAATTGCTTCATAGTGGATGTGCTCCAGAGGCTACTAGATCCGTAATCAAGACCGTTGACCGCGCTGGCCAGGGCGTGCTGCTGCGCCATGGTGTCTGGGAAGACCATACCGGGGAATCCAAGTTCGTTCTTGAGCAGTCTGCGCAGAATATCGGAGTTCTCGCAGGACAGTGTGTTGTTGACCTTGGTCATGGCACACATGACAGCTCCAAGTCCGTTCTTGACACCGTCATAGAAAGACCACAGATACGTCTCGTGCATGGTCTTATCGTCAGCGTTCGATGAGTAGGGGGCGGAGCTAGAGCTGGAGTCAGAGCCCCCAGCCGCACGCTTGGATGGTGGCATGGAGCTAGACGAGGAGTTCGATCCTACCATGCCTCCAGGGCCACCATTAGCACCCCCAGGGCCACCACCGCCGCCGCCGCCACCCGACGTGCGGTTCGTTTCTTGCTCATTAAGAATGTAGTGTTTGGCCCCGGCAATCACACCAGTATCAACGTAGGCCTTTGTACTCAACCCAGTAACAATGCCATTCAAATACGGATCCGGACCAAAAGTCTCAACTAATCGACCACCCCAAACAGTTCTTCCCATAGGCTGCGTGGTAGGTCCATTGACGACTTGAATACCCTTGAGGTAGAACTCTGTGGCCACGGCGCGGGCCTGGTCGTACATGGCCTCCCTGTCCCAGGTCATGGCCAGGGCGGAGCTCTGACTGAATGCAGAGGCGTAGAAGTAGTCCTGGAGACCCATAGAGCCGTCAAGGAACTGCAGGGCCGTGAAGGTGCCGTCGGTGGTGTTGACATCGTTACCGGTAATCAGCTGGATTTTCTGGGCGGTGCTTAGTTGGGAGACGAAGTGGGATGCTTTCTGAAAGGCATCTTGCCATTCGCCAAGGGACACTGCAATTGTCAGTTGAATGGTCATAGAGGTTCTCATGGCGTACACATACCTCCGTTAGCCTTTAGGAGACCCTCTGAGGAGTTTGTCAATGCGAGAGCCGAACCCAAAAGGGTCGACAAATAAGCAAATGAGTGAAGCTTCATCTTTACAGCCACATAAACGAAAGGAATGAGAACCGAAAGAGTAGCAGAGAAGAAAAGACGAAGAAATAAATCATTTATTCCCCTATATCATCCAGCCGAAGAAAACCCGACCCTTTAAGGCTGGGAGGGTTGACGTATGCGCTCCATTTTGGTGGCATTCCTGAACCAAGCTAAAATAGCATGGGCCCACGATTTGAAGCAACTAAGGGCTTTATCGGTGTCGTTGGGATTCGGAACGAAGCCAAAGTTGGTCCACACGTCCGGGCAGTGGAGACAGAGGTTGTAGAAGATTGCAGGGCAAAGCCCTGGTAACGCGTCACCATGAATTGCATATTGAATAATAGTAGTATCAAAGAGTAATCTGATGGCGGTTATGTGGCGGTAGTTGTTGAACTTGTGGTCGAGAATGTGTTGAGGCTGAAGTGAGATCCCGTGACAGGTGCATTATCTGATCTCAATCAGATCAGTGATTCTTCATTTCCGCACGGAAGGAAGACGGAATCGGAGACAAGAGAGACATCCGTGTTCCGTAACCGGACATCTAATCAATCATTTGGATCATCGTCGAATTCAACTCTCCGGGTCTAGTCGTTTCGTCTCGAAACGAACTTTTCGGGATATCCGGTCGGGATATCCGAGTATCTACAGAAGAGAATATGGAAGATGAGAAGGCTACTGACTGTCGAAGATAGACAGGCACCTCTAATTCTGGATCCTTCTAACCCGAAATTCTACTCTCCAACAGTATGAGAGTCGTCTACGGGGACGAAACTACATATATGCCTCAAGACTCTGGCCAACATTAATATGAACTAAACTGCGAATCCGCAACAGATGACAGGCTATAGCAGTACCAAACCACAAAAATAAACAATCATGAATAAATAACAGACCAAACGCCATCGTATATATATATATATATATATATCGCAAACAAATCAATCACCAGGCCATCCGCTTGCCAATTTCACTCTCCCACCCACGCACTCTCTCAAATCCATTCGATGAAGTCTGGAAGTCAAGCATAGCCTGATAAACCTGTTCCTGGGTATTCAGGACGAAAGGACCGTACTGAACCACCTTCTGATCCAGCGGTTGACCAGCCACAAGAAAGATGCGCGAGTCGGATTCCGCATTGTCAGGAACAGACATCTCCACATAGCCACCATCTTGCTCAAAGACAACATTGTGGTATTCCTTGATCAATTGAGTTGAGTCGTTGGAGCCAAAGACAGTGGTGCCACCGAGAGTGTATGCGAATGCGTTCCAGCCCTGAGGCAGAGCCTGGGTGATCTTGCCACCGGGCTTGATGTTGATATCGAGGATCCAAACAGGGGTGTATGCGAGATCACGAACGGAGTCGACACCGTGTGATTGACCAGAGATCACCTTAACAGTAACCCGGCCATCATCGACGGTAACAGAGGGAATTTCATTGGCCCGTAGATCGCGGTACCGGGGCTCGCACATCTTCAACTTGGCCGGAAGATCGACCCAGAGCTGCATACCCACGTTGGGGCTACCGTCGGGGTTCTCGTGGGGCATCTCCGCATGCATAATACCCTTTCCCGCGGTCATGAACTGCAAGTCGCCAGGGCCAATGGTACCCTTGTTACCTGCGAAATCTTCATGGTCTACACCGCCGGAGAGAAGGTAGGTAATGGTCTCTTGGCCGCGGTGCGGGTGGTCTGGGAAACCGGCGCCCTTGCCAATGGTGAAGTGGTCGAGCATGAGGAAGGGGCTGAAGTTGCGGAGCTTCATGGTGCCAATGGAGCGGCGCACACGGGCGCCTGCACCTTCGCCTTGCTCAATGGCGAGGAAAGCCTGACGGATCGCACGGGGAATAGCCATTTCCGTGACTGGGTGGACGATAGGGGCGTACTCGGTGTTCCGTGAAGTAGTTGTGATGTGGGTGTTCAAGTACTGCGACAAGGTAGCTGGGACTTGTTCTTGAATATAAGAAACTAGATCCTTGATTTGATCCGGTTGGTAGATATAAGAAAGAAGAATTGCTATAATGCAAATTGAGAATGAGAGAAACAGTTTCATCGACCCGGATGGGGGCTATATATACAGCAACGGCAGCGTAGCAGAGAATACAGGAGAAACTTCGCGAGTCTGGGGAAGCAGAATTTAAAAGCGAGCTGTCAGCGTTAGTCACGGACTTCTAATCTTCATAACCCATTGTTCATGCTTTCAATTGGCGCATTGCAATTGGCTTTTCCGGATTTCCAATCCATCACTAACCATTATCGATCTGTGGGGTGCGCTGCTGATCCACCGCTTTGTCAGGCTTCTGTCAGCAGTGGAAGGATTAACGATACTCCGAAACATGTCTGCCCGAGCGGTAAGGTATGTATTCGGGTTGGCACATTCAACTAGTTATTAGTTGTAATATTCTGCAGTTATTTTTGGGACTCATACATAGTAGTAGTACTCTATTGATAGAAATAGAATTATTTCTTAATATGCATAGATGCGCGTAATACGAAGTTAGTCAAATCTTGTAGCAGTGTCTAGCAAGTCTTGAGGATTGTCTAGTTAACTACTCCGTAGAGTACCTCCGTGTACACATTTATCAACCTGGAGCTCTTGTACAGTGTATTATTTGGGTGTACTTAGTCTTAGCATATGATTGCTGCTCTCCACATTCTAAAAGAAATTGCTGATATTGCTATGTTTTGTATACTTGCACGTGCAGTGTCATCATCGCCGGTGCTCGGTCCGATATTCACAGCTGGCCTGTTATCTCCTTGCATCTCCATCTTTTCCCCAGAAACCTTGTCGCTTTGAGAATTTTATGTCCACTAATCTCAATATATGTATTATATTTAATTTATTATCATCGCCAGCTGAAACGAAAAAAGTTCCTGTCGAGTTCGCGCATTTCTGAGAACCCCAACTGCACCGCGGGGAAGCTCCCCTATCAGCGCAGGGACACCATCGCTACGAACAGCTTCCACGACGAGGAAAACCGAGAAAGAAATTGATAATTAGTGGAATTAGAGAATATGACGCGGCGCACACGGTTATTCACGCCTTTACTGGCGTTGGCATATGCTACGTCTGGTGCGTGGGCTGGCAAGAAGATGTTCAACATCCATGATGACCTACTAGCACACCCTCAGGTATCCCGCAACAACATGATGGCGCATGTTGATGGAAATTGCTAACCGTGCTGATGACCATATAGTATCAAGTCCGTTTCCCAGACGACTACGTTCTCGAATCGCAAGCAGACGAGCTGCTACAGGCACAGCACGCTTCAACATACGGCAGCGCAAATGTCGAACAGAAACAAGCACAAGTTTACATGTCGAATTCGAATAAATCAAAACGCGATAATGAAGATGGTGACGCCACCGAAGTTTCTTACGAAGAGATGAGCCTCGACGGACAGCGATTCCTTTGCGAGATACCACGGGTGGATTTTGACAATCGTAACCAGACCAAAGTGAATGAGCCAAACGAAGACGAGGAGAAAAAGGAGTTGGCACGCGCAACAGATCGTGGGTTGGAACTGCTTCGCGAATTGGAAGGGAAATGCATGTACTACGTTTCTGGGTGGTGGTCCTATTCGCTTTGCTACAAGAGGCAGATAAAGCAATTCCATGCTTTGCCGGCCGGAGGTGGTGTGCCTGGTTATCCTCCGATGGAAGACCCCACTACCCATTCATTTGTCCTGGGTAGATTCCCTCGGAAAGACGACCGGAATGATATCGATGAAGAACCGATGCAAAAGAGGACAACAACGGACGTGGCGGAGCTCCAGACAAAGGGAGGGTCGCGATACCTGGTACAGAAGCTCGAGGGCGGGACTGTTTGCGATCTAACGGGCAAGAGTCGGAAGATTGAGATCCAGTTCCATTGCCATCCTCAGTCGACGGACCGGATCGGATGGATCAAGGAGCTTACCACCTGCTCCTATCTGATGGTCGTGTATACCCCACGCCTGTGCAATGATGTTGCGTTCCTGCCACCCCAGCAGGACGAGGTCCATACGGTTGATTGCCATGAGATTCTCGCCCACGATGAAGTTGCTGACTGGGGAGCAATGAGAGAGTATCAGTTGTCTCAGAAACTAGTGGAGTCTGGAATCCCGCTATCCGACCTCCGCATCGTTGGTGATATTGAGGTTGGCGCCCAGAAGCTAGTCGGGACAGAAGGCAAACGGATCGAAAAGGGGCGAGTGGCGTCTGTTGGCGAAGAGAAAGTGGACGTAGTGGCCAAGCGCGAGAACGGCAAACTGCAAGTGTTGTCCAAGAATGAGCTCAAAAAGTTCGACCTGGATCCGGACAAAATCGAAACGCTGAAGAGACACCTGGAAAAGGAGGCCAAAGGTCGAGACTGGACCTTGGAAATGGTCGAGGTCAATGGTGAGCGTGGGTTACGCGGGATTATCGAGTCGGATGAGGAGGAAGAAGAAGAAGATGGGTCTGCAGAGATGCCCGATGAATCTGAACGGACTGAGATCCCTGCTGCTGCGAAGGACAACGAGAAGGGTCAGGAGAAGGGTCAGAAGCAACCTGAGCCCCAGCCTGTTACTGAAACTGGGGACTCCAGCGAGCCGGAAGGTTCGCCTGAAAATGCAGAACAAGGCAGTGAAGAGGTCTTCTTCCGAGACGAGCTATGATTTTTTAAATCATTTGGGTGTTCTTATGTTTAGTTCTCAGCAATTCTCAGCATACCTCTGTATACATAGAGTAGTTGTACTTTGCATTTCTGTGCCAGATACAAAAGATATGATTCCCCTTGTTATTATTGACTGAAATATTAGTGTTGTTTATACCAGGTACCCTGTTCTCCATACTATAACGAAGTTGAAATGCCGTTTCCAGAAACATTCCCCGGCTGTCAGTCAGTGCACACTTGAGTTACTTCGGAGTGTCCCAAAACAGACCATTGAGTTATTTTACAGCAATTATTCAACTCTTTCTGGTTCTCTATACTGTTTGTCCTTTTCGTACTCTGAAGTTAATATAAGTCTGTTTCAGTTGGGCGCAAGTAACGTGACCGCCCCTCAACGCTGCCTCCGAACTGACGACGACGATCGACTCTCCAAAGCCACACCCAACCTCATCTCTCCTTCTCACTTCCCCATACGGTGGACTTGCCACTCCCTCCCTCCTCTTTTCTTCTCTTTTCCTACTTCTAATCTTTTTTTATCCCCCAGCCTGTTTCTCCCCCTCAGGCTCTCTCCTCCCCCTCCTAATCAACCCCCCGGTACTCCTGTCGCATTCGTCCGGTTAGCCCCCGTCCCCGTCGGTTTCCCCCGACCGATTATCCTAAAGTATACGTACCTCTAACTGATTCGACAAGAGGACACACGACCTACCTTTATTCGAGCGCTGCACCTGGCAGCAATAGCAGCAACGATACTAGCAGTGACGCGACCATAAGTCCATCGCCAGTATGGGGTTCCTCGGCGTATACACGGCCGTGTACGATTACCACCCCCAAGCAGAGGGGGAACTCGACCTGCGTGAAGGAGATCTACTCTACCTGCTCGAGAATAATGCTGAAGATGACTGGTGGAAAGCGAAGAAGAAGGCCAATAGAGAGGATGAGGACGAACCGGAGGGTCTCGTGCCCAATAACTACGTTGAAGAGGTAGGGATAATTTGCCGCAGCCACTCCCCTTATTTTGTGTGATTTGCGACGAAATAGGAACCAAGCATGCAAAGGATTTCTTTTCGAGCTTTATCGATCACATTGCATTTTCTGGGGTATCTTGCAGTTGTCGAATGTTTACTATGCGGAGACCGCTCGGAGAGGACGGAATCAACGAGATAACCCCTGGGTGTTTGTATGGACTACAGGTTGCTAATTTCTTTTGTCGCCATTATCCAGGCTCAACCCATTCATATGGCAAAGGCGCTTTACGATTATACACGCCAGACAGACGAAGAAGTGTCGTTTTCGGAAGAAACAGAGCTGGTTGTATACGACACTTCAGATCCTGACTGGACGCTGGTCGGTGTCAATGCAGATTACGGATTTGCCCCCGCGAATTACATTGAAATCGTGGCAGACGGCACCGCTGCCGAGACATCAGAGCCTGCTGCTGCGTACGCTGCTGAACCGCCAGCTCCCGCGCTTCCTCAGCGTCCTCCCGTGCCTCCGGCAACGGCAGAGCCAGAAGAAGAAGAGCCTCCTGCTCAGCCGCCTAGATCCCCTGCTGATACGGTCCAGAATCCGGCGGCCGCAGCCATTGCTGATATAATCCACAAGCAGAACGCGTCGCCTGTTGAGGAACATCAATTTCCTACTCGTGCCATACCCCCTCCGCCTCAACCGACATATGAGCCCGAGGATAACTACCACAATGAACCATCTCCCCCAAGTCTGCCACAGCGGCCCCCGTCGCAGCAAGTCTCCCCTCCGGTCCGGCAGCGTTCGCCCCCCCTGCCCACCCGCTCACCGATTGTGGCGATCAAAGACGAAGACCGGGAGGGACATGTGAAAGAGTCTCCCCCGTACAACCGTGTTGGACAACCCGCTCCGCGTTCGCCATCGGGATATCATATGTACAATATCAACGAAATGGTTGAGGCTATGGGTAAAAGAAAGAAGATGCCAACGACACTGGGCATCAACGTTGCTACAGGAACTATCTTCATCTCACCTGAAGGAGATGGCGAGCACCAGGAATGGTCTCCGGAGAAGCTCACGCACTACTCAATTGAAGGGAAGCACGTTTTTGTCGACTTGGTTCGCCCCAGCAGGAGCATCGACTTCCACGCCGGGGCCAAAGATACCGCTCGTGAAATTGTCGCTGCTCTCGGTGAGATCTGCGGTGCCTATCGAGCTGAGGGATTAAAAGAAGTTATTGCGGCCAGTACTGGTGGTGGTGGAAATAAGAAGGGTCAGATCGCGTACGACTTCATGGCACAGGGCGATGATGAGGTGACCGTGGCTGTGGGCGATGAAGTCGTCATCCTCGATGACACGAAATCCGAAGAGTGGTGGATGGTTCGTCGTATCAAGAACGGCAAGGAAGGCGTTGTCCCAAGCAGCTACATCGAGGTCACCGGTTTTGTCTCCAAGGAGCCAACCGGAATTGAGTCTGGTCTGTCGACCGTGGAAAAGAACCGCCTGGAGGAGTCCCGACTGGCCAAGGAAGCCCTGAGAAATACACGGGCTGACTCTATTGACTCCAGAGGCTCAGAGCGTCAGAAGCGCGAAAGTAAAACCGGCAGCAGACCGAAGCCCGATTCGAGCAAGGTGCGGCGATGGACAGACCGCACCAAGACCTTTAATGTGGATGCGCAGTTCATCGGATTACGGGAAGGGAATATACATCTGCATAAAACGAACGGTATTAAGATTGCGGTCCCCATCCCGAAGATGTCGGTCGAAGATTTGGAATATGTCGAGAAGGCTACTGGTGTGTCTCTGGAAGAAGACAAGCCGCTCTCCGATGTTCGTCGTCGCAGTAACTCTCGTGCGGAAGCCGATACCAAAAAGGCCGGTGCGTCATTCCAGCAGTCCGATTATGACTGGTTTGATTTCTTTCTCAAAGCTGGTGTTGGGCCTCACCAGTGCGAGAGATACGCCCAGAACTTTATCCGGGATTCCATGGATGAAAGTGTCCTTCCAGATATTACACCTGAGAACCTGCGTACTCTAGGTCTTAAGGAAGGTGATATCCTCCGGGTGATGCGCTACTTGGACACCACCCTTGCTCGAACCGGCTCTAAATCCAAGGCAAGGAACGTCAGCTTTGGCGGTGAAGAGATAATTGGTAACGGCGAGGACGGTGGAGCCAGTGGTCTCTTTTCTGGTCCTGGTGGAGCTCTACACAACAACACTCGGAAGGGCAGACCGGCTCCGGCCGTCCAAACGGGTGATGTTGTTGACCCCAAAGTGTTTGAGCAGAAGGATCGATCCAAACCACAGGAACAAGTCGAGACCCCTTCGACCCCAGCTGCGCCCGAGAAGCCTGTCGAACGTGGATTCGAAGATGATGCTTGGGAGGTCAAGCATCCTAAACAACCTACTACTGCTGCTCCTGCGGCTGCTGCTGCTACTTCACCAACGGCTCCCGCCACGACATCACCGCCCCCGGGCCCGACATCGCAGCAACTGACAGGCGCATTAGCGGATCTATCTGTCCTTCACCCGCCTCTCCAACCCCAACCAACGGCGGCTCCCCAGCCGCAGCCCGCTGCGCCGATTGTGCAGCCCCAGCCGACTGCGCAGCCCTCGCCAGTATCACCTCAGCAGCCACAGCAAACCGGTGCCAGTCCAAACTTCTTTGCTCAATTGGCCCAGCAACCCACTGGCCTTCAGCAACCGTCGCGTCAACGCCCGCAACCGCCTCAGAACCTAGGACAGAGTTCGCTTCTCCCCCCCCCTCCACCTAGACCCTTGTCGGCGCCTCAGAACTTCTCTCAGCAGCCTACTGGATTTGGCGCCACTCCGTTACAACCACAGTTGACCGGACTCCCTCAAACTGGGCCGCAGCTTGCTCCTCCGGGACAGAGTTTAGCCGAGTTGAGCCAGCAACGTTTCCAGCCACAACCGACAGGCTTCCAGCCACAACCGACAGGCTTCCAGCCGCAACCGACAGGATTACAACCGCAGCCCACAGGCTTTCAGCCGCAGTCTCAATTTGGAATCCAACAGCAGCAACAACTGCAAGCTCAGCAACCAGGCCAACTCGGATTCCAGGGCATGGCACCGCAACCAACGGGCTTCGGGGGTTTCCAGGCGCAGCCGCAGCAGCCAATGGCGACTGGCATCAACTCTATGCTTCCTCCGGCAATGCAGCCTCAGCCCACTGGCTTGCAGCCTCAGCCCACCGGTATTAATGGTTTTGGAAGCATGTCTTACAACATTTCGCCTCCGCCAGTGCCTCCGATTCCACAACAGTCCACTGCTGCGCCTTTGCAGCCGCAAAAGACCGGGCCTCCCCCTTCCGTTCGCTTCGGTGTTAAGCCCGGGGAAACTCAGAAGCTTGCTCCACAGCCTACGGGAATGAAGGCCAACCTTTCACAAGCTAGTAAGCTCATTCTATCCCTCTTTCTCCCACATAATAAATTACTAATGTGTTTACAGCACCCACGAACCCGTTCGGTTTTTAAACTGGATGGCATATATAATTTCTGCTCTTACGGTACATGGCTCTTTCTGGTATACAATTTTATTTTCTTTTCTTATTGGGTGGATGATACCTTTTTCTTCTTGTCCATTTTGCTTTTTACCACATTTAACGCTGTTATGCGTACTATGCCATGGCCAGATCTACACCACGCAGTGATTTCTGAAGGTGTACCTTGTTTTTCCCATGGCTTTAGCGACTAGAACGCGCCTCTTTTTCGAACAAGTTTCAACCTCGGTTGACACGTAATTCTGGCAAGAAAAGGACCATTCCCAGCTTTGTTTCACTCATTGAAATGCATTTTCTTTTCCTTGTTTACTGTTGAGGCCATCATACTACAGGCTGCTAATTGTGCTGCTTGCTACGCTTCGCTTCCTTTCTTTCCTTCCTTCTGATAATGTTGCTTCTAATTTGTTGCATCTAAACTGGTTTTGCTTTCTCGACATTCCTTTTCTTCTCTTACTCTCTTTTTTTCTACAATGATTTTTAGTACTGCCGTGGTGCCTTCGCTTCTTTTCTTTTCCTTGTTTTGGCTCTTTTACTGTCAATCTGTGGAACATGTATGTATGGTACATAGGTCTTGTTAGACAAAATATATTATTACTATCGGTTCATCTGTGCATAGCAGTCACGATGCGCGAGATCGGCTCGACCGGTATGCGTTGTCAGCCTCAGCTTCAGCTTCACACTTGCAACTGTTCTCCTTGGAAGTACGCCTGCCTTGCTCGAAGGTAATCCCAGCCCTTTATATGATAAATCTTTACTATGCTCACCAATAGCAGAGGCCAGGAGTTGTCTTCCGACCAAGAATCACGACATATGCACATTACACGTATAACTACATAGCATGCTCCACATGCGAATGTCACACGGGCGAATGTCTCACGAAATCGCTCCGCCGCGACTTTAACCCCGACATTGCCACCAATGCACATAAATTCCATTAAAACTACTCAGAATCGCCTCCTTAAGCATCTCTACTACTATCCGACAGGAATGTGTATTGTGTCCGGCCTTTCTGCAATTGCCACAGCGCCGCGCGCGCGTCTCGGTCCGCAGTTGCTGACCAGCCCCATTGCATGTTTCCTCCTTTAGTTGTACCTCAACCTCCATTTGATCCCCTAATTCCTGAGCTTCCTGTATAGAAAGCGACCCTCCTTTCCTTAGACATGTTTTTTAGCCCCCCAGAGTTTCCCAAGGGCCTCATTTGCTGTCCAAAGTTCACGAATCTCCGTTTCCATCAAATCCATCTTATGCATTATCTTCGTCGTGCCTCTCGCGAGGATGTCAAGAGCGTTCAAGATTGTTAATGGAGAGCTATCTTGGTTGCAAGAGATTCGGATTTTTATAAGGTTTGTCTGGGATGACGCCTCAATTGGGTTATTTGGCGTTTTAAAATCCATCTATGGGAGCTAGTCGGCCGCGAATTCGACGGTGTTGGGGTTTTAAGTTGGACATCAAGTTTAGATATCACCCTCTCAGAGTATCATGCGCCCGCATAAGCCCTTCAATATGCTTACCATAAGCAATCTTCAAAGGGCTAATGTATCTGGCATCAAGAGGCTGGGGATATGGGACGAATGCGCAGGCATGCAAGGTGTAATAAATTTATTATTTTGCAATAAAGCTCAAAGTCAGTTGAGCGTGACTCGCATGGCCATCAAGAATTAGGAGACAGTGACAACCAAGCGTTCGGGCTTTTGTATATTCATCAAAGTGCTTGATCCATTCTAAACCAAGTTCATTCATTACCCAACCGTTTTCTTATGCATCGATAACCCAATTCGTTGGTAGTTGGTTATTCTGATACCAAGAAAGAAGGTGATATTGGCCCTTGGCAATGATGTATGGCGGGATCGCGCAGCCATGAGCATTAACTCCCTGGGTCACTGTGACCCATTCACGATTGCCCGGCTGTTTTGGTTTTGCTTTGCCATGTTGCTCGAAGCTTGTGACAACCATCGTAGTTGAGATCACTCCCATCTGAAACCCAGTTTCGTCAAAGTTATAAATATCTGCTTCCTGGATGCCATACTTCGTGATTATGTTTCGAACAAGCATGAACCAGATGGGTGACTTCTGGGTCTTCGCATAGAGCTCTCTGATAGTCATATTTCCGATTAAAATGAGTCGTGAGCTCTGGGTGCCGTTTGACAAAGGTACTAGCCCAGTTTACCCCAAGGCGTCCCGTGTTGCGTGTTGCGAGTAATCAGTTGGCCATATCTTTCACACCAGACAACCAAGGAAACCCTTTGGAATCTAGATCAAGTACGTGTTCAAGAATTGCTGATTCATCTAAATCAGTGAATCTCCGTGAATTGGCTGATATATTGCGTCGTGATTGCATGCCACGCTGGCGGCGACTAAACTTCTCATGATTCATGTGATAGATCTTGCCAGCTGCTCGAGCGTTAAGTTTTTTGTCATTTTGCATAGCTTGAAGGACGAGCATTACTTGGTTTTCATCATGTTTCTGGGGCATATTTGGTTGTGGTGATACTTGTGATAGAAGTCAGAAGTTGCGTCGGAGCGATCTCGTGTGAACATTCGCCCGTATGTGATATTCACATGTGGGGCACGTTACACCAGATCAATCCAGCTATTCAATCTCCTTGCACCCAGCAGAATGTCAACAAATAGCCTCATATACGACATTGCTGATGCCAATACCGAAGGGGTTCCTGGCCCGAGTCAAGAATGTGTCTCACTACATCATAGTGCATGCTTCAGCCCCGAGTTTGACTGTCGTACAAGCAGTCAACAGGAATAGTAAACATCTATGTGATCTACTAAGATCTACAGACACTTGCGTTATTTGTCGGTGAAAGGGGGAACTTTCGAGGGTATATAAATGTGGTGGACCGGCGTGCAATGTGGGCGAAAGTCCGGTCACAAGATTCAGGACACGGAGACGACACCATGAACAACAGGTCTTATATTGCGGACTTGTGTGGTCAAGATATCATCACATTTCACGATCTCGAACATTGCGCTGAGGGAGCGTTGTCAACCATTCCCGGAATTCATTACCTGCCAGACGGAACGAGCAACAATGTCGTTGACAACAAGCATGTCAAGCCCTTCAATAGAGGGCACAATGCTGCCGCAAAAGTCACAGACCTTTTCAATCGCTATGCAAAAAACGTAACAGTTTCAACACAAGCGATGAACAGCGGTTTAGTCACCGGACCACCACCAGAAGCAAGACTCAGCGGCGGCATTCACGACTCCATTGACTGGTTCGAGAAGATTCAATTCCAGCACAAAGACACTAGCTTGACCTCCACGCATTATCTGCACTTTTCGAGCCCGAGTCCATTACTCCAGGATGCAGCAGATATTACGAGTATCAACATCACCACCGGCATATGTCTTTTTGCCGGCAGGGCTCTGGCGTCGAGCATCCCGAGCAATGAGCATGGTTTCAACATGTCCGCACTCGAACATACAGAACCAACTATCTACGAACTAGACATGATAGCTCGTGTCGCCCCAGCTATTGCGGATTTAGTAGCCCTACTCAAAGCTGATCATGGACATGAAAATTGCCGCGAGTCCGGATTCAACGGTCCGCTGAATGTATCCCTCGATATCCCCAGTTTCCACTACTATCACACCGTCGAGAAGCGCCTAAAGGATCAGCTATGTACGTTCCCGGAGGCCATACGATGGATGGACGCGGTTGAGAAACGACATTATCAGATCAGCCGTGTTTTCCGACGATATATCCAACATGAGTTAGCACGCCGTGGACGTCACGAAACACATATTCAAGTATCCTCTTCCGGAACCGCAGGCTTCGTGTACCATATCATCCAGAAGTCATTGAGAGAAGGTGTGCTCGTGTCATTGGGCCATGTATTGCAGCGAATAAGTGCCTACGATCCCGTCTGGAACAGGTTCTTCGAACTTATTACGGAGAAAGAAAAGCCTCATGATTTCCTGTGCTTGGGGTACCTTTTCTATGTGTATGATATCGCACGACCAGCTCTACTACACGACGGGATCCTCGATTCCCCGAGACCAAACCCGCTCCTCATCAGCATAGACGACACCATCGAGCGTCGAATCTACCGCCGCACACAGCAGTTATTCAAGAAAGTCCGCGCAATTCCAGAGTACCCAGTTACACCAAAATTACTGGAAATATACCCCTGTCGTCGCATCTTCATGGACAACAATCAGACGAATATGGGCTTGTATTGCCATGATCCGTCACCAGAGAGGTTGGATGCGCACTCGTGTAAGTGCCGAAGGGCACTTGCTACTATTGTGAACAAGAATGGATGCAGAGGGCAGGATTGTCATTTTATGACGCAGACTGGGGACAAGCGCAGGATTGATGCGTTTGGTGTTGTGGGTATGCTTTTCGGAGCTGATGCCGGTGCTGTACTGCGGAAGATCTGTGTAGAGGAGGGATTGATATCCTGAATAGTTACGGTATTAGAACACAATGACAAGAGAATTGGCATTTTGCTATCTTTGTTCTGTTTGCATTGTACATAAAGAGAAATATCACTCCTGTAGTTATTGTTCTGATCTTGGATGACTGGAGAATTGTGATTAGTAGACTCACCGTCAAAAATAATTATTTCAATATTAACCGCTTGGTCATCCTTTGGTTCCGCTGCAGCGGCAAGCGCCCAAATTCTGCGTAGCCTCCATTGAAGCCGTACGATTCCGAACAACTGCAGGCGCAGGGTCGTTGGTTATAGTTATGGCATTACTAAGACGGACTGAAGCTACTCTCATATTTAAAAATGTTAAAAGCGGAGGTCTTCAATGGGCCAAGTTAGAGTCGCAGTGTTTGCGGCGTCCCCTTCCGACTTGCTACTGCCTGATGTTTGGAGGGAAGATGGCGGGAGCAACGGTTCTTCAACTAGACTAGACTGCTCGGAATATCATGGACTCCGTTTTCACTTAGGACCAGCCAGTGAAAACGAAGTATTAGCTATTTCTTGTCTGGTGATATGCAACGGGTTTAGGTGTGAAGTGGTGAGAATTCCACTAGGGACGAGCGCCTGGGCCCACTAAGATAGTTATTAGCCGCCTGTTATTTGTCGCCAGAAAGGTTCTCAAAGCTCCAACCACTTCATTATACCAAAGGTCTCCAAGGTCAGTCAGAAATGGCCGCCTGGTAAGGTGGGCTTAACCGTGATGAAGACGGCAGGTCTGCGCATAGACGGAGGCCAAAAAAAGGATCCCTCCAACAGGTTGATCGGCTTCAGTACGCCTACACGTGGCACATGAAGCAATTAGATTCCCGGATTTTCATGTCCTTAGGCCCATCAACTTCAGTTTCCAGCAGTCGACATTCTTTGAATGGTCTTGACAGACGAGCTGTTCGTATAAGCGTACGGCACGATGTGTTCAGAACTGTACAATGGATTGGCCCCGGTATGATGAGGCTTTAATCCTTTGGCAGGAGCCCGACAAAACCGAGCCAGTCATGGGAGAATGATCGCTCCTGTTTAATTTCTCTTCAGGTCTCTTAAGCTTGTTGATATTGCTAACCCACAGAAATTCCATTTGCCCAGTTGCCCTTCGTCTTGGCTTCCTGTTTAAGGCTTTCATTGTTCCCTTCATGAGTGGGAGCGCTTAGGGTCTTAGAACTATTAATTAGAGTCCATCGCGAATAGTGGTACACGTAGTCGACTATTTGGCTTAGTGTGCCATGGGGGCTGGAACCGAGCCATCGTTGTGACTTGCGGATTTTGCAAGGCGGCTGGGGACCTCAATTCCCACCGCCTAATAAGCACTCCTTCATTCATTTGTCAAGAATTACAAATGGTATGTACGTATAGATATATCTAACAAGAACAAGAAATAAAAATGCACCCTCGACGCCAAACAGCTAGATATCATCCAGGGAATCACAACCGCACAGGTATTTACAGTCATCATAGTCATGTACAAAAGAGAACAAAGTGGAAGGGATTGAGGGAAGAGAGAAAGGAATAAATATCAAGTATCTCCCCAAATCCCAAACATAGGAAGATCTTCCGCCATATAAAGTAGGCCATTGTCAGGAAAGATCACATCCGATATAGGAGTACGGCCGTCTTGGTCCCCACTTGTCGGAGCGGCAACGCCAGTCGCCAGCTGCCCAGACGAAACTGATAATGGTGGTGGTGGCTGTAATGGTGGGATCGTACCGCCGGGTGAGCAGCCAACAGGGATACCGGTTGTGGTGAGCGCGGAGATAGTTGCAGGATCATAGGGAAGTCCACCAGAGGGACCGTCACCGCCGCAAAGAGTGTCCCAGACGTCATTGCTGGTGAGATGGTTATGGGGTGTAGCAGTAGGAGTGGCGGCAGTGGTAGGCAGGTCAGACGGGTGTTGTTGTTGGGACGGGAAAGAGGAACTTCGAGAAATATTGTCCGGAGTTAGAGGAGAGGGTGCGGCGGGTTCAGGTCCGACTTGGCCAAATAACTGGTCGACTTGTTTGCTGCGGCGTTCCATCCATTGACGATTCCGTCGCCGGACGTACTCGGCTACCGCCCCTCGAAGGTAAACGATAATTTGGGAGAAACGACAGGCATGGGGGTCATGAGGGGTGAAAAGCTCGAGGAACTTCTGGGCCTTATCCATGCCCTCTTCAAGTGGTAGGAGATTGTCGTAGTCTGCAAAGAAGGCTGCACCGAGAACGATGGCCGAATTAAAAACCGAGTTGATCAGGAATGGTAGCCGCCGTGGCAGGGATGTAAACTTAGCGAGATCGTCGACAATGTCAAGCCCCCGGAGTGCGGAGTAAACGCATGCGTCCGCAAAAAGCGCGATGCGGGAATTACTGGATCGACTCTCGGTTGGGCCAGTTTTGCTTTTCACGTATTGTGATACACGGTAGATGAGAAACGGCCGAGTTAGGAGGATAATTGACCAGTAATAGGATCCGAAGACGTGGGCTGCTGCCAACGTGCCATCAAGTGTCTTGGAGTCCAACAGTTCAGTTTGCATCCGAAGGAAGACAGGCAAGCTTCGCACCCACGCACGGTGCTGATTAGAAATCGTTTCAGCCACATGGATCGAGACGACCTGCTTCATGTACACATCTGTAAGAATCCGTTCGAAGATACGCGACAAGGTGATGACGGCCACAGAAAGCTGCTCTTGCGGAGTTTGATGTTGTAGCTGCTCCGCTGACGGCATAGCGTCCTCTCGGAGGTCATGGTCAATGTCTGACGTCGCCGGAGGACGCCCCAACGAGGCACTGAGGAACAAATCCATCATTCGCAAGCTCTTCCACACACGCTCCCGAGCCCGGCGTTCTCGACCACAGAACAGTGCGTTCGCATCTTTCCGATGGATCCCGACTGCATATGCAGCTCGAAGTGCGGTTCCGAGATTCATGAACGCGCCATTGCGTCTGCATGCGCCCAGCATGTACATGGAAATCAACACATATGATTGAATAGTGTAAAGACTAGGTGTCTCAGTAAACGCAGAAAACGCCAACTGCCGGCCACTAACAAAGTACTGTTCGGCAAGGGTCTGGTTGGTGGTGGACACTTGTGACCCAATTGCAAGAACCAGGTAAAAGATCGAGCTAACAGTATCCTCATCACCCCTCGGATTCTCAATCCAGTTTGCCAGACGCGGATGAAATTCATGAAGATCGAACAAATCCAACAATGGGCTGGTCGCCAGAACAAACTGACCGGCCAGTCGCTGAGCCTCTTCATTCCCTGGTGGCTCCATCAGTGGCCCCGCTTGGATACCGGGGTTACTTTGAAAGGCTTCAAGCATCGAGTGTCGCGAGTTATCCTCTGTAAATTCACACCGACCGATCGACGCGGATACAATCCGCCGGACACTTTGCAAGAAGGACAGACTAGCCGAATCCCCAATATACATAAACTTCCCCTGTCCATCACGCAGAAGCCTTGCCACTTTTGGTACCGGTGCCGTCCCATCCTTATCATCCCGCGGTTGATGTTGTTCCATGTCCGCGCTGCGATCCTCGAGCGAGTTCAGAAGGTGGTCCATGGCCGTTTGCCGCTGTGGCGTGGGAACCATGTGTTCACTGAGTAGCATGGTCTCTTTCGTCCCATTCGGCCTAAGCATTCGCGCTGGTTTATCTGAAAAGTGGCATTCTGGTTCCTTGTGCCGCTGCACGCAGATCGTACAGGGTTGCTCCCCGTTGCATTTCTGTTTCCTCCGCTTACAACTGTCGCATGCTCGTCTGCACCGAAGGCGCGCGCCAGGAGTCGTACTTGCGCGAGGCATGGTACTTGCTTTGGTATTCCGTTTTCTTCGTCTCCGGTTAAGGTGTGAAGCTCCTTCCGAGACGCATTTGTGGATGGGTTCGTTCGGGGTAAATGGGGGGATTTGCGATTGGCCAGCGTGTGCGTCGAGGGCTACCGGGACGGGGCGGGGGATGGGTAGGACATTTCTGATCTGCTGGACGTAGCAGACGTGGTTATGCTACTGATGCAGCAAAATAACGGAAATAATGCAGGAGATGGCACGAAGAAGCAAGAGGGACAGAAAGCCAAGCTCTCCAACTGTTCCCCGGATTTGGTGCGGAGCAATCATGATGACTAATTATCTTTATGCCTGTGCGCCTTATCTCGATGCCCTAACGCCGGCAATGCTGCATAGTACGGGAGAGTTATTATTCATTATAGATCTAAACTACTAACAAAGCAAAAATGGTAATAGCAATGCTAAAACGTGCTCTATATACATCATTAGCATAGTTTGCCAGTAGCAAGCACCTATGGTCCGAATAATCCCCCACAATAGCAATCGTGAAACTAGTCCTCTGCCATTTAAGCTTCTTGTGCGATTGTGGGCTTTTTCCTTCGGAGAAATGAGAACCCCAATCAGAACTCTTTATTCAGTAACGTTGTAGCGGGTTTTTAATAATCTCACAAGGGTTTCCTGTAATCCCAATCACATCTGGATCTGCAGCTCGACTCGGCACGAGGAGTATAGAGTTGGACTTCCTGATGCAACGCTTATTGTATTTGCACCTGTCACTTGATCGATGCTGTCAAAGATACTGTCAATTGGCGTGAAGTAACTGTTTGTTGTACTTATTCTCAGACCGTCCCAAATGAATAGAGTCCTCCTTGATCCGAAGCTATAAACTTATGATGTACTTGTCTAAACCCTCCATACACATTAATGGTGAACCAGGTAGTTCGGTCGCATTTGTACAGTCATTCTTCCATAATACCCCATAATATGGGTGCTTGGGTTCGAGTCGGTGTCCATCACGAATGGTGGTACATATAGTTGGCTATCTGGCCTAAGGGGTATGCTCGAGGGCATGGCACATGCAAATGGCTATACAAAGTGGGAATTTTAGCAAGCAATATTGCAAAAATAGAATTGAGGAACGCGTGTAACTTGCTTCACTTCTGTGTATTGTTAATTCGGATTCCTTTGGATGAGAACCCAATCTGCGAAGAAACTGTGGTTTTCGCTGGTGTATATCTGTTTACGCGTTTGTTTCAGTTTGCTTCCGGTCAATGCATCTTCAATGTACTTTTGGCCTTCTCATATATCTTTTAAATTATAATGACCAATTCAATGGGACCAAGCGGGTGTGTAAGTGTTGGATAGCTCCTTAGCATAACAAATGCGTTAGAATAGCTTGAGTGCCTCTCCTTATTTCGTGCTCCAACGCCCAAAAGCCATCCCAGACTCAAATCGATGATCAACTGATATCGTCCATGTTACTTACCGAGATTCCACAATGATAAACCGATTAAGCGGGCCTTTCAATTTGAAAAATTGCCTGTAATAGCATCTTGACCCACTATAGTATCCTCAATTCTTTTCAGATCTTCTTTTAGTGGAACTGTTTACCAGTCAGTATTCCATGGAAAAGCCAAAAGCCAAAGCGCGAGTCACTTGGATAATATTGAAGTTGAGGTCTCATGGGCGTTGAGTGTCGGCGCAATTTAGTTTTGACAAATCTGCATCCATGCCCAGTGTCTGAAAACTGTTGTGCTATTCTCAGTGTTTATTTCTCATAAACACCAAGGAAGGAAATTAAGAAAGTAAATATCTAGAACAAACCTTCTCTATTGCCGTGTAGGCTAAGTAAAACAACAATAACATAATAACACGATAGCCCATAAACACGTCATGCATTGCTCTCTGCAGATCAGATCTCAATCATCTCACGCAGTATCCCCAATTTAACTTTGTTTTCTGGTTTCTCGAGATTATAGCTTGATTTCACTGGTACAAGCTCTCGCAGGGTCGGTGAGTAGAAGTTCATTCTTTATGAATGGTACGAAGACATCCGTCTCCTCATATTCAGCAAGCACTTCTCTGACAGTCTGTGTAATCCTTGCACACCTAAATGATCACTCTCGAATATGTTCCAATGCATTGCTGCTCTGACTGAACTGCAATTGAATATGTTTAGTGTGAGAATTCGATGGCGTATCTCGTTCCACCCGTGATATATGGTTGATTATCTCGGAAATAAAATGTATTAAGTTTTTCATCCTCATCGAAAATTTCGATATAAGCATAATGTCTTTTACAAGGCTCAAAAGTCTTGCGAGTAATAGCATCGTCTGTATATCACACTCCCAGATGGACCTCGATAGCTTGTTAGATTCACATATCCATCAAATGAAAAATGTTAACTTATTCTGACCCTTTCACCGATTTGAATCTTGAGTTTCCTTCTCATTGAAATCTGACTATGCGGCTCCGTCATATGTTAGCCATTATTGGATGCTTATATGAGTACTTTAGGCAGTGAAAGAAGAAGTCGCGGGCCTGATCATTGCGTCAATTTCACTTTCCTATATCCCATCAAGTGCCAAAGAGCACTGACACGCTTCTCCGCAGTTATACTTCCAGAACTTCTGGTATTAGATCACGACCGGGGCCTAAGTAGGCCAATGGTGCAGACTTAATGTAACAGCTCTTTTTCTTATGACAGCTTATTTATCAGAAGCTAGCTTGTAGCATAGTGAATGATGAGCATGGCTCTGGTTATCAAGTACCCGTCCCTCGCAGGGGAGTGAGCACAGGTAAGGGCCTCTTGCCTGCTGTGATGGCTGTAGGAAGTTATCACAACCACAGCTGTGACGCCATTTCTTAAAAGACGACATGTGGTATAATACGTGGGAGGTTGAGCGCGAGAAATTCCATCTCAACTTTGAGAATGGTGATATCGAAGAAATACCACCCCAGTTGTTCTTTTCTGGTTGCCATATGCTATATCCATACTATGTAGGATAAAGTCTATAACAATTGAGAATGGGTTCGAAGAGATAGAAAATGGAACTGAGAAAAAGGAGAAATGATATAAAAGATGGATGGTCAGCCAGCGAATACCACTAGAAATTGTTGGTGGTCCTTAGGTGTATGATGTCAGCGAGTGTAATTTGTTCAATACGTAGTCTACAGCTCGTGTAGTTAAGATTCGAATACCAAGTGAAAAGGAATTGCTTCATTAATATCGCTATCAGCATCAGTCATCGAGGATATATACCAGATACTCCTCCATTATTCCGGCCGGAATGATACAATCTTGCCCCAAGTGTCAGCAGTGCCCCAGATACCATGACGCAGGCAAGAAAGTTGCACAATCTGGCTATGGTCCACGAAGAGGTTAACATCGATACCAAATTCCCGAATATACCAGTTGTACACCTTAGGATCGGCAGCCTCGAACATAACGCGCTCTTGAGGAAGTTCCTTCATGATACGGGAGACGACGTCAGTGCGCCAGGAGTCTACATTCTCGGTGATACCTTCGGACTCGATCATCAAGCGCTCAACGCCTGCGTTGAGGAACTTGTGACCGAGGTTTACTAGCTTTCCAGGGTCAGAGGTGCCGATAGCTTCCAAGCCGGAGGCTGGGGTGTCACCACCGGCACCGAACTGGATGCCCAGCTCAGGCTTAGCTTTGAGTTTGTATGAGTGGACCTTGTCCACGAGGCGGAGCCAGTCGTCCTCTGGGAATGACAGAAAACCGGATGAGAGTTCAATCACGTCGAAGCTGATGACGTTAGATGATGTTCGGGTCAAGAAGGATTGTTGGACTTACCCCAAGTCCTTGCACTTGGAGAGATACTTGTCAAAGACCGAGTTGGCGTCTGGGTGTGTGAGGAGGTGCTCAGCCCATCCACCCTGTGTGGTGTCAGTGAGTGCTTAAGTAGGTATTAGTTCGCACATACAGTCGAAACATAAACGCCATGCTGGTGAGCCAGTTCAATCAATTCCCGCAATGGTTTCTCCTGGAAGAGTGAGAAAGAGCCTATATCTGTCAGTCTCCGTCCATGACTAGACAATGGCTTCACTGACCTCCTGCAAACTTCAAGCCATCAACATGGGTACCCATTGTTTCGAGAACATCGGCCAGGTAACGCTTGCCCATAACCTATTAAGATGCCGGTTAGCTTGGCATTCAACGGTTACACATGTTGACTGACATACCGAATAGTATGGTCCTCTGATCTCCGTAACACCGGTGCTCCTCGGCTTAGCAGGACGGGGATTCGAGCGGGCGAAACCGAATCCATTGGCTTTGTCTTGCAACAATGTTATGTCCTTTTGCTTTTCTGAAGAGGGCGTGGTAGAGAAACCTCGAGCTGGTGCGGTGGCAGCCACCTTGGGAAGCTGACGCGAGGCCAGGCCCAAGAGTTTCTTGGAAGTAGCAAGCTGGGGCGTAGATAGCATTATAATGCGCTTTCCACTGAGTTGAGCTGGGTTTAGCTGAAGTGAGTATGAGTTTGAAGAGCTAGGAGAGAAAAGCTCGGTTCTTGTGCGCTGTTATATATCGAAACTCTAGCACCTTGAGGGAGTTCGGTAGACCACCACCCATTATGGCGTGAATACTAGATTGACGTCAAAGGTAGCTCATCGTCGATACCGTTCGAAGTAAGTATGTTCACCTACCAGAATGACCGTTTCGCAAGATGAAGTCAACGCTGTGCGGATGACGTCACTTGTCATTCTAGATGCGTACACTCATATATCTATTTTGTATCGGGGCAGGTTTTCAAATGCATATTTCCTATTCTTTGGTTGTGTCTATAGTCCATTGTCAAGGTGCAGAAGTGAGGACAGGTCGATATATTGGGAACCAATGATCCGCCATGGGGTGATTGCAGATCAAGCATATTACTGTCCGGCCCGGGAGCATCTGACATGCGATTGTCGGAGATATAAGAACCTTGTAGGTCGCATGAGAAACATCTCAGGACTCTCAAGAGGTACTCCATACTTGTAGTAAATACTAGAAAATGCGACAGTCATGCTGTGTAGACATTAGTGAACCATAACTACCATGGGACTTCGTCTGTGAAGAGAACCCAGACATAGCCGTTTGAGCACTCTATACTAATCACATTAGCAAAATCCGAGGAAGTTTCATTTCAGTGTGTCCGATAATTCATATTTGAAAGATCTGAGAACTGGTAGAAAAGCAGGGAGAACAGGGTCCGGGTAGAATGTTGCTCCGTAAATACGGAAGACGGACTGAGATCTCCGGTCCCGAGGTATATCGGGTAATAAAGTCACCGATCCCCGAGAATTGTGCACACTATGCACAACATAGCATAAGCCATAGGGCAGGAGATAGATGCGGGAAGATCGGGATGATCGGCCATGTCAGCCTCCGAGGTCCCTATACGGGACGACTACTGCTCCGATAATTATACACGTGAGAGCCTTCCCAGTTAAGATGTGTTCGTCGCTAGTTGGTTATCGTATTATGCAGTCAGCAAACACATGCACTCCGTACACACATACCCACTCATCCACAAGTACGTAGTACCTTCCTATCAAGTCCAATGGCTCCTTCTGCAGCCCGACCAAGACACTTGCTGACTGGCTGAGGTGCCATTAGTGGGGATTTCCTTTCAGCTTATATCGGGCATAAGCATAATAATAAAGAACACAGACTGTCTGATATTGTTCCAACCCGGGCAAACAAATTATCCTCCCTTTTCTTACTCATACTTTCTTCATTCAACATCATCGTTGTTTCCTGGTTTTACTCGCTTTTTTTTTTTTTTTTTTTTTTTTTTTTTCTCTTCTTCCTCTTGACCATCCTTCTCTTTTGCTCCTATTTACTCTATGTTTTGTTGGGAATAAACGGTATCTTCCATCAGCATATTCACCACCATGGGGTTAGGCGCCATTTTGGAGCCGCTGGTGGTCATCGTCCTCTTGTTTGGAGGGACCTGGATCAATCGATCCAAGCGTTTTCGCATACGCAGAACAACCCGCTGGCAAAAAGACAACGCCCCCTCTCGCTCGCTCTCCCCTGACTCTTTAGAATCGGGCCAGGCTGGTTACGCAGACTCAGATCAAGACAGCCTGCTGGGCTCACCAACCGCTTGGTCCCCTTCCTTGTTATATCCCCCCGAAGGCCGATGGCGCAAACGTCAAATTCATTTCTTCACGGCTACTCTCAATGTCACCACCCCGAATACTGCTGTCTTCCAAGATCGCCTGCTTAGTCGCGTCCTTCAGAAGTTTCCGTTCCTGGTCGAAGTTTGGTACTGGGCCTTAGTGTACTGGGTATGGTTCCCCTGTCCCTGTAACCGTTCGAATAAAGCTAATTATCACCCTTTGAACCAGACATACCAACTAGCCCGAGCATTTACCGCGCTTACCCTTAAAGATGATACCGTTGACGTCGCAAGGAAACATGCGTTGCAATTGATCAATATCGAGGAGAAAATTGGAATCTTCTGGGAGACGTTGATTCAAAGATTCTTCCTCCGACATCCTACCTTGTTGACTTGGATCAACTGGACGTATTCGTTCATTCATATCCCTGGTACTATCGCCTTCCTCGTGTGGCTATACTATTATACCACTACACGCAACCGCGTCGATGAGCCACGAGAGGGAAGATCATGGGATGAAGCGGATGGATCCCCGGCAGGCACACGTCTCTATCAGGCCCGACGACGAACGTTGGCGGTTTGCAACCTCTTTGCTTTTGTGGTGTTTACCTTCTGGCCGTGCATGCCCCCTCGTCTGCTGAGTGACCAGAGCGTTGAAGGCCCCGACGGGGAGCTCGGACGCAGCTATGGCTTTGTTGATACCGTGCATGGAGTGAATGGAGCGGGTAGTGTCTGGACTGAGAATCGGTTCTGCAACCAATACGGTATGTTGTAATTACCCCTGGTTTCAACCCCGCAAAACTGACAGTTTATTTTAGCCGCTATGCCATCATTGCACTTTGGATATTCCCTCATGATTGGACTCACGATCATGACTATTCCGCTTCCGCCCCGCCACCGTCCGGCCCTAGTTGGTTCAAGCTTATGTGCACGAATCTTTAGAGTCTCGTGGCGCCGTTTAGCGTGCTGTCTCGTGGGCTTCGCGTACCCGTTTCTGATACTGGTCGCCATTGTTGCGACTGCCAACCACTTCATCCTAGATGCTGTAGCGGGAGCGATGATATGTGCGCTGGGATGGGCATTCAATGGGATCTTACTCAACTTGCTTCCCTTGGAAGACTATTTTCTCTGGCTGGTCCGGATACACAAACCGGAACCTTTTGTTGTCGACTGTGTTAGGGATGCAGAAGATTGGGATGATAACACGCCCGATGCTGCTCTCCCATCATAAGCAACTATATTCTATACCATTCTCGCCTTCTAACTTCTCCACCTTTGAAATCCTTGACCTTTTCTTCTCCATTTCCTTTTTTATCTTGGATTTTAATCACCTTTTGTATATTCTTTGGCCGGTTGGATTTGCATTTGCGTGCACCATCGGACTCCCGTGCAAGGCGGCAGTGAATCCAGTTATCCATATCTTATGTTTAATGTTGATTGGAAGCATTCTGTGTGTACATAGACTTCTGTTCATCCCTGAGGCTCTCGGACAACATTGATACTTATGACCCTGTTTCAACATGTTCAGCCCAGTAAGAGGGTACCTACTCTTTAAGTGAGGATACAGCGGTAGAATGAAAAGACCTAAAAGAGGTCGGCTTAGGTATAATTGAGATTTAACAAGTGTGATGATGTTAATGACCATCCCATGTCATTGCAATTGTTGGCTGTATTGTCATTGTCAGCGATCTGGATGACCCAAAAACAAATATTCATCATAGAAGGAGACATGGTTGTTTTAAAGGTCAACTGCCCCCATAGTCTCAAGCGACGATTGTCTGGATAGCGTGATGGATGTTGTACTCTGTATGGAATGCTGTCGTGTTCTCGGAGTTCTTTTCTCCCACTCTTTCCCCCTCCTAACGGCCCTCCTAAACCAACCATCCACTCTTCTCCTATACCATCTTTTACCATCCAATATTGTATCCAGATTGTACTTTTAGCCAGAAGCGACATACGGAGTACTTGTTTCTATTTCCCGTGTCTTATTCTAGCCCAGCGCTGTTCTCAACAAGCATCGGAGTGTAATATAGAGGGCTTATCCGGTCTCTAGTTTGTCTGTCAGTCTCCTGTTGCCTGAAAGATGGAATTTCCCTTAACATTATTCTACAGATTGATTGGAGATTACTCCGGAGTATCATTGTCTCCTCAAAATTGCTACGTTTGCAATCTACTGCCACCGCCATATTGCTGCGAACCAAGGAAGAGATAGCTGCACTACGTCTTTTCCCATACAGTACTCTAGTCGAGCAGTGTCCAAGTACAAGATCTATCACAGAACGGTGGTCTTGTGATAGCAATTGCGACCGTTGCGCCTGTTGTTTTCACGTTCGGGCGGTCATTGGCGCGTCATTTTCGAATCGTCGCGCGTTTTTACGAGTATCTCTGCCTGTATTCGATTTCTCGCGAGTTGATGGCTCTTCGCTAGCCAACTCTTGTCTTCCGAGGTTCGAATCTTCGTGACTGTTTCTTGTGCTCGTTCTCTGCATCTCTACGTTGCACCGTCGTGTTTTCGGACATATCGCGCCACCAGGTCAAAGGTCTGCTGCACAGGGGGCTCGACCTGTCCGTCGGATCGAAAAAGAAGACTAGCGACGCGTTGAGAAGGATTATCAACGACTGGATTATCGTCCTCTATTTTTCCTGAATTTTGCCGTGAATTTTGGCGGCTCGGGGAGTTGCGTCATTTGCGGTTCTGCGTCCCCCCAGAAAAACGACAGTGCACTGCACGCGTTGGTCGCCGCCCTCCCGTCGTCGCGCCCGTCTCCACCACTTACCTTTCCTCTTCCTCTTCTCTCTCCCACGGTCTCCCGTCTCCCTTCCATCTTTCCAACCTCCACCCACTCCATTGACGTCTCGTCTTCTTTCTATCTCTTGCATCACCCGTCCCATTGCGCATTATGGCCGAGGACACTCCCACCGCCTCCGCCCCTGCTGGAGAGCAGGTCGCTGAGCAGCGCGCGCCCGATACTGAGGCCAAGCCTGCTGAGCAACCAGCTGCTGAAGCGCCTCAAGAGAAAGAGGCGGAGAAGACTGCTGAGCCTGAGAAGGAAAAGCCAGCTGGTAAATATCCCTTAATGGGTCACCTATTTTTGTGGCCCTGGTTTCACCATACCTACTCCACCTTTCCGTAATCCAACCCCTTCGTACGTAACGTCGCTAACTATATTTCTTTCGTCATCAGCAGAGAACGATGTGAAGCCATCAGAGGATAAGAAGGAGGAACCCGTCGAGGAGAAGAAGGAGCCTGCTGAGGCTCCAGCTGAACAAGCCAGCGCGTCTGCAGAGACCACTGACGCGAAGGAATCGCAAGAGGCCGCCGCTACTCCTGCCAAAACTGAAGCTGCTCCTCAACCGGAAGCTAACGGAACGCCTGCGTCGACCAAGAAAAGTTCGAAGCGCAAGTCTGGTGGTATCCCGGAACACAAGTCCAAGCCGAACAGAAGGAAGTCGATCGCCAACCAGGTGCAAGCGAAACCTGGCGAGTACTACCTGGCGCGTCTTCGAAGTTTCCCCCCTTGGCCATCCATTGTTTGTGATGAAGATATACTCCCCCAGAGTCTCCTTGAGTCGCGTCCAGTGAGTGCCTATCGGGGTGATGGAACTATCCGTGATGAATACGCGGAGGGCGGCAAGCGCGCCCATGAGAGAACTTACCCCGTGATGTTCTTCCAGACCAACGAATTGTACGTTGAATTATGATTAGTTTTTGTTTCTCGAGATAGAGGCTAACATAACGAATAGTGCTTGGATCCAGAACACAGCCCTCACTCCTACTGATCCCGAGACCTGCAAGAACGTTAGTGAAAAGGGCAAGTCCAAGCAGCTTCTGTCCGCTTACCATGTGGCCGCAGAGGGTCATGATCTGGAATACTTCAAGACCGTTCTGGCGGATCATGACGCTGCGCTGCAGCAGGAGATTGAGGAGCAAGAGGCCCGGGCCGCTGACAAGGCTGAAAAACAAGCGAAGAAGAGCAAGCGGAAGAGCATGGACATTGTCGATGATGGTGCTGAGGATATCGAGATGGGGGATGCAGATGATACGAAGAAACCCAAGAGCTCAAAGAAGCGCAAGAAGGATGCTGGAGACGAGGAAGAAAAGGTAAATCTCACACCGGCATTTTTGACTATATGCGCAAGCTCATATATGTTCTTAAACAGCCGGCAAAGACGCCCAAGACCACCACTAAGTTGAAGTTAACAACACCCAAAACGCCTACTGAGGGTACCGGAAAGAAGGCGACTGGTGCCAGCAAGTCCAAGCAATCCACTAGCGCTAAGAAGGGCGGCAAGGCAGCCAGCGACGAGGATGCGGACGACACGGGTGCTGAGACCAAGGAACCCGAGAAGCCAATCGACCCGCAAGAACTCAAGAACAAGAGAGAAAAAGAGGGTATGTCAATCTATTGTTTCAAGTGGATCAAACAACAGGCTAACCTCGGCAGTTCTGTACATCCGCCACAAGCTTCAGAAAGGCTTCATCTCTCGCGACTCGCCGCCCAATGCGGAGGAAATGTCGGCTATGTCAAACTATATCTCCAAGCTGGAAAGCTATGGTGATCTCGAGGTCGCCATCATCCGCGTCACCAAGATCAACAAGGTTCTAAAGATGATTGTCAAGCTCAACTCCCTCCCCAGGGACGAAGAACTCCAGATCCGGCAACGTGCGATGACGCTGCTGTCCAAGTGGAGACACGATCTTGAGGATGTGCCTACCCCCGGTGACAACAAAGAAGGCAAGGCCAAGGCCAACGGCCACGCCAAGGAAGACAGCGTCGACACACCCACCAAGGAAGAAGAGAAGAAGCTCAATGAAGAGAGCAAAGAGCACTTGGATGAGCCTATGCCAGATGTTGATGCTGCGGAAAAGCCCAAGGACTCGGAAGAGAAACCCAAGGAAGCTGAAGCCCCCAAGGAGGGCGAAGTAAAGGAAGAAGAGAAGGTTGAAGATAAACCCGAAGCAAAGACTGAAGAGGAGACCGAGGTCGAAAAGGCACCAGAAGCTGACAAGAAAGATAAGCCTGCCGCAACAGACAAACCAGCAGAGGAGCAGCCAGAAAAGGAGGGCGAAAAGACCGAGGAAAAGACCGAGGAGAAGGCTGCTGAAGCGGCATAAACATGTCGCTGGTGTGGTCATGCTAATTGTGATGCTCCGGAATTTCTTATTAACTAGTGATGGTATCTCTTTCAATATCTTGTGATGCGTTGAGTGTTTAAACACCATTCGTGTTTTTTCTTGTGGCTATTTAATTCCTTTTGGGTTGAATGAAAAGATTAGAATATTCATTTCTTCCAATGCTCGATTTACTGATGTGATGGTTTGCTAGCAGGCGGCCGAAAAGGGCTACTTCGGCGGTTAGTTTAATCAATCTGATGTCAATTGTGGCCATGTCTTTGTCTCTAGTCAAATTATCTAGATTAAACCCGGGGTGCAGTTGCAGTCTGTGTCACGGGATCGGAAATAGTAGATACTGACGAAATGATATTCCTATCTAAACTATTGCAGCCATCGACGAAAAATCGAGTCTGGAGAGAGAAAAGAAAAGGAACCCATCTAGAGGATGGAGGCTTCCTTATACTACTATACGACAGGTTTTCTGCTCATGTTCGGTATCGTCTGTCATTATCAGTCTTATGGGCAGTGTCGAGCCGTATGGGCTATGTCAAGTCGTATACACGACGTCAAGATGTCAGACCGTCAGTCTGCTTCTGGGAACGATGTGACAGTCTCGAACAATATAAATTTATTGGTAGACTCTCTATCGAAATACTAACATGGAGAAGGAAAGAAGGAAGCTGGGCCTGCCAGCGCTGCGCTATCTAGTGTGCGAAGGGGGTTCCTGCCCTATATTCAAACAGGCCAAAGTTTACAAACATCTTGCGTTGTTGGTGAATGCCCGTACTCCGTGACAAACGATCTGGTTCGAAGAAGCTTGCTCAATGCTGCCAGGAACACAGCCGACTATCGTATGAGCTAGGCTGAGATCCACAGGAGATTGGAAAGACATCGATACAACTTTTGCTTTCTATTTCTTTCTATTTCCACTTGTGCCCTTATTGTCACAGTTTCAGTCTAGTAGATAAAACGAGATAATGTTATTCTCAATCTATAATAGGTAGCCATAAGACGAGAATATCAACCCCGAAGAGAAAAGAGAAGAAATCATAGGGGTAAGACAAAGCAAACCAGGTGAATTCATTTGATTGCTTGATAGTCGAGAAGTTGGCTGCAGCTTACAAAGATACCACGATAAAAGACAGGCGCAAGTAAGCAGTGTAATAGCAATATCATCCCTGTTGATTCTCAATTACGTAGATGCAGAGACATCATAAGAGCTTGCTGATGGTTATACAGCTGCAATTCAGAATAATCATTGATGAATACAGCATGCCATAGCTTAGGCTCAGAGAGTCCTATCATTTTGTCAGTGGAATGAAATCATGGATACTGAATTAACACTAAGAACATATCTTTGGTTGGTAAAGACGTTGCACAGTCAATTATGATCCAATCCTTGACAATGTTCTCTTTTAGCCAGGGATGATATTTTCCACCTTCTTTGAATCGAGATATATGTTCACTGACTTCAATATGATCTCTCAATAATTCAATGGCCCATTTCTTTTCTGGGATATAAAAATCCACTTGACTATGCCTAATTCTTGACCATTCACTGGATATCGGTACACCTTGTCCTGCTGTACGGACAAATCCTCTGTAGAACTCTGCTTGATACTGAGCTTCCATTGGTCTGGGTTGTGATGCAATTGACATTTATTTTGCCCTCAACTGAGTGTCTCGAGTTCATGATGGAGAAATTGCTGGGAATCTCTTTGCATAATTTCTGTAGCGAGTCAAAACTGGCAGGCAGGGGTTTTGACATTGTGCCAATTGAATATTCAATGTATCTAAGATGATCAGTTCAGGAAAACAAGAGGGACATGTGAGATTTACTTTTCATGTAAGTGTCACGGAGTACGGGCATTCATCAACAACGCAAGATGTTTGTATACTTTGGCCTGTTTGAATATAGGGCAGGAACCCCCTCCGCACACTAGATAGCGCAGCGCTGGCGGGCCCAGCTTCTTTCTTTCCTTCTCCATGTTAGTATTTCGATAAAAAGTCTAGCAATAAATTCATATTGTTCGAGATCGTCACACTTGGGGTACATAGATTGGGTGATTTGCATTGTGAGAATGGCTTTCCAAAGGGTGAGCCCACGGCTTGAAGTTGTTCATGTGAAAGGTAGGGGGCATATTTTAGGAAATGGGGGACGTTTAGGGGTATATTATAACAGACAGGTGATTTGGAAAGAGGGAAGAGGAGGGGAGAGTGCGGGTTATGGAGAAACTGAGTTAAGATGTTGCAACCCCTGTGGCCTCAATTATCCTCTTTATACTTACCCTCGGCCTGTCAAGTCCACCATTCCACCTTTCTCATCAGCAGAAACATTGAGGCAAATTTCTCTCATCCTGAAAATCTCATTTAAGACTGCTGGCGTGTCTATTTTCATCTACTTGTGACACCTGGAGGCTGAGATCCGGTGCCAATTGCATCTGGGTGTTGCAGCTCCAAGCCTCGTATGTCAAACACACTGGAATGAAAAGAATGCGGTAATTTTGCTATTGGCTGGTAAGAATGGCGAGGACACGTAAATGAATCAATTCTGGTGGGGTTGAAAGACAGCTGTGGAAAGGGACAGGCACAACCAGTTCACAATCAGACTTAGTAGCAGATAACCAGCAAGTTGCCTTTCCCATATAGAATCTTGGAAGTCTGGGTGAAGAAGTAATCATGAAATCTTGAGATGAGAGACCACAAGCAAGGCAACCAAGGATCCAGAAGTCCTCAAGGGAAAGCCCAAATAGGATAGCATGTCTAGAAGCAACTCAAAAAGTCGCTGATCAGCTGGCAGACGCGTGAAGAGGCCCATAACTGCAATAATAAGCAGCAGCACAGCATCAAGGGTGAAGTGGATAGCTCATTTTCCAATGAAGTGACAGTAACAAGGTCTCAATGGCTCAATTGTCCAGATGGCCTGTCGGCCACCCCGAGGAGAGTGGACAGCGCCATACTGGAAAAGGGAAAATCGTCAGGTAACGCGGCATCTTGGTAAGAGGGCAGTGCACTGGGCGATGCAGACAGGAGAAGGGAAAAGGGAATAGAAAGTGCGTGGTCCTTTGAGGGAGAGATGTCAGGCTTTTATAGATGCAATGGATGCGTTGAGGCGGCATGTGAGCGGCCCCAAAGCAGTGTGATGCGGCGCTATCCATGATACAGTAGACGCCATACCGCAAAGGGCAATGGTCAATATGGCTCGGCAGAAGCGCGGTTCAATGGGAGCCGTTTCTGGCGCCCCGCTAACCGTCACAACATTAACCTTGGATTCTATAAACAAGTCAAAATATGCATAAAATTGTCTATCAATAGTCTATAATAGTGATCTATCTATTACCAAAAATGTGCTGTATGCCGGTGTCCCAATGATGATGAGAATGAATCCAATGACCGCCACAAGAAAAGTAATGTTGATATATAGTGCCAGTGAGTCCAATGTGATTCTGCCATCTGTGTATGTATGAATATGCCCATGCGCATATAAGGATGCATATGAGAACAAAAAGAAAGAGGAGTATACAACGTCAAAGCCAAGGTCTCTGGAGTCTGCACCAGATTTAGGAAGAATCATTCTGCTGCTGTGGATCGTATCGCCCCTCCTCAACAGCAATAACAACCAAAACACAAATGTCATCGACCTTACCGCCGCGATAATGATCATACGGATAATACCGCTGATATTCTTTCGCAAACGGCCCATCCCGTCTCCGATCCACACTAGCGACCTTTGCATTCCCAGCGATACTAGCAGCCAGGAACGAAGACAGTGTGTACGGTTCCATTGCAGGGCGCTGGTCCTCGCCCTCTGCGCTAGCTGGAAGAAGGTGTGTTAACCCACCGAGCCTTGTGAGCTGCTCAAGGTCATCGGAGACTTTGATGCTGTAGTCTGGTGCTGTGCCCGTCCATGCGCCTGCGAGGATCATCTGGCGGTTGACGATTTTAAGAATCTCTTGGTTGTTGAGGTTATCAAAGACGCCATCTGTGGCGAGCATGAGGACGTCGCCGTGTTGCATATGTAGATTCGTGATTGCTGCGTCGCGCGGAGTGTCTTGGAGATATGCGCCGCCGAAGATGGCTGCCTGGGCGCGCATGCGCTGCGGGATCACGCTGAGTTGGTAGGGTGTGTTGAAGCCATGGGTCTGTGAAGGGGTGTAGTGGTGTACTGCGGCGCGGCGGAGGAGGACGGAGCCTGAGTCGCCTAGGTTGGCTAGCTCGACGCGGCCGTCGGGGAGGGCTACCCCGACGTGGGCAGTACTGGCGCCGGCGGGGATGGCTTGGTCGCCGATGACCCGGTCATAGCCCATTTCTAGGATTTGTCTAGGGCGCAATTTGTTTGCTGGTGAGGGCCATGATAGTGCTGATTCAGCCATATACCCGCATAGACCATGGGAGAAGTCGCCTGGGTCGACACGATGTTCTTCCCAGCCGCCTACGCCGTCTGCCACGGCGAAAGCGAGTGCGCCATTTGTGTCTTTCTCGGTTTGTTGGCCGTGAGAAATCTTGCTGACGAAGAAGGCGTCTGCGCCGCTGTCCGGGCGTTTTTTCCGTCTCTGATAAGGGTTCTTCTCGGCGGTTGTCAAGCCCAGACTATCCTGCACAGCAGGGTCGAAATTGTATGCATTTCGTAGGGGATGAAAACGATTCCCTTTCCCGGACGATGAAACCGCAACGTTGTAGTTAATTCGCGCCGGAGAAGTCGGATTCGAAGCGCGCAGATGCGTCGAATGAAAGAATCGTAATCGCCGGGCCGGGACCGATGTCGATGTCGATACTGCAGATATTAATCTCTCTCTGGCACCGGCGCGTAGGCTACTGCAAGACGCACTGTAGCACGCTCTAGCGAGACTTGGCGAGTTCAGGATCATCACTATTTGTCCGTCCCGTGTCTGGTTTCTTTTTATGCCTGACCCTTGTCCTGTACCAACACCGATACCGATAACGATAGGAGGAGGGCTGGAAGTACGGCGGAGGAGGATTGCAGGGGCATTGGAGAGGAGACGAACAGACGCGAAGACACCAACTAGGGCATGAGATTGGATTCACTAGGGTTCCGAGAGAGGAGAGCGAATGAACGAGTATGTTGGGAGGGAGTGTGTGAAAGTCCAACTGCCACTCGATAAGGATCTCGAGTTTATCGCGTTGACCGCCTTTGTCAAATTTTGATCACCTCAAAAAGATTTACACAATAAATACAAATACAAGAAGGAATGAATTCATGAATAAATATTAGATATGTCTATAGGTTTTGTGCTTAATGAAGTCACTTCGTGTACTCCATATGTGGTAAATGCCTGGGACCCATGGCACTATGCCACGTGACTTATGCCTGAGGCTAGAATACATTTCACCTCTGCAATCATCTCCAATTCTCCATCGTAAATCAACCCCGGCTTAATTTATTGGTCTCTACTTTGAGAGCCTCAACGGTCACCAGCAGGTCAAACAATCTCATTAACTGCCGGATATAGCACTGAAGAATAAAGATATTTTGTGACTGTTTGATCTGCTCAAACTCGCGACAAAATGATGCACCCCGCGAGACAGGCATTTGTCGAGGAGACAAAGGTAAGCTTACCCCATCCCTTCAATCTTCACTCTGTTCTCACCATCAATTTATCAGCCAGAATGCGTACTAACATGAACACATAGGACGATGGCATCGACCTGGCCAACATCCGTAAGTACCAATTTCTCCCAACACACGCCGTCACTAACAACTGCACCAGCCGTCGACCGCGACTATGAACTCCCCCCATCAGCAGCAGGTATCCCCGCTGAACGAGCCTCCGCCATCCTGTCCCAATTTGAACGAAAACGCAGAGCAGCCGCCATGGCTGTCCCGACAGACGACAACCGCGTGCGCGCACGGTTACGAGAGCTTGGCGAACCGATTACGCTGTTTGGCGAACGCCCTGTCGACCGGCGAGATCGATTGCGAGAGCATCTGACAGATCTGGCGGACCAGCAGCAGGCCGCAGCCCTTGAGACGGGTATGGACATTACAATGGCGGAGGCGGAGGACGAAGAGGAAGAGGAGGGGGATCAACAGGAGGAGTTTTATACAGAGGGCGGAGATGCGTTGCTCGAGGCACGGAAGGATATGGCAAGGTTTTCGCTGCCGCGGGCGAAAGCGCGCGTGGCACGGCAACGGGATGAATCGACTATACCGCTACGGACGCATATTAAGCATCGCAAAGCTATCAAGGAGAAGATCCAGGGCTTTGATTTGTACGGATCGCAAATTGCAGGAGACCGGCCGGTCAGTATATGCCGATTTGCGCCGGATGGACAGACGATTGCTGCGGGGAATTGGTCTGGTGGGATCCGCTTGATGAGCGTGCCCAACCTCGAGGAAAAGGGGAGTCGGAAAGGGCATACAGATCGGGTTGGTGGTCTGGCATGGTTCCCGGGGGCGACACTGCCTTCGTCCAATGTGTCTGAATCGTCGGTCAACCTGGTGTCTGGCGGAGGCGAAGGAAACGTGGCACTGTGGTCATTGGACCAGGAACAACCGCTGGCGACTTTGTCCGGACACTCGGGACGTGTATGCCGGACCGAATTCCACCCCTCGGGGCGGTATGTCGCATCTGCATCGTACGACACGACCTGGCGACTATGGGACGTGGAGACGACACAAGAACTACTGCTACAAGAGGGCCACTCGCGAGAAGTGTACACGGTAGCATTCAACAATGACGGCTCACTGCTTGCCAGTGGTGGTCTCGACAGTATCGGCCGTATCTGGGATCTGCGCACAGGACGGACAGTGATGATTCTTGAGGGCCATATCCGGGACATCTTCGGCCTCGACTGGGGAGTAGACGGGTATCGCGTGCTTTCTGGTTCTGCAGACGGTTGGGTAAAATGCTGGGATCTGCGTCAAGTAAAGAACATCGGAGGTATCGGAGCACACAAGAGTATCGTTTCGGACCTGCGATGGTACAAGGGTGCTGAATCCACGGGCTACTTGCCAACGACCGAAGGCGGAATGGACGTCGACACTCCCACAATGACAGTAAAGGAACCAGAACCGGTGCAGCCGAAGAAATCAGGGTCTTTCTTTGTCACAAGTGGATTCGATAAGAATGTCAATGTGTTCAGTGCGGATGACTGGTCGTTGGTGAAGACGCTGAGCGGACATGCAGGCAATGTTCTCAGTACGGACATCAGTGATGATGCGCAGTGGATCGCTAGTTGTGGGCATGACCGGACGGTGAAGTTGTGGGGGATTGAGTAGTACCTTGTATACCTATATCACTCAGTTAATTGAAGTATCATATCCAAATGTATTTAGTAAAGCTAGCGTAAATGACATCATCCTTACTAAGCATTAGATCAATCGGCACTCGAACATCCATCTCCGATCTGACAGGAACTCTCACGCGCTGTCAACAATTGATCCGACCACAATGGCTGCCCTACGAACAACCCTCCAATGGCTCCGTCCGAGGTCGGCACCCATATCTCAATTATTTGCAAACCGTGCATACCAAATCCCAACACCAAGCACCCTCCGCGCATTTACAACAACCCCCCAAACCCTCAACCCCAATACCGAAAACGACATCCCCAATATTAACATAACAAACTACTACACCCTCTTCCCCTCAACCCTCCCCTCGGGTCCGCCCCCAAACCCAGAAACAAAATTCGACATCCCCCTCCGCACCCTGCGCGCCGAATTCCTTTCCCTCCAAAACCGCACCCACCCAGATAAATACCCTCCCGGCGCACCGAAACAGAAAGCCGAAGCGCTCTCCGCTTTGTTAAACGAAGCCTACCGGACGCTCTCCGATCCGCTTGCGCGCGCGCAGTATTTGCTTAAAATCCAACACAACATTGACGTGACTGCCGAGGACTCCGCTGCAACTGACAAGCAAGCGCTTGACCCAGAGACGTTGATGGCTGTCATGGAGGTTCAGGAAAGGATTGAGGAGCTTGCCGAGGAAGAGGGGTCGGGAGAGGAGGCGGAGAAGGTGATTGAGGAGATGAAGGGGGAGAATCGGGAGAGGGTTGAGGAGGGGGTCAAGGTGCTTGGGGAGATGGTCGAGAGGGGGGATGTGGAAGGGATGAGGAGGGAGTGTGTGCGGTTGAGGTTCTGGTATAGTGTTGGGGAGGGGTTGAAGGAGTGGACGCCGGGAGTTAGGGAGATTCGGTTGGTTCATTGATTTTGCTGTGAGGGTTGTATAGGATGATGGTTGTATATGGATGTATGTTCACTCTACTTTTTTGTATATTATTGGATTCTAAAGATATGAGGCCTGGATGTTAACTGTTTTAGTTTGCAAAAGAGTACAAATGCGGAACATACGTCAGATGAACATGAAGTGATGTTATATACTATGTATTACTCCTACTTCGATATTAAACATTCAGCATAGACCAGTTCAATACCATAGTATGCAATGAAAGATCAGACTGATACAATTGTTTACACTTGATTGGAAACTCACGGCTATCGGAACATGTATATATTTGCATTTCATTATTCACTACCATGGTGTAGTAGTCAACTTCTATTTTACTATCCTACTAAAGGATCCACTAGGATATATATCGGAAAAGAACGTAGAATACCAATGCATTACAAAAAGAGGCCATGTCTATCTCGAACATGCATATGTCAATTACAAGATAATATTACTGAAGCTTACTGAAGACAACAGTACACAACGCACAAAAGGATGATGCGGTTTAGCTACAATGGATTGGTTTGGCTACCGAACGACATTGGCTTGCGGTTGAAGAGAAATCAACCCACATTCTCTTCAGATAAACAAACCAACATTTTCGAATAGTCATTGTAAAGTCTCAACAGTCGACAGATATCAATGGGAATAGGAATCTACTCTACGTCCTAGGGGAAATGCATCCTACGGATTACGCCATTGGAGCAAGTAACTCACCATATGCACTACAATTACCGTAAGCCCTAGAGCGCACTATGACTGCATAGTCAGCACACCACTCCATAAACTTCCAACCAAGTCCCGTCCAAACAGCCGAAATCCACCGTCTCTGTCACTTTCAACGTATCAATAATATTACGCATGACAAGTAGTTTTGGGTTCCGGTCAATGACAAGACGAAAAGACCCTGCAGCCAAGTTCTGCAGGATGAAAACGAGCAGGCAACGTTGAAGAATCTTTCATTGTTGACGAGAATCGGATAATCATCGGGAATTGCTATCGCTCGTAGCGCGGCCAAGCTCTGCAAGACGAGAATGGAAGGTGAGGGCAGTGAGGGTGGAGAATCTGCCATGGGTGTTTTACAAGGTACTGTCCTGTACGGAGCACTGCTGCCCGTTCTGCATGAGAATGAAAGACAGTAGATGTGAGTGAGATGGACAGAAAGTTCACAGGCTAAACACACTCGGCAGCTTGATCGGTGGAGGCTGGAGCATTGTCGGTACCGTTGTTTTTTCGTTGTCTTTGTCATTAATTAGTGGCAAGGGGGTAGTATTGTCATGGGAGCGAGATGCAGGTGGCAGGTATCTGAGTGATTTATTCGAGCCGGAGGTAAATCACTACACACTGCATATCCCGAAGAGCGTGGGTAGGATCTGCTTAAGCATAATAGCCGAGCAAATCAATCTGTATCAGGTATTGTCTCCGAAGACATGCATCGACAATCAAGTCTAGAAGACAGGAAAATGAAACTGACCAACCTGATACTCCTACACGACCCCGTGCCCCTGTTTCTGTCACTAAGTTTGCTGACACCCGCACCTGGGCCCTGCACTGAACTCTCGAAGGTGCAGCAGTGTCGGGTTGAAACGACAGAGTTAGACCGGTCTCGACCGGAGACAGACAAGACGGAGAGAACAGGAGAAACAGGAAGGAAGCAATGATCACCCGGGACAAGACTTTCACCACAAAGGAATGAATTTCATTCGTTCGTGCCCGGCGGTTGCTGAAATGATGTGGGATGGGTGCAGAAACCAATAGACAGGTCAGTGTCGCAGTGTCTGGAAAAGAGCTGGAGCGGATGCATCCCATTCAATTCATTACAACCCCCGCTTAGCTATGTCACGGTCACTTCCACGCCAAGATATGCTCGCAAGATAATCCCGGCGAATCATCAATTGTTGCAGTACCGGGCATTTCCAAGCACGTGAGCGACACGCACCCTTTCCCGACGACAATAATAAGCCGTCGCCCTATAGCAACAAAAAAAAAAAAAAAAAAAAAAAAAAAAGACCGGCTGAAACCGACGTTCGGGAGCGGACAAAATACGACCAATCCCGGAAGCTTGTGTTGTGTACCTGTAGCGAAGTTACAGAATGGTGCCGGGTGGGAGTCGGTAGTGTTTCGGGAGGGTAGGAAAGGGGCGTGCCCGGATGGTCCGTGGTGATTTGCCCAGAGACCAGGGTTCAGGGCCCGGAAGCCTCGGGGTTGCTGAAAATCGGGGAAACCACCAGCGGGCCGTGAAGAAAATCTTTCGGAAGTCGTTTCGGGCTGCAATGCACGCGAGTGGACGGTTTGATATCATTGGCATGTAAGGAGCATGGAGTATACTGCATTTACTTCGGACTATACGGAGCACACCGTACACTACCGTATACAGTGCCAATGCAATTAACGCTGGACATGTATCTGCCTGACCCCTCTTGCCCAGACAGCCAACAAGACGAGAGAATAGATTAGTAGTGATAGACATGACTAGTAGCGAGAGATAACACGCATAGAATCCTCGCCCAGAATCTTGTCGCAGTGGGATTGTGGCTGTTGGAGGCAGCATTCCTAATTTCAGAATTAAGAGAAAAAGGAAGCCCAATAGACTTTGCTTGGCTTGGCGCTTGGCATTAGTAGCTCGCATCATAATAGTACAGTATACAGGTTAAGGGATATACATAGATAAGGGATACATTTGAATAGGATGTAGTTGTATAGCAGTTGTTCATATGGTGATGCTGTTGATGTTGAGCCTGCCCTATCCTATACAGTTATGATATTCACAAAATCCCCGAGCCCTGTATATCGAAGTTACAAAGTGTTTATACATCCTCATAAATGGAATGTATATTCGTGATCGGCGGAAGCCAAAATAGATCCGCCGCCAAGATGCCAAGATATCCACCGCGTCGCCACGCCTTGGCGCCGATCGCCCCTATCGGTCCGTAGGAGGACCGAGTACACGGCGTGGACGGAGTAGTATGGAATAGTATGTATACTAGAGTAGAAACATAGTATGAAGAGTGACAATGGTAGAGATATGTAGGCAGTGTGTGTCAGTCAGGGTCAGTGTAGCACAGGCAAGTACACACTAGAACAGTCACACAGCAGACGCATCATGCACACACGCATGCCCATTCTCGGTGGCAGTACTGCTTGCGTCTCGCCCCCCCTGATGTGCATCTTGGCCGTTTCTATATCTTGGCTTTCCGAAGTGCAAGATAACGAACGATCCATGGATATTTACCCGATCACTCCGTTGTATAAGTATCGGCCCCTATCCCGAGCCCTATTCTGGTCTGTTCGGTATCATTCATTCTTTTCTTTTCTATATCTGTCAATTATATAACCAATCCACACTCTCTATCTCTATCTTATTTTATACATCTTTCTATAACCACTTCACTCATACACGAAATCGCCGCAATGTTAATCCCACCCTCGTCTTCCCAATCCGAATCAGTCATGCTCAAACATGACCCTCCCATCAGCTTCACTGACCGTCTGCACCACTTTACCTGGGCCTGGTACACCCTGACCATGAGCACTGGCGGTTTAGCAGTCCTCATCATCAACCAACCCAACACCTTCTCCGGTCTCCGCGAGATCGGTCTAGCAGTGTACATCTTCAACCTGATCCTCTTCGGTCTCGTATGCTCCCTCATGGCCCTACGATTTGCCATACACGGCAACCTCCTCAAATCCCTCCGCCACGACAGAGAAGGCCTCTTCTTCCCAACATTCTGGCTCTCCATCGCAACTATCATCTGCGGTCTAGACAAATACTTTGGCGACGAGCCACAACCCTCCTTCACACAAGCCCTCGAAGTCCTCTTCTGGATCTACTGCGCCTGTACCCTACTCGTCGCAGTCATCCAGTACTCCTTCGTCTTCACCTCGCACTCCTACGGCCTGCAAACAATGATGCCCTCGTGGATTCTTCCCGCCTTCCCCGTCATGCTCAGCGGCACAATCGCTTCTGTCATTGCCGCAAACCAACCTCCCCGCTCTGCTATCCCCATCATCACTGCAGGCGTCACCTTCCAGGGTCTCGGTTTCTCCATCAGCTTCATGATGTACGCGCACTACGTTGGCCGCCTAATGCAATCGGGCCTCCCCTGCCGCGAGCACCGCCCCGGAATGTTCATCTGTGTCGGGCCACCCGCCTTCACAGCACTTGCACTAATCGGCATGGCGCAAGGCCTCCCAGAGCAATTCGACCTCCTCAACGATGGCGACGACCTCGCCCTTGATGGACGAGTCCTGCAACTGCTCGCCATCGCAGCAGGTGCATTCCTTTGGGCACTTAGCCTGTGGTTCTTCTGCATTGCTGCTATTGCGGTTATCCGCCAACGACCCACCGCGTTCCACCTGAGCTGGTGGGCGATGGTCTTCCCGAACACGGGGTTTACATTGGCTACGATTAGTCTTGGGAATGCGTTTAACTCGCCTGGTGTGCTTGGTGTGGGGTCTGCGATGACGATTGCGATTGTCTGTATGTTTTTGTTTGTGTTTGGGGGACATGTACGCGCTGTGTGGAGGAAAGATATTATGTACCCTGGGAAGGATGAGGATGTTTCTGAATAGGTTTTTTTCTTTGCCGTTTTTGGTTAAGAAAAAAGTGATTTCTCAGGCGTTTGGGATGATATTTGTTTCGCATTGGTCTGATTGGATACCATAGCAGGCGCTTTCTTTTCTTCTTCTTCTTCTTTTTTTTTTTTTTTTTTTTTTTTTTTTTTTTTTTTTCATTTTCTCACTTTTGATTCTTCGATACGTTCCCTATCATTTTTCCATTCTTGGTTTCGTTTCACTTCCTGACTATTGACTTGACTACCCCTTTTGTTTATTTTCTCTGTTTTTAGAATCACTAGATTGTACATAGCCTTGCATTTTCCATTGAATACATACGCAATCTGAATTACATCCTTGAATAATTGACGCAATCCATGTAACCATACAAATACAAGTAAAACAGTCCCCCCACGCCCTGGGGATGCAATAAATACCCCTGAGCCGAAGACTCGGTGATATTTACAAGTACACACTGTGGCACGGACTGGAGTACATATGATATCATGTATAACCAACAACCAACCACCGATAAAGCAAAATCTATGATGTATTTGTAATGACAATTTGCCAATTACTTGGAAAAATCAATAGATAACAGAGATGAGCACATGTCTAGTTGCCCTGCATAGCAATAAAAGACGCATGCCAAGAACTAGAGGCAGAAAGAAAACAGATAAACACAGCCTCCCATTCCTTCCGGAATGCAGTGCAATGCCATGAAATCGAAGAAAATAGAACAATATGATCGACATTGAATAATTCTGCCTGTTCTCTATCTCTGTATCCACGAATGATGGCGTTGGGCTGGGCAAAAACGCGTCGATGTATCTAGCGCGATCTGATTGGCCGGTCGTTACCTGTCAGCCCTAATTTTCAATATTTCCGGTTTTGGGTCTTGGCGCGGTCTACAGTGAACCAAATCTCGGAGTGATCCGGATGTGCTCTATAATAAGCTCAGAAGACATCAGCCAAGAAATATATACTACTGTGATTTATACATTACCGTTTGCAGGGTTCTACATCGCGAGAGATAGTGAAGAAAGAATGATCAATTCATGCCCCCCAATTCGGCGAGTGCCAAGGAAAACTCCATAAAAAGCTAGGACACGCCACTATACAAGATACTAGTTACCCCGATAACCCCACCAACTCCTCATTATTTCCGTCCCGCTTTGGCGCCAAGTTAAATAAACCATGTCGCTATCAGAGTGTGGATGGCCTTGTTGCAATTGGTCATGGTCGTGTCGTGCCCGAGGGTGCGTATATGAGGTTATCTCGGATTGATCTAGGTCAATTAGTATGGCCAGATATCCTTGGTAAGAATGTAATTTAGCACTCTCAAAGCGAAGCTAGTCTGCGGTGCGGATAATTGTTTTTAGCCAGCCTATTTCAATTAGTATCTGCTTTCGACCGGATGTTGCAATGGTACGTACAAGTTCTGCCAATAACTGGGCCTGCCGCGGTGCGGACTAGTGCTGAGTGAGAGACGATAGTGCATGGTTGCGAACTCGAAATTGCCGAGAACACTATCAGAAGCAGTATATGCGAGTGGCAACGCAGATGGATGCTTCCAGTCTGTCATGCAACACATTAGAATCGTCAATGAACACTCTTGATGCTGATGGGCCACACCTGCTTTGTTGCTTGACTGGACTGCCTGCGGACAGACGGGTGTTTTTAGCCAGTCTATTATTGACAGTTAGTCCAGTGATCAATAGAGTCATCAATGTAGATGGACACGCACAGGTTGTCGCTCTGGGCCTGTCTGCAGTGCAAGCAAGTGATGTAGGAAGGTTGCGTTTAGATACTCAGTCATGTGAAGGTATGATAGCGTCACAAGCCTGTCTCTGCCATCATTCAGGACCTGTTGCTGAGTTTCTTTGATATCGTACGGTGGCCCAGAAGCTCAAAAGTAGCCTTATAGCGTTAATAAGGTCAACTTTAACGGTATCGAGGACGTACCCGTATGATATCGAGACTGCTCCGCCTGTGGGTGGACGATTGTTTTTAGCCAGCCTAAGGTTTATCAGCTTCCGTAGTCCAATGGTGTAGAGATGGAGGTCAATACTTACAAGCTGTCACTCACCGGGCATGTCCACGGTGCCGGCAAGAGAGAGGAGAGCGTTGTAGTGCTTGCTGAAGCATGTCGACGTGACCGATTAGGAGACAAAGACGAGGATCGGACGCTCATGACCAGACTTTTCGGTTAGAAAGCCCATCTTTGACAGCAGTGAGACTCCTTACTAGTTATGTCACTCGGCTGGGTCACCCGAAAATGGACGGCTTTTTTTTTTTTTTTTTTTTTTTTTTTTTTTTAGCCAGCCTAGTATCAGTTAGCTTTAGTAGAATGAGCTGGACAGGAGATAATACTCACAAGCTCCGTCACTTACTGGTCCTATCCACGGTGCAGGCAATGAAGGAGGAAGAAGAAGATCGATTGTCCATATACGGCGACGTCATGGCGTCGATAAAAGCCTTCGAATGTGAAGCCTTCGTTGTTGTCAGAACAGTACAAAGATGGTATACACGTGTTTCGAAGAGGCTGAACCGCCTGCAGTGCAGACTATTACTTTTAGCCAGCCTTGTCATTGTCAGTATAAGTGAACAGTCACATGACAAGACCGGAGGCACATACGAGTTCTGTCACCTACTGGACGTGTCCGCGGTGCAGGCAAGGAAGAGGACGAAGAGGAGGGCAGAGTAGCTATAACCATAGGCGGTAAGAACAAAGGGGAGGCTTTCCTGAAACGGGCCCACTGTTGTCACGTCAGGGACGTGCCGGGCCCGGTGCTCATGGCCAGCCTGTCACTGTAAGTACAGACATGTTTATTATGGAAACTACGAGGGTGACTCACCAGCACTGTCACTAGGCTGGGCTTCAGGCGATGTGGGCGCAATGTTTTTAGCCAGCCTTTAATCATCAGTATTAGGAGACAGTGCTGTGACTAGACTGGAATGGAGGTACTCACAGGCTCTATCACTTACTGGGCCTGCCCACGGGGCCTTGACATGAGCAGGAGTGATACCAAGTCCTGAAGGAAATGGTAGAGTGAGGAAGGAGCCGGGAAAACGAGGGAAGAACGAGTGCACGCAGTTATCTGACGACAAGTAAGTCGCAGGAATATACAAGAGGGGAAGGAACGATGATAAGATGATACTCAGACCACCGTTGATGCCATGGAGTGACAAGACGGTGTCTGCTGCAAGAACTGGTAGGTACGAGGTAGGTTTTGGGGAAAAAGAATTCGAGGAGCGACGAGATGCTATTCATAGCCGGAACCCGGGAGGCAAACTGCGCTAGCGACAAGCGAAACGAAGAGAATAGGAGGTCGAAGAATGGCGTAATGGGCGCCTTGGTGAGTTGGTCGCTATTGCCGAAAGAGGCACGTAGTAGGCTGGCAGGGCTGTCGGGGACAGGCGGGGCGGTGGCTGGATGGACGACACCAGTTTAGACAGTCTTTGAAGCTTCAGAAGTCAACGAGGAAGAGATTTGTCTCATGTTGTAGTCGAAAAATTTTGTCCATAGGGCTGAAACTGGCCAGAGCTCATCACCACGGGAGGCCCACACGACCAGCAGGGTCGGAAGGGTGAGTCGCGGCGTCCCAACTGTTTCACTCTCGGTCGAGGGCAGAGAGACTCCATGAGCTAATCAAGACTGGTCAGTAGCAACAGGAAGCACACGTTCATGATTCATGCCAGGTCGACTGTCCTTTGCCTTTCTCCATGCCGGCCCAGGCCCTTCCTTTCCCTTCAAGTCGGTCCAACGACGTGAAACACATTTACTGGCCGACGCAACGAGCGAAACGAAGTTAGATAAAGCAAGAAGAAAAGAAGATTGAAAAGGAAATGAAATGGATTATGGTTGGTTATATACAAGAAAAAGGATACCAAAATTGGGTGACAAGATGTACTGACGGCGGTCCAGCCTTTTTATACACATGTAGTCCATTGGGCATGAGTATAGGCATTAGCATTCCAATGCCGGCCGCAAGTCAGGTATCGAATGAGATGGCAATGGGCCAGTCGACAATCACTACGCCCTTACGCAGCCCCTTCGACTCCCTGCAGATAACCATAACATCCGACAGGCCGGTATCAATTTTGGCGGTGAGACCAACAACAAGTTGGTGACTTGATCCCCGGCCACGTGTTAAGGCCCGACACAAGTTGGCAGGTCCCGGGTACCAAGAAGTGCACGACATCCAATCGCAAGGCGAGTATGCCGAGAGGATATCAGTGACGTGGCTTGGAAAAAGAAATATAACAGCTGCCTGTCAGATCGAAATAGCAGATGCAGAGGATTGTTAGCCGGTCTGCTAACTTGTCGGTTTCACATGAAATAGTAAATTCTTCGACACGGTCCTTGATATAAATATCGAACCACGGAGAGCAAGGCTGTATGGACCGTGCAGTGGTAACCGTGGCAGGAGGGTTCCTTCCAGCGTGGTGGCATTCAAGCAACCTTACGTCCAACATTGCCGATACCACGACCAACAACACTAACAATGACGTCGCCATTTTCATTTTCCCCTGCGTCACGAAGACCCCAGCCTGGGGCACCGATCTTGGCCAGATCTCTGGCGAGTTGTACCGTGTTCTCGTCAGCAATCACATCCCGACCGATTTGAATTCGGCCAACATCCTCAGATCCCATCGTCATGAGGGTCAACATGGTTGCGACGGCAGGCGGTGCGACGCAGCCGCCCTTGGAGACGGTTTCGAGTAGCTGGTAAGCACACTGCTTTCCGATGTCCTCTGGTGGTTGACCACCCTCAGGCGGAGATGCCACATCAGCAGAAAATAAGCATCCGGTTGAAGACTCTGCGACTAGCGACAGTCCAAATCCAAGACCGATCTTCTTCTTTGCGGAGGGGTTGGTTCGCTCAGGTGCAGGCACCAACGGAGCAGGCGACATGTCAGAAAATACGTAGGTGTCAGGACAGAGAGGATTCAGAACTCCACGGGCGGTTTCAATCATTCGGGCATTATTCGAGCCAGAAACACCGACGGAATAGGCTACACCACGAATACGCTTGATCCTGCCACCATTCAACAGATGCAGAGTCTTGGGAAGTCGAACTTGGTGACCAAAGACCAGCTGCACTTCTCCACCACCACCCCTGCCATTGGGACCCGGGTTCGACCTGCGCAAGACACGAAGCTCAATGTTGTTGAAGATTCCAAATTGGTTGTAAAGCGGAAGGATAGCGGTCCGAACGCTGTCAACCGACATGTCACCCGTCGGGGTGGAAGAAGTAATCACTCCGGGACCGGTAAAAAGGATCTTAATTGGTGCCTTGGAGAACGGCGCCAACAGACAGAGAGGAATCAGATAGTAACTCAAGCCACGAGTGCATCCCGCCGGTAGCTCATGCTTAATTACACCTCCACTGCTCGCTCCAGCACCGGCAGCGCTTCCTGTAATTAAACCCGGCTTGTAGACGATGATCGTACCGGTGTACGAGATTTCCATTTGCGAACCATTGGTTACGGACTCGAGAAGACGGAGGAAGGAAATCTCGTGTTGCGCCAATCCAGGGTTTGTAGGCGACGAAGAACGGATTTGGGAGATATGGACCGTACGGCCTGTCAATGTCGAGAGGACGAGACGGTATGGGAAATTTTTATGGCCGGTAAACCTGATCGGTGGTTGGGAGGTCGTCATATTGGCTGATATAGTTCCAAAGTAGAATTGAATTCCCCTCGGTATTGACCTTGGCCACTGCTGAAGAATCGCGCCGTCCAGAGAGCTCCAAGTAAAAAAATGGAAAAAGCATTTCGAAAAATTATCGGAGGATAGTTATTCCGATACCCGCACGGGCATTAAGTCCGGCCTTATCTCCACGGAGCACGTGACATCATTTTGGTTCCATCTTGAGTCAACTTCTACAACTGTCGTTGCTGAAGAAAAGACAAGGAAGGACCTTGACGGAAAGGAAAACTCTCGGAAGCAAAGATGCTCCCTCCGGCGTTGAATCTCCCAAAATGGTAACAAATCTCCCAGTGGAAATAATTCTCCCGATCCTCTTGCCCCTCCCCCGCCGCAACAATTCAGGCTTAGATACCGTGAACCACACTCGTTAATGACTTTCTGACAATGATTTCTGTACAGGCTCGAAGCTAACTCCCACCTCCTCCAACCCCCGGTCAACAACTACTGCGTCTACCACCCCGCCACCCCGGGAACTGCCGGCTACACAGTAATGGTAGTCGGCGGCCCCAATGCCCGTACCGACTACCACATTAACACAACCCCCGAATTCTTCTATCAATACCGCGGCTCCATGCTCCTCAAAACAATCGACACCTCGACAATACCACCAACTCCCCAGGACATCCCCATCCACGAAGGCTCGATCTTCCTCCTCCCGCCAAACACCCCGCACTGCCCCGTGAGGTTCAAGGATACGATCGGTGTGGTGCTGGAGGCGCCACGGCCAGAGGGTGCGCTGGATACGATGCGGTGGTATTGTCGGGGGTGTGGGGGTGCTGTTTGGGAGAAGAGCTTTGTCTGTACGGATTTGGGGACGCAGGTTAAGGCTGTTGTGCAAGAGTTTGAGAGGGATGAGGAGAAGAGGAGATGTGAGGGGTGTGGGAAGGTTGCGGATGTGAGGTTTGGGGAGGGAGAGGTTGTGCAGCCGAGTAGGTTTCCGGAGTAGATGCCCTCTTTCCCTTTCTGTATTGAGGAATGGGATGGAGAATGTGTTACGAGTATGATATTGATGCCCGCGGACAATGCATATTAGGATTTAAGATTAGGATGACCTTGCGTAAAGATATAGTAAGGATGGGATATAGGAAGATTATGATGAAAAGGGAGAAAGGGAAACGTTGTACAAATACTTAAAAGGGGTAGGAGATTCAGAGAAAGGAAAATGTATTAACACAACGTAGCAGTTGAAAACCTCCAACTGACAGAAAGAGGGAATAACAGGAACAGGTATCCTGAAGATAAAGAAAATGCCGAAAAGAAAAAGGAAGTGAAAAAGAAAGGAAGCCACCCCAGGAAACAACAATCTCAAATCAATGCAAAGTTCAATACGTCGAACAATAAGGAAACATTCTAATGCCGCATCCGTGCCCGTGTCTAGTCATCAAAAGGACAATCGATACTTTCGTGTCCATCTCGCTCACAGAGAGCACACCACTTCGACCCGTCAATCACCCCGGACGACTTGCCCGCAACGGCTGGCAGGGACGAGTTCACTCCGCTGCTGATTCCCTTCAATCCTTCCAGGACAGCGTCACGGCCGGTCTTCTGGGAACCGGTGGGTTCACCATGGCTGCTGATGCTGTTTGAAAGGCTGGAGGTTTCCGAATCCTCTGCACCTGACGATTCTGGCGTAGGCTTGTTCTCATCCTCGGGTGGCTTTTCGTTGTCGGGGGGTTGTTGTTTCGATGCTGGGTTCTTTTTGGCGTTGTTACCAAACATGCTAGTGCAACTTAGAATGTCATGGCCGTTGGCCTCGCATATCTCGCACCATAATGCACTGCCGTCATCTGACTGGGTATCAGTGTCAGACTCGTGCATAGTCTCCAATTGGCGACGGGAGCTCTCAGAAGCAGTGCGGTGGTGAGCGTAGAAGGGATGCTGACCGTCATGATCTTGAGACTCATTGGGCACCACTGTGCGGTCAGAAAGACGATGAGCGTGATTCACAGTGTTCGCAATTCCAATATTCCCGGTGGAACTGGAGGGTTTGTGCTGTGCCTGAGGCGCGGCCGTAATCGTTCCACTGCGAGAACGGCTGTTTTCGTTCAGCTCCAGTTGGTGAAGCTCGCGCTCCAATTCTTCGAGACGGGAAGTCTTCTTGTCATCCATATCCTCAAACTCTTGAAGACGTTGTTCTAGGGTCGCAAGATGCCCCGAATCCTGCGACGCACCGCTATTCAACTGTAAAGCCGACAGGTTGGGATCGCCTCTGCTCAACGAGTGGATGATGGCTTTAAGACCGCGAATCTCGTCATCCTTCTGGTCCAGTTCCTTGGAAGGCCAAGATCCATCTGCTGGCGACTGCGTGCTGTGCGTTCCTGAAGAGTTCCCGCGCTCCTTATCTAGCTCAAGCTTGGTCCGTTCCACCTCACCTCGCAAAAATTCAACCTCGGCTCTTGCTTCGGCCTCCCCACGCCTTGCATCTTCAAGACCCTCCTCCAATTCGGATACCAGTTCTTCAAGCTGCTTCAGTTGTTGCGCAACGGCTTCGACGTCCTCGTCACGTTCCTGCAGTTCTCTATGTTGTTGCAGTAATTCTTCAAGACGCTGCTCGTAGACCCGCTCTGTCTCAGAAGCGGCAATTTCCAACGTGTCAAGGGTGCTGCGGAAATCCGCCCGGTGCAGATCGAATTCTTGTGTCAATTGCGCGATCCTTTCGTTCTTCTCGCGCAGTTGATTACGGATCGAGAGACCGTCTGATCCTTCCAATTCTTCTAAGGTGCTTTGGAACTCAGACAGCAGATTTGATTGCTCACCGAGCTGCTTGTCCCGCTCCAGTAGTTGTTTCTCCAAGCTCTTCACATTATCTTTCAGATCTTGTATCTCCGTAGACATAGAATCCCGCTGGTGCATATCCGAGGTTCTTACAGAGACAGACGAGATATCATCTTCTGTACTGACGCGAGAGGGCGGTCTTTCGGACATGCGCGACGGGGGTTTAATCGGACTGCGGGGGAAGCCATTGGGACTGGGAACAGGGCGTGCGGTGCCGGACGGTGTGCGCAGTCCACTCAGACTCAACTTGGACGGGGTCGGGGTCTGTCTTTGCGGGGATTCTGGACGAGGCAAAGAAGGACGCCTCACTTGTGGACGACGCGTAGCGGGACTGGGACCGACAGATTTGCTGAAGTTAACGGCGGGCCGTGCTGGTGTTGGCGGGACGCCGCCCGCTACACTGGCAGAGAAGGCTCGTTTGGTGACATATTTGCTATTGTTCATCGGCACAAATATGCCAGATCCCGGATTGGACGTCGAAAAGTACTTCCTGCCTTCCACGTCACCACTGTTCTTCCCTCGCCTGGCATGTTCCGACGCCAGCTCAATCCCAGCAAACTTGCCTGGTTTACCGGCAACAGTTCCCAAGTATTTGACCGTTCCATACATCCCCCCGGGGACATTCACCGTGTCCCCGATCTGGACATCTTCCAGAGGCGCCATCGGAATTGCTTTTGCTGTGTTGCTATCGGATGACAAACGGGGGGAATTTCGGTTCAGGAATTCCGCAGGGGAGGGGAGGGTATAATAGCGGCGAACGGAGCTTTCGTCTGGTTTGAAATTGGACTTCGTATAAGGAGGGAGAGATGTATCAGATCAATAATCCGTAGAATTGAGTAGAATCGATTTCTAGCTGAGGAAAGAAAGGGGGAGAGGAGAGATGTTAGGTCATGGTTAGCAGTAGTGGTGGACGCTTGTCGGTATTATCTTTTCTCCAGTCTGTTGGGCAGAAGCAAAAAAGCCCGACAGAAAGGGGAAGAAGAGCAGATAGACAAAAAGACAGAGATAGCTTCAAATATACAGCTAAACCAGGTCAATCCCTACTAATAAACTAATCTACCCTCGTCTAGTATTTGTATCTCACGAACCATGGGTTTGTGCCATTCCCGCCCGCTCCACCGGCGAGCATCAGACAACGCCGTCTTTCTCTCTTCCAACCTCTCCTCTCCCACCCCCAGCTTCACCTCATCTTTTTACTCTAATTCGTCGCATTAGATCTTATTCTTTACTGTTTTAAAGTGAAACATCTTCGCACCTTGCATTCCAGCCTCTTTTACTTGCCTTAAGGACACTTGTCTCGGCTCACGGCCCCCATTGCGATCCTGCCACGACCAGACCACGTCCAATTAGCCTCTGCTTTGTCTTCCTGACAAGCCACAGACAATCGAGACACTGTCGCGCGGTGGAGTCCTACCCGTTATTGACGCAGACGCCACGATTTCACGCCTCGCACTACGTATCCTCTCCATACGCCGCACTCCGTACATCACCCCGGATCCTCCGTCGCCGTTCCATCTGATCGCCCCTTACTCTCTCCTGTCATTACATGAACTTTGAAAATGGCGCAATACTTCTTCGATCTTCTTTACAACTTTACAGACTGCATGTGCTGCTTTCCAAGCACGCCGCAACTGAAGATCAACAATCGCAGCTTCAAGTTGCTACGTCTCCTGGGTGAAGTATGTCTCATTCCGCTAATCAACGGACCTCCCCGGACAGTGCGCTGACGCGAGATGAGTCGCTTAGGGTGGTTTCTCTTACGTGTACCTCGTTCAGGACAAGTCGACGTCGGAACTCTTTGCGCTGAAGAAAATCCGTTGTCCGTTCGGTCAGGAATCCGTCTCCCAGGCCTTGAAGGAAGTGGAAGCATATAACCTGTTCGCAAAACAGAAGAATATTATTCATTCGATAGACCATTGCGTGTCGACCGAAGCTGGCTCGAAATTCCGCTCCGACGGCGGCGACGCAGGATCCAAGACGGTCTACATCCTTCTACCATACTATCAGCGCGGAAACCTCCAAGATGCCATCAACGCGAACCTCGTCAACCACACTACATTCCCAGAAAAGAGACTCATGGCCCTGATGCTGGGTGTCGCTAATGCGCTCAAGGCTATGCATCAATATCGCGTCAAGAGCAATGCCGGAACGACGCGCAAAGCCAAGTCGGTTCGAAGAGAAGGCGAAGAAGCTGATACGGAGTTGGCGATGCGCATGGAAGCCCCTAAACGCCGAGCTAGTCAACGGGCGGATGAGGATGAGGATGATGAGAATGAGCCGTTAATGGACGATGAGGTCACCAGAAGCCAAGAAGGGGTGCAAGATGGTGATCTACGCCCATACGCTCACAGAGACGTGAAACCTGGTGAGTCGGCAGCTCTGCATCAATTAATCTACGATTTAGAATATTAAAGGCTATTCGCGGTTTAGGCAACATTATGATTAGCGAAGATGGCCACAGCCCAGTTCTCATGGATCTGGGATCCTTAGCCCCTAGTCCCATTCCGATTACCTCCCGTTCTCTCGCATTGGCAGTCCAGGATACAGCCGCAGAACACAGCACGATGCCGTACCGAGCCCCTGAATTATTCGACGTCAAGACCGGATCCGTCATCGACACGAAAGCAGACATCTGGTCGTTTGGATGCACATTATACGCATGCTTGGTCGGAAAAAGTCCATTCGAAGCCCGCAGTGAGGAAACCGGTGGAAGTCTGAGCATGTGTGTGCTCGGTGGAGACTGGCGCTTCCCTGATGAGAAATCGGCTTCCAAAGGCAAGGGTAAAGCTGGGGGCGAACAACAGGGCGAGGGCGCAAGTTCGAGCGGAACAAGTTCGATGAGTGCGCAGGTTAAAGATGTCGTTCGAAAATGCTTGGAAGTCGAACCGGCAGACAGACCTGACATTGACGAGCTCATACAGATTCTGAAGGATGTCATCCAAAACCTTTCGGATGATGCTGGATCTTCGTGAACGATTCTCTACATGCAAATCTGCTATAGAGTGATTGACTCATGCTATTGATCTGAATTGTGTGCGCTGTCTTTGATATTACTGAATTGTACGATATGGGTTGAAGATTGGATATCTTCTGAGCTACTGGCAACAAGGAACTTCTCTTTCTCTTTCCATTCTTTTCCTTCTCAGCATTTTTCTTGCGTTGGCTTGTGGGCCGTGCCAGGGTTCTTTTGTGTACTCTTTTCATGTCTTGAGTTTGATACCATAATCTCAGTTGGAGACAAATCTCTAATACATTTTTGTATTTCCATTTCAAATTATCTTATACATTAAAGATATTTCCCTATTTTAAGCTCCAAGAACTGTTCTCAGGCGGTGGGCTAGAGATCCGACGCCTCTGAAGTTCCGTAATCCGGCCTGGCTCATGATGACGAAAGTCACTCTAAACAATATAACCAAGGCGTTCCTACTAACTTGTAGAGGATCCTTTTTCAGCGGCAACACTCATTTCCAGTGTCATCGCGCATTTAGCAAAATGGGAGGACCAAACTTCGGTCCCGACACAAAGGGCAACGAGGTCATCGATGCCTTCCCACATAGCATTCAAAAGAAAACATGTACGCCTACCACACCCATAGTCAAATAAACCACAGAGACAAACAACTAAAACCCATAACTAGTCATCCTAACCGGCATGGGCACATCCGACCTTTCCACCACAACCGCCGAAACCCTCGCCTCCGGCGATGCCGCAGCCCTAATCCTCATCGGCCCCTCCAACCGCGCCATCCAGCCCATCTACGAAACCATAAACACCAAATACCCACGCGTCAAAGTAATATTCATTACAGCCGACATGAGCAAGCTCTCCTCTGTCCGGGGTGCCGCGGACTTAATTCGGAAGCTCGAAGTCACGCTGGATGGGATTATTTGTTTTCCGACAGTTATGGCGGGCGAGTGGGCGGTTACGGGGGATGGGGTGGAGAGGCATTTTGGGGTGAATTATTTGAGTCATTTTGTGCTTGTTAATCGGTTGAGGGGGGTTATGCCAGATGATGGGAGGGTAGTTGTGGTGGGGAGTAGTATTAGGCCTGATGCGGGGGCTTGGGGGTTTGAGGATGTTAATTTTGATGTGAGTTCTCGTTCCTTCAATAGAGGGTTATGTAATGGGCGCTGATGCAGATAGAATGGGAGAACGTATCACCCGTTGGATGGGTATGCGCAGTCGATGTTTGCCAATGTGCAGTTCGTCAAGTGTTTGGCTAGTCCTGATGAGGGACAGTCGATGATTGCGTTTGCTGTTAATCCAGGGAGTACGTTATACTGCATTATTTCTGAAATATCGTTGCTAATGTTGGGTACAGACACCAAAACTAATCTCCATACATCCGTCTCCCCAGAGCAAGTTGCCTCGTGGCTCCAACGAAAGAAAGAGAGTATGTCCATTTTTATACCATTAAACACACTATATGGAACGATTCTGATACCGAATAGTCAAACAAGACCTCCCCCTCCTGTTACAACAAGCCCCGAAATCCCTTTCTCAAGGATGCGCGACTGTCCTGAGAGCCTTGCTGGACCCAGGTCTCAAAAGTAAGTCACTTCTCCGTCAAGTTCATCATAGATGGTTAACATAGCCAAGGCCAATCCGGGGCATTCCTGGATAACTGCCAGGTTCGGGCTCTGCAGCATATTGATTTTCCGGCTGGGGAGGAGAGTTCGAGGCAGTTGTGGAGGAAGAGTAGGGAGTTGGCGAAGGAAGAGTGTGATAGTTTTGCTTGAGTAATGTGTCTGGTAAACTATGGACTGGATGAGGGTACGGCGATTCTACATCATGGGTCTCAGGAGCTTTGGTTGGGCTCGGAAGTGGCTGTGAGTCTATTCAGAAGCTTTATGTCAAGACAAACCTTATTTATCGAATGCTCAATCCATATTTTGTAAGTTTACAATAGTCAGATGCGAGTATCAATGTCGCATATCTGATCGTGAATACTTTTTTCTTTCTGGTTCATTGATCATGTGACAGTTTTCGCAGCTCGCCCAAACCCCTACCCTTCAAGCTGATCATGTTTTATGCGTGCGCATCTCTTTAATGCTATCACGAATAGTCTGATAGTTCTCATCTTACGAAGCGAAAGCGTCAGGACTTATTCCTCCTTTGAGTCTCTTAACTCCTTCAATGAGATCACATTTAAGATTATCTCTAATAATCTCAAGCCAGGTAGTGGAGATTCCTCCATGACCCTACCACAACTCAACCACGACGCCTATACGGTTAGGTGGGCATGTGCTCTTCGCTGCGAAGTCAATGCCTCTCGGGCAATGCTAGACGAGGAACACGAACGGCTTCCTCGCGCCCCAAACGATGACAACAGCTATATCCTCGGCCAAGCGGGCAATCATAACGTGGTTATTGCATTCCCCGGGGCCGGTGTTCACGGTACAGAAGCCGCTGCTCGAACCACTGCGCATATGATTCGAACATTCCGCAGTATTCGGTTTGGGCTTATGGTTGGTATTGGAAGGGAGGTTCGTCTGAAAGGGCATAATGAAGTTTTATAACCATTCATGAAGAGCAACCATAGGTCGAACTTGAGTCAATTATATTCTTATGAGACGCAAATGATTCTGGCCGCGGGCGGGGGGAGCATGTGGATGTGGTGAAATCACTCTTAGGAAATGGCATTGATACTAACTCAATTGGCGAGGACCATATTACATTATTGCTTGCAGCTGTTCATGGAAGGCTTTAATAATCACGCATATTGAATCATGAGACGGCGCAGTTCACAGCTAATGAGGCGCTACTCTTCAAGTAAATTAGTCAAATAGATTGAGTCATATTCAATTTGTGGTAGCTGAGTTCAAGTCCAAACCAACACAGAGCCTACCTAGGGTTGCAAGTTCTCAATAGATGGGTATATATATATTTCAAGAGATGTGATGATACAATCAGATGACTCAATCCGGCTTATTTGTAGTCCTGCTATCAATTATTTCAAGCTGCAACGCGTAAACCGCAGTATAAAATGCTATGTTTGACATACCGAGACCCAAGTCGAGGTGCAACGTAAATCATGCCGATCCGGAGGGACCTTTGGCACCCCGCTCGGTGTACTCAGCTGTCTCTCCTCCTCAGCCTCCATTCCTCTTCATCCTTCTTCTTCTCATCGACTTCTCTCATTTTCATCTCTTTTTAACTGATTTCTTCTTTCGTTTATCGTCTATATCACTGGATACTGCGACCTATATAGTGACAGTTAACCTCTTTGCCCATCCCTAGCTCTATCTTATCGGTCGAGCTCTTATCACCGCTTCTCCGGACTGATATGACCATTAGACCCATGAAGTTCAGTCCCGAGTAAGTCCTTAAATACAAATATCTGTCTGCTCTATATGATGTCTGACCATCCAGGGTCCTCCTCGGAGCGCCCCGTCGCTCTGGCGCCGTCCCCAACGCTTCGGGTACTCTGGCAGTGTACACCCAGACGACCTACTCCTTCGAATCCCATTCCAAGACGAACGAGATTCGCGTGATAGATATCGCCACCGGTCGCTCAGCTCTGATTACAAACGATTCCGGATCTAGTAATCCCCAATGGCTGGGTGATGGCGACCAGCTAGTCTGGTTGAAGGCCAAAACAAACGGAAACACTGCGTTTATCATCGGAGACGCTCGTGAGGCGGATAAGACGTATACGGCGGGAACTGTCCCGGGACCTGTGTCGGATCTCAAAGTCACAGTGATCGAGCAGGGAAAGATTGGGTTTGCGGTGACCGGCAAGGCTAATCCGGATGGATCACTGTTCAACCCGCACGATGCTAAGAAGCCGCTCAGCTCTGGACGGCTGTATACTTCGCTTTTTGTGAGGCATTGGGATACGTGGGTTGAGCCGCAGCGGAACACCATTTGGTATGGGTTGTTTCAGCAAGCGCCGCTCACCCCGGCCAACAGGCATGCTGGCAAGTATTCTATCTCTGGTCTAACGAACTTGATCGCCGTCTCTGGATTAGCTGGTGTCGAGTCGCCTATCCCGCCTATGGGAGGCGCGGGCGACTTTGACATCAGTCCATCGGCTATTGTTTTCGTTGCCAAAGATCCGGACCTAAACCCGGCACTACACACTTCATGTTCGTGCTATTATAGCCCAATGTTCTCGTGGACCAGTATGGATACGATTGCGCCGCAGGCAAAGATTTGCAAGGTGCAGGCGCTCCAGGGAGCCATGTCTTCTCCTGTCCTCTCGTCGGATGGTAGCTCGATTGCCCTTCTTACGATGGGCGAGGATGGCTATGAATCTGATAAGAACCGCATACTATACGTTCCTAACCCATGGAGCGGTGAGATGATCGAAGTATTCCAATCGACTAACGGCAAAGGACTGTGGGAACTCAGTCCGTCTGGAGTGTCTTTTGCGCATGACGACAAGTCTTTGCTTGTCCAGGTCGAGGAGAAGGGCCGTGGCGTTCTGTACCAGCTTCCTCTTGAGAACATCAAGCAAGCCAAACCCGACTCGCTCAAGAAGCTTACGCATTCAGGGAGCGTTACTGAGGTTCATCCTGCAGCGGCCAATTCGTCCAAGTTGCTGGTATCAAACACGAGCTTTGTTGATAACAGCTTATGGACTCTTCTTGATCCTAGCTCCCCTAACGATGTGCGAATTGTTTCGTCAGTCGGCCGCGGAGGAGCTGCTTTCGGTCTTTCGCCATCGCAAGTGGACGAAATCTGGTTCAGGGGAGGGGAGGACCATCCTGTCCATGCGTGGGTGGTAAAACCATCCGACTTCAACCCCAGTCATAAATATCCCCTGGCCTACCTGTTGCATGGTGGCCCGCAAGGCGCGTGGGTTGACCAATGGAGCACCCGATGGAATCCTGCTGTTTTCGCAGAGCAAGGATACGTTGTCATTACTCCGAACCCAAGGGGTAGTACTGGCTACGGCCAGCCGTTTACTGATGCCATCCGCAACTCCTGGGGAGGACTCCCCTATGAAGATATCGAGAAGGGATTTGAGTATATTGAGAAGAACCTGAACTATGTCGACACCAGCAGAGCCGTTGCTCTGGGGGCATCATATGGTGGCTACATGGTGAACTGGATCCAGGGTCATCCTCTCGGCCGCAAATTCAAAGCGCTGGTAACCCATGACGGAGTGTTCAGTATGACATCTCAACTCGCCAGTGAAGAACTCTACTTCCCGATCCACGACATGGCCGGACCGCTCTGGAAGGTACCTGAAAACTGGGACCGATGGGATCCCTCCCGGTTTACCGCGAACTGGCAGACCCCACACCTTGTCATCCACAATGAACTTGACTACCGTCTCACCATCGCCGAGGGCCTGGCAGCATTCAACGTCCTGCAGGCGAGAGGTGTCGAAAGCGCCTTTTTGTCTTTCCCAGATGAGAACCACTGGATGTTGAACCCCGAGAACGCGCTTTTGTGGCACCAGACGGTACTCAATTGGATCAACAAGTATGTTGGTTTGCCTCCGCTCCCTGGTACGTCTTTCGAAATGTTTGAGTCGAGCAAGGGAGCACCTTTGGAAAAGTGTGCCGCTGGCATGTCCTTGTCGTAGTTGATCCAGTCTTTATTTGCGGACATATAGCTTGCTTTATGATGCGGATATCTCAGTCATGTAGCTACGAGACAATGCATGGGATGCTATTTCCTGTTATCTTCGAAATACTTCTGTTTTGTTTCGATTTTGGAACAAAGGAAGCCAGTCTTTGAACAGTGCGTGCCGTTTATATGTCTTTGTTGTTGTTGAAACTCGACGACAGAAAGAGTTCTATTTTCATCCGTTTCATCTTCCCGTTGGACCACAATCCATTGTCATTTACATGGCCACGGTCGATATAAATAATTTAGCAATCTCTCCAGATTTTCTCTTTAAGCGTATCGTTTCAATCTAATTCGATTCATCTGAGTGTTCTCCATACAAGCTGAGTCTCCTACCCTCCTACTTCAACATAAACTAATGTTTTCTACAAATTTTTCAATATCGATAAAGCAATGCCCAACCCAAACCACCGTTCCTCTCGCTCGCCTCCCCGTCTTCGAATCAACCCACCCTCGCCTCAATCCTTCTACTCGCTCTCCCCGCTTTTCACGCCGTCAACTTTCACTTCTTCCGCAGCCTCAATCAAAACACCAAAAGCAACTAGCACGGCTACCACGCCAATCGTTCCTACAAACAGCATCACTACATTAAGCCTAGACACTGTCATCGCCCACCTGCGCATAACCCTCCACCCCCTCATCTCCGCCACAACCGGGCTCCAGCATCCTTATTTCCCGAGAACTCTCCTCTCTTATCATCTCCTTACATCCGACCAACTGGATGAACTAGCAAGACACTATCACCAAGTCACCCCGCCTGTTCCGGGAACATTTAGTTACCCGGTGGCTATTCCTGCTTGGGTGGATGCTCATGTCCATGCCCATGGAAATGAATATATGATGGATGAGGTCGATCTAAAAACTAAGAGAAGACGCTTTGGAAGATTCATTGGGCTACGCGGCTGTGAATCTCCCATCCAGTTCCGGGTCGAGTTAGACAGCGAGAGTGGAAGTGAGAGTGGATACGAGGACGCGGAAATGGAAGAGGCGATGGCGAGAGTTGAGTGGGAGTGGGAGGAAGCGTTGCTGAGAGCTGTGAGGGAGGATGGGGATGGGTTTAGAATTAAGTAGTAGCTGTTCATGTAATTCCTGTGTTTTCTGACTTGACTTTTGGTGTGTTATATATCTGGCTTCTTGCATGTGGGATTATTAGATTGGTTGCACATAAATCTCAAAAAAATATGGTGTCAGTGACCCATTCCTTTCTCCCAGTTCTCGACGACGATATCCCAGTATTGCTCACGACTGAGTTCTCTGAATTTCTTTCCCCATTTCATCATTATAAGGAAGACAGTAGAGCATGCCATTCCGATAAACGCTGCTGAGATAAAACAGTTCTGGTATCCAAGGTTATCAACCCACGGCGTAATCCTGCCCCCATTAGCTTCCACAAGCAACTCAAAAAGAAAGAAAAAAAAAATGTGCGTACCCATATCCAATTGCAAACGACATCGTATTCCTCACCAACATCACACTGGCCATCGCATCCCCACTCAACTCCTTATAACTATCCACGAGATAGTTAACGCTGATAGTAATCCCACTTGTATTCACAAACGCAAGTAGGGACATGGCGACAATAAGGCCGAACCAGTGCACATCGTGGGCAGCGCCAACACCCCAGAGAATTAGTGCCCCTGGGAGGATGAAGAGGCATGCTGCAAAGGGCCAGAGACGTTGTTCAGCTTCCATGATGCCGTTGTTGCGGCGGGCGAGTTTAATGGTGAGCCAGTCGCTGAAGCGGCCGGTGAAGAGGGAGCTATGTGCAATGGTTAATAGACTGCTCTCATTACTTCATGAAGATGGAGAGAGCTACCCTGAAATAGCACCGAGACAGCAGGAGACGTAGCTGAGTCCTACCATGGCCGTGCTGTGATTGTTAGCTGGCGTTTCACCATGAGGGTGCGAGTAGTACCTGAAGCTATATGGTGCAGATCCGAGAATAATAGATGCAGTACCGTTCATCACGTTGAACCAGATTAAGTATGAGCCGTAGGAGAAGCTTAGTTTGTTAGCTCTTAATTCAGTTCTTCGCTGGGAACTGCTCAACTTACCCTGCATAAAACACCACTGGCCACGAGAGATAATACAACGTCTGGTATGATCTTCTAAGCATGTTATTCCTGCTCTGTTGAGGCCCTAGCACAGAAAGTTTCTGGACATATGTCTTCTTCGAGTACATCGTCCCCGGAATTGGCACATCAGAGCTATCCGGTGCCTTCTCTTTATCGACTTGCTCAAGATCTGTAGTCGAAGGTTCAACATCACTGTTAGCAGGTTCAATAGAGAGATCACGGGTGTAATTCGTCTCTTCCATAAAGAAAAACAGGAAAACAACTGCAACAGCGCAGAAGATACTGGGCCAGTAGAACACCCATTTCCAACCATGGTACTCGGAAATGAAGCCGCATATGACTGGTGCGACGTAGTTGCTTCCGGCTAGAAAACAAGCATAGAGGCCCATGTATGTTCCGCGTTCGTGGGTGAAGTACTATGAGCATGAGAGATCTTCTTGGATGTTATTATCCAAGGATGGACTCACCACATCCGTGACAGAGACTTCAGGAAGCGCCTCGATTGGGGCAACAAAGAAACCTGCTAGAATACTCCTTGCTGCCCATTGGCCGTTTGAGTGTATATGCGGACTTTTCTGGTTAGCAGCTTATTTTCCATATACAGTTCGACTACTCACCCCCACATCAACATTCCCTGGGATGTCTAAGTTAGGTATACACCTCCAAAGTAACTCGAATAAGTGAAGACTTACTATAGTCCCCACCAAGGAAAGCAAATATGTCAGCCTCTTGCCATATTGCATGGCAAACGGTTGCCAGAACAAGAGGCCCCATCCTGCCAGTAGGAACAGATAGCCTGTGCCCTCATTTATAGTGCTGACTGATACCCCTGTATTCTCGGACAGTGGAACTAGGACAGAATACACAACAGATGTTGAGATTCCGGCGAATAAAGTGTATCTTTAGATATCAGCGACATGTCAGTTATAGGGGAGCTTGGATGGATCTGCAACTCACGTGTTAACACAAACAGTAGAGAATAGCTTCCGCTGTGGCGACCAATTCAACGGATCATCCGGATCACGCGAAGGCGTTGGAATCAAAACAATGTCGCTATTCCCATTGGCATGCCGAGCGGACATAACATGGTCCAAATCCAACAAAGTAACCGTGCCCGGGACGGCGCTCCTATCCAAATTTGGCACCATATTGTTAATAAACCTGTGAAACCACTGGAGTTCGTATACTCGGCCCCGAGGAAATGCAGGAGAAAGTGGTCATGGCGACGCGGACGAAGGTGGCGCCTTTATGTTACACAAAAGGATGCGATATGCAAGATACCTTATCACACCGATAAAAGCATCAAGATGACTCTAATTGGACGTGATCCAACAAAGATTCTGTCTTAATTCACCTCGTATCATCACTTATAGCCGAGGTTTTGCACCGCTGTTTTGGAGATGTCCGGGATGAGGACTTGTATGGTGGTAAATGCGGGGATTGATGGAGTTGATGTAGATGACAATTGGCACCGCTGATAAGTTTAGCTGGAGGATAGATAGACATCGTGGCACGGGAATTTGTTTGTTAGATGACCATGAGTCGAGGATTTGTTATCAGATTCAACAACAATGCTGACAATCGATGCATTCTTATGAAGCTGGTCTAATGTTGTTCCAACTATACGGAGTGCTAGTCAATTTACACAGGATGGCGTCGTTATCAAGAAAGGATCTATCACAGTGAGAGATAAACCGGGAAATGCTATTCCAATCTGGAAGGTCCATCAACAGCAGACTACGCCTTCTTTGCTTTCAATCTCTTCTCATCCTCTCATGTCTTCATCCCAATCGCCACATATTAAAGTCTCACCAGCCATATTCACACTCACTGAGAAACCATCAAACGGCCCTCCAGCCCGAAACACCCCCATATACCTTTTAACGGACCAAATTTTCCGGCTCGATGAAGCAGCCGAATCGAGTATTGCACCCCAACTCTTTAGCGATTCGTATGATTTCTAATCGCCTCCCAGACAATCTGTGGCTATACATCACGCACGGGACAAATCGAGCGCCCTGGACCAGTTTTCCGCTTTTTGAAGCCTTCTTGCATCACACCCTGAGCAAGGCTCAGCGCTTCCTTGGTGTCGTCGAAAATAGTTGAATTAATACAGAGGGCGGAATGGACTCCTGGGTCTCATGGAAATGGGGGGCGGGAGCTGGAGATGTATTCCTCTCAGTCAGTGTTGGTGACGCTCATGGAGGCGATGTTATTCGCGGCCTCTGAAGCTGGCATTCGGAGTCCTGCACTCTGTCGGATCGCGAGAATGCACCGGTATATGGCTATAACTTACTGTCAACGCTTTCCTTAAAATTCTTACTAATAATCAGAACAGTATCGTCTGTTTTCCACTCGGGCTGGTCCAAAATGATGAAATACTCCTGGAGCCAGTAGCCGTCTCCCAACTTATGGGCATGGAGGATAATGTCAAAGACATTCTCTAGCTTGTCAGTATCAGGGATCACCTTACCGTAAGACCTGTTTCCGTAAAGGCCTTGGTGATCTCTTTCTCGTCGTCATCGGTGTGGGAAATTAGAATCTAGATGGAGATTTTGCCGGCGACATCTTGACAATAGCACAGTATGGGTTTCACTCAGCATGAGAGAACAAAAGAGATGGATTTTATGCTGACAGTTGTTTACAAATGTACATACCCTTGTGGATGATGTCATGGCAAAAATGAGCCCTCGTGTACACCCTTGTCGAGTTATGCTTGTCCCTTTGTCACATTACTACAGTGTCATGCGCAATGCAGCATCGGGGCGTTTCACCTGCAGCTTATTAGGCATGCTTGTTTTTTTCGACGTTTCAGGTTGGCGCTTAGACTTGCTACTCAAGGCTGATCTGGGTAGTTCTCAATGAGAATAGTTGTAGGATGAGGACCCTCCGTAGCTCGCAATCTGAGGAATGAAATTAATAGGTACATCTTATCTTAAATAGATCAACTGCTGTTACCATGTCTCTTAGGCTAAGCCCTATTCCATTACATACATGATTCTGTCAGCTTATAATCGTCTAATGGAAGTCCCATGTACGCTCGTATTTGTCAGTAAGCGGCTTCATACAGCCCTAGCTCATTCCAAATCACGGCCCGTCAATCCACCAATGTCCGTTTCTTACTCAGATCTAGTTCATGCTCGGAACCAATCTGACTGCGTGAACGCCTCCAGAATTCGCGCAGGGTCATCCAGTGTCCTATTGGGATTTCGCTCTATGTTGGGAATAAGCAATTATAGACATATCCAGTCAGCTACGAGATTATATCGGGCTTGGGGGTCATGCATGGAGGGGTGAGATGCGGCTTATGGTCTTCTTGCAGAAGATGTTAAATACGGCTTCTTCCTCAGGTATAATGGCTTTTATTTGAAGAATAGGATTATCAGAGTATCTACTTCTCGAATTAGCTTTGTTTAGCAGTCGGCACTATGCGCTACTTCATATTTTTACTTGCCCTATTCGGAACGCTCCTTGGCGAGTCCCGAGCCCAACAGGAAGTTGTCTTTGACTGCTCCCAGATGCCCTGTAAACTACTTCCCTGTACAACCCCTGCACCTAGCCATTCATCTAACATCAACATCCAACAGCCGTCTGCACAAACATGTGCTGGGGCATCTACTGTGCCTTCGGAAACCACGACTCCGAAGCTCTCCTTACCTACGACGCTCCGGACGACGAGACCGCCAGGCAGCGCCGCATAAGTGCTGGTTGCAATCCCAGCAGAAGCCGCTGTGCAGGAGGCCCGTCTAACGCCAATAGCTGCGACGAGTATCCATTCGCGACGACGCAGGAGGCAGACCAGGTTGCGCAGATTAATCGATGTGTCCCTCAGATCGAGAATTCGCGTGAGTATACTTTGCGCCTCTCAAGGGATATGTATGTAATGCTATCATGGTGCTGATTATGTGCTGGGTTGTGATTTAGGCCAAGGACAACGCCTCCAAGAACTCTACAGCCGCCTTAGCGCCCCCGAGCAATTCATAATCGGCTTCACGCGCACCGATGCAGCCGGTGTTCAGTTTTGTAACTACAACGATGCCTGTGAGAACGACGGAACGATCTACCAAGAAGACGATGTCGCGCCGAACCCACCCAACAATGCTGCTGTCAGGCTGAAATATCGGTACTTGCTTGAGAGTGGGGTGGAGTACATCTCGCATGTGGACTCACCGTCTGGAAAGATGGTCAAACGGCTTATTTCTGTTGAGGGAAATGAGACTGAGAGTACTGATGGTGGCGAGGATCCGGAGGGGTGGATATGGGTTGAGGATTATATCTACCGGCGACTTGCGCAGGAGGGAGATGAGGAGGATCCTGATTGGGTGGCCGACTATATCTATCGTCGAGATGCACAGGAAGATGAGACAGAGGTCAATATTGGCGATGCGAATGGGGAGGATTCAAGGGAAGATTCGGACGGGGTAGTGGATCATATCTACCGGCGACAGGAGAATGTGATCGGGACTGAGTCTGATACTGGGGATGTGGATGAGGGGGGGAAGGATGAGGAGAATCCTGACTGGGTGGTCAATTATATTTATCGTCGGAATGCACAGGATGAGACGGGGACTGTTACTGGGGCTGTGAATGTGGAGGGAAAGGATGAGGAGGATCCGAACTGGGTGGCGAAGTACATCTATCGGCGGCAAGAGAATGAGACTGAGACTGAGGCTGTTGATGGCAAGGAAGAAGAGAAGAGTCCAGATTGGGTGATCGATTACATCTATCGTCGGGATGCGCAAAAAGATGAGACTGAAAACGGGGCTGTTAATGATGAAGCGCAAGGAGAGAATCCTGACTGGGTTGTGGACTATATTTACCGGCGACAGGAAGACGAGACTGAAACCGGGGCTGTTGATGAAATGCAGGGAGAGGACCCAGACTGGGTGGTGGACTATATCTACCGTCGGGATGTGCAGGCTGAGGGGAACGACATTGAAACTGTTGAAGAAGAGGACCCGGATTGGGTGGTCGGTTATACCTACCGGCAACAGGAGGAAGGAGAGGAAGAAGATCCAGATTGGGTGATTGATTATGTCTATCGCCGGCAGGATGAGACAGAGACTGAGAGCGGGGTCATTGATGGCAAAGTGCAAGTAGAGGATTCAGACTGGGTCGTAGATTATATCTACCGGCGACAGGATGAAGGGGATAAGACGACGCAGAACGGGGAGGATCCGGACTGAGTGGTGGATTATATCTATCGGCGAGGTTTAGTGTATGAATGTGATCGTTGTGAGCGACTATAATACTAGTCTGATATGCATAGTTCCTTGAATGAAGCCAATGTGGTGGGTGATTATCAGCATAGCCTTCTATGTATAGTCGGCAGTGGAGGTTAGCAATGTTATCACATAACTATTCGATCGGTCATTGAGAAAGCATGGTCATATATGCTTTTGACATTAAGAATATAGAAACTAGTTACACAAGAGGAAATCTTCATACGAGAATAAACCAACATACGGAAAGTAAGCAGCTTACTCTTCCTCTTCCTCACTCTCATCCTCCTCCATCCCCTCAGCCGCCGTGACAGTAAACGTAGGTGCCTGGTCAACACCCACATAACTATCACTCATCAAGTACAGCGTCAACTCATGCTCACCCGGCGAAGGCACAACATATTCCAGACGTAGATCCAACTTCCGCCCAATGGTAACCCGCTTGATAGCCAGCAGACTCTTGGTCTTCTCCTCACCCACGACAAGCCACCAATTCTCCATCTTGCGGTTGGAGTAGAAGGGTGCGTGGACGGTAGCGTCTGGTTCTTCGTCCTCTTCGACTTCGCGCTCGACCTTGATCTTGAGGTAGGCGGGTTCGCCGGAGGTGACATTCTCGGGGTCTTCGACCTGGAAGTCGAGGTCGAGATTGGGGTACTTATCATTGGTGAAGGCGGCGGCTTGGGCGAGTTGCTTGTTGTCGAGACCCAGGCGTTTGACCAGTGAGGCGTAGTCCTTGTTCTCAGAGGGGTCCATTGCTTCCATGAACTCGAAGATGTCGTTGATACTGCGGAGAGGTAAGTTAGCATTGCACATAGGATCACCGGAATGGAAAGTAGGAACATACCCAAACTCATTGGCCACCTTAACAACCTCGGGACCAAAGTGAGGAATCTGCTTAAGCGGGCTATCCCGATCCCACATAGCCTGGACAACCATCTGCGACATCTCCATTGCGTTCATCGCATTGAGGTGACCCTCAGACGAGAGAACATCGACACAAGCACTGAGCAAGTTAAGAATCTTGTTTACAATAACCTCCTGATCCTTGGCAAGATCAATAGGCAGCTGCATGCGAGAGAAGTGGGCCTGAAGCAGAACAAAGGCCTTGAAGTGCGGCGAGTCGTATGAGACCTGGGACATTTTCACAGGAATGCGGTCGTACACCCGACGCAGGATATGGTTTTCATGACGACGCATTTGGATCGACTCGAATTCCGTCGCAGAAGTGACAATCTCCAGAATACCCTTGAGCTTTGTGCGGGCTGACAGCGAAAGGAGGAAGGTCTGCATAGTGATGAACGAGATGTTGTAGTACGCCCCGATCATGGCGGCGTTTAGTGGCGAGACGCTGTCGTCTTCCTCGTCCAGATCGATGATCTTGGCCTCGGACAGCTCCTTCAGTGTGTTCTCGACCAATTCAGACATGAACGTGCTCAGACCAACGTGGCTGACGTCGCTGAGACCGTAGAAGCTGGGGTTAGCAAGGAGACGGCGGTAGAAGTATGTGTAGGTCATCCAGTCGATCGCGTCCTGAGTGGAAGCAATTGCCTTGGTGCTAACCTCCGTGACAAATGCATCGTGCAGATAGATCTGCAGATGACTCTCCACGGGAAGCGCTTCATTGAGGAACTTCTTGTAGTAGTCACGCTTTACACCCGGAACCATCAATACACCCCGACCAATCTTGTCCTCGCCGGGGCGAGATGCCTTCCCAAACATCTGGAGGATCTCGCTAATTGGATAGTCAATGTAACGGTGCTCCCGACCTTCGAAGAACTGAGTGCCCATCACAATGACCAAATGGGCAGTCAGGTCCAGCTCCCAGCAAACATCCCGCGACGCGAGAAGCACTTGGATAGCACCAATCGCGAACAAATGCGACACGATCTTCTTGTCGGTCGGGGTGAGAGCCTCGTGGTAGTAACCGATACCATGAGAGAGTGACTCCGCGAGAGTCCGTTCATTGATGCGGTTGAGAAGGGGAGCCAATTCATTAACATCAGCGTTCAGGAACCGGTCCTCATCTTCATCGGCAGCACAAGCGCCCAGGATGTCCATTGCGCTAGACCGTGTCTGTTTACGGTTCGGGACAAAGATCAGCGCAGGCTTGTTGGGCGACAGTTGCAAGATCGACTGGTATGCTGGCTTCGCCATATTGAGCATGAGTGAGGGGAAATGAGGGATGTTGAACGACTGGATGTGGAGCTCCAGCGGCACAGGCCGGGCGTGCGGGCTGAAATTGTAGATCGTGTGCTTGTTGGCGCCAATCCACTCTCCAATGTCGCGCGCGTTGGCAAGAGGTACACTCAGACCGATGAGACGCATACCGTTCTCAATCTGGACCGCAATCGAGTGCATACGGGAGACAACCACTTCGTACACGTATCCGCCATAGCCACCAAGCATGTGCAATTCATCAGCGATGAACAGCTGCACGGTCTGTACGTTTTTTCGTCGCCGCCATTGTCGTGACAGGATGTCCCACTGGGTAGGAGTTGCTAAAACCAAGTCTGCCTGCTCCAGGAGCCTGAGATCGGCCGTGGTCTCTCCAGTCAGCCTGACAACGTTTTTACCACCAGCAAGGCTGCTAAATCGCTTCTCCCAGTCTGCGTGTCGCAGATCCACCAACTCTTGGAAGGGGGCAACATAAACCGCCCGGCCAGCGTCCTCTCGGTTCCAGTGGCGAAGCAATGCAAGCTCAGCGCAGACAGTTTTACCACTTCCGGTAGGAGAACCAATAAAAGCATTCTCGTCCGAATCAAAAAGCGACTTGAACGTTTGGGTCTGAATCTTGTTGAAGTATTGCCAGTCAGGGTACAGCTTCTGGTAGTCTTCGCGCTTCAATGCCTTGACGGGGGCTCGCTGCATGTCCAAGACGGGAGTGTGAGGCGGGAATCGTTCGGGGAGGATGAGTTTCTGGAAAGACACAGCAATCTTGGTCTCTGCGTGCATCCACCGATCAGAAACCAAAGTGATGAAGTAGTTGGGCGGCATCGGCTCGGTGATCGGCACCGTGAATTCAACAAGGTGCTCGTTCACTTCGGATTGCGCGTAGTCCTTCCGGAGAACGAACTGATCGTGGAACAAAATGTCCTCACCATCGCAGTCCTCGACCAGAATCCAGAAGTCCTGGGCATGTCCATGGATAGCTTCATCCCAGACGAAGTTAGGCGTAATTGTTAACTCAACGCGCAGCATCGAGCGAGTGATGGGCTGTACCTGGGCCTGAACCTCCAGACGAGGGAACTTTGAGACAAGGTCGCAGACGACACGTCCCGCCTTAGGCATGCCAAGCAGTTCACCCATACGCGGAGGATCGAGGTCGAAATAGCTGGACCACGGTACATCAATACGTTCGGCCTTCTGCAAGACATCTCTCGGGCAGTTGGGGAACTGGCGGAGAGGCGACATTGTTGGCCACATGCGCTTCTCAGCCATCTTGCACAGATCAAGAGCATTCTTGGCCACTGAAGACCAACCCTTCTTCAAGGCAATCTCGAAAACGGCCCGGATAATACGACCAGCAGACTGTGTAACATAGACCATGTCCGCCATCAATGCAAGACCCTCCAGCTTGAGTCTCGAAATGTAAGCCTGCAGAAGGACGTTGACTTTCGAGTGGGGCTCGTCAATTCCCTCCTTGACGGGAATAGGCACACGGCCCAGCAACTTGGCCAATTCAAGCTTCTCATCTTGACGGACGGGAATGTACTTGAATTCATCACTGAGAGCGAAGATGCGGAAAAGCTCAATGTTGGAGATGGAGGGTTGGATGTGTTGAGAGTACGTCAACATGGAGTTGTGGCCGATGTAGTAATGCGAAGAGATCCGTCCAAGTTCCGTAGGTTGTAGGCGTCCAGTCTTCTTCTCGTATTTGACCAAACCGGCTCTCTCCAGGATAACAGCAGCCGAGTGGACAAGGTCAACACGCTTTTGCAACAATGCGTCATCGTTCTCGTAGTCAGCACCGACACTGTACAAACCAGGCGAACGAAGCATCCGGACGAACAAGTAAGTGTAACCAAGCCATTGAACACCCTCGTCGCGGTCACGGATATTCCCGAGAACAATTTCAGCGTTCATGTTGTCTGCCAGCTTGCTCATCAACTGACTCTCAATGGGCAATTGCTGGTTCATGAGGGAGAGGTAGTACTGAATTTCGGACTGCGCGGTGATAATGATACCCTCACCAAAGGTATCGTACTGCGGCCGACCAGCACGTCCCAGCATCTGCAGAACATCCTGAGGACTCAACTCAACCCAACTACCCTTTTCAGGCGAGTAGATCTGAGTTCCCTTGATGATGACCGTGTGTGCGGGGAGGTTAACACCCCAGGCAAGAGTGGCGGTACAGACAAGAACTTGGATACTGCCATCGGCAAAGAGAGCCTGGACGGAGTCACGGTCTGCAAGACTCAGACCAGCGTGGTGGATACCAAGTCCGTACGGCAGGAGGTCCTTCAGAGATGGGTCGTCAACAGACTCGGCTTCCTCAGACAAGATAGCCCTGCTGGCAGCATCACTGCGAAGAATCTGGCCGATGGTCTCCATCTCCAGAGCCTTGTCCCGGATGTACTTGGCCGTTTTGGCAGTCTCCTTACGAGAGTGCACGAAGATCAGCATCTGATTCCTGCGCTGCCCAACCTGCTCCAGAACCTTGTTGTAACATATGTCGTTCATTGTCTTCAGCTGCTTGATAGCCTTCTTATCGGTGACACCAATGAACTCTTGCTTCAACGGACAAGGTCTGTAAGAGCCGTCGAAGTGGAACATGCCCTTGAGGGGATCCACACGCAAGAAGCTAGCGACATCACGGTAGTTTGGCAGTGTGGCACTGAGACCGACAACACGAACAGGGTCACCGGTCGCCTCCACCTTACGAATAGTTCTGCTCACAAGACTTTCAATGACAGGACCACGCTCATCGTGCAGAAGATGAATTTCATCAATGATGATGAGACGGACAAGGTTGGTGTAGCTGGTTTCTGATCCCTTTCTTGTGATGACGTCGAATTTCTCGGGAGTGGTGACAATGATCTGGGTATCCGCGATCTGCTGTTTTGTCAACTGGCGGTCACCAGTAAGTTCTGCCACCCGGATTCCGTAGGGTTCAAGTCGCTTTCCAAGGTTGCCCACTTGTTCCTGGACGAGGGCCTTCAGAGGAGAGATGTAGACAATCTTGAAGTCATCGAGCATGATTTCGCCGGTCTCTGGGTTGCGGTTCTTGCCAATTTCGCGTAAAATAGTGAGCATAGCGACGTTTGTCTTTCCTGATCCAGTCGGTGCACAGACAAGCATGTTGCCATCATCTTTAAATGCCGTCGGATAACAGATGGTCTGTATGCGGTTGAGCTCTTTCGAGCTACCAAATCCAACGCGTGCCCACTCAGGAAGTTCTGAAGTCGGAGTGTTCTTTTCACCAGGTTCTCTCTTGGCCTTTGGTGGCGGGACGTGGATTTCTTCGTACCCCTTGAATGTCCGCTTGGTGGAGCCCTGAGGCAGCTTAACATTCGGGTTGGTCATCAAGTGATTACCCTGGTGGAAAACGAGATTCTCCAAGTTGATAAGTCTCTTCGGCTGCAGAGGCCCTGTGGGTTCTTCAGCCTTCTCTTCCGGTGCACCTCTCGGGACATCGACGTCCATCAGATCAAGCTTGATCTTCTTCTCGGGTCGACCAGCACCCTCTTCACGGGTAGGCTTGCCCCGGATCTCGTCCAGAATAGCACGATGCCCTGCTCCAACCATTTCACTTTCGACTTCATTGCGAGCATCTGCATCTTCGGCAACTCTCCTCCAGCGTGTGACCCAGACGACCTTGTCACGGTTCGTCACAAGTTTGGCGACAAGTTCGGGGTTCTCGTAGTCGAACAACTCCATCAAGTCATTTTCAACGTCACGAAGCGGTCGCTCTGCGCCGTCCTCGCCTTGGCCACCGAGAATCTCGAGTGCATCCCGAGCCTTCTCTTGCTGAATATGGGCATCCGAGTAGACACTACCAATCTGACGCTGAAGCCAATATGCGTCGATCTCGCGGGCGGGTATAGTCATCATGTTCTCGCGGGTCTTCTCATCACGGCCAGCGCCACCGTCAATGACCATTTCCTCTGCCTCGTCATCGAGACCTTCAAGGTCAGGTCTCTCTGTAGCATCTTCACCCTCTGGTTTTTCCTCTTCTTCGTCGTCTGTTAATTCGTCCTCGTCGCGAACTTCGGTGCCCATACGGTCCTCATCTTCATCCTCCTCGTCGAAGACGACAGCGACACCCTGTCGTTCATCCAGTTCCCCACCAGCTTCGCCTTCCAGACTACCTTCCATCTCTTCATCCTCATCTTGAGCATCATAATCTGTGATTTTCTTGCCCAGGTTGACCAGCTCGTTGAACTCCTTGGGATTCATCGAGCTCCCCAGCAAGTCATCAATTTCCTTCTTCTTATCGAAATCCTTCATATCCTCATCCTTGAGGTACTCCAGCACAGCATCCGCCGCGCTTCTCACCACCTCATGCGGAACATCACCTAGGTGGCTGGCGGTCATGGTGAGGATAAGATCGTACGTCGCACGCGTAGCCGGTGTTCGTGGGCGGTACTTCAAACCCTCGACAAGCGCATCAGCCGTGGAGAGAATCCCTTGCCCCCGTGCCTGAGCTGGTTGTCCTTTCTGTAGCTTCCTCTGTTCTCGTGCAAGCACGTCCTCTCCTTCCCGAATCGCGCCTCGCTCGATATTGACGGGCCCGGTGGCCTTCTTCTTCGTCTGCGGGGCGTTTTCAGGTGCTACCCGCGAGCCCATTTCTCTAATACCAATGCGGCCGGCGAGGGATTCTGGATCTCCGGTGGGTTCATCCTGGATGCGGGAGACGAAACGGCGGTCCGCCTGGAGGACCAGGTTGGACATCGCCGAGTACTTGTACTGCGAGATATTGTTTGGGTCCGCCATGTTGAAAGAGTGGAATCTGTATTAACAGGGATAAAAAGAGGTATATAGGTGGAATAAATGGCGACACGAAAAGTCGGCCCAGCTCGTCGGAGCTCAGAATCAACCGGCGCGTCCAGACACCTGCGACAGAAGCGAAAAATGAATTCTGCAGCGTTAAGAGAATTTCTTTCAGATGTCTTCACAAACCTGAAGCATCGCAACAGCAAGGTCGAATAAAAGAAGGCAAGCTCGCTCGTTCTGTCGTGGGGTGCAAGCTGCCGTAGTTGAGGTTAAGGTGTCGCTTGAAGAGTTGGTGAAGGGAGTTTGACGGAGTCGGAAGATTTCAGTGGCGACCCGAGAGGGAAGGTTTGGCGAGGTCTACCATCGCCGCATCCAAGGAACGCTTTTTTATTATGGTTACAACACAACAACTAGAGGCCAATGATAAGAAAACATGCGTATGCATGGGTTTCTCTCGTCAGTTCAGTCCTCTCGTCGCTCTTTGGTTGGTCGCAGGAGTCATATCTTACAACTGCACTGGTGTAATACCCACCGGAGCATCTGCCATCATGCCCGCCGTCCTGCCCTACACCTCGTTGGAGCTTCAGTCTCAGCTCCAGCCCAGCTTGAGCAGATAAGGAGTAAAAAGACCCAATCTACTTTGAAAATTAAGGACTTACCTCAGGGTGCTTTGAAACTCGAATCCTACAATGATGCCCCGGAAGATGATACACCTCAATATCCAACGGTGATCCAAGGACACCGGAATAACATGCAGAAGTTCAGGAACTGTGTATTGTTGACGAGAGTCGGTGGTTTTTACGAGGTATGAGACAAATATCGATGATTTCTGACTGCAGATCGATTGTATTAGTTGTTAAAGAGGGTTTGAATGCCTGACATATCTTTCAGTTATACTTCGAACAAGCAGAAGAACTAGCTCCATTACTCAACATCAAGCTTAGCTTAAAGAAAACCAACGCGGGCCCTGTTCCCATGGCAGGCTTCCCGTTTTTCCAGGTCGACCGGTTCCTGAAGGTTCTGGTTCAAGATCTCAACAAATATGTCGCTATCAGTGAAGAGTTCGCCAACACCGCAGAAGAAAAGGCACGTTCTAAAGGCCTGATGTTCGACCGCAGAGTGGCCAGAGTCATCACACCTGGTACTCTGATCGATGAGAAGTTCATGGATCCAACTCAGAATAACTTCCTACTAGCGATCTATATGGATGTCTCCTCGCTAAAGGCGCATGTAGAAGGGCAGGCCGCTGAGGATAGCGAAGTAACCTCTCATCAACATGTCCTGGCATCACCTTCTCAACCCGTAGGCCTTGCCTGGCTTGACCTGTCTACGGGCGAGTTTCTTACCCAGTTCACGACAGCGCAGATGCTTCCCTCGGCCATCGCGCGTATTGGAGCTCGCGAGATACTGGTTGACCAAATTACTCAGGATCTTATTGGACATGAGTTGCGGTCACTGGTTGGACAGGAGCAACGTCTATTGACCTTCTTTCCGTTTTCTGGAGACGTTGCACCCATGTCGGACTGGGGCCCAATGCTCGAAACACCAGTTCCAGCGGACACTATCGACGCGTTTACGCCAGAGGAAACTGCTGCGGGATATAACCTTTTGGAATACATCCGGGTTCAGCTGCAAGGCTCGAACATGCAACTCCAACCACCCAGACGTCGACACCTAAATGAGTCCATGAATATTGACCGTAATAGTTTGAGGGGTTTGGAGATCCTCGAGACAGCCCGCGACGGGTTCGGGAAAGGAAGTCTTCTTCATGCAGTCCGACGAACCAGCACGAAGAGCGGGGCCCGTCTGCTGAGAGACCGTTTGAGTATGAATTTTCCAGAAGTTCACTTGAGAGTGAGTTGCTAATTCTGCGATAGCGTCCCCATCTACATCACTGGAGGTCATCAACGAACGCCTTGACCTAGTGTCGATTTTCATTGAAGATACGGGACTACGAAGAAATACAATGCAGTTGCTAAAACGTAGCTACGATGCTCAACGCCTAGTGCAGAAATTCACACTGGGACGTGGCGACGCAGATGACCTGATTTGCCTTTCAAGAGCCATCCAGGCCTCGAGAGAAATTCGACAGGTGTTGTCAGCTAAAGATGGCGATGGCTCCGATGCTGGGGTTAAAGGTAGTCTTAAGATGATGATCAACCGGCTCCACCTCGACGGACCTACTATTCTCGCGGATGAAATTCTCGCAGCCATTGACGAAGAAGGTCTCTTACAGAGGCAACGCATGGAAGATGCCACGGCCGCGGAGGTAGCGGTGTTGGCACAAGAAGTAACAGCAACAGAGGGATTGCCAGAAGATCTCGAAACGTTACCCAAGAAGGTGAAGGGAAGGAAAAATGCCACACCTGCAGCGGAAGAACAGATCGTTGATACATGGATCATGAGACGCGAGGCAAGTCCAGCTTTGCGCAGCTTACACGAAGAGCTTGATCGACTGCACGACAAAAAGTCGCGGCTAACAACGTGGCTGCGTGATTCTGTCAGATCGCCCCATATATCACTCAGGTGGTCCGCCGGACTGGGGCACATTTGCCATGTCAGGAATGCCAGAATTACGCAGGCATCACTCGAAGAGCTGGGAGTAACGCGAAGCGTATACTCAACCAAGAGCACCCGATCATTCTACCTGCCAGCATGGACGGACCTTGGCGGTAAAATGGATCAAGTCAAGATCCAAATCCGGCAAGAAGAACACGTTATTTTCGAACGACTTCGGCGAGGTGTGATCCTGAACCTGGTGAAGATCCGGCACAACGCAGCCGTCATGGACGAGCTTGACGTGGCTTGTTCATTCGCAAACCTTGCTCAGGAGCAGAACCTAGTCCGTCCAATATTAAATATGGGCACGGCACATCAAATTGTGAGCGGTCGGCATCCAACAGTTAAGCTGGGACTCGAGGAGCAAGGTCGACCGTTCGTTAGTAATGACTGCTTTTTAGGCGATGATGCGGAACGAATCTGGCTCATCACGGGTCCTAACATGGGAGGAAAAAGCACATTTCTTCGCCAGAACGCTTTGATTACGATCTTGGCACAAGTCGGCTCCTTTGTGCCAGCGGCGTATGCAGAGCTCGGGATTGTCGACCAAATATTCAGTCGGATTGGAGCAGCTGATGACCTTTTCCGTGATCAATCTACATTCATGGTTGAGATGCTGGAAACAACTGCCATTTTAACACAAGCTACACCGCGGTCTTTCGTAATAATGGACGAGGTTGGTCGTGGGACGACGCCCGAAGATGGTACGGCGGTGAGTTACGCGTGCCTGCACCACCTGCATTATCGAAATCGATGCCGGACGCTATTCGCGACACACTTCCACGCTCTGGCGAAGAAGACACATGACTTCGATGCACTGGGACGGTATTGTACAGATGTCAAGGAAACGGAATCCGGCTTGTTTTCCTTCATCCATCGGCTGCGGAAGGGGGTTAATCGCGAGTCACACGCGTTGAAGGTAGCAAAATTGGCGGGATTGCCCCAGGAAACCATAGAAATGGCCAGGGAGTACCGGGATGAATTGCGGGATGGAAAAGATGATGAAACGATCCTTGATTGATATGTTAACATGAGTAGTGATGCACGTTACCTGTACATAAGAGTATACGCCTACCTATAACGAATCTCCTATAGCTTCTCCAATCTATTACCCTCATTGCTGTCCACCTCCACTTCCACCTCAATACCCTCCCCAAAAGCCACCTCCTGACAATCCTCCGCCGCGACCCCATTCGCAAACTGCACAACCACAAAATCCACCCGTCTCTTCCCCAGCACCACCATCGGTGCATGCCACGTTCCAGCTCCATACGTCACCGCCTGCCCACGACGGGCGACGAACGCCTTGACTTTGCTGAGATCCGGGGGATCGATTATAGTGACTGACTCTGCGATCCTAGTCGTGGGGTTTTTAACGGCAGCGGCAATGGTTTGACCTTTGAGAGTTGGAGCGACGATGACGAGGTAAAGCGGTTCATTGGCGATCTGTTGGTCTTCGCTGGCGGAATTGAGGGGCGTGAATGTCTGCGTGGTGTACGGGTGTCTCTCTAGGATTCTAACATCGAAGAGAGCCATAGTAGTCGAGGCAAGTCGTAATTCCCGCGGAAAGCAGCAAAACATACTCATCTGTGCGGATGAAGGCTGCCCGCTGGGGGATCCCGGATAGTCATTCTGCAATGGAGAGATGGGGTTGTACTTGATAGCAGTGGATTGATTTGCTAACACGGGTGTAGGAGCCCCATGTTGTTGCTGGAGAGAGGAAAGCGAAGGTTTAGCGATGAGATCGTGGGGAAGCGGAGGGACAATTGCGGTACCGAAAGGCGCAAAAGAGTCCGGGGTTAGTGGTTCGGGAGTTAGATGGAGAGGCGATATATGAGAGGTGAGAGTAGGAGTCGCCATAATGAAGAGAGGCGTTGTTGTCGCCGTCGTCCAGCGCTATGCTGTGGTTATCTCCATGTGTTCATATGCAAAGGCGGTGACGATAGAGGTATTATGGCCAGAAGTCCTAAAAAGGTTAGCTGTAACCAAATGACGTTGTTTCTACTAGTTACCGTATTCGGTAAGCGATTGGATTACTCGCCCCCATACGTAGTATTTAAATGCATTCATTCCATGCCTGATGTACCAGCATTCTCCTGCTTAGCCAGGTCTTCGCTAGTCCGGCGATCTGCTCGAGCCGACTGACCAGCCATTTCTGACCGAACAGAAAGCGCAAAATCTGAAGTCAAATCTGAATTCACCGCAATCTATACGCCATCTCAATCTCAACAAGACTCTTAAAGATAGAGGCAGTGGCAATTTAGCTAACTACCTATCAGGCCTATGCGAGGGCGTTGAAAGTCACGTGTCAAGTCTGGTACTGACACGTAGTCCATGCTATTCACCCAACTACAGAGTAGAGTCTCACGCTCAAGAAAAATCTGCTAGCTTTTCTTCACTTGTTTCCTACTCGTGGGCCCGGTTGCAATTGGCCAGATCGTAATCAAAGCCAATCTCCTGGGCAACGCTGACATTGACCGGCCTGCCTAGTCTCTCGCGTATGGAGCCTCCCTTCCACAAGAGCCACACTATAGACGGTAAGTCCAGGATGGTGCCGACAAGCGCGAACGCAAGGAAGTCCAACTGGAACCCGATGGCTTCGCACAGGTCGACGGCGTAGAAGGCAACGGGGAAGCTGGCGGTCTGGCAACAGAAGTTAATGAATTGAAAGATCTCGGAGCCCTCCACGCGGTGCGAGTCGATGCTGTGCGTGAGGCACATGGTCGCCATGACCTGGATCCCGAAGATTTCTATGAACAAGTTCACCAGTGAGCCCGCCCAGTGTGTCTCGTACTCCATGGTAAAACCGAAGATGAGCACTGCGGGCACCAGCGCCGCCTCCAACCACAAACCCTTGAGCCGCACCTCTAACGGTGGGCTGCCTGCGCCCAGCCGTTTGGCCTCACGCTGAACATTTTTGTCAATTATCCTGCCTGTGGCGACTTATCATGAAGAGTCAGTTGGGTTACAGATATCACAAAAGGAAGAACACTCACCTCGCCGGCAATACTGGCGATAGTCACGGTGCTCCCGTACGATATGCCATTCTGGAAGACACCCCGGCCAAAGCGCGTTTCAAAGACGATGGAATAGTTGACGGTCGGCAAAATGGCCGAAAAGCAGTACTGCGTGGCATAGTACAGGCCGGGTAAGAGGATGGACGGATAGCGGGACATGCGGAGGGCCGGGATGACAATGAGCTTGGCCTTTATATAGACGCCGGGGGGTGGTCCATGGCCGCAACAGTTGCCGGGACTTGGCCATGGCCAGCTTGAGAGGCTCGGTGCTAGTGTCCAAATACGCCCTGGGCTTGTAATATGTGGTATCAACATGACGGTGAATAGGTTGAGGCGCGGCCGCGATAGTGGTAGAAGAACAGTTCTATCACGGTAGCTGGGCCAATGGCCGTAGACATGGGGAAGGGGCCGTTGACAGCGCGGACGCCGATCAGGGCAGGATATGTCTGGAAGAAGCCAATAAACATGGTGACCAGGTAGACAAAGCGACGGCCATAGACGTTGGCCATGGGAATCCAGATGAAGGGCCCGACGCCATGCAGGGCAAAGGAGACGGTGTTGGAAAAGACAAAATCAACAAATTATCTATATGACCATTTTCTTTTGTTTCTAAGGCGGGCATCATACGTCTGGTACGAGGTTCGGACCTCTTAGATACCAGATTCTTCGGCTAGGAGGCCATAGACCGAGTTGGTAACGGACGTGTTCTATGTTCCCAACTGGTTAAATTGTGTGGATTTGTTGATTAGCCGGTGACTATTCACTCATTTACCAAGGGTTAATTATGAGACTAAAAAGAGCAAGCCAGCAAACTTGAATCAGTATGAGCACCATGAGACTCATGGACCAAATGAGCAGGTCGTTCTCATCCTCGACGATCGTGGCACGAGATGAGCTCTCAGATTATTAACGACCGCCTTAAGTTCAACATCCTCGATTTATTCCTAATCGTGCTTAGGGTAGTCTTCGTCGACTGTGGCAGCCATGGCTGAGATATATTTAGACTAGTACACAGTATACAAATAGACAATTGAAAGAAAGAGTCTAAGAGAATTAAAGACGATGACAAGAATATAACATGGAAACTGTAAAGGGAATTTAGTAGTGCTTTAACTGGCTAGCCGGGTTCTACGACAGCCTGACAGGAACTACATACTGCTATAGTCGCGAAAATGGGTCCGAGCATTGGTGGGTCTGGTCCGGACATGAGATTCCATCGTGTCACCATTTCACGAAATGATGGACAATGCGTGGAATTGGAGTAGAGCAACAAGGGTTCCTTGTGAGTGGTAGAAGTTGGTAGGAGTTAAGGGGGATCGGGGACTAGGGCATCTTTATCGAGTGCTTGAGCTTGGGTACATAGACAAGAACTGCTAGTCCAGTATACACACATAGACAAGCACTTAAGCATTTGTGTGTGTGTAAAAGCAAGAATATATCACTCAATATTATAAGGTAATCCACCTATATGGCCTCGTGCAGTTCGGATGATCAACTTGCCGCTTCCCCGGATTCCACTTCACTATGTCGGACGTAGAGTCCCACCCGGCCCAGCAAGATGATGCCCAGGACGCCCCCGCGTACAATGAGGCAAAGGCGTCGGCGCTTGGTATAGACAGGGCCGAGGGAGTAGGTGTGTTGGGGCATCTCTGCCGGGGGGGATAGAGCAGCCGAATGATTCGGGGCGCGGTACTAAGCATCCCATACCCGTTCCACGTGGACAACTACCCGTCGACCTATTCACCGAACATGAGCGGTCTGCCGAGGTGCAGTGCCGCAACGTGCCCGTAATTCCCTAGCTCATGGTGAAGCTGTTCAGCGACTTTGTCAGCGCAGTATAACACCAGTGACAACCTGCTGAGCGGCTGGCCGAGGGTGGACATCTTGGTAGCCGGGACGAACCCACTAAGGGACAACGGGCTGTTGTTAGCAAAGAGGCTGGAAGTGCTGGGGCGAGTCGGATTCTGGTGCGGTGTGAGAGAGTAGAGAAAAAGGGTCGGTCGGGTAATGCTAACCATGCATTCCCTTCACACACGGGGTCCCCACGGGCGTCTATGTATGTCAATTCTTATCTCACGGTTTCAGGAAATGGGCTGACCTCCCAGCCAGTGGGGTGTTTAACACACGGATGCTGGGTTCTATCCGATTGGCGATAGGCTTGGACGTCGTGGACGGGGTGGAGGGATGACACGAATAAAAGGAGCAATAAGTTGGGATATCTTAGAATTTTCTTTCTTCTTTTTTTTTTTTTTTTTTTTTTACCTTACATGGATCATTGATCGTACAATTTATGCATGTTTTTTTCTCTATTTACTCAGTTCTTCCTCGCCCGGCATTGTAGGGATCGGTGCAAGCGGGTGCCTAGATTTGACCCCCAGGATATTTGCCAGCCCCAGATACAGCTCTCGGAGCCCCTCGAGATCTTGCCTCGTGGCACCATTGATCAGCATGCCCTTCATGTGGTTCTGTAACTGGGTCTGGCAGTCCATGCCGTAGAGCGCCGAGACAATGACATACCCGGTAGTCAGGTCGTCGATGACACCATCAAAGGAGAAGATATGTCCGTAGAGCACCTCTATTATTTAACATTTTTTTTATCATACGTCAGTCAGCAGCTAGACAGGCAGCAAGATAAAGAATCATACCTCGTACGATGAACGCGTAGTCAGGACTGGCCCGCACAGACGCCTCAGGGTCGAACGCCCGGTTCTGGGAGTAGATCCTCGTCCAGAATGCCATACCTCTTTGTCTGGCCACTTCGACTAACTCCTTGGACCTCAGCGACTCTTTCTCGCGCAGCTCTTCAGGTATGCAGCCGCCCAGGGCGCGCATTGCGTTGCCCGTCCGGGCGGCACCTACAATGCCGGTGGACTTGATCAGACCCTCGCGGATTTTGCGGACGGCAGCGAAGCGGTCCTCATGAGATAGAGTGGACAGCAGATGGGCGTCGAGGTGGGAGTAGACTTGGGGGATTACATCGGGGTAATTGAGCGAGGAGAGGGCCACCAGCACGCACGTGTACCACCTGAGGCGAACCGAAGTGGAGGGAAGAGAAAGGACAGGCTCTAAAAAGGAGGTGGGAAGAGTTGGGGTTTCAGCAGACATGTTGAATGGGGATACTATGTTTTTGATAGTCAAAATTGATTACTTTATTGAAGTGCCGGAGTTGTGAGGTAAGGTGGGAGGTGGGGGCGTTATGGGTCTCGATGGATATGATTGTCCGGGTGGATGGACGACAAAATGCAAGTCCGGGGTCCCAACATTCGGAGTCTTCCGTGTCTTGTCATTGTACCTGGATGCTTTGATATTGCCTTTTAAATGAGCCACTGATGCACAAACATGTTAACAGTCAACGGCAAATAAATCATCTTGTTCATCATTGTGCCTCTCTCCAAATGCGCCTCACCAGCGAAGAGGGACCGTGTATGTTGATATATAATATCGATAAATTGATTAGGGTGAGCGTAGCTGACCACCATCCCTCGCAGTTCCTCGAATACATCTCAAAAATGGGTCCTGTGACCCATGACAGCGGGCCAAAGTGTCGCGCATACGCCTGGTTCCGGAGCGCTGAGGACAATGACACCGTTCCACACCATTGGCTCTGGCGGTTAGAAGTGTAAGTCCATCCATTCACGTCCCATAATGAAGTGGTGCAGCTTCAGGGCTGACACATTGAAAAAATACATCTCAGTTACGAGGATGTCGAGGCCAATACCGTGACCCATCGCGCCAGCGCCGAGTACAAGGCCTTCCGCGCCGCTGCCAGCGCCGAGTGGCTGCTTGAACACCCGAGCGATTTGCGCTTCTGGCAGCCCTCATACGTAGGTTTCTTCACGCACGACAACGATGGCAGCCGGAGGCCGTCAACTTCATGGACCAAGGCCGCCACGCCTCCTCCGGGAATCGTCAGTACATTGTCGTGGACGAAATGATACCGCGCTCCGGGTACAAGGAACAGATCTTGAGGCAGCTGCACGGACTAGCATGGGAGGCTGAGCGGGAGGATCAGGTCCTCGGATTATGGGTGCTGTACCGTGGATATGGGGAACAGGATGAGGGCTTGCTGGTCTTTGCCCAATACGAGGACAAGGATAAATGAGTCACGTTCGAGGGTCGTGATGCGGTTGCTGCGATATGGAAGGGGTGTATGAGTTGGTTGTGGATAACGTGGATTGGGTCGGGGCTGGGGTTCTTGGGAAGGTAAAATTATAGTGACCAGCAGCAAGAGGATAAGATGCTCCAAGCATATAGACATTTAATTTCATCATATCCAGGATCCTCGGCAATAGTTAGTTAAGGTATCTTGATATTCAGTCCACTCACAGAATATTGCCACCACAGATGGCCTGATAAAGATCTTGCATCGAGAGACATTTGAGAGATTTCTCTCTTTCATCTCTAATTTGTATTGTGTTTTCCATATACGTGTCTAGGACCAACTAGCCAGTCGGCCACCATCCAATCAAGCATGCTTGCCCACTCAAGTCCTTCCCCTCTCCTACTCACATGATGGCTATCGCATTGGGCGGCAAGGCCACGGCGCCGGTATAGTTCAATTGCGCCGATGTGAAGAAGGGCCAGCGCCTGTTCTTTGCGCAGAGCTCGACCAGCGCATCAAGGTCGAACAGCTCTCCCAGTGGCGTGCCCCATCCGGTCAGCAGGATCGGGTGGCGATGCCATTCCTCCTCTGTCGGGGCTGTTGTTTGTTTTGAGCCAGGAGGCCATAAAGGCATAAACAGAAGGGTATTGGTATTATCGCTCACATGAACTTCTATACCTGTTGTGGCAAGGGATGTACGACTAGTGACACGTGGTGTGGCTTGATCAGTCCCCTACTTTTATTTCCAGTGACACAGTTTAGAGTCGCCCGACTAATGCAAGTGTTTCTCTGGCCTTTTTCGAAGAAAATCACGTGCTAATGTACATATCTAGAGTACTATCATGAGTATTCGCGGACCCAAGCTTGGTGCAACCGAGGGCCGCAAGCGCAAGGCCCCCGAGGAACTCTGAAACAACGCACACACAGTGCGGTTCCGTAAACGACTTATGCTGAAAACTGATGGGGAGAAGCCGTAATCCGGCGGAGGAATAATGACCGCGCAACACTTCTGAATGGACGCTTAAAACTGCGAAAAGAGGCGCGTTGGCAAAGTGCTAGTCCCCAGGAGCAGGAAGAGATGGAGGAGGCATGTGAGATTATGGGGACCCGGTATGCTTATTATGTTACTACAATAACGGCTTTTAGCAACGCAGCATTGTTCCTATAGCTACGAAAAGCAACAGTCAGCCCAGTATCTAGAAGACCACCTTGGCATCAGGCTAAGGGATCCCAATGATCCGAACTGGGAATCTATTGCGTTCGACGATGAAACGGACTTATTAATGTACGCCCAGCAGGACGACATCAGCTCCCATGAAATCATACCAACTATTGAAGAAGCTCAAACGGACTCCCATGAGCGGAACAGAGCAATTGGTCTCATGATTGCAACCATGCGCCAGTTCAGTTGGTTCCATTTCTACATTTCGTTTCTGTGGTCTGTTGCGAACATGAAAAGGTCGAGCTCTTGCGCAAAGTACAAAGCACTGAGGACCTAGTCCGCATCTGGAAGTTAAAGCGGTAAAGAAGAGGAAGGACATTATTTACTTTGCGCTGAAGCATAGCCATTTCCATAACCTTTTTTTCCCGTGAAGAGCATGCCATCTGAGATGTCCTTCAGGGCTTAGCGAGGCAGCCCTGGGACTATCTTACCGGGCCCGGAAATTGGTGGGTCGAATCATGGCCTTGCAACATTCTGGTGGATGCCATTGCGTGCAGTCAAGGCCATTGCACGCATTGGGGAGCGTATTACAAAGCGCAAAAAAGCTCCCGAAGATGCCAATGACATTATAGATTTGCTCATGACAAGAGCTAGCGAATTTCCACTATACTGGGTTGATCTTCTCGTCCTTAATTAGTAGCAGGCTATTTCCCTAGTAATGTATATACAGGTAGTATGCGCCAGTCACATATTAATAACATAGCCATCACGACAAAGGACTATTTATCTGTATCAACATCAGGGCTCACTTAATTTCAGTGTAAAAATACCCTGGAATACCGTGGGACAGTTAGATGCGCCTCATAGTACCACCTACATATATCTGACTGCCAGGTAATTATGCATTGCGTCCTACTCACGATAAAGGTAGATATTGACAAACTTGAGTCAATGTTATAGAAGTCATGCAACCCCTATTTCTCGCGGAATTTGCACGTGGAAGAAGTTAGGCAGCCTATGTAATCTGAATCTAGTAATAGGATATATTCAACGTCTGGCAATATAACCCTCTGTGCCGATAGCCTTCTACCAGTGCAGTAGATCTATATTACGCGATAGACGTATATCACAGCATAGACATATACCATTGCCGAGAATATACTGTCACGTGCCCCTGATGCCATGTTTCACAGGCAATCTCATGTTTTCTATTTAGTTAACTAGTTAATGTCAGAAGTGAAACGTGCGCTAATCTGGATATCTGCCAATGGAAGTCTTTAATCATTTTGGGAACATGTACGTGATGGCTCCGGGAAGGTGACGTTGAACGCTCCTGTTATTCTCTTCTTTTGATGCTCTTGACGGACATCTTCACCCATTCCTACATGGGTATAAGAATGCTGTCCGCCCCAGGTCCTCTTCAACCAGGAACCATCAATTCTTTTCGTATTACTCTCAACTCCACTACTACTCTGGTTTATATACCGGCTCAACTTGTACTCTATACTACATTTACTTGCTTTCCCAATAACAACCCTACTTGACCATGGCCAACAGAACCCAAGTCGGGAAATCGCAGGCGCAAGCCTCCCAACCTACAGTAGCCGACCTGGCCTCCAAAAATTCCACAGACAACCCGTTGAGCACTGGTCAAACCTCCGAGGCACCGTCGAAGGGCTTGACTGCTCCAGCCGGTGACCAGAGTTCTTCTCTGAAGTAATCACTTTCCATTGCCCTGTATTCATCAACTGCAAAGCTTCGTTCTTATCTGTCATAGTTGCGAGGATTCTCAATCACCGGATGCTGGACGCACACAAGACCTGGCTGGAATCGGGACCTGGGCTGACTCCATTCCGGAATTCCTTGAGTTTGTTAGAGAAGCGGAGGATATACTCGTTGGCTTGAATTAGAAATCCTACGAGAGACTGTCTGTATTTATCTATTGTCTATCAGCTAATCTTCCTTCTTCTACTTAAAGTAATGTGTTTGCATGTTTCCAAAATAAAATCCCAGCTCTGTGAACTGTATAATTTTCGGGGTTTCTAGTCCCGAATCCCACAAAGAGGCAGAAGCAGCTTTCTTCTAATTTTAACGTACACTCGAAGATCCTTTTGGCATTCGGCGGCATCACTATAGATACCTTTTTATAAAGGGTGTACCTTATTTGCAGCCCACCAATCACGAGGTGAAACACCGAACCCGGACCAGGAGTAGTGCCTGAGGAATGGCACTGATTTGGTGGAGAAATTGGCATGCTGGCATTCTCAGCCAATCATATTTGTTTTTTCAAGATCACGCTAAATCAAAGAATTGGGAAGGGAGGTAAGAGAGAGACGGAACAGGGCACGGGACCACAGGCCGACACAAACACTTCCTGCTCGCGGGTGGCCCTAAGCCCCAACGGGCGACTTTCCCAAATTCTTTCCAATTTCTTTGTTATTATTATTTTTTATAAGTCATGGAATGATCGGGATCAGTAGCCGCTGACAGTGGGGTATCGGATCCCGCATCTGGTCCAGCCGTAATATACCATTGTCTTGTAACCATACGGTGTCGGTTTTTAGTACAGTCATTTTCCCTTTTGATACACCACCTCTACGTTCATACTCATCGGGAGAATCGTGCCGATGTTCTCTTTCTCTCCCACTCCGTTCATGATGAGAACCGGCGTACATACATGGGAAAGGCCATATTCGTCCCCTACAGAAACAATATGATATAAATAGGCTCTGTTCCAGATCCTCTTGCATGCTTTTTCGCTCATTAAGTTCCATCCTGTTTTCCCTTGATTTCCCACAGTTCGCATTCTCTCTTCCACGAAAAGTCATACATTATTCACAAGCGAAGTCGATCATCACAATACTTCACCATGGCCACCACAACCCAAGCCAACGGATCCCAGTCCCAATTATTACATGATACTGCAGCCGACCAAATCTGTAGTCATCACTCAATGACTGAAACATCCGACTTCTTAGAGGGGGGCGCGCAAATATCCCAAGTAATGACAGGGCAATCCATATAAAATGACCGTTGCATCCCATTTTCACCGTCATGAGCTTGCGTAGTGTACTTATACTTGTATGAGCTGTATGCGTACTACCGTTACCCGTCTGTAGATATATCATGATATATCATGGAAGGAGGTGCCCGTATTACTCTCAAATGTACCACGTACTTATTTATTGCTTATTGTCAAGCAGACCTTGTCCCAAGGTCGAATATTCGTACATTTATATGGTTATCAAGTACATAATATTATAAGTCAAATATCTAGACTCGGCATTCGCCATCCAGAGTGAAATGGTAACAGCCGATCATCTCACATTTTCATGGGTTGTCGCTTAAGGGTTTGCAGAGCTCGTCCTATTGGCATCTGAGGCCCACTTTCGGATGCCTCATCCTGTCAAGGCTGTGTACTCAGTGTTGATATACCGGGATGAGAACGAAAAATGGGTGACTATTCCATTCATTGGTGGTATACAAGTAGACCAGATGTGAGGTCCAATGACAATGGTGGCTATCCACTGTAAGTATTGCGGCCTCTTTCTTACTTATTCTCCGACTATCTGACTGCGCGTTACCTTTATGTTTATATGTATATGAAATAGTCGGAGCAACCTACAATCTAAGTATTATAAAAGGCGCTTTATCATCATGGGTGGTTCTCTTATCCATTCAAGGCAATTCCATCAGTTGAACAACCAGATCTTTAAAGTGCTTTGAACTATCCTACCTTCTCCATCTTACTGCCTCCGTTATACTCCCAGGCTCGCCACTCTCTTCTCTCTCGCGTCAACCACTCTTGTGCTCAACTATGGGAAATAACCCTCGACCCAGCTCCCAGTCCTTCCGATCGACTTCGAGCAACCCAGCCTCAGACCAGCGTCCAGCCAACCACTCCAATGGCAGCCGGACCTCCACGGTACCTTCAGATGGAGCCTCTGCCCTGAACGGTGAACAGAACCATCCAACCGAATGGTACGTAGCTTCACCTCCCTCCTGTATAGCATATAGTTCTTTAAGCTGACCTTTATTTTGGAAGTCATCTATCAAACACTAGTCGCTTGCAAGAAGACATTGCGGGAATTGGTTCCTGGTTGGACTCGACCCCGGATCTTCAAAAGGCTATGGAATCCGGTCCGGTTCTCGAATCAAACTAAGCTAGCAGGAAATATGCGCTTTGGTTTTCAGTTCTTTCTTCTCTCGTTTAACCTTTCGAGTTTTCTTCTCTTTCTACATCGCATATTTCTAGGATGAAATTCCCCTTTATACTCCACGATCCATCATTCACTCATTACCTACATAGTAATACAGCAGTATTACCGATGCCTTCCTTCTACTGTTACAGCTTGGCCCACAAAAATACCACGCAGCCAGCTAAATCCGAGTTTATTGGTCACAGGGCAGTTGAAGTGTGGTAATTTGTGTATTTCGATACGCCAATCTAAGAGATCATCATTAGCAGCAGAGCCTTTTATGTGTACGGAGTTCTCTATGCGATTGAGCAAACTCCACTGATTGTGTACTTACGAGTTATGTTATAACGTAGCCACATGATTGACACTAGCAGCCTGGGACAGCTCCTGGAGACTTACCATATGTACGTGGGGTATCTTCAAGTTGTAGTTCTATTCAGACTATACAACGTGGTCGGTAAGCGAGCGACGCATTGTGTATTCCATATAAAATGGCGCTTTTATAACCTAATATTTCAACCACAAAGTATCTACAGAGCCAGAATTGTATTACATAGGGTATCACAGCACTGAAATTATATACATTGAGCAGAAAGCTTTTTCAGATAAACATTCCTTTAAGTAATATAAATTACCACTGTATTTTTGTATTTCTCGATATTCAAGTATCTATGGCTACAAAAAGCTACAGAATCTTTAGGAAGTAATATATGTTCTTATAGTGGGTGTATGTATTACGTTCTCTAATAATAAGTCCCTATATCTGTAGGTGGCTGAGATATTGAGGTTATAAAAAGCGCCATTTTTTGTGGAATACAGATGCGTCGCTCGCTTACCGACCACGTTATTTAGTCCAGCCTACCGATTAATAATTCAATATAGGAACATTCAGACGTGACAAGCTTCGCTTAACACGAGTGCAGACAAGAACGCGGACCTTCAAGACTATTCCTTATTTAAACTCAGCACGATCAGAGTCAAAGGATCCTCTATCCGGCACATATATCTATAGGGCTCGTTAGTCAAGCCAGTCAGGAGCAGAAATACTCGAGCTTGAGGCTCTTGTAAAAAAGCGCCAAGCCCCGACGTCATAGCTCATCGATCGTCCCTATATATACCCATGTAGACCCCGGAATTGTATAGAAGGGTAGCTATTCAGACGCTTTTGCATTTTTCTCAGCCTATTATTTTTCTATTTCCATTATCTTCATATTCCATTATCTTGCAGACTTAGACTATCCATTCGCAATTAATCTTTTGTCTACAACCCTAAGCTCGTCGCCGCGCCTATGGCAACCACAACTCAGACCAAAGAATACCAACCTGGACCGTCGCACTCAGATGCGACCAATTCAATATTTAGTCACTATCAGGCTGGGCCAGTGAATAGCCACATCTCCAACTTGTCAGGCGGATCAGATATCCTGGAAAATGATAGGAATCCTTTGCCTGAGAAGTAAATTCTTTCCTTCTCTTCCACTTTAGCTATTGTTTGAGTCTAAATTGTTCAATGGTTAATAGGCACCACAAATCTAATTCCAGCCAAGCTGAACATCTTTCCGGGATTGGCTCTTGGGCCAAATCGACTCCAGCCCTAGAAGCACCCCCCCCCCCCCGAGAACTTATTTTGAATAGATGTCTCAACCGTGTTGTGGCTCCGAAGAATGTACCCTAAAATAAGGTTGGGAGCTCCCGTCAGGAAGATTATGTTTAGCCGGTGTGTGAAGCAAAACTGGTTTCATCTGAGTATCATATACTGATCTATCAAATAACGCTCTGCTTCAACTGCATTTCTGGGTAGTATTATTCTTGGGTTCATTCTGCAATATATACGCTGTACGTGCTTAGACTGCACACAGGAAAGAGCGGCCACAAGAACTGACTTGGTTGCGGCCCAGATCGTACCTGACAGCTTCGCGCGAGACTCTCCTTCATCTCTCAACCCCATTTACTCATTTCACTCTCTCGTCCGAATCTTCTATGTATTCATCCATTTTACGCACAGTCATACATACACTTACACCATCTGCTCCGAACATTACTCGCCACCACATTCAGTCATGGAAGGCACGAACCAAGCTATCAAACCCCCTCGACCACTCTATTCCGGCTCAGTCCGAACATGCACCAGTCAAGACGCCACTAACCCCTCCCCTTCGACCCGAACATGAAGTGGACCAGTTCAATCAGCCATTCTCTTTCAACTCGAGCGCGAACATGCAACAGGTCCACCAGTCGCTCTTCTCCGACGGAAGCTCGAATATCAACCTAACCAACTCCCAACTCTCCTCCTCTAACCCTGAGCTTTTACCTCAGCAACCCTAACCCCAATCAGCAACCACCCAGCACATCGTATAACAGTCAGAGCTTCCCTCCCTCGGATGGATATGCTGCGACGACTACTGGTTATCGGAATTCATTGGACAAGGGGTACTTCATTCCATCTTGTTTTTGACCCATGTACTCTGTTTTCGATGATATATCTAACTATGGCCAAATAATAGACAGGGCAATACGGTCTATGTTGGCATTCAGCGGTCGGAAGAAGACGTCGCTGGAGTGGGTGGCTGGATCAGTCTCAACACTCAATGCGTCTTACAACTGATAAAGTCAGGACATCCAATGGATCCGGAGTTGAGATTGGATAGAGACATGGCGAGCTTTATTCCTGATTTCTTTCTGACATACTTCCTTTACTTATTTTTCCATGTCTATTCGTGCTCATCTTGAAGCTGTTATACGACTTTCACCTTGCCAGTTTCTTCCGTTGTCAATGATACGGAGTGTTCGTTTCCTGTTGACAGCGATTTGGTTTATGCATTGGCAATGGATGGTTCGACAGATCATATGTATGGAGTATGTCAGATCCCGTTCCACTTAACGGCCCGCGACGGACACTAAACCACGATAGGGTAAATTCCTTGCAGGTGGCCCCACAGCTTTCTACGGTCGAGTCCATACACATCTGTATCACTTCCGAAATCATATTACATCCATGTTTGTTGGCTTTGTTCCCGTATTCGAGAAGTTGGGAAAGTTTTCGGATGTTGTCCTTGCATTATATTGTCATTCATTTCGTATTGGTGTTCAATGGCTTGTGTTGCTGTATTGTTGTCTTTATTCATGGAACTGGCTTTTGTTTTCCTTGTATACATAGCTTTTCGTCCAATGATGGCTGCTTGTCAGGTACTTTTGTCTGCAGAAGTGTGATTGCCGGATCTACTTCCCGGCCTTCCTGATATTACTTTGTGCTACCACTCGATCCAATCGACAACCTGGAAAGACGCGGATGTGGGCTGCTGTACAGGTACATAGTAGCCCATTTATTGGTTACTGGCTACAGGGAAAAACTCGCACAGTCTGCTACATCACTACGCCCATGTGGTGGTTCCGTGCATTCCAGGGATATACCGTACAGACACTCGGAACGCAGATAATAATGTTGTAGTAATTGAGGGGTGTAGGTTTAATATCTGGCGTTTTCCATACTTTGTATACATGATTTGTGAATTTGTGATCATGTTCAATGCGAGCCCTGGTAGTAACCACTACCGGGATCCGCGCTAATACAGGCGCAGATTGAACGTGTTATCCAGTGTGAATCTCCTACAACCGGGATGATCAGGCTAATTTTGTCAGCTGTAAATGATATATCAAGCTCATGTAGAAAAATATCAAACCGCACTCGATAATACAATGAATACTAACAATAATATTAATGATCATCAACACAATCAAACCGGCTGAGGTACACTATGTACATAAGGATAAACAGTAACAAACAATAATCACCAATCTATACGCCAGAAAAACAAACCTATTGCCAATCTATTTATTGTGTATTAAGAAGTTCCGGAACGAGTTCCAGTGGTCTGAGTCCGCGTAGCTGCCATATGTCAGTATAAACACGACACTTAATAACAGTAACAAAAGAACATACATGTAAACCATACTGCTCCTCAAACTCGAAACAAGCGTCTCCGGATACCAGCGGAAGATGTACATTACAGAAGCCCAGCTGAGACTTGCAAAGACCGGCCATGCATTGTTTTTGATCTGGGAACGAGCTTCGGGGGTGATGAGGTGCGAGAGCGGGTGCATGTTAGGTTCAACGGAGAGTTTGGCGAGGGAAAGGGCCACGCGGGCGAAGACGTAGATGACGATCTGCCATAATTAATTATTTTTCTGATTTATGTTATACGGGATGAGTGAAATACCTGCTGGGTGACGCTTGTCTGGTTCCGGCCAAAAACAGCGTATCCTCCTAGTAAACCTGCAAAGAAGCTATCGTAACGGTTCTCCTTCCCAGCACTGGATGTGTTTAGGTTTCGCAGCGCGAGCATGGAGCTCTTGTATATGAGAGCGAATGTTGCGAGGTTACGGGCGTGCGTTTGCGTGGCTTTCAGGACGAGCTTGGCCTTTTCGCGGAGGCTGTGGATGGATCAGTATAGGGGTAACCGAGTCGATGGGAGGCTGTCTTACGTTCCGGAGCGGAAAAGGAATATCATCCTGCAGAGAAAAACATCATCAGTATTATCCGGAATAAACCGTCCATGAAGGACTTTACATACACCAAAGCGTGCGGAAAGCGCACTTTCGACCCGTAGACGACACCATTTCGAACACCCTTGAGCAAAGACAGCAAAGGCGCAAGATCACGATCCAAGACGATAGCATCCAGACGAGACTATAAACAGATTAGCTACCACATCCTAAGTATATCCTCACCCCAAAATAGAGTATGCTTACCATCAGCGCCTCCATAATGTCGGGACCTCGGCTCATTATGAAAACGAAAGGCAGGCCGTTGCCGCTTGATTTATCTGTATCGGGATATATCGCAAAAGGACCATGGAATTAGAACGAATCTAGCGACCGTGACTTTCAACTTTTCAGACGTCAAGCTGTGCTCCCTCTTGTTAGCGATAAGATGGAGGAGAGAACAGAGCGGCCACTTTCGTTCGGCGCCGCAGAAAAGTTGCCTCGGCATGTGAAGCGTGCCGAGTGCGACGTCATGGTCACGTGACATGCAGTCTGGTGAGCATTCTTCGGGGATTACTTGGATTCCTTTAGGGATGATTGACTGACAGGGAATAAAACAGATAGAAGAAGAATGTGAATACATTGTGCTGGAAACCGTAGTGCTCCAACGTCACTCAACGCCGAGAATCTCAGCTGCTGATCTGCAGATAATAAATCAACTCCCGTCAACATGTCGCGTTGCACAAACACCCCATCTCATCCCATTTCCTTTGTTTGACAAGACGCGTTTAGAAGCAAAACGTCCGGTGCTCGTTAAATAGAAGACCAAATATGACAGTTAACAGCAGCTCTCTTCCGCCACGGACCATACCCCCAGATATGTCAAGCCCACGGAGTCTCACATGGAACTCTGTGACGCGTGTTGCATAGCCTGAATACATACGGGGCTTCAACGCCACCTCGGACAGAATCCCAAAGCCAGTAAGGCGACCGCGTTCATTTAATGACCAAATTCTGGAAGTATGTAGCTTGCTTTCATATCGTTGTGGCTGGGGGGGAGAGGATTCAATCACAAATGCGGACATCGCATCGCAAACCATCACAAAACAAATAGAAAAAACTTTGTTCAGTATCAAACATCCCAAGTACTAATAACCCCAGAGCCTCCGCACCTACGTCGAAACGCACTCCATCGCTTCCCTCCCAGACATCAAAAACCACCTCATGACCACCACAACACCAAATACAGCAAATAGAACCTCTCCCACCGTCTCCAGGAAATTGGCAACCAGCGCAGTATCATTGGCCGTGGGCCAACGTCTACGAAGAAGGGAAATCTATCTGGGATATCGCCTGAGGACTAGGAATGGTTGTTGCGGGATCCGGCTGCGAAGGAGGCGATAACGGCAGGGTGGAGAACGGTGTATGCTTGGCTGAATAGCTCTACGCCGGTGAGGAGGGTAACGGAAGGGTGTAGGTTGAAGCGGAAGCCGAGGGGCCAGGCGGGTGGTGCTGAGGGGGTGGTCGAGGTGGAACAGGAGGTAGTGGTTGGGGATGAGTTGTCAGATGAGAGTGATGTTGAAGGAGACGCTTCTCCTAATAAGGGTGCTGAGAACGGGAATGCACCAGCTGCACAACCTCCACCTTGGGGGTGTACGGTTCACACCTGGTTACCCGGTTGCCAATCTTTACTTGCACCCTCGTTAGGCCCTGTTGGTCAACAAGCAGCGAGGACATTGTTCTCATTTGGAAATAAAGAATCCATAATAATCTGTAATGTAGATAGGGTTCAAAACCAGAAATTTCAAGGTCGATAAATGCAGACTTTTATCTGTACAAAAACAGACAGCTTATTCAAATAAACTTGCTCGCGCAAGTCAAATCACCAATCCAACCAGAAACGCCACGTGCGAAACAGAAGAAATGCATGATTAATCACAGATGTTGTATCCTCATTCCGTCCGTGTCCTCTTGCGACCCTCGTCCTCCGAAACCTCGTCGTCAACATCCATCATATCCTGATCCTCATCATCCGACTCAACACCAGCACGACGCTTCAATCCCTTCATCTTCCTAGTCTGCAAGCCACCCAAATCCTGCTTGGCCAAGTGCACACGACCGATCTTGTCACCAATAGCATCCATACCAATGTTCTTCTTCAACTTAACCTCCTCATTTGGCCTCTTGCCCTGCTTCATGGCCGCCTTCATGACATCACGCGGTGCCTCCTGCAAGCGACCAATCTTAAAGTCCAGCTTAGGACCTATCTCATCCAACTCAACGCGAGGAAGCTTGTGGCCACTCCGCTTAGTCCGCAATTTATACCACCGCAAATGAATAACAGGCGCAAGACCTTGTGCAGGTTCCTCAGCACCAACCATAAGCGCATACTGCAACCCCTCAACATCAATCTTATCCCCCTCTTCGCCCTTGAACATATCAGTAAACATGCTCTTGAGCATAACATGCGCCGTCGAAGTTTCATCATCCCACGGACTCCCTGCGAAAATCAGCATCGGCCGTAACCCAACCCCAACATGCATCGTGAGATTATTCATCGCAGGAACCGCGTCCTCAGGACTCTGACCTGGGAGCAACATCATCTCGCACATATCGAGCGTCTTCGAGTCAAACACGCGCATTAGTGTGATGCAGTTGGGGCGCTTCTTGCTGCTGTTTCCGAACACGACTATTCCGGCCTCGTTCTTGTTGGCCAAGAACTCGAGGCTCTCGGTCGATTCGAACGGGCGGATGTGTTCATTCTTCTTGTGGAAGAGGACGGAGTCCGGTTTTGTGAGGGAGTGGAAGGTTTTGAGGATTGTGTGCACGGCGGTTGGACATTTTGAGCCGTGGAGGAGGAGGGTGCGTTTGGGGCCTTCAACGAGTTGGGGCTCCTTGGCTTTGAGAAGGCGCGCTGTGCGCGGGTTTTTGGGTTTGCTGATCTCGTTAGTACGGTTGCTTAAACTGAATTACAAAGATTTTAAACATACACTTCTCTCAACATCGATGCCATTTTGTCTGGTAGATGTTGGTTTTTCTCGTCGCAGACGTTGACTTTGGATAAAAAAAAGGCGGAGCGAAAAGTTTTGGAGGTTGGTCTTGGCGCTCTTATCGATAAGCTTAAGTTCAGCCTCCACCAACCAATCACAAGAAGCAAAAACAAGATTTAGATCCAGAAAGAGAAACAGGCCGTAAAAATGAAGAATGAAGAAAGAAGAAAGATGCAAAATATGTCAAATCCTTCCCGGAGACTAATGGACTATGGGGAGCAAGTAGACTGCTATGGTGTGCGCATAAGGGTAGTACATATATATCAATTGAACTGAGATTCATAAAGCTAACCAACAAACGTTACAGGGCTGTCTAACAAATTTATTCCAAGCGCAATCTCTCAAACTCCTTGATTTGCTCCTCCAACCGCGCAGACTCACTCTCTGCATCCTTCAGCTTCTTCTCCTCAGCCTCCCGCACCTCAGGCTTCGCCTTCTCCTTCCACCCAGCACCGGTGACAAGGGCCTGCTGGCGGCGCACGGAATCACGCGACTTCTCCAGACTAGCCTTGGCCTTCTCCTCCTGTTCAAGAGCGACTTCCTTGGAGACGCGGAGGTAGACAGCAGCTTCAGCACCGACAGTAGAAACAACGCAGCCGCTGGGACGGTTGGTCTCCTCAGGACCGTGGACGCTGAGTTCACCCAGGTTTTTGCCACCCAGAGATTTGACGATGGAGAGTTCGTCGGAAATGGTCTTGTAGCTGGTGGCGTCGTAGGTCTGGACGATGATGTCCCCCTTGGTTTTGACTTCATACTGGGCGAGGATGGAGCGGATGGCCTTGGAGGTGTTGAGGATGAGCTCGTAGGCGGCGGCGGCGGCCGGGTCGTCGAACTCAGGCTTGTACTCGGGGAAGCGGGCCTTCATGATCGAGACGGTGTTGTCTTCAGGGCGACGGGGGAGACGCTGCCAGAGGTTCTCGGTGACGAAAGGCATGATGGGGTGAATCATGGTCAGGGCACCCTCGAGAGCGGTGTAGAGGGTCTCCTTGGCGGATTGCTGCACCTCAGTGGGAAGTTCAGGAGCCAGGAGGGACTTGGAGTTCTCGAGGAAGACATCGCAGAGCTGGCTGTACCAGTATTGGTAGACCGTAGTGGCGGCGATGTTGAACTCACGCTGCTCCAGAGCCTGATCCACCTCCTTGGCAGCGGTGTTGAATTTGTGCAAGATCCAACGCTCTGCCAGAGACTCTCTGCCAGTCTTTGCGGGGATGGGCTGAGGTCTGAAGTCCTCGCCCAACTTGCCAAGCACGTACTTGGTGGCCTGGTAGATCTTGTTACAGAAACGGCGGTATCCGTGGATGACCTGAATGTCGAACGCAATGTCACCACCACCAGTAGTATACGAAACGAGAGCAAAGCGCAGAGCATCAGCACCGCACTCAGGAATACCCTTGGGGAACGCCTTCTTCTGGTACTTGGTCGCAGTGACAACCTCCTTATCGGCAAGGTTACCAGCGAGAAGCTTGGAGTGGAGCTTCTCGAGCTGGATACCCTCCATAACATCAAGAGGGTCCACGACGTTACCAAGAGACTTGGACATCTTACGACCCTCGGAATCTCTGATCAGGGAGTGACAGTACACCTCCTTGAAGGGAACCTTGCCAGTCATCTTAATACCAAGCATGATCATCCTGGCAACCCAGAAGAAGAGGATATCCCAGCCAGTCTCCAGAACGGAGGTAGGGTACAGGGTCTCCAAGTCGTGAGTCTGCTTGGGCCAGCCAAGAGTAGAGAAAGGCCACAAGCCAGAGGAGAACCATGTGTCAAGAACGTCAGGATCGCGAGCCAAGGTGAATTTCTTTCCGGGGAACTTGGCAGCGGCCTTCTGCTTAGCCTCCTCCTCAGAGCGGCCAGTAACCCAGTAGTCACCATCGCTGTCATCAACATCCTGGCCCTCGATCTGGACAAGGTAAGCCGGAGCTTGGTGACCCCACCAGAGCTGCCGCGACAGACACCAGTCATTAATGTTTCTCATCCAGCGGAAGTAGCTCTTTTCAGCGGTCTCGGGACGGATGACAATGTCGCCATCCTCGACAGCCTTGATAGCAGGCTCTGCAAGGCTCTGCATCTTCATCCACCACTGGGGCTTCAAGATGGGCTCGATGACATCGTTCGACTTGGCGCAACGGGGAATCTTCATGGGGTTGTGTTCCCACTTGACGTACAAGCCCTGCTCCTTCAGGAGGTCGATGACCTTGTAACGGGCGTCGAACCGCTTCATACCGGCGAAGATGCCAGCCTTCTTGTTGTAAGTACCATCGTCGTTCATGACGGAGATGAACTCAAGGTTGTGTGCCTTTCCGCGGTTGAAATCGTTGAAGTCGTGGGCGGGGGTAATCTTCACGGCACCAGTACCGAACTCAGGATCGACATCCTGGTCTGCAACAATGGGGAGGAGACGGTCGACGAAGGGGTGACGAGCGTGCTTGCCAATCAAGTGTTGGTAGCGTTTATCGGTGGGGTGGACAGCGATACCAGTGTCACCAATCATGGTCTCAGGTCGAGTGGTAGCGATCTCGATTCTCTCCTTGGTGCCATCGATCTCGTAGCAGAAGTGAGTCAACACACCGAACTCGACCTTTCTCTCGTAGCCGGGAACATCAAGGAGCGTACGGCCTTCGACCTCCTTGTTCTCAACTTCCAGGTTGGACAAAGAGGTGTTTAAAGAAACACACCAGTTCACCAGACGGTTGGCACGGTAGATGATACCCTCTTCGTGGAGGCGAACGAAGGTCTCGGTAACAGCTGCGGACAGGTTGTCGTCCATGGTGAAAGCCTCACGGCTCCAGTCGAAGGAACCACCGACTCTGCGCAGAGCGTTCTTGATGTTCGCGTGGTACTCATGCTTCCACTCCCAGACGCGCTTTGTAAACTCCTCACGGCCCAAGTCGTGACGGGTCTTCTGTTCCTTCTTCCACAACATCTTCTCAACAACACTCTGGGTCGAGATACCGGCGTGGTCCATACCCGGCAACCATAGGGTCGTCTTACCCTTCATCCGCTGCCAACGAATCATGGTATCCTGCAAGGCATTTGTGAGGGCATGGCCCATGTGCAAGGAGCCAGTAACGTTGGGAGGAGGAATGGGAATGACGAAGTTACCAGCCGGCAAGACTTTGCCGTCGGCATCGAACTCGGGCTTGAAAAGACCACGGTCTTCCCACCATTCATACCGGCGGGATTCGATAGCACGGGGGTCATAGGCATCAGTCGTCTTGTCCTTCTCGGGCTTTGGGGCCTTCTTCTCAGCCTTGGGGGCAGCGGGTTTGGCGGAGGCAGCCTTGGCCTGCTTCTCTGCGAACTTCTTCGCCTTCTCGGCCTTCTTACGGTCACGTTCCACTATATCAAGTCACAAACGTCAACTGATATCCATTATAACCAGCAATTCCAGGTGTTTGAGTACATACACTCTTTCTCGCTCTTCACCTTCGGAGCTGCAGCGGCCTCCTGTGCGGCCTGGGGGTCCTTTGTCGCGTCGCTGAGGTTCTGGTTTCTCGTCTGTTCTTCAGCCTGAGGCGCGGGATCCTTCATGGGAGCCGGTGGCTCACCAACTGCAGGCAACACAAGACTGTTAGCAACTTGCAATCCTGAATAGCAGACAGACATGAGTCACCCGCTAAACCGGGCCCGATAAGCACTCACCTGGGTTGGGGGCAGACATTCTGGAATATGAACGATATAATAACGTTGGAGGAGTGAATCTCCTAGGCGCCGCTCGCGCCACTAACTGCCGGATAAGTATCTTGGACACCGGAGATACCAAACAGCACTCGGAGGGGTGGAGGGGTTCTGGTTGTGCGGGCGCTTTTTTTTTTGCAGCGGAAGTCTGGGACGAATCGGAGCGGGCCCTGGTGGGGTTCAAGTAGAGCCCGTGGAGCGATGCTACTATATAACAGTGGTGGAATTGATCACAATTGAACGTCGTTTTCTTTGGCTTCTTCTTCATAATTTTCTTTAGACGTGGACCAGAGAAAAGAATGAGTCAGGTCACGTGACATTGACGCATCAGGGTACGCTATAAGTGTATAGACGAGGATGACTCAAACAATTGCATTGATCCTTCGGAATCTAATATATGAAGCCTAACTACCAAAACACCATTCAGAAATTACGAGAAATTCAAAGTATCAAAACCAAAGAAATTGAGGTGTAGTTGCCATATTTGCATGTAGGTGGTTACAGAGCAGAACTAAAAGGAAATGTTCATCCCACTCCGAAAACATCGTCAGATAGATAGATTTCACTCGCTGAATACGCCAAAGAGAATTGAGGTGAGATATGGGCCAAATACCCAACAGATTAGGTGTATATCATCTGTAATCAGCGTCGTCTTCGCTCCGAATTCCTTGCCTCATCACTTTCACTGCAGCTCAGTTCACGTCCAGCACGACGCTGGACTGTACACCACTCCCCTGTCGTTTGAACCCCCTCCTCCTTCTATCCACCTCTATCCATCCATTTCAAGAGAACCAACTCGAAAAGCATTTGAGCAAACTGGCCATAATCAGAACGTCGTTATCTGCCACTGACTACAGCGGCCACTGAGACAGGAACCGGAGCGATTGCATGGTTGATATAGTAAGAAAATTCGAGTCTTGGTGTCCAGTATCATTTCTTTAAGATGTTGTGTTGTTCCGCCCAGACTGCTCTGCTGCGCGAACAGGCGCAAAGTACGGGTGGGCCATGGCCTCCTGGGCAGTAAGTCGTTCCTAAAAATTGTTAGCACAAGCGAACGACAGAATGACAGTGACAAAAGAAAGAAAGACATACAGCATGGTCGTATCGTAAAAGTTTGTCCAGGAAATCAATCGCTTCATCGCTGACGAATCGTTGGTTCTCAGCATTGACGAATGAGCGCCACGGCTTTCGAGGGAACCGTGTGAGGATCTCGTCGTACTGTGGATCTAATTCGATATCATACTTGTCCAAGTATTCGAAGAGCTCCTCCGTTCCTAGAACCTTGGCGATCTTAACCAATTGGTCAGAGTTGCTGTTTCCATGGAAGAACGGTTCCTTGCGGAAGATCATAGACGCAAACATGGCGCCCAACGACCACATGTCGAGCGAGTAGTCGTATTCTTGGAAGTCGACGAGCAGCTCCGGGCCCTTGAAGTACCGCGATGCAACCCGAACGTTGTACTCTGTGCCCTTGTGATAGAATTCGGCAAGACCCCAATCAATCAGACGCAGCTAAGAAAACGTCAGCGAACGCAATAAAAAGAAACCTGGAGCCTAAACAAACCTTCTTCTTGTCGTGGTCAATCATAACATTGTGTGGCTTAACATCACGGTGCATGATTCCCTTGCTGTGACAGAAGTCCAGCGCCTTCAAGAGTTCGTGAACATAGAAACGGACGTCGTAGTCGGTGAACCGGGGGTACAGCGTGCGGAAGTCCGTGTTGTTCACGTATTCAAAAACCAGGCTCGGTGTTTTGCTCTGGCTATCGCGAACGACATCGAGCAGGGCTACCACATTTGGACCACCCGCCAGGTTCTGAAGAATTTTGATCTCACGCTTAATCTTCTTCTTCTTGACCGGCTTGAGAACCTTGATGACACACTTCTGGTAGTTGACGACATTGATGCCCTCGAACACTTCGGAATATTTTCCCCGGCCTACCGATCGACACCATTAGCATTCGTTTCGCATTGAAAGCCAAATAGAATCCGCACTTCGGCCATTCCTCAATATAAAGCAAAGCGCAAAGTACGAAAAGGCTTACCAATCTTGCGGACTACTTCGTAATTTTCCAACACACCCCACGAAATGTTCACACTGTCATAATCCCAGTAGGACCGGGGCATACGCTCATTGACGTCTGCATAAACGCGCGCCATTGTGAATGGCGGCTGCTCACAAGCAGATTTCCGAAACGGCCCACAATCGATTGATATATCAGGAGACGAAGCTGTGGCGGGGTACAAGCGCACGTAACAAAAAGAGAGGGCGGCGATAGGAGATGAGGAAAAATTGAGGTCAGAGGACAGATAACAGCAGCTGCAAGACCAAGAGCAAATAGGCCTTGCCTTGTCCAAACCGCGCAGCCGTTGCTATCGTCCCAAAGCGAGCAAAAAAGAGGCAGAAGATGGGGAGACAGACAAACACAGTTGGCAATTCTGGTGATGACCGTGACTTTGCAGGCATTCGTTCGTTCCGCTCAGGCAGTCACGGGACCGCTTGTTGTGGGGAGATTCCGGCGATTCGGAAATGTGTTGATCCGGCGCGATTTTTCGATTGCCTTTCTGGGATAGCTGAGAGCTACACATCCAAGACAGATCGAGAGGCTTACAGACCTTTTAAAACAGCCAAAATGTTCTACGATCTCAACGTTCCCTATAGCTCGGATGATCCCGAGATCTCCCACACCTTGAATTTCCTTGCGGAGAGTACGTCACTTGTCTGTTTCCACTGCCGATTCTTCGGCATATAAAGACCACATGAGAAGCTGACCTGACTGCTCTTAGTCGGTTACACAACCGTTGCGCTCACTCAGACGATCAGTGGAAAACTCCCTCCAAACCTAGCACCTCCAGCCGCGCCCGCAAATGCTCCGAAATCCCTAAACTTACTCACTCGTCTGAATCTCATCCTCTCCGATCCCTCACAAAACCAGCGCCTTACCAGCCTGACACAAGCATATGATTTGGTCGCGCTACGTCCCACGAACGAGAAGTCACTGCTGAACGCTTGTACTAACTTGGAATGTGACCTGATCTCCCTTGACTTCTCCGAGCGAATTCCATTCCATTTCAAATTCAAGATGCTCTCTGCTGCCATTGAACGTGGTATTCGGTTTGAGATTTGCTACGGATCCGGCATCACGGGAAGCGGACTTGACGCGCGACGGAACCTCATCGGGAATGCTATGTCGCTTATTCGGGCCACGCGCGGGAGGGGTATTATCATATCAAGTGAGGCTAGAAGGGCATTGGGGGTGCGCGCGCCTTGGGATGTGATCAATCTGGCATGCGTCTGGGGTCTGTCACAGGAACGTGGCAAGGAGGCAATCTGCGAAGAAACAAGGAAGGTGACTGCTCTGGCGAAGCTTAAGCGGACCAGCTGGCGTGGGGCTATCGATGTCGTCTACGGGGGGGAGAAACCAAAGGTCGAAGACGCACAACCAAAGAAGAAGGGAGCGCCTAAAAAGGCTATACCTCAAACAGAAGCAAATGCGGACAATCTGAAGAGGAAAGCGGAGCCAACACCTGAAGAGGCCGAGAAGTCGCTGTCGAAACGGGAGCAGAAGCGTAGAGCAAAGAAAGTACGATTAGACGGTGCAGGAGGTAGTGCTGCGGACGACAAAACTGGCAGCTAGTTGATTGACGGGCCATAAAGTTACGTCGTTAAGTCATACAGAAGCCACAAAATGCGAATCGCGCGTGTGCCTGAACTAAGTACAGAACATGGCCACTTTGGGTCGCGCACTCATTGCCACTCCTGTGCTTCTGCATCCACTCAGGAGAACACCAATCTGGAATTGCTCTAGTCCAAATGCTCTAGCCATGACCGTCGAATGACAGTGTGCAGCAGACCAACCATGACGATGCTGTTCAGGTTTGGCATGGATATCTGCTTGTCATCAACACCTGGATCACTCGACCAAACTCGATTGATGAGGGTCATGGATTGATGTCCGTCAGGGGATCATTTGCATTCGATTACAATGAATTATCCTATGGCATGTATCCAGAAGGTGGTGATCATAGCATAGGAGATCCAGTGTGTACAAATCACACGAGATTATGAATATAGTTCGATGCTCTTGAATCGATGATTAAGTCTATATAAGTCTATTCTCTAATGCGTCGTTAAACAATGGATATTGCCGTATATTAAACTATACCTTGTCTGAAACCCGACCAGAACATACGCACCTGCATGAAAATTGGCCACCTGATCCAACTTTCATTTTAAAATATTTATCAAGCTTACTATCCCTGTTGGAGATCATAGATCCAACTTAATTCATTTCCACGTGTGTGGTTACGAACCATGTGATATGGTCAGGCGGTGGATATATATATCCCGACGGTAACTATTGGTATATTTGCACAATAACTGTCCGCATTACATCTGCACTCTTAATATATTGGGCCCAAGTTTTAAATCGAACCGATATTTATAAACAAATAGAAATATTCGAGCCTATCCAGTGTATATAGAACGACAAACCGACTCAGGCATATAGCCGTCCAGGACGAGGAGTATTAACCTCATCAGACGTAAAGCTACAATGGCCATGTCCTTCCCCAACATAGGATCCTTGCCCCGCCGGATCCAATAGGTGGATATGGCTTCCTCCCAGTTGCGTACTCGATTCCTCCCCCGCATCGAGACCTATTGACTGCAGACTGGATACAGATTGGGATGCGGCTTGTTTGGTTGCCTGAGTCGAGACGATGTCGTGTTCGGATGGTGCCTGAATCTCGCCCCATTGGATGGCTCTGAGTTCGTGTCCTTTGCCAGTGAGAGGGTGACATGCAGCGCTGATTGCGGCGCTACAGCTCCCAGCAATGGGTATATCCGATTTAAAACGCCTTATCCCCAAACATAATATTGCAAGAATCATCAGGCCACCGACAAAGATGGCGAGAATGATAGCCATTGGCGAGTATCCACATGAGAAAACCCGATAATTACCTTCCGACTTTTCACGAATGTCGAATAGAATAATGGCCACAAAAAAGAAGCTTTGGGAGACCAGCCAATGCAATACTGCGGAGGTGACCAGAAGTGGGATGCTGTATCGATACGGGAGAGTGAGGTAGTAAGTCGAACGCTGTTTCCCCTTTGGCCATGAAACGCGCAATGGTTTCCGTTGTATGCCGTAACTATCGTATTCATAGGCAAGAAGCATTTTGGTCAAGATATTGTTGTAGAGAAAGTAGACCACAGAGACAATTAATTGAGGGGTGTTTGCCATGAAAACCAATAGGACATAGCTGGAATTCAAGAATTGGTAGATCGTAGTGCGCGTTGTGGCAGACCCAAAACCCAAGTTCCATAGGTATTTGATCGAGTGTTGATACCCTCTTTTCGAAAAGCCGCTGAAAGCCAAAGAAAGAAGATAGCTAGACACCGAAATAACTGACAAACTCCTATAGGGGTCAGAACGCTTCTGGAAAAGTGGTATTTAGACCGGCATGTATACATACAAGGCAATCATGGCCATCCAATACATGGAGCTAATAACTTGTGCCCATCGTTTTCTTCTGGGGAGGATATTCGTGTCGTTCTTTTGAAAAAAGGAAGTCTTGGACGGGTATCGAGAGTTAATTTTTGAGGCCGACAAAAGACACTCTCCTTGAGTCGTGATGTCAGGCTTGGAGAGAAATGAAGATATAGCGTCACCAACAGTCAATAAAATTCTTTTCTTATTGCTATGAATCGTCAAGAACATGCATATCACCTTGACAACGTTGCAGAGTATGACAACAAGGCAAATGGGAGGACTGAAGTAAAGCTGGCATTTCTCATCGATTCTTTCACTTAAACAGTAGTCAAACGTAATGAGACGTTCTTCAGCGGAGGAGCGATATTCCTTGAAAGGGTTGGAAGGGTGGAAATAAAGTCCATAATCGTCCTTGGTTATAGGCGGGCAGGCGTATCCATTTTCCTGAACCATGATCTGCTTGGCCCAAGAACTGTTCCGCCAATGAGTGGCATCATCAAGATACTGCTTTAGCTGTTGCTCCTCAGGATACGAGGCCATAAATCTTTGGAGGTGCTTAACATCTCGGTCTAAATCACCTTCTAGTGACCGTATGTTATTGCGAGTATCATACCTTTGCGTGATATTCACTGCATACGATGCATTCAGGTAGAATCTTGCCGATAATGCTGGTGCAATCCAAGGGGCTGCTTCTTTGAATGATCTGTTGACGAGCTCTTGTGGATCGTCTGTTGTACAAGATACTTCATCGCACATCCAACCATAAGGGTCGGGCACGGTTTCAAAATAAGATGCTGGCTGTTGTCCAGTTCCCACGAATCGCAGCGAATCATTAGATGTGAGATCCTTGCTGGCAAGAATCAAAGTACCTCGATCCGTGACAAAGTCTGCTGCGTAGGTCTCAATGCAATTCTGCTTGGTAAGGTTTTGAAAATTGCGGAATCTAGAGTCAAATGTCGACTCGTTTATATTGATGTGCTGCTCAAAGCAATTCGAATGATCCGGGTCTTTACTGTAATCGAGGTCGCTTGACATGAGGATAACGCCATACTCATTTGTTGCCAGTGAAGAGAATATAGCAGAGTTGTATCTGTCTTGCATTGTTAGAACCAAATCATTGCTGGAAGAAGAATAAAGTATGGATCTAACAAACAGTAGATGGATGGGCAAAGAAGTGACAAGTAGTGCAAACCAAAGCATGCGCTGTTTCACACCAATGGATGTGAGGTTCTTCAAACTGGGTACACCCACGTCAAGCCATTTCCCCTGAGCATGCGCAATGTCGACTTCATCCCGAGACGGGGAACTCAGGCACTGCATGCAAAAGTTGCTTGCTGCTAACATGAGGGTGCTGAGTACGTTTATCAAAAAATGCAGGCCACGAGCCCAGTTCTTCGAAACAGAGCATTTTCCCTGGTAGAGAAGGGCGGAAATGGATTCTTGTTCCTGGGGCTTTGAATAGAATATGGCAGCAGCAATGACTGTGAGGATGATATTCAGAGATAAGATGATAAAGGTACCACAAGCGCAAATAACGACACCCGTGATCCACTCTTGTTGGTTTTCTTGGCCTTTCTTGATTCGATTTTGAAGACCCCGGGGTAGGCAGGGAACTAGTTTTGATGCCACAGATGACTCTTCGGAGGCCTGCTCACGTAACCGAAAACTGTCTAATTCAATCTCGTCTGGATTGCTGCCACGTTGCATCTGAAGATATTTGTTTTGACCAAACGGCCAATACCAACGTCGCTTTGCCGCTTCCTCCATAGTGCTTGAAACGAATTTCGCGATGATTCTCCCGAAAGCTCACAGCTGTGCCATATGCTGCTGGATAAATCCCGGCATCCCATCCCTGAGCATGCGAGAGTTATCAGTAAAAGAAATATGCTTTGCAGTGGGTCTTAGTCTCGCAAAACGCAGCCTTGCCATCTTTAGGAAATATTCTGAACGGGCAAAGATCGGCCAGAAGAATGCGTTCTGTCTCAGTGCTGCTTATTAACTATAGCACAGCAAATGAATTTGCCTCAGGCGAATATGAAACCAATCTTTCTCCACCTTGAAGAAAATGAGGATGCACGGAGTACTGTAAAACCTCGCTATAGCGAGGTAATATATACTCAAGCCGAAAAACAGCCTCTGATAGCAATCTATATATATTCGGAGCCCAAAAATGCCTACTAATATGAAAAGAAGCCTCCAATATCACGCTGGCTTCGTAAATCCAATTTCCGACGCCATAAAACACGCTCATGCCTCTCCACCTCATGTATAAAGGCAGGACTTCCTTCCACTTGCTGCTCTTCATACAAACGGAGTCTCTGAATGGATGCAATCGCTTCCTCCGCAGACACCTTTGGTAGAATTTCTAGCTCTTCTTCAAGATCTTCCTCAATCTCCGGCATATATTGAGCCAGAACCTGGCTTTCAATATCATCAGAAGAGTCCTGGACGGCCTCCTCTGCGGGATTTAGGGAAGCTTTTATATCCATTGGATCTTGAATTGGCGTAGATAGCTGAAGCTGATCGTTCTCCGGGCTTGGAACCAATGGAGCCAGCCATTGCTGAATGCAGGCTTCTCCATTCCAGGATAAATGGAATCCCAAGAGATCTCTGCTTTATGCTGTGTGATCTCTGCAGATACAGATATTTGTCCTTCAACACGTGTTATCCAATCATATAAGGCATTCTCCAGCTCCGGCCAGTTCTCGCGGCGTTGGCGCTTTAAATCTCGGAGTGGTTTGTCATTATCAAGATGACTATATTTGCTGGATAGGATATCGAAGATGAGACTGGATGAGAGGGTATGGTTATATTCAGATTCGAACAATTCGCGGAGATCTTTTTTGACTTGCACTTGGATAGAGGCGCTTTCGGGCTCGGAGGGAGGCTTTTTCGGAGGTGGGAATGGATTTTCGTGGTGGCATGTTAGCTAATCACCTCATTATAACGAGATTTGTATGGGAGAACTGGAGAAAGCTAACGAGACTCGTAGTAGCAGGGTTTGTCGTTGTTTATATGGAGAAATTAATTCAGACAGCGTGGTCGCCTCGTTATAACGAGGTTTTACAGTAGTATCAAGGTGGGCCATGAACTACTCCATACGAGTGCGTCTTACTTGTGGAGCTACTTAGCATCCATCTTGACAAGCTCAGTGATAGACGATGGTGGAATAAGAGCATCAGAAGGACTGAAGTACTGGAAATGCTTTAACTTAGTAATGATATGGCGAAGTAGGAGGGAAGCTGATGAGGAAAGCTGATGCAGTGACCAAAGAGGTCAAGTCCCTCCATTTGATCGCATCCCCGAGTGAAAGCCGTACGATTGATAGGCACAATGTATAGGTCGTCATGGTTTGGGCATGTAAAGTATGACTTTGTCAATTCTTGTGGGAGCACATTATGATGTTGTGTTTGGAAACCTAGTTTAAAGCAATGCTACGGCTTGTGGCTGACTGGTAGAGAGTTGTCTATCATGTGACTGTTGGATGTTGAAGGATGGATACATACGACAACAAACGAAGTAGACGAGTGTAGCAAGTATCCATTCTATCCATTTATTGTTTTACCCATATTAGCATCTAGACTTTTCAGTCCTTGTAACCCATTTTATGTCCTCTTTAGTCACAACAAAAGTTTCCATCTTTAGTGACCTCACGATGTGAGATAACGGGGTATTAAACCATCTCGTAGCCGTAGCCGTAGCCGTAGCATATCGTTCACCATATTCGTAACGATTTTAGGAAAGAACACCCAGCACAACGCCGATACTGAACTGAATCGGGGTATGCGTGAGAGAAAAAAAAAAAAAAAAAAAAAAAAAAAAAAAAAAAAAAAAAAAAAAAAAAAAAAAAAAAAATCTGACAAGAATTAAGCACTGACAGGAGGAAAGAAGAGAGAAAGAGACGAAAAGAAGAAGAGAAGAAAAGAGAGAAAAGGATAGGAGAAGAAGAACAAGAGAAAGCCGACACCAAAAACACCCGAAAAAATAACCCAAAATATCGACAAGAATGCTCAAAATCTCATCATCGAAAGAAAATCGTTTCATCGTCCTCGTCCAAGCACTTTGCTCTTACTCGGCCTCAATAAGAACCTTCAAGTTGCTGTCCATCCAGTCCACGGTAGCAGCAGAAAGAAGGGCAATGGTCCATTCGCCGTCCGAGTGGACAGAAGTAATGCCATCGGGAACAAACACCTTGACCTTCCACCCCATGGACGAGTGCATGGTACCATCGTGCTTGGGTTCAGAGAGGTGAGCTGGCAGCTGGTCGCCGAAGCGACGGGCGATGGCATGCTTCAAAGTTCCGAGGTCGGGACACTGGTCGGCAGAAAGGTCAAAGCGAGGAAGGGCACGTTTGCCGTTTTGAAGAATGTTGACATTCAACATGGGAGTGTGGGATGGAGGATTGACGGAAGAATTGGTAGCGTCGGTGGCATGACCATGATGCGGATAGTACGGCGGATTAGAAGCAGGCTGCTGGTCGTAAACAGGTGCATGAACACCATGCTTGGCAGCGAGGTTGTCACGAATGATACGTGAGACGTCACGAGTAATGCCGCTAGCACTATTGAAAAATTAGCCTGTATCCCACCAAAAAAAAAAGAAAAGAAAAGAAAAGAAAAGAAAAGAAACATACAATTCGTTCTTGGCAGGAGTGTAGCGGCTACCACCAACACGCCAACGGAGAGCAGCCATGGCCTCAGCTTCCAAAATACGATGGATGTTCTCATCTTCGCAAGGCTTGGGGCATTCGAAGTCACCCTGGTGGAAAACCTGATAGTGACTATCGACTGCGGCGACCAATCCGCGCCAGTCGGGCTGCTGGAGACCAGAAAGACTCCACAAATTGTCAAGCTCATAGTCGTGATTGTACATGTCGTAGGATCTGGCAACCGCTTCCCAGTCTGTGGGATATCCATCAAGGAGAAGGTCGGTCAAGCCGAGCTGTGTATCAGATTGTCCCATCTGAGGTTGAGAGGTCGGCATAGACGGTGCATGCGGAAACTCTTCAGGGATAGTGTGATTCTGAGGATGCATCTGGAATTGCTCATCGTACCTCGGGGGACTAGCACTGTTGGCATTGGGAAGGCTCTCGTCTGTCTTTCTTCTCCTGCGATCGTCCGGGCCGCCACCCTTTCTCGACTCGATGGCATACCTGCGCTGACGCTCATTCGTCACCATGCGTCGCAAGAGGGGAATAATCAACGCAATGATCTTCTGTTGGTCACGAGGCCACACGTGAGCCCTTTGGCCAATTCCCTCGTTGATCGCATGTTCTCCAAAGAACCGCTCACCGTGCCCCTCGGCTTCCAGGAAGTGACGAACACAGTTCCAGAGGCGCAGCTTGACCATTTCAGAGTCCCCCTTACCGCGCTGGCCGACACATTCTCGTCTCTCAGGATGCTCATCATCAAGCATATAGTTCTTCGCGGCAGCCTGGAGCTGCAAAAAGTTCTCCGGCGAGAGTTCAAGCGACGTGAACATCTTCGCCATAGGCGGACGAGTATGCTTCTTATTACTTGACGGCTGGCGGAAGAGAGCAGCGGCAGAGTGTAGGCCAACCGCACGAGCATCAGACAACGACTGAGCAGGAACAGGACGGATATCCAACCCATCACCCTCGTACTGCTGCGGATGAGGACTATGGTGTTGGTTATGTTGCTGATGATGGCCAGGACCAAGACCCATGCCAGAACTAGCAGCAGCCAGAGCAGGATCGAGAGTATCTTCGTTACGCTTCCGCTTCTTCGACACGGTTCTGGACAGCCCAGACGGCGGACCGTGGTCACCAGAGCCCCTAATCTGCCTATTAGCAGTTAAGCTCGCTCCAAAGCCCGGATCCCCGAAGCTATCCTCGTCAATGTGAATCTCAGGTCCGTAGCCGTCAAGGTGATGCTGGTTCCCAGCAGCAGCAGCGACAGCAGCCGCGGTGGCCCAGTCAGAGACATCCTGTCCGGCGGCCGCAGTAGCAGCTTCGACCAATCCAGCTAGCTGGTTCTCGTTTGGGGCATAGCCAGCAGACAAATGGGAGTTGGGGTCGACGTTGGAGGAATGTGCGGGCTGAGTCGTAGAGATCTCAGCTGAGGTCGAGGAAGGGTGTTGGTGATTGGAGCCAGACGGGGTCATGGCAGGTCGGAGCTAGCCAGTCAATGGCTGCACTAGATCGTAGGCAGATTTGCAAATAGAGAATTAGGGTACGAAAGCTCGAGATATACAGAGCAGGTTTAGACCGTTGGCAGGAAGAGTGATGTTCTTTGCTCCAATTGCACAGAAACAACAGGTCCCATAAAAGAAGGGAGCCCGCCGAAGAAACAGGATTGAAAAAAAAAAAAAAAAAAAAAAAAAAGAAAATCAGATTGCCATTCACGGGTGTAGAGCGACTGAAATGGAGTGAATGACTAGCAGTCCTGCTGCCCTCGTGAATTGCCGGTCGTTGCAGCGCTCAGCAAGGGAACAATTTCTCGACGCCACTTGCCCACGCAGTGGCAGTGGTTCGCGAGAGGTTTTTTCTAGAAAAAAACTGAGAAAAGAGGACGTGAACGCCTCCAGTATTGAGGCGCTCGGCGCTGATAGATCGACGATACTCGAAAAGCGATATGTAGATAGTCAGTGGGTGGGCACGTATGACGCTGTTTGCGTGGTTTGAAGATTGAGCAGACAGTGCAAACTCTGTGTCGGGCCAATAATTCCCCGGTTGCTGCGTCTGGGCGAGTAAGAAAGTCCGATCACATGGTATTTATGCCTTAGAAACAAGGTGTCTATCTGAGAACGGAGATGCTATACAGAAACAAGGGAGAGGACAGTTTCGTACTTCATATACTGCTAACCAATACAGATAAACCCAATTCCAGTTGGGAATCAATAACACATGACTTTTCTCCGGTCTTTGGTGCCCGCCAAAACAAAGATATGCAACAGATGGGTGACAATATACACACTCGAAGAAACGCCAATTCGTCCGCCTAAAGAAACCAATAGATCAACCCAAGATAAATGGCAAAACTCCACAAATAAAAATAACTGGTATAAGGAAAATTGTTTGTGGATAATCGATGGCGGCAAGGCAAGATCTTCGCTTGCCTTATATCGAAAAGGGCGTCGAGGCGGTTCTCAGAAACCGTCGCCCTCCTTCCACTCACGTCCAAGTTCCAACGCCCTCATTTTTGGGTTCTCGCCACGCTTGGTGGCATTCGTCAAAATGTCACTGAGCAGCTGCTCAATCCCGGAAATCTTATCTATTATTTCAATATCTTTCCCTGGGTCGGGAATAGACAAGTGGCTGGTCTCCGACAAAGAGCCACTCCACCGTTCAGCCTCGATGATCCGCGCATCCCCTTCCCAGAGGTTAAATTCCTGCTCGAGATCACCCTTTTGACCTCCGAGATTCCTGTACTCTTGGTACTCATCGTCACCGCCAAAGCAGATACCGTACCCGTCACAAAGGCAAACGTGTTCCTTAGGACAGGCTACGTTCTCGCCGGTGAAGACCACGTGCCATAGGTACTCCCAAACCCGTCCTGAAATATAGTCGCTGAGTTCGGTCCGAAGCACCCAGTCACGGTAGTAGACGAAGCGCGCTTTCGGGATGGAGAGGATCCGATCGCGGGAGACGGCAAACTGAGCACAGCAGGGTTGGGCAAGAACATCCGGAACAGGGTCATCGGGGAAAATCTCGCCCCATGACCTGGCGAGCATCGTCTCTTCCTGTTTCTCAGAATTCTCCTCCAGTGCGCCAGGATGCATCCAGTCCGGACATCCGGGGCCCCAGCCACAGCGCAGGTTCATGTACCCTTCTCTGACGATACGAGCGGGGTTAAGCCGCCGCAACATATCAGCCGCATTACCATCAAACAGATCCTCATTATGCCATGCGAACTGATGCGAATGCATGAACGCCACAACATCCGTCAAGTTATCATAGTGCTCGATGATGTAACTCAGGTACACCATGACTTCGTGCCCCTTATTCTTCGGCGGATGAAGAGGTGCAGACGGGTCATCCACAACATAGACAGCAGACTCCCACTCTGGAAGCTCATCCGCGATCCAATCTGTATCTTCCTCACTGGTCCGCGGCACAACTAACGTCTTCGTATACTTCAAGCCCGGAGCCTTCGGAATCCCGGGCACATAGTGCGGACGAGGCGCAAATGGCTTCTTCGCCTGTCCGTCTTTCTCCGCCGTAGTAGTAGTAAAGGCAGATGTATTCCCGTTCTCCCCTGAACCAGCAGAGGACACTGGGACCAGATCCCCTAACCCGACAACCTGCGGAACTTCATCCCATGACTTCGTGAGACCTCGGATCGAGTACAGGAAGAAAAGGAAGAAGGCGAAGCCGAGAATAGGGATCGCTCGTCGGAGAGGAAACATCGGATAAGATGTGTATTAGATATAACTTGCATAAGACATGCAGAATATGGAGAGGAAAGATAGTAGAAAAAGGAATCTGCCGGGAGGGATGTATAGTTAGCATTAAGATCTCTGGATCGCCCCACGAGACATCTGTGCGCCTGTTTCCCTGGGCGCCAGTGATGGGTAGCATAGTTTGCGATAGCAATGAGGCGAATGCGGATTGCGCAGCCTTATGGAGACCACCCATCAAAACCAAAGAAACAAAGGTCACGCAACCTACATTATCTCATTCAATAAAAATGATAATAACAATAAGTCGGCGTAAAATCATAAGAATCAATATAATTTCCCCTCAATCCAAGCACTTCGTTGTCGGGAAGTCGCAGTTGCTACAACCGGAGACGGGTGCGGAGGCAAGAGGAGAAGAGGGCGGGATTGAGAATAAATGCAAATGAGATATTCTGTACAAAGCAATCAACTAGGCGCTCAAAAGAAAGACAAAAAAACCCATCGCACGTTCTCCGTGCTTTTGTAAGCCGCCAGTCCGATCCTGCGCCCAGTTATCGCGGCAGTCGTCGTCTCGGTGGTCGCTCAAGTGGAGCCCCGTGTCTGGCCCTGTCGTAAGCTTTGTGGGAAAGAAGGTCCAGAATGACGAACGCAGAGGCGATGCCGGAGCAATTGTCTTATTTATATAGTGGCCAGAGGCACTGCTGGGCTCATGGTGGATTTCGAGACATCATCCCCTATATAGTCCCAGGAAATGATCTGTGATTTAAGGTGATGTATTATTTACTGTTCCTGATCTCGGTCCGGTACTACGTAGTATCCCTGCCATGATGACATACGAGATGTAGTATCTTGAACAGTAGGGCATATCACTCTAAAGGTCATACAGATAACTTGATTATTATTCTCTTCATCGCATGGAAAAGCCACCATTATCTTGTCGCCATGACTGCTGAGATGGTCCTCTGAGACACGCTACTATTTATAGACGACGATCAGGACATGAAGTCCAATGTTTCTGCTGATCTTCTGCAGAGACCGATTTTGGATTCTGCTTACCTAGCTGTCGATAAAGCCCTTTCGAATTTGGGAGATACGGTACATAGCTCATCGGGATTTAAACTATTGTTGCATGCAGGATGGGGAAAATGCAGATATACCTTGACATGTACATGCCAGGAACGCCGGGGGGGGGGGAGTATTGCTCATTGTACAAATAATCCATGCTTCTGTCAGCATGGGAACCATCTATTATCATGAATATAGAGGCAAAATTTTCAACGGCACTATGGGACATGGTAGTAAATGGTAGTATAATAGTAACACAGGAACTCGGGTATGATTCGGAATCGCTTAAAAGAAAAGAAACAGTTCACAAAACGCCAGCACTTATTTCCCAGTCTGTAAGAGGAAATGCCCCAAAAAGAAGAGAGTTGAGAAAGATACGGGAAAGATCATGACTCATCGTCATCCACGTCTTCTATTGTCGCTGCTCGCCCTTTGCCTTTGGACGATGTCGACGATGTTTCATTCACATTCGGGGGGTCCGCTTTCTCTTGCTCATCCTCACCAGCTGTGGCTGATGGACCTTGCACCCTCTCGGTCGGTTGGTCTGAAATCACATCGGTCCAGTCGTTGGCTGGCGATTCGGCACGATGGCCATCTGGTTCCGCAGTCGACCCAGACGACCAGTTGGGCAGGGTTTGGGCTGTGACAGAGGTGGATGCTTCAGCGTTCTCGTCCCTCCTGTCTTCAATCGCCACATCCGATGAAGGCGGCTCAGAAACTGCTGGCACACCAAACATTGAGGAGGGTTCTGACGTAGCATTTGTAGTCTGTTCTGGCGCAGCATTTGCAGTCTGTTCTGGAGCAGCGTGTGGAATCGTATCGGTACTTCTCTGTTCCCTATGTCCGCCTGATGGCTGCCCAGCAGAAGGTTGCCCAGCAGAGTGAAGAGGAATCAATGACCAGCCTTGAGGTAGGCTGAGGCCATCAGGGAGTCGGGCGTCTCCAGCAGTCATTGGAGCTGCTCGGGGACTCGACATGAACTGATGACGTGAAGTCACGGTCGAAGGTAGGGGCGACGGTGAGGCAAATGGAGGAGGATGCTGAGGAAAAGCGGCGTTCAAGCCTGACGTAGTCGTTTGTTGATTCCGTAGCCGCTGCAATTCGGCTTGCAATAATCGTACAACCTGCAATTGGTGTGCTGACAGGCGGAGCTGATCAATTTCATGCACAATCTGCTGCTCCATATGTTGCAACTGGCCTTGCATATCCTGAAATCTAGGTGTGGCAGAGAATGAAGGTTGAGTCGTGGGCGTAGGTGTCGGTGCGGCGACTGGCGTAGGGGCCTGCGCAGGAGCTGGTGCAGGAACTGCGCCGGCTGGTGGTCTTCCAAAACCAAAGCCAAAACCAACCTGTCTTGCACCAGCGGGAACATTTGCTGCCGGCTGCATTGCGGCATTGCCCTGATGTATTTGTTGCTGGAGATTGCGGAAGACATCTCCCCGGCCAGCACCAAACCCGATCCGAAATGGCCCAAATTGGTAAATGCGGGCTCTAGGCAATCCGCCTGCTCCATTGCCTTGGTTTCCACCGGGAATATTTTGCTGGGGAGCACCATCACCAGCCTGACCGCGGTTGCGAGGCACAACGACTGGACGTCGGCAGGTTGGGCAGTTTTGCTGCCGTTCCAGCCAGCTTCGGAGACAAGCGAAATGCAGAATGTGTCCGCAGGGAAGCTTCTTTGGGCGCATCCGTTCAGGAACCCGCCGCGTGCCAGGTCCGCCCGGTTGGTCTGGCTGCCATGGTACCATTTCTTCGCGGCAAATGATGCAAACATCCTCTCCCGTGACCTCCTCTGTTGTCGCATCTGGATACCGTTCGTTCATATCCCGGGTGGCGTTGCGATAGCGAATGAAATCCATAATCCGTCGAGCAAAGGAGCGAATCGTGAGAACCACATCACGAAGGATATGAATAGGCAACCCGTAGAAAGTAAAGAGTATGGCGAAAAACGTGAGATACACGATCAACTTGAAGAAGTCAGTGACCAAATCGAGATAGAAAACCCAGCGTCCTTTCTCTTCCCATCCTGGAATATCGAGTTCCATCTCATCGATATCGTTCTCGTCGGGCACATTCGTCACGTTCTCTCCTGTGTGAGCTTCCTGCTGGGTGGCTTCTTCTCTGGCAGCACGAAGCTCTGCCCGCCGTTCTTCAATCCTCGCGAGTTTCTGTTGCTGCGTGACGTAGATCTCCACCAACGAAATGCCGTACCTAGCCGCAGTCGAGCATGATAGGATACTCAGGATGGCAAACTCGAAACCAAACATGACCATCATATCTGGACGAGCCTGCTCGAGCACGGTATGGACACAGTATCGCAGCATGAATGAGTTGAAGAGGACCGACAAGACCAGAGAGGCAGTCAGCCGGGTATGGAATACGTGGGGGTTCGCCGGCGGTTGCTGCTCCAAGTACTCCACGCGACCTTCACCAATCCAGCCCCAAACCTTTCCGACAAGTAGACAGATGAACATCACCAAGAACCAGCCCCCTAGCTCTCCCCGGAATATTGTCATAGCGAGACATGTCTCCGTCACGGCAAACCACGCCTTTTCGTAGAGCTGTTCGGTTTCGATCGGTCGCAAGGGTCCGTAGAGGAGACGCTGAAGCCAGTAAAGGAGGAAACCAACAATCAAAAGGCAGAGGTTCGTCAAGATCTAAGAAGGACATGGTCAGGATAAGATTCCTGGTGGCGGAAACGGCGAAAGTTGGAGAATACTTACCATGAGATTCGCACTGCTCTGGGACAGGTAGACACAGGCAGAGTAGAAATTTGACCGCTGATGCAAAGCCTTAACAAAGACACCAGCTGCCAGAGCCATAGAGGCCTGCGACGAGGTCAGTAACCCATCAAGACTCCGACGAATAATACGGGGGAGGGGGATCAACTTACCCCAGCATACGCGGCTAACCTCATGATCGGAGACTGGTAGACGTGGGCAAAGAGCCCAATGTCATTGACAAAGGGAAGGTTAAAGAGCCAGCGATCGTGTCCAGAGCACCTTCATGAAGCTGGACAAATAAGAGTCAATGGGATGCAGGAAATGACCGAATCAAGACAGGATCGCGTGTCCGAATGGTCGTTCTGGACAGCTATGTCTCTAGCTAAACTCGGCCATCTTACGTCAGCGGATAAACGCTCGGCTATTGTTCTTCCCCCACGAGGAACTTTCAACAATGACAAAGGACCGAGTGAATGCTCTGGAAGCCAAAGAGATTGTTCTGAGGAAAGTTAAATGATGACAGAGGAGAGTTCAACGGCTTGCATTCGTGCGATGGACATGCTTTGAGGCTTGCCCGTTGCCGTTCGGCCAGGTCAGCGCTCCGCCAGCTGAGAGCAAAAGTACTATACGCATCTGCATTCCTGTTCTATAAAACGCAGTAGCCGGAAGACTTCCCAGCAGATTTTGAGATTCAGATAGGTCAGCTCATCGGCTGCTTCATGACTTTACTCCAGTCCAAATGACCAGTCGTACGGCAAAGTGCGTTGGCCGTCTTCCATACAGCTGCAGAAGTTCTATTGTCCACAGGCAATGCTTGCTTTTGGTTTTCCTTTCCGCACCGATAATTCTCGACAAGAATTATTCTGTTGTTACTCAGGATTGACAAGCGGGGAACATCGACGTCTTGACAAATACCAGCTTTTCCTGTTTCTGGACGAGCAGGTAGTACATTGTACGAAGGGCAATGACCTATTGGAAACGGGATACATCAGGCTACGGCAACAGAAGATACTTCCTAGCAATCACCACAGGTCTCTCAATTGTATGTGCAAAGTGCCCCTTGTACTCCGTAGGCACAGGATCACTGATTGATAAAGCGCTAATGACATCAATGCCGATAGCGGCAAGCGCTGATAAGATGAGATAGTCTAGCTTCATGACTACTCTGTACTCCGTAGTTTGAGCATTCAATGCCAATTGCTCCTATATCTTCTATGGCGTAGTACTACCCTAGAGATTCCTTTGCACTATACTTCCAAATACTATCTGGCCATCGTAGGCGATTGTCGATCTTGGGAGTCATGTGACCGACGACGTGTGTTAAGCATCAGCTGCGCCGGAATCTCGAAGTCTTTGATACAACTCAAGATTTCGTTGATACATATTTCGAATCCACTCAACCGAATAGCAGACAAATACTAAAGCATCGGGAACTGGTTATGATTCAAATGCAGTAATGGCGTCTCAACGGACCTTGTTCACCGCGTCCCGCCTACAGACATTGACCTACTTGCTCGCCGTCTGCCCATTTTCCATCGCATTCCTGGTGTTCATCAATTCATCGATCTCCTTTGTGGTAACTGATCTAATTGGACTCCATGATGGCGAAGGTGATGTGGTCGGCACCTTGGGATTTGCTGATGAGCTGCTCGCACTTGCAGCATGTCCGATATGGGGGGCTTTGTCCGATCGTGTCGGTGTCCGCCATGTAAGTAGATGTCCACATTAAACTCAGAATTTGAATCGCTCACATATGTATTTTGATAGGTTTGCGTCGCGGGATACGCCATCGTAGCTATCTCGTTGGTCGTATTTGTACAGGCAAAGAATATCTACCCACAGTTACTACTGGGAAGATTGTTGTTTAGCGTTGGAGGCTCTGCAGTCTCGACGATGGTTACTGCTGTCCTACCAGTTGTCACTGGTAGTACTAGCAGACCGCAGGAGTACCAGAGGTCGCTGTCTTCTGATTCGACACTTACTTCTGACCAGCCAACGAGCCCCGATGCTGCAAACGAACCGAGGACTGTGACAGGTTCGTCTTCTCGACTAGCAGGCTTTGTGGGCGCCTGCGCTGGATGCGGTGCGCTCGTATCTCTGGCCCTCTTCCTTCCTCTCCCGGAACGCTTCCAGAAATCAGGTTTATCGCCTGCCGAGGCCATACGGAGTAGCTATTACGTCGTCGCCGTGGTGGCTGTTTCAGTCAGCATTTGTTGTCTTTTTGGCTTGCGGAACCTTCCCGGAGAAGAAAGAAAGGGATGGAAGTCGTTTCTGTCGACTTTCCGGCGTCAGGCACCCGAGCCTAGACAAAGCCAGGGATGCCAGGACGATGGTCTCTACCCACTATCCTACTGGAGACAACTAAGGACCGCCGTTTCTCTAGGGTTTCAAAACCAAGAAATACTCTTGGGATATGTTGGCGGATTCGTCGCACGGGCTTCTTCAGTGGGAATTTCGCTCTTCATTCCTCTCTTTGCCAACCACTATTATCGAGCGGCAGGCCTCTGCAACAACGATCCTCCAAAGGAAATATTCGCATCTGACATGGGTGACATCAAAAAGTCGTGCTCGGAGGCGTATATCTTGGCGTCGATCTTGACCGGAGTTTCGCAGCTAGTCGCATTGTTAGCTGCTCCATTGTTTGGCTTTTTGTCCGAAAAGTCACGGCGATATCATCTGCCCCTTCTAGTTTCCGCGTTGTCTGGTATCGTTGGTTACTTGGCGTTTGCTTTGGTACCCAATCCTCAATTCAAAGGCCCTGATGGGAGTGTAGGAGTATTCATTCTGATGGCCTTGATCGGTATCAGCCAAATTGGAGCTATCGTTTGCAGTTTGGCTGTCCTGAGCAACGGGATTCTGAAGATCAGTGCTGGAGAAAAGTTTCCCAGAGCACACTATGAGCAGGATCGCGGCGAACAGCCACTCTACGAGGCGGACAGAGTTTCCAATGAGGATCAGCCCCTGCTGGAAGGATCTGGGAACCAAAATGTGCAACAGCAGTATTCTCAACTCAAAGGCTCAATTGCTGGCGTGTATTCTCTTTACGGTGGAGCCGGTATCCTTCTGCTCACCAAGCTTGGTGGGTATCTCTTTGATACCCTGAACTCGGGGTCTCCATTCTATCTCATGGCTGCATTCAACGTCATCCTATTCGTGACGGGGATAATTTGCGGTTTGGTCAACAAGGCAAGGTCGACACAAGCCCAAGTAGCTCCTTGATCATCGCGTTTTCGATATGACAAAATTTAGTGGAAATGGCTTCTTTGGCTAAACCTTTCCTTATCAATGCACTGGCTACCATGACTGATGAAACATTCACATTGAATTGCCCAAACAACTAAATCTATTTACCTTTCTTACTACTAACCTCCTTACTGGGCCTAATCGGCAACCCAGCCGCCTTATACATAGAATCAATACACTCCATCTGCCAGATACTATCCTGATTCGCGACCCAAAAAGCCGGCGTATTTCCCTTAACTGCATCCACAAACGCCTCCAACTGCCACCGATACGTGCTCCAATAATGATTTCCTCCCTTCTCCCCGGTACTCGTAGTCACCTTGCCCCAGAGCGGACCACCGGAGTACTGCTTGATGGTCTTTGTCTCGCCCGTAGTTTTTTCCACGATAGTGATGTAGTGGTACAAATGTGGCATCATGGCATTGTAGAAGAGGATTATTGCTTTCTCAGTCTCGACTTCGATAGAGGGAAGTTCCCAGAAGCGAGGGATTACATAGCCGAGCTTGTGGCGCGCCATGTCTGTGTAGATGCGGCTGTGGACGTCGCCACCGTTAGGTGCTTCAAAATCGACGTGTGCGTACATTGCCTCGTCGACGCGAGGGTCGCCTCTTGAAGGGCGCACGCTGACAGACACAATTTGCTTGGGCGTTGAGGCGTGGAGAGCGTAGCGGGTGAAAGATAGGGCGTACGTCATGTCCATCAATGAACCGCCTGTTACTATCAGCTTTGTTTATAAACATGAGAGGGGAATGGAAATACCGCCTAGATCAAACTTCCACCGGATATCGCTTTCTGGAACAGCAGGACTAGCTGTCATAATCGCATTAGTCCGAAGGATGTTGCCGTATTTCCTCGAGTCCAACAATTGGCGCCATGCATGCGCCGCAGGATGGAACTGCCAATGGAACTGTCACCAGTCAGCACCCAACCCTAACCACATATTCAAATAAACAACGTACAGCCTCCTCAATCACCAACCCTCTATCCTTAGCCAACTCCATCAACTCCTTCGCCTCCGCCGCATTCGACGTAAACGGCTTCTCGCAAAGCACATGCTTCCCCGCCTTCAGCGACTTCGCCGCCCACTCATAATGCAGCCCGTTTGGCGTGGAAATATACACAAAGTCGATCTCTGGGTCATCGAGCAGATCTTCGTAAGAGCTGTACGCTTTAGTGAAATTGTATTGCTCTTTTGCCTTTTGGGCTGTGGAGATGTCGCGCGAGGCGATTGCGTAGAGAATTACGGAGGGGTGGGATTCGGCGGGATGAATTACTTTAGTGATTGTCAGTATGTGGACTGAGATAGCAGTTAATGAAATGATTCATTGGATACTCACGTGCGGCAGCGTTTATTTGCGCTGACGAGATCACTCCCACTTTCAGCGCTTCGGGGGATTTGCTGGGTGTTGGGTGAAGGCGGGTGTAGATGTATTGGTGGAGGAACGTGAATGCTTGGACGACCAGGGCCATGTTGCCTTCGTAAGAATATACACGCTATTATACAAATAATAATATTTGAAAATCCATAGAAGTCGGTATGGCAACTGGGGTAGTTATAGGGTATCATTCGGTGTTGACATCATGACGTTAGGGCATCGTCAGTTGCCTCTTGTCATTCCTATTGGGCAAATTCATGAACACTTGGGAGCTTGAGTGCGCTATTCTACTTACATAAAATACACTGTTCTGGCAATTCAAAAATGCATCATGAACATTGGTAAGATCTCATGTCTTGCATGTCGGCAATACCTAAGTTCTCACACTTCCTGCAGGGAGGGGAGGTAGTAAAGGGATCTACGTTCTAGTAGTAGTCAATGAAAGAATATAATCAGTGTTTTTCTTTGTTCATATATATCATGTGACAATGCCAAGGAGTAATAGCTATTTAGTAGTTTCTCTGTCCTATCCCTCTCTTTTTCACATCAGCTTCTCAAAAAGATGATAAAGGGCTTGAAAGCAACGAATTTGGCGTGTGATTAAAGAATAATTGAACCATAAGGTAGTGAGGAGCAGGGCTTCCGCGATAATCGAATCACTAAGTGAGGATATGCTCGGAAAGAGATATAGTGAATCACTTCATACCATACACACACTCACTCCGTAGATGATCTCTAGTCGGCTGGAGCGCAGGAAATGCTTATAGAGAAACTAATCTCAATAGGCCCTATGCCACAAGGGCTGGGGCCGTCCGGTTCGACAGGGACAAGCACGCCTATACCGTCCCTCAACGCCTCGTCAAAATAGTTCCACCATTCGCCACCATCCTGAGTGAGAGTCGCAATTACTTCATTTCTCTCTTTGAAGTAGACGTGGATGTAGATAATATTATAACTCAATAGCGGCGATTACAAAACGCTCGTGCACGACTCACCCAGCACAACAAACCAACGATACAGACATTGTTCTTGTATACTGCGCAGCGATAAACTACAGGACAAGTGACCTGACAGCGATGGTATTGGAGCAAACGAGGGGGCTCAGAGATGATGTCGATATAGACGACGTTATTCACACAGGCAGGGAGGCATTTTACAAGTTTCTTGGGCACCCTGGTCGTATCCTGAATATCTTGGACATCTCAAGGAGAGACTAATATCCGCCTTTGAAACAGACAAAGATGGCTTGAAAGGTATTGTGAATGATGTCAGCGGCCAACGGTTATCTGACAGGTTCTGCTGGAAAACATCATGTCGCTATATTCGCTTGAGCTCTCAAAAGCTAGGGAGGAGAACATGGCTCTGAAGGCTCTTATTGTGAATCTATGCGAAGAAAAGGATTAGCATATGTCACATGGACACCACAGACATGTGTTACGTGGAATATGCCGAGTGTGAAGATCTTTATCCAACATGACCGTCAGTTGAGAAAAATGACTTGGAAATCCCCCAAGCAAACCTGATTCAGTGTACATGTATATTGCGGTTTACTTCATCAAAGTTGGAAAGGGCAAAAAGAGGAACAAGAAAGGCAAGGATAAGGGATTCGGAATCAAGCGGGCTATATTTGAGATGTGAGTTGTTGGAATTTATCAGAAGTCTACGGTTGATATTCCGAACGGTGCTCTCTCTTGATTGTATGTATTGTGGATTAGTATAGTTAGCACTGGATACATTCTCATATTAAATAGTATTAGATCGTTGGTGAGCAAATGCACTTATTCGCCGGCCGAATTTTGCCTTTATCGACACAACACAACCCACAATACCGACTGCAAATGAAGACCTATCTCGCCCTCTTGGATTTTTATAATCACTCTGTAACCTCTTCAAAGCCCTATAATCTTGTCTACCCCTTTGGCTATGCCAAATCCACACAGTGAAATGTTTGAATCGCGGAGAAACAATCTCAGACAGACCATCCATACCCCCATAACAGCACCCTGAGTGAGCAAGTGCTGATAGTTGGTCCATATGGTGAGCCCATGAGGCCGACTTGAGCTCGGTATGTTGCAAAAGAACGTGCATTTCTGATTCCACCAGACTCTCGAAGGTCGGCACTAAGCAGTTTCTTAAGTCTGTTGGGACGTGGCATATGGCAATGGCTTTCGGGAGTGCAGATAGTGGTGCGAATCTTGTATCTTGTGTAAGATTGGTCCAGCTTGGAATTGGCGCAAGGCCCGCAAACTCGGCTGAATAGATTATGATCCATGGGCGAGTGGAATCGTGTTCGGGATTCGGATTTGTTTGTCGCGGTGGAAGTTCGTATATAGGCGTGCCGTGGTAGAATTTGCGACGGTCGCGGTAGTGGCTGGGTGAAGAGTATTGTTCGCGCCAGTTAGTATAGCCCATATCAGGTGGTCTTGGGTTTTCGTCGGGAATTGAAGGAAGGAAGCCGTCTGATGTGAGGATTGCAAAGGCGCGTTCTTGATCTGCGTCATTTATGATAATCTCAATATCCTGCATTAAACATGTTAGCTACTACCAGGCTGAACTGAGAGAGCAGACGGACCAAAGGAACGAGCTCTCCATCGTATAGAGCTGACGCGTGAAGTCCCCACAGAGCTGCTGGTACTCCATTTTGCGAAAGAGCAGTGGCTATTAATGCCGCCGGCTCGACGCCAGGGCCCTGAGTATCGCAGATTCTTGGGCTCGAAGAGGACAACATGACAGCTGACTGGGAAGATCAGTACCGGTGCGTAGAAGGGATTACCCAAGGCGGCAATGTAGGGCGTTGGGATTAACCGGCATATGGCAGCTCCACTTGGCCCGATCTAACCGGCAACCTTATTGTATCTCATCTCTTTCTTCCAAGTTCTGGATATCAAACGATGAACAGGCATAAAGAGTCTTTCACGATTCCGTAACAGAGCGCCCGGATGGTGGTACAGTATCCCTCTACCAGCAGACGTGACTGCAACACCAATTCCGCAGTGCTGGCATGGCTTCGACCAAACATCAAACAAATGGATTCCCCCCGACTCCGCCGCCTCTTTACCACGGATCGAAACCCCAAGGACTACAGTAATCTCGCATGCAGCTCAGGATCTACGCTTATTACGTGGAATATTGATTCCAGTTCCTCCGCGCCCGAGGCCCGAATCTCTGCCATTCTCTCACACGTCCAGAACCTGTCCACATCGCCGGACATCATTTTCCTACAAGAAGTATCCCAGCCTGCGCTATGAATTATATTGGATACACCATGGATACGGGAATACTGGTATTCAAGCGAAGAGGACATCGCAAATTGGGGTAAACAAGCCTTTGTGAGTATGACACTCGTGTCAAAATCACGGTTCTGCAACCCAAGCTCTGCTGCTAAGCATACAGCTACAATTGGTCCAATCTGGCGGGTTAAGTACCCTAGTCGGTTTGAAAGGGATACGCTTTGCTGCGATATCCTCTTGTCTTCACTTGATATGACGCAGGATGTTTGCTGCATTCGGTTAATTAACGTACATCTGGACTCTCTTCCCGTGTTCCCCTCCTTGCGTCCTCGATAACTCTCCATAACCACTTCTTATATATGTGCTGCGGGTCATGGCTAGGTAGCTGGAGATTTCAACCCAGTTCTTCCGGAAGACGAGATACTGGTCAGTGAGAATAATCTCATTGACACATGGACGGAGCTGCATCCGAACAAAGAGGGGATTACTTGGGGACTCGATAGTGACACACTATTTCCTCCGAAACGAATGGATAATGTCGCACTGGTTGAACTAAAGCCTTTAGGTATCCAGGTCATTCGGCCAGGTATGTGTGTTACAGGCATAGGGGGCAAGGAAGGTCAGCCTGAACAGGAGGAAGCTCAGCTACCGTGGAATGATCATTCCGGACTTGTATGTGGCTTTGGACTATGATTTCTACGTATAGTCATTACATCAAACTTGGTTATCTTCTGTAATGTTGAATGAGTATCTAATTATGAGATGATGTATTCTTTAAGAGGTATTCTGGTACTTGTTATCTCAAATGAGTATACCGAGGACTGTTGCTCGTTCCTCTGGAAATATCCAACCGCCGTTCCCAAGATCCAATCCTCGAATTCAGGCCAAGAGGCCATACTCCAATAAATGGGTTTATTCCTTTCAAATTACCGGATAACAAAATGGCGGACAGTGGTGGGAGCTTGGTTCAATTCCCTGGGCCGTGGTAGCCAGAGCTGCATACGGGATATCTCGAATTGGCAATAATTGGAAGTTGTTGCTCTACTGCTATATTCTATCAACGTCATACCTCATGACTACCACAATTCTGGTGATGAATGGAGCGGAGGAAATCGTTTCGGCAAACGACATAGCAGCACTCGCCTGCTCGACAATATTTTAAGCCACAAGCTTGGAACCAAGTTTAAAACAGTGCTGGAATCTCGTTGGAGTTGCCCCCTCCCCCTAGTTAGAGAAAGGAAGAGAACGGGTAAGCACCGGTGAATAACGGGAATCGCTTCTATATATAGACCTTTTTTTTTTTTTTTTGCATTTAATTCTATTGCTTCTGACTCCAAAGTAGGCATTAGATTAGAGCATCATTAGTTGCCTCTCCGGAGGAGGAAATGGCCAATATAACGAATATGGAACGAAACACAGCCAGAGTAACACAGAAGCTAAACATGAAAGAACGAAACCCAAGCCATAGACAGCACCGTCTTCTCTTTGAGTCGAAAGGATGCTCTTCTAAAAGGCCCACCAAAATGCCCTGCCTGGTCAGCGTCCTGGCTTCAGTAGGTCTCGTAAACTGAGGAATTGTAGTCCCAAATCCTCGGCTGCGATAATTTGTGTCTTATGTGTCCCTGGGTATGCAATAAATCCTGCAAAAGTGCTTGACCTTAATGGAGAAACCCATTCTTCGTGGTAGTCAAGACAGCCGGACTAAGCAAAGAATTCTTTCGTATTTGACAGATTGGGAGGATTTGAAGATCTCGAGTAAAGTATATCCTCAGACCACGTGAAACCGCAGCTTTCAAGTCCAAATTGGATTTCGAGGTCATGCCAGCATTTATGCACGCGAAACCACCAATGCTGTACAAATAGCGTTCAACAGATAGCCGCCCATCTGCTCCCAGTTGGAGAGAGCCTGGTAGCTCTTGATGTCTATTTTGTCGATTTGAATGGTAGGAGATCTTTCAACGGGATCAGGTAATAACGCTACTTTGAGGCTTGCAGCACAATAGCAAATGTGATGGCTCCATGTCCTACTTACATTCCTTGCCTGGGTCCGTTACGACACGCCACGGATTACTTGCTCGGGGTTCTCAAAAGCTTTCGAGGCCGTCACTATAAGAATAATATCTTAGCCGCTGCAGTATGTGGGCTTTACCTACCTGATAGATCAAGAACATTACTTCTGCCCACTGTATGGAGAGATCTCGATGTGGGTCAAAATGTGCGTAAGAATAGCGAAGTGCAAGGGGAGATGTGAATAGTTGACGAATCTTCACAATTGAATGTGCTTATTTATGCTTTCAAGCAAGGGACATTTCAATCCTGGGCCCATACGATTTAGCATCGCATGTGGGGCGAATGGACTACCTCTTACATCCCGGTGTTTGTAGGCATCTTTGTGACTCTGCTTCATTGATAATTTCCTCCGCTGCTTCAAAAGTGACACTCGCCGCAGCGACTAGGACAGGAGTTAAAGAAAGAGCCCTGAGGGAATTGGAGCTAGAGTTGGCGTACTCTGATGAGTAAGACTTGCAAGTTAATATGAACTGGTATTCGTTTTCGAACCAGGCTGTCTGATTGATGTCAAAGAACAAATGGACAGAAAGGAGTAGTCGGGGCAGAAATCCAGTGGCAGCAGTAAAAGTTGTTACTTACGGCTACGACTTGTCATTTCCATTCGATATCAAACAATGGATTACTGGGAGAAGTACAAGACGCTTTAAAGGCTCATAATTTTGTAGAGTCAATACAGTTCTATTCACATACTTGGAACCATAAACAACAAAGCAAAGACCGCAGATAATCAGTTCAACATTCATTTCTCATGAAGATCTTGACGTGAATTGACAGTCAAGCCCAATCCCTATACGATATTCAGGTACTCGCTATCCTCTCCTTCAAAGTAACCCAAAGCGCCGGCTTATCCCAGAGAAAATACGATTCTTGGGCAATCCAGTTGGTACATTCAGAACGCAGCTCGACGTCGAAATTGAAAAGCAATTTGCAAAGAATAAGACGGACTTCGCTATACGCGAGACTGCGATACCTGTCAGAATGCTGGGGATCATATAAGGAGGTGGGTGACAAACTTCTTGCCCGGACAATTCCTGGGCCCAAGACTGAATGGCTGGAGAGCAGCTCTCTTGTCATCATCGAAGCGAGGGTCAATACCTAACCATCGCTCAGGGATGAAGTCTTCGGGATAGGCAAAATTGGACGAGGAATGGAACGATGCGTATTGGTGGCATGAAACAATGGTCTGGTTTGTCAGCGTTATATCGTCAACGAAAAACAAAGTGCGCTTACATCTCCAGGGACAAGGTATTTATCAATTGTCGCTCCTCCTTTCGGAACGATACGACGGAGCCCAGCGGCGACGGGAGGATATAAACGTAGTGTCTCTTCAATGACTGCAGCTAAATATGGCAGTTTTGAGGTTTTGTCCATGGTAATATCTTGATCGCCAATGATAAATGAGCGGACCTCCTTTTTAAGCTTTCTCAAAACGGTTGGGTGTCGACAGATATAGTAGACACACCCGGAGAGAAGCGTAGCGGATGTTTCACTACCGGCCAAGATCAGCCTGTCCCGAAGTCAGCACCCGGCACAACTAGACAAGAAGGCATATCAAGTAACGCACATCAAAGCATTCGAATGCACCTCATCCCGACTCATAATCTTCTCAGGCCCCCGATAAACCCCGGGTTCCTCACTCAACCCACCCTTCAAAATCGCAGACATAAAATCCGGCCTGCTAGTCTTGTTCGCGAGACGACGATCGGCCTTCCGTGAACTCAGATTGAAATGATCAAAAGCTTTCTGCATCAATCTCTGTGGAATCATCTTCACCAACAACTTCTGCGCCCAGGGAAATTGCCCAGCAACAATGAGATAGGAGCCTTGCTTGATAGACTTGAAAATAACCCCGATCCACGGATGCAACTCGCTATCCTGGAGACAATTGAACGATTCCCCAAACGTAAGTTCGCCCGTGATATCAAATGTAGCGAAATTCATCCACTCCTTAATATCAACTTTCGCTTCTCCACTCCCCTTCTCAACCTCACCAGTCAACCGCTCAATAAGTGTATTCACAAACCCCATGATCAACCCTTCCTGCTCTCTCAGCGCCCGATCCGAAAATCCATACGATAACAACCTCCTCTGCCTCGCATGGACGTCATCTTCCACCGCGACAGAAACAGGCTCCACCCCGTTAACTGGTAAGGGGTAATAACTCCGGGCTTTGGGAAAGCATTTTCCAGAACGAGTGACATAGATGTCGCGGAACGCCTGAGGCGTGTTAAATGCCAATTCATTCGGCCCGATCCGCACTATTGGACCGTAGCGCTCATGGAGTGCGGTGACGTCTAAATGCGAAAAGCCACGCAGCAATGACAGCTGGGCTGGAATACGCGAGACTTTCCATAGTAGTGGTCCTGGGAAGCGCTTCAGGCTCGTCCAGTAGAGGTTGTAAATAATTGTATAGAGAAACCATATCAAGCCCTGCGGTAATTTAGCAACGACTCATGGACCTTGGTAGCGTGGAAGAACGGAAATATACTTACCAGGATCCCTGCTAGGTTGATACACCAAGACTTAACGCCAAACGCAACTCCAACCGTTGAAATTGAAACGTCCATGCTGGCCGATGTATGTCACACTAGTATGTGTATAAGAAAACAATTCAGGTCATTCGCAGAAATGGCATGCAGCAGTGTCCATCCCACCATGGCTTGTGGTTTCTTTTTCTTGCCGTCTTTCTTTCAGTACTGGTCGATCATGCTGTTCGTAAGCTTATCGACTAGTATATATTTGACTCCACCTTTTTCTGTTTCTTTATTCCTTTTATATCTTTGATCATTTGAGTCAGATGAATCGAGGAATGGAGGACGGAGTATTTGACTGCGGTCGGGTTGGGCGTGTTGCGGTGTCTACTCGGGGAGAGTAAGCATACAAGTACAAGACAACGCAGAGGTCGGCGTATGATGCATACGTCAAAGCATACGAAGACAGGGAATAACCACAGATAAAGTAAGGAAGATCGTGAAATTGTGCAAGCAGAGTGGCTTTTTGAGCAGAATTGGCGGCTAAGCACCAGTCAAAATTACACGCGGCGATGATCGTCGGTCAATCTTTATTTTAAGAAAAATTTCCACTTTTTCAGGAACAAATAATTTATTTCTTCATCATCTCATAAGCCATGGTTTTCATATCTGTCATCATCTAGTCTACTCTGTTGGGGTCCGAGTTACATCCGTGCGTGTTTTCCCTTGCCCCCAGCCCCTACATTGTGGTCTGCGGGCGGCCGGACTTCCAGTCCAGCACGAATGACATTCGTCCGGAGGAGGCGCAAATGAGCTTCCCGCGTGTAGCTCTCTAGGCTCTCCAGTGCTGCCGCTTGCACTTCCATACGCAGGTCGATCTGATTGGAGACAAGGACCATCTTCTCTAGGTCAATGCGCCCGTCCAGCGTGCCGTCCTCAATTAGACGAATAAGCTCCTTGACAAAAGGGGAGTTAGCGTTTGTAGGTAACGGCTCGCCGGCGACGGCTGCGGGGGCGAATATCTTGGCCATAGAATCAAGAGTCACACGGTTGAACGGAACGACATATTGCTGTATGGACTTTGTTCGGATGCGCGAAATCAGAATGTTTATATGCCGCTGCAAGTGAATGTCCAGGAGGTAGTCGGCGCGGTAGGCTTCGAGAATCTCAAGACATGGCCGGAATTTGGAATTGCAAAAGAACGAAATGGCACGGCGGATGTGGGGTTCCAATTCCAGGAAATTACGGAACGAGGTGTTATCAAGTACTTTGCGCTGAAGTTCATTGCGGTCCATGGAAGCAAGTGCGCACAGTCCACCATATACAGCCACATCATTTGGGGAGATGACCTCGTTATATGAGTCCCCTAGAGTCGATTCGGTAGACAGGAAACTGTTTGCCGCATCCGAATATGCATCCAAGTGTAGTTGAGACAGCCCGAGTGCGGCGGACATCTTGGGCTTGTTCTTCGTGTGCTCGTCCGGCTTTGATTGCAGGTTGCGCAGTCGCTGCACGTTCGACTGCACGCTCAACCAATCCCCTCGTTCAATAGCCACGTTAGTTATTTTGAGCAACATCGAAGCTATGTGAGTAGGTGTAGTGCAGTAGTCTCTCATCCGAGTATATGCTTTTGAAGCAGATACTTGATCACCGATTTGATGATAGTGCTGGCCCAGATCCTCATTGCCCATCTGCACCCACGTTAGCACCAACATATTCAGCTGCAGGGAGCAGTTACCCATACCCTAATGCTTTCCTTAATCAAATTATTCTTATATCCTTTAAGCTCGTGTTCCAGTCGGTCCGTCTCAGCCTTAACAACTTTATGCATGCGCTCGACCCAGTCAATATCGCGCTTCGCTTCAATTTCACCCGGCGCAGCCTGTGCGAGTGCTGTAACCGCCCGTTCATATCTCGAGATATCCTTGCCCGACTTGGCTTCGGAGACAGCGGCTTTGAGAGCTTCCGTGGAAAGGTGCGTGGAACATGTGCCGATGAGGTACAAGCGATCGAATCTAGTCCTGCCTATGAATCGGAAAGACATCAGCTATTTGCTATTGTCTCAGAAGAATAAATGTCACGTACCAGTGTAGTTCGAGATGTATGACTCTAGTTCAAACTTGGGCGGATCTAGGAAAGATGCCGTTAGTCCGCCTTTCCGCCCTAAAACCGCAACATCCAATATCGAGCATACCATCAACCTTAACGTAAGGCGTCATATCAGACAAGATTCGACCTTGGCTATCAAAGCCAGCAATTTTCTGGCCCAGGCCTGCTCCCGATTGTGACGCCTCGAAAGCGTCCGGTAATGTGGAGTCCATCTCGTATTCTCGGGCACGTATGACGGTCAATTCAGATGGATATGAAGTGAGAGCGCTAGCCTAGGTAAAAATATATCACCAAAGCAATGCCGAAATCAGCACCTTTCGTAGTCGTCACCGAAATCCCATCGAATGGTTATCAACGTCAGAACCCCTCGTCAACGAGGCGGTTGTGTCGTTTCTTGGCAAGTTTCAAAGCTGGAGAATTTATATCTCAAGCTCCGTTGGGCTGTATACCGATATATGGAATCTCAGAAAGGCGACAGGTTCAGAATTGCAATGTTATGAGAAGATGTTGGTGTGGAGAGCGGACAAGCACGCGGTCATCATCAGGATTTGGCCCGATCAATCTTATTTAAACTCACCGCCCTCCTCACCGCCAGCGGGCATTAGCAAACAGAACCCTAACATACATTTATTCACCAGTCAGGGATATCCTTATTACGAAAGGCCAACTTCAGGGGAAACCAAAAAGAAATGTCAGAAAATGGATTTAAAATATACTGAATATTGAATTATCGAACATCCTCGATTCCTTCCCATCGCCAGCATAATCGAGATCCTCGTTTGCTAATATATACTTCACTGTCTCATAAAATGTTGTTCTATGTACTGTCTTAGCACAATCCCAAACCTAGGACTAGCAATGATCAGGATAATTATGGTTTAAGACTCATCTGTTCTGTTTGTGCAAACGAGAAAGGGTAGGCATTGCTTCTGCTAGACTGCGGCAAATCCGCAAATTTGCGGATGTGGATGGCGAAATGGCATCCGCGTCTGCGGATTTGCTGCAGTCTAGTCGAGAGTTTCGACCCATTTGCGAATTTGAGCTGGTAAAGACCATGAAAATTACGTGGAGTCGATCACTTGACCAACATGTTTGACGTATCATTTTCCATCTAAATCCTGCACTCAAGTACGTATGCCAATAGATACTGGAATTAAAGTCATGTCCAAGTCGCCACGCGGAAGCCCGGGATATTCAATAACGATGAAGCTTGCAGCTAGATATGCTTGCTTGGTCATGGCATAGAACTGCGAGAATCTCATTACAATACTTTTCAATCCCCTCAGCTGGTTGTATTCCGTACCCAAGGCTCTCCGGGCTTTTGGGGTCGGCGTGATCGTATATTCGGTTGGAGATAAGACACTGCAACCTGTAAGTCAATTGCGGTCTCTAAAGAAGGTTGGAAAAATATATTTACTACGCCATTCCCATGAACCCGAGTGGTTAAGGCTGGCGCCAGTTATTCGAACCTGGCAAGAGAAGACAACATAGGATGTTCATACTCAACTGGAGAATGCCTGGACTTCATATTAGCAAGGGTTTTGGAATTAATTTGTCGGTAGCGATGTAAACTCACACAGAACCGAAAATTGGCCTATCCAGTTGTGGAGACCTCTCGACGGTTAGAATACCCCGAATATAATCCATTTACTGGGCAACATAGCTTACTCGGGCGAAGCTTTGAATAACGCAGGAGACGACACGACAGTGGAAGTCGCTACAGTGTCTCTGGGAATAGGCAATGGACGCTCTCAAGAAAGACCACAAGGATCTCACCCGGCAACCTGCTTAAAGTACGGAGAGGTGCGGTCGCTGGTTTTTTTGTCGACATCGGACTTCGTATCCTACAAGGGAGAAAATATATCAGTATGACTCCCAGACGAGAAAATATGTCAAAGTACTTACTAATTCCAGCACTTTTCCCGGCTTGTTATTATAATATACAACACCTATGTATCTATCCAACGCCTCGAAATGACTTTTCCTTCGACGATACAACCGGGCCCGTTGACAATCATGCATCGAGAGCGGCAAGAGGTGACTGATGGCGGGGCTCTTCTAGTGCGGATGGCTTACCACAATACAACCTTGTTAAAGAGCATTAGCACAGACGTGGAGAGTCGAGAAAAAGGACACATCACCGTCTTAAGCCCTTCACAGGGGAGACGGCGAAACATGATGCGACCAATTTCGCTGCAAAAGTAGCAGATCCTAGAATCCTAAAGTATGTCAGTCATTTCGACCTTCACTCTGTAACTTGTTGCATCTGGGAGAGCATTTGCTTAGTATATACACTCAAGTGAACCATGGTGAGGGGAGTTATTTAGAAGTTAAGCCAGAATAAATCAGAGCAGTTGTTGATAAAATTGGGCCGGATTGATAATTTTGAGGGTGGACGGAGGAGATATCAGATGAAATGGCTGCTGGAAAACATCCGAGAAAATGTCACAGAGCGCGAGATGTTTGACTATTTTGGCCTGTTTGAATATGGGCAGGAGCCCCCTTCGCACACACTAGATAGCGCAGCGCTGACAGACCCAACATTTTCCTTTCTTTCTCCGTGCTAGTATTTCGCTAGGTAGTCGACCAATAGGCTCATATTGTCTGAGACTGTCACAGAAAGAGTCCCTGTCATCCAACATGGCAGAGCTACAACAAAGTAAATTATTGCCATATCGCCTCAAAATTCATTGTCTATTGCATAGAAATTGACACTATTATGGCCAAATATAGGTTTTCAAATGCAATAAGTTAGGTTGACGATACCAAAGGCTCCATGATATTGCAAGTAGAATATATTTTCCTATAACTGAAACTCCCTTACACTCGCCACGGGTTTATTGCATGAATGTCAAGAAACACCAAGATCTGAAATATACAATCCACCGTCCTCCCTGGATATGAGTTAGTGAATGTGGCACTGAACATGCTGGATACGAACCCTAAGCATCTATTACTTCCAAAGGCGACAGCCCGTCCGCTATATTATTACTTTGCTTTTCCTCTTATATCCCCACCGACTCAGAACGGGGTATCAACCTCATAGACAGAAATTCATGTGTGCCAACTTATCTAGCTATTGCTATGACTATCAGTATCATATCTCCTTTCTAGTCGTAGACACAATTGCCTAATTCAGAAGGGTGCCAGAACTCATCCAACATTCCCAGTCTTTCGAGCAAAAAAAGCCTTGTTGCATTCTGGAGCTTGGAAGAACTTATGCAGTATTTACACGAGGGATTTCCAGAAGAGAACGATAAATCATAGTATCTTTTCTGAAATGACGAAAAATCGCAGGAAGAGCGTGTTGCCGAGATGACTTTTCCTGTATCCCGGAAGGAGGTCTTTCAAATGCTGTACACGATGAATTACAATGAGCGCTCCAACCGGACCCAAATAAATTTGGCAATAGCTTGTCAGATTGCGCCATGGCTTCCGGGTCAGTATGGAGAAATATGGCGACTACTACCGCATCACTCTGTATCTGTACGCCCTCCTTCCCGTTGGATCTTTTTCGACTTTGGGGGCTCACGAAGGTTGTAATCATGCAGTGGAGATTGTTCGTGTAACATATTCTCCTCAGGGAACCATGATCCGTGCTACCATTGCTGAATAGTTTCTGTATCCCTCACCTAAATAGATTTTGAAATTCATACAAATTCTGAATACCGTACTAAAGTATCCATATCGAAGGACCGTAGAAACTACCTAAAAACGGAAGGTATAACTAGCCACCACCGCCACAACACATGAACAGCCACATTCCCCAGATAAGCTGTCAATCGATTTTCCTCCTACAAAGATCCAAATCGACTGACATTGATACTGGTTACCGCCGAGGAGTATTAGCCATTATCCTTGCCGTCTCATCTAGAGCTATTGACAAGGTTCCTCGTGGAATGCTCCGCCGCCAGGTATACACTCGTCATCGCTCCACCCACACGGTTCAGCTATCAAACACCCATCAACGCTTATCGGGTCCCTCGTATCCGCTAAACCAACTCAACTGCAACTCTTGCAGGAACCGCTTCCAACACATTTACCGGCAACCGTCTAATGGATGGAGCCAGCGCATAAGGAGTCCGGCCCGGAATCTTGGCCGCAACCACTCCGCTCCGTCTCCCCTACACCCTCCGATATCACAAACGACGACCACGTCACCGGCATCGACAACAACGTCGCCAACAATGACACCCCCACAATGCCTGATTCCGTGTTAGCGACCTCGTTCAACACCGGCATTAGCGTCAGCAATGGCACCGTCCTCCCACAACCAGACAAAACACGCTCTTCTCCGCCGACGACAAGGGACCGCAGCGTGTCTGGAGTAGTTCCGCCCTACTGGACTCATTATCGAAATCCGTCGCGGTCATCGCAGATGTCGGTCGAGCAACCATTGGGGATTACGTTGGAGGATCATACGGAGGATCCGAATTCGGAGACGAGTCGGGGGCTGTGGGCGCAGAGCGTTGCTGTTGAAAATCATGCGGTTGTACACGGGAAGAACGGAGTTGGGGACTATGTGGTGTGGCATTGTAGGATACAGACACTAGATGTGTGCAATCTAACCTCCCGGAGTTGGTCTCTGCTTATGCTAACTGTGTTCTGCTTATAGGGAGGCCCGATTGTCATTCGCATGAGGTAGGCCCCATACGACATTCTCTGTCTTGCGACTCTCGCTGATTGCTTGGAATTAGATACTCGGAATTTGATACTTTACGGCGACAGCTGTTGCTGGCATTCCCACATGCAAAGAATGCGCTCCCCGCTCTACCACCGAAGAGCGTCCTATGTACGTTCCCAAACCTGTCATGTCCTGTACCGCAATTGACCAACGATACAGTCCGGTTCCGACCGTCATTCCTTGAATCTCGCCGTATCGGATTAGAATATTTCCTCAAGTGAGTTCATCAACCAAATCTTGTTTTGCATCTACTCTGACGCGATACAGTTGCGTCCTTCTAAACCCAGAATTCTCTGGTTCTCCCATCGTCAAGGACTTTCTCTTCGGTCGAGTGGGGTAGGTTGAGTATATATTCTAGAGGGTCTCTGTCATGATGTTACGTTATATTGTCTGTTCTTTTTGTAATATTGCATGGGTGTGATTGGAGCAAGTGTTTGGGGGATTCGTTCGCTTTCCGTTGATAGATAATGTTTTACCATCTGTAAGTATTTAATATGCTACGAGGGAGGAGTTCAAGTTCAAAATTGCGCAAAATACAGACATCAGTTTGAATTCTCACATGCCAGACTACTATTTTTACTTCCCACCATTTCCGATCATTGTAGCAACCTCAGCATCCCAATTCTGATGATACTCTGTCGCCTTCTGCATACTCCGCGAATACTCCTTCCCAGCTATCAGCCACCACGCAACCTCAATTACCAAGAAACCCCCAACACAAGCACAGGTATAGTTCATATTCGACGCTAGCCATCATCAGCACCCATCCTTGCCCTCGTCCCCTTAACGAAAGAGTAGGAAAGGAACATACCAGTAACAGGCATATAATATGGAAACGAGAAGAAAATAATTGCAAACAATAACCACGCAACAGTAACCATATTCACGACCATCCCGACTATGTACGGGAGAGCAAACGGCCCACGATGCATTGTCTTCCGACGACGGAGGACGTTTGTTAGAATTGGGATTAGGTAGGCAATGTTATTTATTGTTCTGGGTCGTTAGTTTGGGACTACCAAAAAGAAAAAGGTGGGGAGTATTACACTGCAGAACTCATCATAGCGTTGAAAGCTGTGCTTGATCCAAGGTAGATACAGCCTAACAGCGCCATTATAGTTGTTACTGTTAATTGGGCGTTGAATGGAGAGCCGAGATTGGAGTTTACTTTGGCCCAACTGGATGTCGTTAGCAAGCATAGCGAGATATGCAGTGTGAGTGCCTACATTTTCGAGAATGGAAGCCCCCCATCTCGAGAAAAGGCCCAGAATACTCTCCCAGTACCTATCAACCATAAGCCAAGTACTATGCGTGGATATCCTGTGTCAGCTTACTCAGTTGTGATCCAATCATACACGGTCCTAACGCAACCCAAAGCAAGAAAACCAACGCGAATGCTCCACTGCGGCTTTGTGTCGCCTGGCGAAATATCTCAGCCAGCGGAAGGCCGGTTGGAGAGTCTGCAAGGTTTGTATAGTCCTGCACGGAGAACATCAGGCTTAGGAGGTAGGAGAGACCTGTTATAAATGCTATTGTGATTGAGGAGGCTGGAAGCATGAGTTTGTGTACTCTGTAGTTAAAGTATAGTGTCTTACCAAGTGCGATTGGAGCGTTTCGTCCGGGCTATGGAAAGGCTGTCAATGTGAATGTCCAAGAGAAGTAGTCCTACTGGGTACTTACGTTTGGTATTTCCTCGGTGACATGCTGCACTCACATATCAGCAAGAGTCTCCAAATGTCATACACAGAGCCTACCGTGATACCATCCAAACCACCAAGAGAGTATAACGGATTTACAAGCCCTGTGATAAAACAAATCACATTATTCTCCCAGCCAGTGTTATTGATCCAAGTCTTGAAAACGAACTTGGTATCATTATGTGTTGGAGTCGAAGCAGCAACAGTCACCATAATAGCAAACCATGCTAGCTGTAGATAGCATACTAAATGGCCAGCTGGTTAGTATTCGGATATATTTCAATGCCAAAGTGAGGATCCCATCTCACGAGAGAACTTGTTGATCAACGGAATAAATCGGTTCCCGAACATGACAATGCTTGATGTAAAGATATTAAATACTTGATACGCGACGAAGGTCATCCATGGCTGTATGATTAGGTCCGTTTTGTACAATGCTATTAGGGCCATAAAGTTCGTTGCATATATCAAGTTTGTAGATGCAGTGGTAAATATCCCTGTAGCGTGTTAGTTTCCTGTAAAGAGGTCTAGAGACAACAAGGACTTACATCCAAACACCGTACTCCAGCCAGTTGCGAAACTCAAGATGCTATTGTAGTGTTTTGGAGCAATAGCTGCGATCCAGTGGTACATCCCACCCTCGACAGGATATGCAGATACGAATTCTGCTAGTGAAATTGCAAGAAAAGCCTGGAGGACGAAGACAAGAATAAATCCGTAGATCACTAAAAAGTTTTAGTCTTCACGGTATGTTCAGAACAGTGAAAAGTTCCTTACGTGAACCAGGGCCGCCAGCATCAATCGCAGTGATAAGGCCGAGTCCAAGTCCTGGGAATGTCAGGTCTATTGCCTCATAGTACTATGACACCATTTCCATTTACCGGTCCAGGAAATTGTACAGTTGGCAGCCAGTCCAACCAAGCTCCATACCGAAAAGTGACGCTTCAACTCCTGCTTGTGCCCTTTATATGAAGATTTGAGTCGGAGCTCTAAAGGGCAATTACAGTCCACTTACCCATTTGTGCTAACCGCAGCTCATCCGCATTCTGAACTCCTTTATTGCCTGTTTCGTCGTTCGCCAACAAAATGGCATTTTGAGCCGGACTTTTGCTTCCCATCTTCTCAGATCAAAACAAGTATTCCGTGCTCTCCAGTGGGTACTCGATGGGACAAGATGCTTAAATAAACCCTTATCACCCATACCGCCCTTATCTGATAAATCCCTCGCATCGGAAATGTTCCAGATATTATCCGAGAGGGGCTGAACCGGAAAGCATGGTGATAAAACAGACCGAGATGTAGTGTCAAGCTGATTATCTTTCCCGGGGCAGATACGCCTCTTGGATATACGAGATAACCATTGATAGGAATGTATATCACTCACCCACAGAGAAGTGGGGTCTTTGATAGTAAAATCAACGGCTGAACTTGGTCTGTATATATACCGTTTCATGCTATCAGTCCGTTCGAAAAAGTATGGAAATCGCTTTGTAGTAAATGGCAAGCTCGGTTCAACACAGGACGGGGAAAATAGCGTCATATAACGATTCAATAAAATATATATCCTTATCCTATTAGACGAAATGTATATTGATTGTATGAGTATTGTGACATTAATGATTAGGTCTATATAAAGCAACAGCATATTCAACATCGTGAACCTGTCCTGTATATCTGCAGGCTTGTCTCATAAAAGCCATCCACATATCTATTCGCAAGAGAACCCCATATATCCAGATCAAGCAAGAGCATAATTACAAGACACCAAAACTCTATAGACAGAAAGAAATCGTATAAAACTAAACCCTGCCAGCTTTAAAGGTTCAAGGCTCGTTTGCACTGAGCGCTTAGACATGTCCGGCAACGCCAAATCGTTTGGTATGAGATCCAGAATGGAAACTCAAGTCTCTGTCAAGCGTTACTTGGCGACCGAAGGTGTCCTGTTCAGAACACATTGGTGCAGGACTAGAATCAATGATTCTTCAATCCGGGTTCCTCCGGTCTGATTTCTGCAAGTTCGCGGTAAACCCTCTCCCTGGCAGCAGACTTGTCCTTCCGGATCGTCAGACAGTTAATTCCCAGGAACGTGGTAATCCTGTTAATGACCAAGACTGCCCAGTACATGTACAAAACAAAGGCAAACAAGAGGTAAGCACGGAGATAAAACACTTCCACCCACGCACCGATTGCAGGAAGCCCAATGAGTGGCAGGTTGATGAGAACAGCACCACCAACGAGTGGAGTAAGGAGCACCGTCCAGAATGGGAATGGCTGGTGCAACAAGTGAGCGAGGATGATCTTGGTAGTCATACGCCCAAAGACAAACGAGATTGTTATGCAGTACAGAACCAGTCGGTTGTCGGCCAGCAGCGAAGAGTATGGCGAAAATAGCCAAGCAACGTTGCTGACGGTAAACACGACCATCGGTAGAATTTCCTTGAAAAGAGGCTTCAGAGGCAGATTCTGCTTCTTCCGAGCATCAATAACGTTATAGACGCAGCCTGGAAGGTGTCCCAGGAAAAAACCGGCAAGTAAAATTGGAACCCAAAGGTCCTTCATGGAGTTATTTCCAAAGATTTGCGGGTAGGGAAGTAGGTCGGTGATGGGATGAGACCAGATCTGGGGGCCATAGATTCCAGAGGCAAGCATGATCATGATAGCGATAAGAAGACCTTCAGTAGGTCCGTTGAAGTAGCCCAGGTACAGCGTATGTGTGTGATAGGTCTCCCATGTCGAAAAGTACATTGCCAAGCAAGGAACCAGGGCCGTCCATGCACCAAGTTGCGTCGAACCGAAGCCCATTGCTGCTGTTTCCAACAAACTGGCCAAGGTGCAATTGAGCGAGTCAATTCCGTGACTGCATGCTGTTAGCGTGTCGTATAAGCATTTGATGACTATAAACTAACTCGAAAAGCTCTCCCAAACCACTAGATGTACCTGTCCGGCGTGCTTGTTTACCATCAACATTGTCCAAAGTGGAATACATCCACATGCCAAGTGCAAAGCTGTAATACACCCAGGAAGGACCCTTTAAAGTCACGAAAATCTTAGCACATAGCCCCAGAAATATCCCGAGTCGGAAGATTATCCTTACCGGTCCCACAAGGTCGGGCATATAGATTTCAATGAGGAGCACGTTTCCGATAATGAAGAAGAATCCCAGAAGAGTAACCATATTAGGAGCCAACCAAAGCGGCAGTACTTCGACGAATGCATTCCACTGAACACCGATTTATTAGTATCGAAAATGTAGTGTGAATTCCACGTTTATGGGCGCCGTACATAGTGTTTCAACACATATCTCGAAATGAACGACTTGTCCACGCTGGAGTATTTATAGCTCTTGAGGGGCATCAGGGCATCGTCCGAAAGCGAATCTTGGGCCGCTACAAGACACAAAACAGTCAGTCCCAACGACAAAGTCTCCTCAGGGCCTTGAGCAACTGACCTTGGGCCTTTCTAAATAACCCGCTCATCTTTCCTATCGCTGAATATGTCCAGTCCGTATAACCGCGAAATCTGAAGGTTGTAGAGTACAGGGTGTTTCAATCGTAGACTCAGTTCATCGCGCGATAACGAGGAGAAAGATACCGAGAATTCACGTGGACTCAATAGTATTTTGTCGATGAGAACACCAGCGTTTTTTGAATAAAGCAACAAAAATTCGACCCGGAGAAAGAGTGAGAAACAGAGGAGCGCAAAACTGCCGGTTGAAGTCCGAAAGGAGTCAACTGTCCTCGGCGATCACGGGTCACGTGTCGTCCTGCGAAGCTCCGCAAGCTTTCGCCGCATCGAGACGCGACAAGCCCAAAGAAGAGTGAATGTTGGACTCTGACCGTTGATCGCTATCACCAAACCAATTTATTCCGGGGAAGAACAAAGAAAGGACGTTCTATTGTTCCTTCCGGACGGCCATTTTGACGAAAGCTCCCAACTTTGGTTGTTTATTCCATCTCCCCGCGCCGTCGACCCTCCAAGCTTTTCCCAGGTGCCATCTTCTACTTGTCTTTCGATCGCGACCCGTCCTTTCAGCGTCGATACGGAGTGATATAAGGCTGTAATATGGTTGCTCAGTGAGCCCGGACATGACGGTGGATGGTTCGCGCAGCGCTCACAGCGCAGTCTACGACTGAGTATCTTGCGCGATGCCAGGCGTCGTTGACACACCAGCCGGGCCTGTTTGGCCGGGGTTGGGCTACTCCATCGCACACCAGAAAGTTGAACTGGAGATAGATTTCGCAAATCGGAGTCTTAAGGGAAAGACAGAGATCACCATCCACCCGCATTACAAGGATCTGAAAGTTATTGGATTGAACTTTCGACAAGGAGAGGTGAAACGGTTGACTGTCAACGGAAAGACGCCCGCAGTTAAACATACGGATCCGTATGACTCGCTACAACTGTACGGTTCTCACTATCACGGACGCCTAGCGACTAAAATCGATGAGATCGTGCACACTCCACCGCAGCCTGACCTGCTTGTTAGTATCCCGAAGAATGTTCGCATCGATGAGCTCGATCCCTTTTCGATCGAGGCGCAAAACCAGATGGCGCTAAGGGCAACTGGTGCCTCGGATGACCCAGAAGGACCTATAAGCTCTAAAGCGGCCGAATCAGTGCTTCCGAGATTTACGGGTTTGACCGTGTACGTGGAATTCGTGATCAACCAAATACGAGATGGCTTGCAGTTTGTGGGCGTGGGGAATGGAGACAGGCGCTATCCGCACGCCTATACGGCCAATCCGTTAGGCTATGGTGTCGGATGCCCTCTCTTTCCGTGTGTTGATGATCCCTCCGCTCGCTGCACGTGGGAATTTTCGATCAAGTGTCCGTGCTCTCTTGGTGATATGTTTGATAAGAATCGCGATCAATCTGCAGCAACCACCGCAGGTCGTTCGAGCACCGCATCTGCGAGTGGTCGATCTCTCTCTCCTGATGATGAAGCTTTGGATCTGACAGTGGTTTGCTCCGGAGACCTGACTGATGAGATTGTCGACCCGAAAGATCCGAGCAAGAAAACAGTTTCTTTCGCATGCTATTCCTCTCTTTCAGCCCAACAGGTTGGGTTCGCAGTCGGCCCCTTCGAGTGTGTAGACCTCTCTGGTTTTCGGGAAAGTGATCAAGATGAGCGGCTTATTCAGGCCTCTACTCCGGTGCATGCGTTTTGCCTTCCAGGAAGGTCCGACGAAGTTAGGAATACATGTTTCCCCCTGCCAAGAGCTATTGACTACTTCTCAATCAACTGCGGCTCCTACCCGTTTTCGAGCTATAAGTTGGTCTTCGTGGATGATTCGCCTGAGGCTACATTTCCAACAGCGTACTTATCCATCTGTAGCAGTCATCTACTCTTCCCTGAGGAGGTAATCGACACGATACAGGACACTACAAGAAAACTAGTCTATGCTTTATCTTGTCAATGGACCGGTGTTAATCTTATTCCCAAGGAGCCCGCTGATGCCTGGGTCACGATTGGTATGGCATGGTACATCACGGATATCTTCATGAAAACTCTCTCCGGAAACAATGAGTACCGGTTTCAGTTAAAGCAAATGTCGGATAGAGTCTGCGAGATGGATTACGAACGTCCATCTCTTTATGACATGGGAAACATTCTGAAGCTGGACCCTTCTGAAGTCGAATTCATCGCGCTTAAAGCTCCTCTGGTTTTGTTCATTCTCGATCGTCGTCTTACCAAGGCCAGTGGAAAGGCCACTATGGCCCGTATTGTTTCTCGACTCTTTATATCTGCTCGAGCGGGTGACATTCCTAATGGCGCTATCACCAGTGCTTACTTTCAGAAGACATGCGAGAAGCTCGGACACGCGAAACTAGACCAATTTTTCCAGCAATGGGTTTATGGTGCCGGTTGTCCGCGCTTTCAGGCTACGCAACGGTTCAACAAAAAGAAATTGGTCGTCGAAATGATGATAAAACAGGTGCAGTCAGAGCAGCCAACCACGCGTGACTTGTCAAAAGACACATTTATGCGTGACGTGAAAGAAGAGATCCGTCAGGTTTATGCTGGTACTGTGCAACCTGTTTTCACGGGCTCCATGACGATCCGTATCCACGAAGCCGATGGAACTCCCTACGAACACATAGTTGAGATAAAGGAGGGTGTTACAAAATTCGAGATTCCATATAACACGAAATACAAGCGCCTAAAGAGGAATAAGCGACAAAAAGAACGTGCCGCCGCTGCTACAGGGACAGACCCCATTGCGGAAACCCAAGAAGATGTTCTTCTTTATTGCCTAGGAGATGTCCTGCAATCCGAGGATGAAGTGCAAGACTGGAGACTGGCTGACTGGACTAAAGAAGATGAGGAACGGATGGGCCAGGAATCATACGAATGGATTCGCATGGATGCGGATCTCGAGTGGATTTGCAAGCTTTCCTTGGTGATGCCGGGCTACATGTATCTCTCCCAGCTTCAGCAAGATCGAGATGTCATAGCTCAGTTGGAGGTCAGTCGTTTCAGTGTCTTCCTTATGGTCGGCATAACTAACCGTGACCCAGTCCCTTCAATACATGGCGGCGCAGAAAGAACATCAGCTGATCTCGACAATATTCGTTCGAACGTTGATGGATCGCAGGTATTTCTACGGAATACGTGCAGCAGCAGCTCGGGCTTTGGTGAAACATGCCAAGGAGGAAATCAATTGGTTGGGTCTGTACCATTTGGAGAGAGCATTCCAGGAAATGTTCTGTCTTCCAGGGTCACCCATGACCCGTTCCAATGATTTCTCCGATCGTGCTGCATACATTCTACAATTGGTCATTCCCGAATCCATATCTAAGGTGCGCGACAATAGTGGTCGGACGCCGATGAGAGTGAAGCGCTTCCTCTTTGAGAAGCTTAAGTTCAATGATAATTCGAATAATGAGGTAGGACATTTGGTAGGCTCGCCATTGCAGTTAGGATCATTCTGACACTTAACAGTACTCTGACAACTTCTATGTTGCGACTCTCATGCGATCATTATGTGACGCGATGCTGGGGAGGGCCGAGGTTCCCCATGACAACTTCGATGACTTCGACATGGAACGAGTCCTCGAGACCCAAACTGAAGAGCAACTGGAGCAGGACGCCATTGCCGAAATCGATCGATACCGACGGATGGACGAATGGTCGAGTTCATATCAGAACGTCTATTCGCGGGCAGCATTACGATGTCAAAGGCAACTCATGCAAGCTAATCTATTGGAGTTTGATTATATGCAGTTTCTGCCGTACACTCGTGCCGGGACCTACGATTTACTCCGCCTGGATGCCTTCGAGTGCCTCGTCGAAATGGACATTTTCGGTAGTGCTGAACTCTTGAAATGGTTCATTTTCACAATGTCAAGCGACTCTTCTGCCTGGCTTCGGCGTCGGCTGCACAATGCCTTCGGCAGGGCTCTTGGCCCAATTGCGTTTGGCCGTGGGCCGACCAATGAACCACCCGCTCTGAATGATGGCCTGATTATCGAGCAAGAATCCAGTACGGAAGTCCGTCAAGCAGATCTTGCACGACGTCAAACAGTGCCCGGCGCTATGGAGGGCCTCAGGAGTGAGCTTTCTGGCAATCAGATTTTGAAGGAATCTCTTTGGGCTGCTTGCAATTCGTCGTGTATCGGGCTACTTGAGCTCTCTGAGTTCACAGATCTCTGCCGGGTCTTGTACGAGCCGATCACGTCCCTGAGGGTTTCGCTCAGATACCCACGGTATTGGAAAGTCAAGAATCTCGGAAAGGTAAGCCATTCCGGCCCACCATCATCAAAAGTCTCTTCATAGATACTAATATTATTCACAGGGACGCTTGCATTTCTACAAATCAGACCGTGTTCGAACCACCCTCACAAAAGACGCTACCTCTGCCCCCGCAAAACGCAAGCGAGAGGACCAGGGAATGCCACCTCCCGGCCCTCGCATTACATTCAAGCAAACCAAAGTTGGCTCGGGGACCCCATCTGCGACCTCCACGTCAACCCCGCAGCCTAAACCGAAATTACACATCCCCAAGATGTCCTCTTCTCCCGCTCCATCTACACCGGGCACACCGTCAACCCCGGCCACCACTCCGGGTGGCGGGTTGAAGTTGAAGCTGAAAATCGGGCAAAAGCCGAAATAATCAACCTAATCCGAGTCTCAACTGTTGTTTTGTTTCCTTTCATATCTGTATCTTATATTTTGTCGTTTCTTTATTTTCTTTTTTTTTTCTTTTTCCATGTCATCACGGTAGACGGTTGGGTTTCTAAATGAGGGCTTTTCAAGGCGTGGAGTGGGAATGAATTATAATTCTCGAGTTATTCTTGACATTCATAGCTCTTGTTCTGGCGTTTGATTTTATTTGTATTTGATTTCAGGGCTCATTCTTCGCTGATGCAATCGATATCCTTTGCGCTTCATGTCTTGCATCGACAAATAATAAAAATCATTCTCGAAACGAATTGTGGCCTCAAGGGACAAAACCGACACTCTCTGTGAGCCTTTATTCTTCCCATATGACAATGTACTGAAACCAAGTAAAATATTTTGATCGTCCCATTATGAGCAACCAACCCGTGAACTCCTTATTGCATTTAAAACAACCCTCGCCAGGAGAAAATTTGAAAAGGTATAAGAACTCGAATAGCGTCCATCCTCTAGCCGTAGTGGTATGCGTGTTTACTTCTCACTTATCCGTTCCAGGGCCTCGAGCATAACGATGGAGTTACCGCGGATGACCTGTAGTTCCTTAGCATATTCCCTGAGCCGTCTAATGGGGGAGTGTCTTGTCCTTACCACCATGCCGGCTGCAACCTTCTCACCACCTGGCTTCTCTTCGAAAGCCTCGTCCAGGACAAGATTCATGAAGACCTGTAACGCCGATGTCAGTCCCCAGTCCAGCATGTATTCCTAACACTAGCACACGCATCCAAGTCCCGTAATTGATATAACTAACAAAGGAACATCGGAGCGACAGGAGTTCCACGTACATCGTAGCCTCTCAGAATGCCAATGACTTTGCGGTCGCCGTTAAGTTGGCAGAAGACCCGCTTCTCCATGTACTAAGCGCGCGCCAACGGTCAGCTCTCTCCTATCAACCAAATATAATGGAATTGCGACATACCTTCTTCAATTCTGGCTGAGCTTGAGGCATCTTGACTTGCCGGTGCTGAATGAATCTTGTTGCTGTTTCTTGTCGCGCCGCGGACTTTGAGACGTGCGGTGGAATAAGCTGGGTCGGAGAAAGGATATTCCCGTAAGCTCCAAAAACGCGGAGCTTCGGTGACGACAGATAATGGGATTGCTGCTCTTTTGGACTATTCTTATTGGTGTCTTTCACTAATTTGTGCTCTTTTTATATTCGATATGAGCTTTGTGAACCGGAGAAAACCTCGCAAGATTGGCGGCGATGATGAAGAAAACGATGAAGGTGGCGGACAAGGTTGGTTGATTGATTTAGAAATTAACAGGAACATATGAGCTAGAAGCTAATCAAATACATAATCAGAACCAGTAGTGAAGCGGCCGATAAATCCAAAAATGAGGCAGAAATCCAAATCACGCCTATCTTTCGGTCTCGGGGGTACATCGATGAACGACGATGCCGAACAAGAAAGGGAGGTTGTCTTGCCTAAACGGTCTGGTCTCGGAAGACGAGCAGTCGAGAAAAGCGCGGCCCAACGAGGTCTAGCATCCTCTGGACTATACGATAAAGTACAATTCAAAGTTGGATCGGAACAGGACAGGCCAAGCTATAGTGAAGATTACTTAAAGGAGCTTCGGGAATCGACGCCTGTGACGCCGAAGAACATGACAGAAAAGGAGGAGAAGACGGTTGATGTGGCTGCGAAGTTTGGGGAGGTCATGAAGGTGTCAGCACCATCGGCTATTCCCAGCGAAGCGGAGATCAGAGAGAAGAAGGAAAGGCGCTTACGGCTAGCCAAGGAACACGGCAATGGGGCAAAAGAGGAAGATTATATTGCATTAGACGATGCCGCGCAGGTTGATGAGTGGGATCCAGAAAGCCTTGGAGAGGAGAGGGACACCCGATTGCTCAGAGACGACGAAGACTTTGCGGAAGGTTTCGATGAATTCGTGGAGGATGGTCGAATTTCTCTTGGGAAGAAAGCAGAGCGCGAGCAGAGGCGGAAACAACGTGAAGAAATGAGGGAACTGATTAACGAAGCTGAAGTACCTTCCGACGAGGAGGATTCGGATCTCGAGGAGAAGGCTGCCTATGAGGCCCACCAGACAAGGGCGGCGATGGGTAATGGAGGATGTGATCGAGTAGATCGACCAAGGACTCCGCCTAAAATGGCTGCGATTCCGCGTCTCTCGAACAGCATGGATCGTTTCCGTACCAACTTTGCTGTAATGGAGAAGTCAAAAGCTCAGATGATCAACCGCATGGAAGACCTGAGGAAGGAGAAGGCAGATATGGCTGCGCGCGAAGTGGAAATACAGACTCTGATTAAGGAGGCCGGTGACAACTATGAGAAACTCAGGTTGGAAGCTGGACTCACGCCCGATGAAACATCTGAGATGCAAAATTCGCGAGGACTAGAGAATATTGGTGCGCCAATGGCAATAAGTGCTGGCAGTTCTGAAAGCGAGCCCTGATAGGCTGGGAGATTCTTTGTCCATCGCAATTGCCCCATGGGTTCTCATCTTGACTCTTTCCTAGTTGAAACTGCGGGCTTGCTTGGTTTCGGCCGGCTCTACAGGAACATCTTCATGATCGCCAACAAAAAAAGATCGCAGAAACCAACTGTTTTGATATGATACCCCAATGAATTAATCTTGATTTTTTTCACTTCTTGGGTTCCTTTTAATATGCCCGGGTCACCATTCTTTTCTCTTTGTCGGAAACCCCGGCGTAGAAATACACACAAAGATCATACAAGAAGGTGCGTCAAGAAGCCATCGAGGGTATCTCGCAAACTCATCAAACTCAAGACAGCAGTACGGTCTGCGCTGGTTCGAGAGCCCAATTGATGAAAAAGGACAACTGTATCGGCATTCAGACGCCACTCCAATCGAACTATTTTTTGACTTGTTCTTCGTCGCTAATCTATCGACCTTTACTGCCACGCACGAAATCAACAATGTGGAGGGTACGTGGTCGCTCTACTGGAAAGAAATCTTACCAACGGAAAATTCTAACTGCAAGGCCAGCTTTGGGGGCATATATAGGTTTCCTCGGGGTGATCTGGTTTACCTGGCTCCAAGTGACGCTCTTCGACGTACGGTTTGCACGAGATTCGGTTTTCGAACGAGTTTGCAAAGCGGCACAATTGGCTGTCATGGTCGGATTTGCTTCGGCCGGGACACGGTTTACGACTCGAGTCCAAGGTGATAACGTCTGGGCGTTTCAGTCGCTGAGTCTGCTATTGGCCGGAAGTCGGACGCTGTTAGCGATACAGTATACCTTCAACCGTCGCTTTTTTCGTGGAAGGATGGAGAATACTGCCAGAGGCATGAAACATATCGTCGCAATTCTTGGAATTTCCAGCGTTGCCTATCTCGGAGTAAGCCTATTACCACCCTATCACCTTGATATCTTGCTCATATTGCAAACCCGTTTGCAGCTGTTCTTTGCCTTCAAGGAACGAAACGGTGTTCAGACCTACATATGGACCGTTTGGTTTGCGGTATTTGGATTCGAGATGTGGATGGTGATGGGAATATCCGGCGCCACCCCTCATATAGGTCTCCAAGACACACATCTCAACGTGCGAATGGGACTCCTTACGTTGATCATCATTGGAGAAGGCGTCATAACCATCACCAGAATTGTGAACAAGACAGTACGGCCTGGCGGTTGGACCAAGTGGTCGTTTGTCCATATTTTGGGTGTCACTAGTAATGTTGTATGTCTCGGGTGGCACTTTCCGCTGGATAACCTTTATACTGATGTCTCTCTTTCTTATTTTAGTATGTTTTATGGCAGGCATATTTCGATGTTACGCCACGAGATGCCTTTGGGAAGATCACACAGCAACTGTGGGCGCAGCTTCACTATCCTTTTCACGTAGTGCTGATCCTCCTGCTTGAGGGATCAGGTATTCTTGCTTTGACGCTGGACATAACGTTGAAAATCACTTACCTGACAGAGACGATCCTGTTCGCCTGCGAGGAACCGCGACCCAACGCTGAACGGGCCATTAAGCTTCTGCGAAGTACTATTGCAGATATGGAAATTGATTACAATCGTGGGGCCATCAAAGAAAAAGCAGTGATTTCGGCCATTTTGGAGGACCTACCGAACCGGCCGTTGTGTCCAAACAGTACTGCTGTGGCTCTCTATTCTTTGACGGATGATCGGATCGACGATCTTGTGGGAAATGTCACGGCGGCCCTGTTCTCCAGTATGGGGCTCAATCCGGCCGAAGGAACGGATATCAGTCAGCTGAACAATGTTCAACTCCTACGAATGTATATGGAAGTGCTGGGATTTGTGTATGTGTATTACTTTATAGTCGCCTCGTTGGCAATGTTTCTCTTTGCGGCTTTTGTGGTACTAGCTCGCCGCCACACTCGCAAAGCGTATGTTGCCGTTGGGGTTGCTGTCCGCATTGTCTTGGCCATTTTCCTTTGCGGGTTGATCTCCTTTGCGAGCCATTTCCGGTTGGCATACTCCTTTATGACGTCTCCGACAATACTCTACGCTTTTACATTTGTTTTATTGTTCGGTATGCTTCGTCTGCCAATTTCCTTCGCCCAGAGTTTCTAACATTATCATAGTACTTTTGGTCGACCGACTATTGGATTACTTGGGTACTAAAGAGGCAATGGGCCGGCGGATGCAACCGGGTGAACGGGGGAGTGAAGGAGAATCTGGACGGGAGGCGACACTGATACCGGCGACGTCCGGGGGGGTGATTATTGATTCACGACCACCATCCTGTCCGCCATCAGTCAGAGCACGACTTAGTGAACGGCAGGATCAATTAAGTCCAGAAGCACTTAGTTGAAGTGACATGTCACCCTAGGGTCGTGTTAAATATTCGCGGAGGATTGAAACTATGAGTATCTAGACTGGCGGCCAAGCTTCTAAAGAATTTCAATTAGTATACTTGTTGTATACAGACAGCAAAGGAGAAACAATAAAGTGGGATATGGCTTCAGACAAACGTACCTTTCCAGAATGACGGATCATTTCCAGCGACCAAAGTTAATTTTCTTTTCTTTTTATGGACTGAAGAATTGATTCGTTTCGTTTTCAATTGTCTGGAACCGGAAGCTGGTCACCTGCTTCCCCGTGCGCTGCTGCTGCTGCAAACCAGTTGAGGCGGCTCGTGGCAGATAACGAGAGAGTATCTGATCATGTACAAGCAGTTCAAACCGATATCTTCGCCAATTCCGGGGAACTATTGAATAATACGATCGCGCTGTACGTCCCCTATGTACATACATCCGTACTCACTGCAGTGCGGGAATTCCGGATGCAGGTACTTGTACGTAGTTGAGAAGAATATACATCATCCGGGCATGAATTTATAGGCCCAACGTGCTATTGGCTCGTGTTATGCTTTATTTGCTTTTTCCGATGTATCGTCTTTCATTTTCTTTGTGCAAGCAAGTAGCCTTCGGGGGAGGGGATCCGTGGATGGGATGGTATGCCTGATTGCTTGATCGATGCAGGAGGCAAACATCCCGGTCTACGCAGGTATTATTATAGGTGTCATTATGGGCTACGGGCTGGGTTGGCAGGAGCCGACATCTGCATGCAAGATGCAATGAGAGTTAGTATGCAAATTCGCAGTGTGTTTATGGACGGATTATGAAGTACTCGGCCGTGAACGTTGGCTCTGCTACACGCTACACGGGCTACTGAGTTTCATCGACCAGCACATGCATGAACCTGCAAGTTGACCGGTCAACTGAGAGAAAAAATAAATTGCCTCACAAAGAAACGAGGTAGAAATCAGCACAACGGCTCCGATTTTTCCGGACAGGCCCGAGTCGAATGAATTCTCCGACAAACGTCTGTCAATAAAACATAAGCTCGAAGGTTTAGAATTATTTTATTTATAATACTCTGTGACTACTAAAGTAGAGACAATAACCAACAGAAGGGAATAGAAAGAGCCCAATGGAAAAAGTAAACATGGCGGCAAATGCAGCCACCCCAAATAGGTCATTCAGGAACCCTACTTGCGTACATGCATATTATCGGAGCTCCACCGGCAACTGTCGCTATCCGATGGCCACAATTTGTTTTTGTTTCTTTCTTTTTGTCTGATCGGGGAGACTTTTGCCTCCGTTTCACCATTATACATGATTTTTTCTACGGTTTTGATTGTTTTATTTTGTCTCAGTACTTCTAGACTAGGAAATCCGTGCATATCTCCCGAAACCCGCGGTGAATCGTCGTTCATCTGTCTCTTCACGCCAAGAGTTGATCAACGCTTCCAGATTTCCGGTAGATTTTCTTTTTGTCAATTACACAGGATAGAAGGCAGACGGACATGTCGCCAGATACATAGATAGATACAACACACAGACAACACAAGAAACATGATGCGACTCGTCAATTGATCAGCCACCGATGGAATGGCCAACTAAGGTACAGTAGATCCCGACGCTTCAATCAATCACTCCAGTTCCCGGTAGAGGTCCCTGTTCTTTTTCGTAGAGAAAAATTATGGCGATGTTAGGGGTAAGAGTGACGGGTCCCAGATCTGTGGTTCCGTCGAGAACTTCCTTGTCTGTTTCCATACTTCCCCGGGCCAATATTGTTCGTGATTTGGTATGGAACGAGGGGGGATCTACTTCCGTTCGATAGTTTAGGGTCCAGTCTGTTTCTTGAATCGAGGGGATCTGAGCTTTGATCTGTATAGGAGAGGAGAGGTAGTGGGTGATCACCCGGGGTTATGATAGAGAGGGTGGATGATAAAAGGCCTTGCCTGTACTGCTCTGTAGGTTTTTGTTCTCCATCTCTCCATCATCTCCAACTTTGTCGTTCTTTCTATTCTTTTGCTTTCTAGTTAGCCAACGGTGCATCTCTTCAGTCGTTCCCATCCTTACCTGCATTGCATCTGAATCAGATCTCTCATCCATTGAGAAATCAACTGCCATCAGCAACCCACCTACCAACAGAACGGCCGCTAATCACAGTCTCACTCAACCATCCGAACCAACAGGTGAAACACCTCCATCTGCATCTGCCATTTCGTCAAGTTTTAGAATAGACTGCTGACAACCCAAAACATGCAGGTCATCTGTTAAGCTTGACAGCAACGTGCAGTGAAGACCCGGGAATCGGCAGAATTCAACTACAGAGATCCATCAGCAAAGGCATCTTGTATACAATTCATTGATCAAGAGCGGTGAAGTCGCCTGTTTATATCTGGTTGGTTCGTCTTCACTTTTCTGTTTACCTGACAACTTCTTCATCACATGAATGGCCTCTAACATTCATCAACAGTCAACGTTTTCATCCATCTACAACATGGACAACGCGACGAGACAACCAATGGAGCAGGACCAGATTCAATACTGGCCTGAGTCATTTGCCATCCACCAGCAACAACAGAAATATCCATCTTCGCCTCTTCCCAATGATCATACCCTCGCCCATCCTGTACCTAAAGCGTTGCACCTCCAGAACAGTAATTTTTCTATTTTCGGGCACGATGAAAGCAACATCTATCCAAAACGTGAAGTTGTTTCCCCTATGACAGGTGAGTCGTTATTCCTTGTTTCAAGAGCATGTTGATACTAACGATACCCAGGATCCAACCACAGCACAGAAGACCTCAATCTCTTCAACACACAGAGCTCCCCCAATAGCTCCGTAACGACATTCGATGAACCTTGTTTCACTCCAATGTCTAGCACATTCAGCACCATGAACCCCACATCGTGGGCTTCATCGTCATTATCCTCAGCTTCCTCGACCTCTTCCTCGTTTTCTTCACAGAACTATCATCATCAAGCATCAGATGCAGCGACAATGGGAACATGGGCCAACGTCCCTCACTATCTGCAACCCTCGAGCCATCATCTTCCTCAAGCTATCGACGCAACTTGGGATGTAGCTCAGCCGACAAACGAGGATATGATGATGTTTAACGGGCTGCCGTGGCTGGACTTCAACACGGACGAGATCCCCACATACTTCACCAGTCCTGTTCCTGAAGTTACAGACCACAAAGCGATGTCCTACCCTTCATTCACTCATCAGCACCAGAACATTCAACCGCAACCACTCCAGCCGCAGCTCCAACCTCATTTCTACACCACGACCCCAGCCACCACCACGACCGCTGCTCCCCGATCAACGGCTCCAACTCCTTCCAGCACCCGAAATGCATTCTTGATAGAGTGTAAACGCAGGGGTCTGTCTTACAAAGACATAAAGCGACTAGGCGGATTCAAAGAGGCAGAGTCAACTCTGCGTGGTCGTTTCCGTACCTTGACCAAGACCAAGGAGCAGAGGGTCCGCAGGCCCCAATGGGAAGAGAGAGATGTAAGCTTTGACTTTCCCCAGCATACTAAACTGAGCTGTTAGCTAACGGACGACAGATTCAACTGCTTTGTGAAGCTGTGAGCATCCTTTCTTCCGAAAGGGGACGCCACACGTACCGGCGGAGCTTCAAGCACAACTCTCTGTGCCGAGGACAAGGGTGTGGTTGTCCTGCCCATCTTCATACTGCGGATGCAGATGCAGGTGCAGGTTCCGAGAGTGGAATTCCCAAAGTGTCGTGGAAGAAAGTGGCGGGTTATATTTGGTTACGCGGGGGATCGTATCATTTTGGCAACGCCACTTGCAAAAAAAAGTGGTGCGATGTTCACAACATTGAGCTAAAATAACAGTGTTCGTTCTTATGGTTTTTATTGTCATAGCGAGCGGGAATTTCCTTTGTCTGGGGCGGGTGGAGTTTGTCTCTATTTAACATGTCTAGGCGGATCATTCTATTATATAAAGTTAATAATAAGTCATGTATCTATATCACACGAATATACATAATTCAAGCATAACTCCGGGATATCTACAGCGAGGCCCTCCCCCCAACTGGAAACCCAACCTTCCCCAGCACACCCCCCAACACATCCGGCGTCTTCAACTCCTCCCACTCTCCCTCCATCTTTACCATCAACGTACCCCCTAAAACCGTCCCATTCAGCGCAATAACCCCCGGCTCAACGATCCCCTCCCCCTTCGCCTCATCCTTCCATTGTATAGAAATCGTGGCATTCTCACTCTTCCGCGGACAAATCATCATCGCAGTCTCAGTCATAGCAAGGTTATGGCTGATAGCCGCGGGGCCGTGGTCTTGGATGCTCAGCTCAGCGGGGTTCTCAGAGACCTCGGTAGTAGCTGATACAGCCGCTCGATAGAGCGAGAGATATATGGAATGCAACATCTCCGCAGACGGATTTGTCGGTATCGGCAGCACATAATGCGCGAATGGGAGACGGTCGTCTGTCAACAACCCTTCACTCTGCGACTGCGATTGTCTCTGGCCCTTGTTCTGACCGCGCTCAACAACAACATCGATCAAAGGCCTCCACCCCTCAATACCAGCGCCCTCATACGTCCGCTTCATATCCTCAATGGGGAGAAACTGTATATGTCGATGCGGTTGGCTCGCACCGCTTTCAGGCCCGGAGTTGAAGAACGCGAATAACCTCCTCCCATTCCCCTCCCCATTATCGCCATTATCATCCCAAGCCTTTATACAAGTATAACATGCCTCTAAATCCCCCTTCTCCAGCAAATCCGACTGACTCTTCCACTCTTTCGTCGCGAGGATAAAATGATTCCTGATAATCGGGAATTTATTCAGCACAACCCAGTACCCCTGGCTCCCATTATCTGTGCCAGGGGTATCTGTTACAAGTAGCCCCGGCGATGGGTTATCAAACGGATCCGGTTTCTTGCCCTGCCGTTGTGCTTCGGTTTGTGCGGAGTCGACAGGTTTAGGGAGGGCAGAGGGTTTTTTGGCGAGGGAGGGGCAGTAGCGGAGTTGGTACTGTTCATTTATCTCACGGTCGCATTAGCAGTTGTCTTATTTGGTTTCTTTATGAGTGACGAGAGGGCAGGTGAGGGCGTACCGATATCCCAGAAGTCTGTATGGTGGTAACCTGGGTCGGGGAGAAGACAAGATGACCGCCTTCTTTTGCTGCTGCGAAGCGTTTGGCGACGAGGGTAGAGAGGGATTCTGAGAGGGCTAGATGCATTTTGCTGTTTACTGGAGTATTATTTTCAATGAATAGGTTCTTCGAGCAATTGAGATGTGTACAAGTGAAGTTGGGACAAGGTTACGGAGAGAATGCGGGGCATTGTGATGATTCCACGGCAGAGGTGTAGTTGTCGAAGTATAATAACTCAATCCTACATATACAGGATTAAAATGCGCAAGAAATATGTATAAGTAGATGATAGGCTTTTCATTATTCGGACCAAAATATTTTTCTTGTGTTTCCCTCGGATTACCAACGCCAAACACCAACCAACATATGAAGTAACCCATTTTCTCACAAGCAAAACTCAGTGGTATCAATTTCCCAAATACACAGATTTCTCATAATACAATATGCAACAAATGGAAAAAAAAGAAAAAAAAGAAAAAGAAACAGAAAAGCAAAAGAAGCATCAAGTCCTCATTATCTCTTCCAAATCAACCTCTTCCTCAGGTCGACTGAGTCCGGGTAAGAGCATCGCCGGTTGCCCGATGATTCGCGTCGAGGGTCCATTGGACCATGGCCCCCGCTCTTCAGCGGTAGCGCTGAAGACACCCTCAGCGCGTTTCATGGTCTCAATGTCGAGGTCGGTGATGTATGCATCGCGGTTGGTGCCATCGCCTGCTCCGCCAGGGAGTTTGACGCGGACCTCGAACTCATTGTCAAGCATCATCTCATCCTTCCATAGACGGCGTGGACCGTCGAAAACGCAGAGAACGCGCTTCTTCGTCTTCATGCTGCTCGATGGACACCCCCAGGACTGGGGGTAGAAGTCCCGGTTATTCCGCCGGCGCGAGACCATCGGGCGAAGCTTATTGTTGCTGCCACTAATATTTTGTGTCGAGTGCTTTGTGACGGCATTCTTTCCAAGGGTGGAACGCGAGCTAGAATTGCCTTTTGTGGACTTGATGCTGCCCTTGCCAAACTTCTGGTTCGAGGTAGGAGAGTCATCATCTTCAGGTTGAAAACCGGTACCAGCCGGGTTGTCAACCAAATTGTGCTTCTCCATGGTCTTCTTGAGCTCCTCGTCCGAATCCATCTCCGCCAACCGTTTCTGGTTAATGGCTTCGCTGGGCTCCTCCTGCTGCACCACGCGGAGCACACAGTCGTCCAAGTGCTCGTAGAACTCCTGCGGGTTGCTGAAAGTACCCGTGCAGGTCGAGCATTTGCCAGTGGAATCACTGCTGTACGCCATGGTACTCTTCGAGTTCGAGTTCTTCTTGCGACAGTTGGGAGGGGTCTGCTCGACACCATGCACAGAGGTCAAATGACGCTTGAAGACGTCGGCCCTGTTGAAACTCTTCTCCGCAGGAGACCCTGATCCCGGGCAGAACCCGCAGACCATGGTGCCTTTGTAGTGGGTAAGAGTGTGACGGTTCTTGTCGTACTTCCGAGCGAAACCTTTGATGTGGTACTCGCAGTTGGCAATCGGACACTTCTCGGGTCTCTCAGCCTGATGCGTGAGCATGTGGGCCTTCAAGTCTTTGAAGGGCCGACCGCACTCAGGATGCGGACACCGCCCCTTGGTATCATCGTCAACACTACTAGCAGAAGGACTACGGCGAGAGCCGCGGCTGTGGGTGGAAGAGGCAGAGGATCGTCGGTTGTATATGGGCTGATAGGGAAGATTGGCAGGTAGCGTAATATGTGACGAAAGAGGCTGTTTTGACTCCTCCGTCTCGTTGGTATCGAGGCTCTCCAGGGTAGGGAGAGGAGATGCCTCTTGTGATTGTTGCGCAAAGACTGGCTGACTCATGGTGTAGCTAGGTTGCTCGGGATAGGTGACGGGAGAGGAGTTGCTAGGTTGGTGAGGAATGGGTTGGATCCAGGAAGGGTCTGCTTATCATTAGCAGGGTTCCATCAATTTCAATACATGGCAGGGAAACTAACCGACAAAGCTATCTGCACCCTTCTTCTGGTAGTAGGTGTCTGCGTCCAGGGTGTTGATCATCTGGTCATTGGAAAATAGATCACCCATAGCACCAGCAAGACTAAGACCGTGATTTGTATCCATCCAGCCTTCCTGAATGCCTTGTGTGGAAGAATACGGAGAGCCAACGGCAGAAGAGGATGTACTAGCAATCGATGGAGCTGAAGCACTAGGCAGAGAAGGCAGAGGCTCGGGAGCCTGAGTAGTAGCCGGGGGTGAGCCCGGAAGAGAAGGGAAACACGGCTTCTGGATGTCCTCGGCGTATAATGGTGGCTCGTAGTATGATTGCGTTATTCTTGTTGTGTCGTTGCTCTGGCCAAATCCACTCAGGTTGTCAATGGGGAAAGCGAAGAGGTCGACCATTGAAGGGTCCATCGTAGGGTTCTGGAAGTACGGGGCTTCCTGTTGTCTCGAGGGCATTACCGCCAACATGGTGTAGGTTATAAGGGTATCTGTCGGTGATGCGCTTGGATGCAGGATGTGAGGGAGAGAAGGCAATGGAGAGGGAAAGGTGCGAAATGCAGTTCTACAGCAAGCAAGGTATATCAGTTTTGCTGCCTTTTCTAGTGATGGGGTATGACAGAATGGTGCATACCACTACTCCAATTGGCCGTAAGATAAGGTTCCGTCAAATCGCGGGCCGTCGAAAGGGGGCGGAACGTGCCAGAGAGTCTTGGAAACCCGGTATATATAAGGCGTCGACGCAGCAAGGGATCTGGTGCAGCAGGAATGCCGGAAGCTCTAAATAGAGCAATTGGCGTGGACGGCTGCTAGAGATGTATTCCAAAGGACAACAAAAGGTCAGGGAAGCTGTCTGGTTTGGTATTCGGAAGAATTTCTGAGGTAGGATTAAGGAAGAGGAAAGACAAATAGAGCCACAATTGACGATGAACCTCTGGTCAGGAAGAAAAGAAGTATGCAAGGACGGAGAATTAGGCGGTTAGGAAGACAGGAATGCAATGACATGCGAGAGGAAGAAAAGAAAAAGAGATACAGAGAGGAAGATGAGGAGCTTAAAAAGAAAGATGCGAAGGTGGAGGAGGGAAGCAGTATTAAATGATGCCCATGAGAAAGAGAACCTACTGTTTTCGGGCGGGTTTGGTATTGTATTTGTATGGGATCTGGAAACTTTGTGACGGGCGCCGGAGCCTGACTCAAAGCCACTCTTATCCAGCCTACTGGAGGCCAATTAGAATGGATTGTCAATGCGGATTCAGTGCCGACCGTGTTATTTTTATTATTTATTTTAGTGTATGTATGTATTTTGTACGGTATCGTATCGATGGACTTTTTGTAAATAAAAAAATAATAATAATAAAAAACCACCCCACAAGCTAACCCAAAATGAACAAGGGATGTGGAGATGCCGGACAAGCAGGGACAGGGCAGTGAACGCCATCTACCGTGATAGAATCCAGTACTCTCTACAATAAACATGAGAAGTAAATCAAATCACCATACTTATTACAATTATTGACGCAATATCACAACTATATTCCAGAATAATACACATTATTTGTAAAAGTAATGGAAGGAAAAAGGGTGTTCATGGACTTGGCGGGAACGTCCCATCACTTCGGTTCTGACAGTGGCTGGCTGAAGAAGAAGCATGGGCCTCAATCGGCCCTCACCTCCGTCGTCATTATTCGTACTATGTATGTATGGAGCAAATCAAGGCACCGAACTAGACTCAATACGGTAGAGATCTTGAATCCTCTCCGATGGACCGTCCATCCCGAGCAACTTCACCATGGGCCTGGGTGTCGATCGGAGGGGCTCTGTCCCCACCTTGTCTCCACTCAGAGTTCCTCTGATTTTTCCCCTTTCCAGTATCTTACATGGGCCTGGTCCACCAAATTCTCACATTATTGGCGGAGAGGCCGTGACGGACGTGACGGGCCTCCAGGGTGCTCGTGCCAATCAACGAGTGCAATGGTGGGAAGCCCGTGCGACTGTCATATTTACTTTGTGCTCGAGGATTACAGTACCATAGCTCCCTCCGGTCGAGTCAGTTCTATCGTCTCACATAACCTTGTTGATACTCTGTAAGGATGAATTCTTGTGCAACATTCACCATCCTGTTCAGACCTGTTCAGAGCCGAGTTAACGTCCTGTTGTGCAGGTCATCCGGATATTATATGATCGATCTTCATTCCTTCAGATTTCGGGCAAGATATCATCTTGTCATGGTATTACCCGACAAACATGTGGTTGTTCCCAAAAGAGACGCTAACAAAACTAGCAGCGAATATCATGTCAATCTTCAGATGATTGCCCGAAATATTGACACTTGCATCATAATTTTTTTCTGCAGCCCCATCGACGTACTGTATCGACGCTCTTCTCCGTATTGGCAAATCCTTCGCTCGGTGAAAAAAAAGAAAACATGAACAGCCACAGTTTTATTGCGCCACAAAAATAGCCTCTGCTCTTGTGGGTCGTTCTGTCATCGGTGGTTCCGGCATCCGAGCATCCCCGTGTGGCGCAGTTGTTGTTTTGATGCTGAAGATGTCATATCACGGTTGGATCTACCATTCTGGAATAATATAAACAGAAATGAAATTTTTTTATTACTGCTCGTCTACTTCGTACTGTATCATGCGCCCTGACCGAATATTTCGGTCACTAGCCTCACTTACCTCGGTCGCATCGCTCCTACTTTCCCGTCTCCTGGCGGTGACGGCTGCGCTGCATTCTTTGACGGGCCGGCCAACGCTGGTACATATGATATATCAATCAGATAGATACGATATACGTTGGGCCACAATTTTCCATCAAATTGCGGGTCAACTGCTTCCGACCCATGTGCTAGTTTAGTTGAGTCTAGGAAAACAGAAATGTTCTTCTTTCTAAATACGGGGAGCTTTCTATCACCAGATCAAGTCGTATGGGTCTGTCGATATGACAGCGGGACCCGCTAAAGGAATATTCTGGATTTTCCTACAGAACACCAAATAATGTATGTTGAATAGGAGTACTGAGACAGAATAGATTAAACCTCCACAGGCCACCTGTCATTATTTGGATCTACAAGGTACATGATATTGCAGTATGTACGCATATCACGGATTACCCCGTATTACTTGTACAAGTATTTTGACGTTCAAATACCAGTCCAAATCGGGTAGATATGCATGATCGGCCTCTCCGACGCTACCAGACTGCTTGATAATCCGTTGCATAATAATCATTAGCCAAGTGCGAAGAATTTATGCCATCAAAATTACTGTAGTACTTTTGGCGCTTACGATCATCTTGCGCAAGTCGGCATGATATCCAGATCCCTGGTTCCATGTGCCAACTCGATAGACTCAAAGCCTATCGTGTCTGTTCCATGGAATGAACTCCTCGGATCATAATATCTAGATCCTGGTCAGAACTATATTTACGGAACACAAACTCGGCGGAACCCATCATCCGAATCGATAATCACATTCCATCACAAACATGATCTAGATCCAATGTAACACTCCATCGTCTCGAACCTCCCCAATTTGGATTTCCTCATTCGCTGACACCCCCATCGATTTCGCCCCTGTGAGACCTGTTCTCCATGGATCGATTCGTCTTTCCCCGCAAAAGTCTTCCACCATTCACCACCATCCGTCACCTGTTTACTGTACTGCGAACCTCTTGCTGCCTGTTAAAACATTGCTTGGGCCCCCCTCCTCCTCTGCAAGGACGTGTCACACTGTAACCAAGAGTGACATATGTATGTATATTGCAAAGCGAGGGTGACGTACATTCAACCGGAAATGGACCATCGTTTCCTGGTTTTCGGGGCGACTTTGTGCTTTGGAATGAGGCGTTGTGGTCGGTTATGTTCGTAATTTGTTTCCTGATTTGTCAGTTTGCTTACTGTAATGCGTGTTGTGTCTATTTGTATGCAGGATGCTGTGTAATCTGTGTAGATAGGTTTGTGTGGTTATTTTTCGGACCAGGCTGCATGACAAGTGTTATTGGAATGTCAATCTGTATGTACGAGCACCTGTATGGCTTGGTTACATATATGCGCAGGGCTGCAGTTTGGATAGTGACTGAGAGTGAGCTAGTTTGGTGGGATGCGGAGTCGATCATGACTCGGCTCTATTTTAAATGTTATTGATACTGTTAAATTACTTCATCGTTATCTATGCTAATACTTGTTCATAGGTTCAAACTAACTGCGAAGCAAGTATTAATGCACTATGCAACGTTGGTCATCCGTGCAGCAACATGGAGCCTCTACGTTTCGGCATTCATGATCGATGATTGACCGAGCATTGAAAAATGAAAAGGAGCTAGGTCCTCCTCGTAACTGGGTTGCATCGTTCGGAGCACCGTGTTCACCCCGAAAGATACTTCCTAGCTCTGCATAAGAGACCGTTAGTAGCATCGCTCGACTCGAATTGATTTTTCCCTAACCGCGATCCAGCCAGCCTTCATCCCAGATACCCAAATAAGCGCCCCGAAGCCCCGCACATGTCTCCCCCTCTTTTACTCTAGCAAGGTAATCAGGTCACATGGCGTTCCCCTGCATTGGCCTTAATGCAAAGCTCATGCGCCACGTAATCGATTCCTGCTCGCCTGTTTGCTTGTCTACTCCGTACTTGACTGCTCTCTATCGCATACCCATGCCTCCATAGGTAATTGGACCGTGCCCTGGCCTTTCCGACGGAAATGGCTCGGCTCGATCAGGATCTGGGGGTGGCAAGTTCGGGATAATGCCACATGTCAAGCTCGAAGCGGCTGACTGGACACAGCCCTTCTACAAAGCAAACAAAGCACACATACCCACGGGACACACTAGTGTGCAAATAAATTAACATCCCTTTCACCGATCAATAAATGCAAGTTAATCACAAATAGATTATCTTTTTTAATATATAAGCAATGTTTACCTTCGAGATCGATCAGCACATATCTATACTCTGATAGGCTAACGAGTATACGGAGTAAACTTTAATCTTGGGACCAAGTGGGCCTCTTTTCCCGCTCGGTATTAGCCTCGGGTCAAGCCAGCAAAGAACGAACACCTTTCTCCTGCTACTCGTTACGGATATGATTTTCCAAGAGCGCTCTTTCGACAGAGCTGTCCCCGTAATAAAGGAATTATGGGTCCCTGCCGCATTCACTTGGCGAATGTTAGCTCTATAATATTTATAATTTTTGGTTCTGGGTGGAAGCTAATGGCTAGTAGTCTGGAACCGAGTCAAAGAGTCTTTGAGATTGATTGTTTCCATCGAGATTCGGATGGAATTCGGGCTACAAGATTTTCCTTGGTCATTGCGCTAATTTACCGATGCCATGGCCGAGATTCTCTGCCGCTGTGGGATCTTGCAAGGTCTGAAGATGTTTGTTAATATGCTAAATAGATTAATTGGTAATGGTACGTACGAACCTCGTACGGTACTCCGCATACTCCATGCTCAGTACCGCGAACGAGCTATGTAGGAAAGGATCTGATCCAATCGATCGGAAAGCAAACTTACCCTTTGGCCTCTGCATGCTTGTAATTGCACATTATACTATGTACTACTCTGCACTCTGGAAAGCAATGTACAGCAATCGTTAATCAACCACTGCACCGGATAAACGTCGGTCTCTACTCTGCACATGGTAGGTACTCCGCTCTGTCCAGGACTTTCTTCAGAACTCAAATAAAAAATTTTTAAAAAAAAAAATAACTCAGGAAGAGCCACCATCCAAGCTTCAGACACAGGCATACGTCTACATGTCCTAATCTGTCCATCCGCAAACTCTTGCAGAAACGGTCTCCACAGATTCACATCCAATAACCTAATAAAGCAGAGATGAGTTTACTACTCTGGACAGAGTACGTATGTAGTAATCGTGCCGTGTGTCCGAGACTCCGTACAGCGGAAGGATCCGCGACCCGAAGTCTACCGAGAGGTGTTGAGATCGTGGCTGGTGCGTATACACTAATACTTAGCATGGTAATTGTATGTAAGCATCGGCAGTAGTTACATATGGGTGCTGTGCGCGTAATTTACCATGCTGGTGGAGAACTAAACTAGGAGGGGATCTGTGGCCCATGCGCTGGGGATATATGGTTTGAACCTGATCTTCCGCGTTTTGGATTTTGTTTATGTTTTCCTGTCGGTCATGTTTGTGGTGTAGGGAAGGATGTTGGATTGGATGTCATATATGGATGCCAAATAGAGGTACTGAAGAATTAATGTCAAAAGGTACTAAAGTAAGATAGCCACCATGGTTCGAGAAACGATAAGGTTCATGAACACCGGATGACCGATGATGGAGCGCTGATGTCATCAGATCATCCACCACAAACACGCTACTTGTTTTACTGGTACTTATACAAATTTTAGGCAATAACAGCAAGATCGTGATCCATCTCTGGGAAGACCAGTGCGAATACTGTATCATATACTGATATTATTTCCTTGTGGCGATTAGATGCTTATGGCAACCACACGGAGTGCATGGAACACAATCCTGTATCTTGTACACTGTATCTCTGCATGGATTCATATATATATATTAGTAATATATTCATATAGCCGCGGTAGTAACAGCTTGGATTTGGAATGCAGTATATCCGGCTCTCTAGACATAGACATGGACATGCGCTAGCAGAAGGCAATGAACAAGCAAGTGATATCATTCTCCGCACAATGACGAGACGGCAGATGCAGTGAACTCTTTCGGGTATGTCCAGCAATCTACATATTGATAACAAATACCCTAAGAGATCTGCCCGCGAAGTCCTACTACTATTGGTGGAATGTCATTGCGCTGCAGTTTACAGATCGTTGTCATCATAACGGAAATAGCAAGGTACAGGTGTAAGTGTACTTGTACTATATGCATCTGTATTATGTACTATGTACTGTATGTAGACGCTCGTCATCATTCCTTTCCTTTGGAATCGGTGCATTGGGTATGTGGCGGTGATGCATCAGTAAGTAACCTCGGAAACGTCGGTACTCGGTCGTAGTCTTCGTGACATTTGTTGCCCGCCTTTTCGCTGCGTGATCCTAGATTCTCTTCACTTACCAAGACATATAGATCACACAATGCGGGTCTTTAATCTCTGGATTCGTGACAGGTGCTAGAGATTAGTCCAGGGCCAGAATTTAGATTATTGAATCAATGCATTCTGGATCCGGATACATACTAGCAGAAAAGACTGCGATGCTGCTTGGCTGGAACTATGGGTTATAGCCATACCGCCCAACTCTCCAAAACATGCTAAACGGGTTATCAGTTGTCATGCATCTATAGAGAGCTCAAACCGCGTCCAAAATGAGAAAAGGCTATTCGCAAGTACTCTTCTAGAATACACCTTCAGACAGTATTCCTACAATATCATAGACGTGTTCCCAGACAGGGAAGATCAAGCGGGTGATGATGACTAGTGTTGCACACACGTCTTAGACCTCGCCCAAACCCTCATGAGGGTTTGAACTTTGGACCTTCCACCCGACCCTCAACCCTCGCTGAACCTCGTGTGGGTGATTCTCGCAGACCCTCATTGACCCTCATTTTCGTAAAATCTCATAAAATCGGCAGTGAAACTCCCAATGTGATTGTCTTCTCCAATTTCTAATTCTGGATTCTTGGATTCTGATTTCTTAATATAGTATACATCATTGTCCCCGTGCTCGTGTGAGTGTCTTACAATATATGGCAGATACTGTTGACTTCCATATATGCCGAGTGATTGATAATGCTCGCTGCTCTAAGTGACCAATCACAGTCTGACTATCCTGCCTATCTACGTCGTACGACTTATGGATGTTAATGAGAATGGGCAGACGTTTATTGATGTTACGGAGGGAGAAGTGTGGTTTTTTCCTAAGTATATGTTGGCTTGGCATGGTTGGTTATCGGGATGTGGTGCTGATGATGATGAAGGGGCGTTCCTCATTCAATTCAAGCCCTAGATGGGATGTTGAGTTTCTGCTTGTTTTTATCACGGGTCATTTTTTGAGGATAACACCTTCCTAGCTTCGCAGGTGTTTGCTCATCAGCCGGTATGTCCCCAATATCCTCTTAAAATGAACGCATATTGATAAATAAACCAACAGAAAGAAGTCCTCACCAAAGACCTAGGCATCCCCATCTTCTCCCTGGACAACATCTCCCAAGACAAATTATACATCTTCCCCGGCACCCCCGCCCCCTCAAACATCTCCGAACAAAACGTAATCACCCTCGCCGGCCTCATCCCCCTCTCCCAAAGCTACACCTACCACCTCTCCCAACAACCCGCACGCCGCATCGCCGGCAGCTCCATCAAAATCATCGACCCCGCAGCCTTCCCTATCGCCTCCAATTTCTCCACCGCAATCGTCATCGTGAACCCGGCGGCATGCGTGAGATCCACTGGCACCTGTCCAGCGACAAATGAATGTTCTCCATTCATGGCCAGGGCCGCGCGACGCTTTTCGGGCCGCCCTTGACAGCAACCACATTCAATTATATGACCGGTGACGTGGGTTACTTCCCGCAGTCGAATAGCCACTATATCGAGAATACAGGAAACGAGAAGTTGGTGTTTTTGGAAGTGCTGCAGGCGGATGTTTTTACGGATATTGCATTAGGGCAGTGGATTGCGAGTACACCGAGGGATATTGTGAAGAAAAAGTTGGGGTTGAGTGATGGGATGTTGGGGATGTTGAAGATAGAGAAGCAGTATGTTGTTGCTGGGACTGAGAAAGGATGTAATTTTTGAGGTGAATGCACAGAAGCATTCAACACTGAATGCGATGAAAACAAAGCAAACTCGACCGTTTTCCACTTGTGGCGCCGGTAACTATGGCAGAATATCTTCCCGTCTTACTATAGATCACCTACATCCACAACCAACCATCGTCCCTTATTCATCCAGTGCTCACTACTTTCAATATAACTCGCTATTCCCATCTTTTCTTTTTGCGTACTAACCACTTTCTGTGTCCTGGATCATCTTTCACCTCACTGCTGTACTGAATTCCTCGCCATCGCCACTCTTTCGCCATGGCTACGAGCCGTGAGGACGTATCTAAAGCTCATTGAATGCATTTTAACATCAACGGCACTTTGTAGACGTGCCCCAAATATTACTTGGACACCAGTGGGGAGCCCTATGTCGGAACCAATGCCTGAGGTTTTCTTGCAAAAAGATGCCGTAGTAAAAATACATCACGTACATCATAAACAAGCCCCGTGCATCGGGTTGAGGATAATCCGTATGCCGTCTACCAGCATTTTATCAGCATAAGGATCTGGCTCAGTTGGGTCTCGGGTATTGACGTCCCGAGAAAGGCAATGAAGAACTTCTGTTACTTCTATAAGAGGGTCGGTTCTATGAGTGGGTTTAATGCCAATGCCGAATTATGATCACCAGCAAGCGACTTGTGCTTCAGTGCTGGAAAAGAAGAGCAAAGCCTCCTGCATGATGTGAGTGAACGAGATCATCAAGCATCCCAGTATTAGGGTTCGTGATGATGTGACTGTAGTGCATTCAGTGATGATGAATCCGCATATTTCGGCATTCGCATGAGCTGGGGGCCCACGTTGCCCACTCCGGGAGTGATGTGTGCAATATACCACCACTACGGGGTCTCTGCCTCCATGGCGGTTTACAGGTGCCAGGAGGCCCCTATCAGTCGATTGACGCGTGAAAAAGACGTGTTTTTCGTGGGTGCTGATTTTTGATGTTCCAGGCGCGGTTTTAGTTCATCTGCTGATGGCTAATTTGATATAGACTTATATCGATCTGTAACTCTCTAGTGTTCTCGAAAGAAAAACTCAATGCGTCAGTAAATAAACTATTTTCGAAGAGCTTACAGGAAAAATTTGACTGGGTTATTAAATCGGTTGATGAGTCGTGGGAATTCTAGCATTCTCCTTTCATTTTTGTATCGACAGTGCTTTAGATAGGCTAGAATAGCAGCTAGAGTTACATTATCGCGGCAGTGAGATAGGTAATAAGTATATAATCCATTGCTACAGTATTTACTTTATGTGGTACCTCGGACGTTCATCGGATCTCGTCGGACAGTCGGACGCGACAATGCTCCGAAGATTTGCATGTCAGTTTACAAGACCTTTTGAGGTGTCTCGCTACCAAAAAAGTTTTTTCTTTGATGGCTAATAGCTTTCGGAAACAATTCAAGGCTTCATATAATCCCGAGGTTAACAAACTCCTTAACTGCATGGCACATTTCTCGACAGAATGACAACGAAGGAACCTGCGAACTTGATGCAATTTCTCTTGCGGCAAAAACGGATCGATCCAAACCAACAAGACGAAAAAGGGCATACACCACTTTCATGGGCCGCTAGAACTCGAAGGAGAAGTGGAGACTGAAATGTCAGCTGTGCTGCTCTGGCTGGCTGAGCTGCCCAGTGCATCACTGCTGAAATAGGGAGGACACGGATATTCCCAGAATGTGAAACTGGCCTTCGTTGGGACTGGGGCAAGTGTCTGTATTGTCGTAGAACACTCATCAGGGTCAGGTGTCTGCAGGTGCTAATATGGGGGTTGATAGTGTTGGAATCAAATTTTCTTCAGCTTTGGCTCTTGAGCCTTCTCGCCCACACATGCTGGTTCTGTTTTGGCAGGTTGACTCAGACCAATGAGCGTATATTTGGGACACGGTTGCGGAGTGAACATGGCACAGACGTTCGTTAACTATACAGGATTCTACTGGCCCGAAGAAAGGAAGAAAGGAAGAGCTCAGCCTGTTCTATTTCCTCTCTAAGAGATATTTCGTCGAGCAGATGTGGGCTTTTCTTCACAAGAATAAAGTCCCGCTCCAGCAACCTGAACCCTTGACTCTCCTTCCCATCAGTGGTCTTCAGAACGGTTCAACATTATGCTTCTTTGCAAGCTCCACATCTTCACATCAGTGATAATCCACAATCAAACTTCCCTTGACCCCAAAGACCGTATCACTCTCCACAAACTTGCTGTCTCGAGAATACAGAGCAGTAATCAAACTGGAATATTGCGGATGTTCGATCATGAAATGCTATCAACCAAACAGCAATCAGATGATAAAGGAACAAGCTAGAACTAAGATACCTACCATATGAGCAGGCCGATACCAATGCCTTTTCAACGTCCTCAACAGTTCCCCCACAGGCCCATCATTAGAAATTGGATACGCCACCGACTTCACACACAAAAACAGAAAATGGCCAGCGTCATTGGCGGCAACCTTGCCACGACAATTGAGAACTGCGTTTTCTTACACTTCGTATTCGAGGTCGTACACGCCATCGCTGTCGGTTTCTCACACGTCGATGAGAGCTCTGCTCACAGGGTTGCCATCTGTGTCTTTGATGTATCCCTGCGCAATGGTTGGTTCGGCTGGTGTGCCGGTCGTGGCGATAGATTTGCTGTATTGTAATGAATGAGCTTCTTCATCGTGGAACGGGCCTAGGACGGAGGACTCGGTTGCGCCTGGGACGGATGGGTATGAGATGGCGTCTACCAGGACTGAGATACCCAGGATATCAGATAAAAGGACGAATTAGTGGCGGACGTCCGTTGATATTTGTCCGACCTGTTACCAAAAGTATCAGAGTTCATCCTCCTTTCGTTCAGAATGCGGCTTGGGGTAAAGGCAACGCACCCTAGTCAAAAACTGCCACGCTTGTTCCCATTCATCAAAATGCAATCCCACATCACGGATATAATCATGCGACACCTTGACCAGCTTCATAATCAGATAACGCAGACGCGGGTTATCACACATCGAGTTGATCTTCATCACGTTCTCCGTGATGTTCTCGATGGTTAGACCAAGCATCGGGGGGAGGGTTGCCGCAATTGCTTCGGGGTTGCCGGACCATTTTGCGCGGGTGGCCTCACTGATCGTTGGACGAGTGCTGTCGTTGGAATTACCCCAGACATGATTTCTTTGAAGGGCTATGGAAGTGGACGAGGAATGGTTTCGGTGGTTTTGTTTCTGGTCTTCTACGACAGCGTGCCAGATCTTATACCTTCACTGAGACGGATTTTTGGGAATATCCATTCAGTGATATTGCTAACTTTCTTCATCCTCACATCATGTCTCCGGGGGAAAAAAAATCACTATGAACTTCTGCGGAGGTGTACTATATTCCAGGTGTTCGCGGTTACTGACGCCGTCGGAGCGAAGCAGCATCCGTCGGGACGTCGGACATACCCAAAACATCAACAGCAACAGTCAGGATACCCTAAACCCTGTGAGCTATTTTACATAACATGAACTCCTTGACCGAGGATATCCTTTGTCAATGGAGGCCCGTGTCCCGACGGATAATCCAAGCAGATAACAGATAAGCATGATGTGAGGGGTTTATCGGTGTAGTACACCGATAGATAGCTATATCTACAAGTATGACTGTAATATATAGTTGTATACATCAACACTGCCTCCATATACTACGCTGTACACATTGTGAAGTATATGCCCTTCCAGAGCCAACATGCCGTTTGATCAAAACATCCTCCGCGCCCGCTTCTGCTATGCCCTCTCCGAAATGTACAAAACCGAAGTCCCATTATACGGCGACTTAGTCGATCTAGTATACGAAGCAGATACAACGGCGCTCAAAGCTCAAAAGTCATACTGCAAAGACACTTGCAACCAGCCCATCGACCCAGATACGATCCTCCCCTCCCGAAACCGCGTCGAAAGACACGGCGCAATCCGCCTCGGTATACCACATGAATTGTCCACCATCCGCCGCATGTTCGGAATCATGGGCATGTATCCAGTGGGATACTATGATCTTAGCATTGCAGGGTTCCCGATGCATGCGACTGCGTTCCGGCCGAGGAAGAGGGAGGCGCTTGATAAGAACCCATTTCGAGTATTTACGACACTGCTTAGGATGGAGTTGTTGACAAAGAGGACTAGACAATTAGCGGTTCGAGCACTGGGGCAGAGAAGAATTTTTACGGAGAGGTTGGTTGAACTTCTTGATCTGGTTGAGGAGCGAGGGTTGTTGAGTGAGGAGGAATGTGAGGAGTTTATCAAAGAAGGACTGGAGACTTTTCGTTGGCACTCGCAGGCAACAGTGACGTTAGAAGAGTATCAGATTCTAAAGAATGAGCATCCACTGATTGCTGATATCGTCTCGTTTCCGAACTGTCACATCAACCATCTCACACCGCGGACAATCGATATCGACCTCGTACAAAGACTCATGCAAGACCAGGGGATGCCTGCAAAGGAACGTATTGAGGGCCCTCCGCAACGGAAGTGCCCGATTCTCTTACGACAGACAAGTTTCAAGGCGCTGGAGGAGACTGTGTATTTCCGAGATGCTTCGTCGGGCGTCTATGTCAAGGGATCTCACACGGCGAGGTTCGGAGAGGTCGAGCAACGCGGATATGCCTTGACGCGTCAGGGCCGGCAGCTGTATGATGAGATTCTACAACGAGTTAATATTGAATCAGCAGAGGCAAAGCCGTCTGCGGCTCAGTATGAGGAGATATTGCAGAGACGGTTTTTGGAGTTTCCGGATGATCTGGACCAGTTGCATTCCCAGGAGTTGGCGTACTTCTGTTATAGGCTGGGATCATCATCAGTCACCAACGGACAACAGAAACCCAAGACAAGCACAAAATTGAGTGAACTGTTGAAAAAGGATATCCTTGAATATGAACCCATTATCTACGAAGACTTTCTACCGCTATCTGCCGGAGGCATCTTCAACTCGAACCTCGGAAATGCATCTCAGACAAAGCAACTAATTCAAGATGCAGGCTCGAATTTGAAGGAATTCCAACGGGCACTGGGTGAATCCGTAAAGGATGAGTTTTCCCTATACGAGCAGATGCAGCGAGAGAGCTTGGAGATCTGTGGGAAGTTGCTGGAAATTGAGATTGAATATGAATGACTGGGATTATATTAATCTCCATGCAGATTTTATACAATAGCCAGATTTTCTTTCAATTATGACCATATTAGTAAAATAACAAACGCATTTTGAATCGAAGACTTTTGGTATTAACATTGGATATTACCCCCTCCACTTTATCTTCTCAATCGCTATCATTGGTGCTCTTGGTGCCAACTCATCAAGTCTGAATAACCCAAGTGCCTGGCTTATCATTGGCGCTGTTTCGAAGGCTTGAGGCCCTTCCCAGGTAGAGCATGCATTCGCGCACGGGGACGGAGTCCTTTAGGAGGTGGGAGGCGCAGTTCCCTTGCTAACAGTTTCCCGTCTTTTTATGTTTTTATGGGACTGTACTGCAGACGCCATTTACCATCCACCAGAATCTGTCGCAAGAACACAGTTCCATTGTATGTGCTCATGAACCCGTAGCGAAGGCCAAGATGGCGCATGTAAAAGGCTGGTTGTGCTGAAGAAAGAGGGAAAAGCTCATGTGAGTTATTGGAGTCCAAATATGCATGACACAAAAGATTTGCCAATGCCTTCTACTAACCCAGTATAGTGCGCAGCATCTCATCGCTGTGGTAATTGTTAATAGCGTCCTCTAACCTGTAGGCATCGATTCACGGCATCTGCAGCTCCCAATGACGAATAGCTTTTCGATGTGATCGAAGATCGCGACATCAGGAATCTCCACCAACAGGGACCTCCTGAGATTTAAACACGTCAGTAAGAATATGTCCGATGTACTCTTGGTACCTGCCTCAAATATCTAGCAAGCTAACCGAATTATCCCGCTTAAAATTTGCGATGTCCAAATAAGTCATGATTTCTGGCAGGAAAGCCTCCGACTGTTACCAGTGTGCCTGGACAATTGACATGTTCAATGAAAATTTTCTGGGTGCATCTAGATTAAAGTGTTGTATATAGGTGCTTATCTATCGGAGTATTGAAAGCGAACTTCTAGGGAAGGGGTTGCTCGGGAAATAGTATAGGGGATGGCTTAATTGCCACTGTATGCGAAGAAAACTTCAAACTGGCTAGGAAGCTAGACGTTATCGTCTATCATCCTGGATATCGGTCCACCAATCTGCCATGAGGGTAAGATTAATATCGGGGTGTTCTGGTCCGAATGTAAACACCGATGTCCACGGAACATTATAGGGCTCAAATTATGCTGTAAAACAAAAGAAGGTAGGGGAGGGGATAAGTCAAATAGGAAAGAGAGGGACGAAGTAGAAGAATGAGAAATGATGACATTTTACATTCACTGCACCAAGCCCATCAAGAAGCGCAACTACATCGCAAAGAAAAAAGATGATAAGTGAATCTTTCTCTAGGATGATGCATTAGGTTGGTTAGCTATACAAGTCTAGTATCTATACATGCAATCATCAACTACCAAATCATTACTCATAAGCCGCCTTAAACCCCTCACTGAACCCATAATCCGTATACCCCTCTTTACCCTGCGCATAAACACCCTCCTGCCTAACCTCCGCTAACGGCAGCCCCTCCCGAACCCTAAACGGCAGGTCCGGATTCGCAATATACGGCCGCCCAAAAGCAACCATAACATCATTATCCTTGTACTCCTCAACAGCCTTCATCGCGGTCTCACCCGTGTAATTACCAGCAACCATAACCGGGCCGGCCTTGTTATAGCTGTCGATCAACGGACGGAGTGATCCGCCAGATGCCTTGGCCTCCGACCCACACAGATGCAGATACGCAAGTTTGAGGTCTGACAGGTTCTCGATGAGATGCGAGAATTGCGGGATAGGGTCTTCCATGCGCATATCCTGGAATCTGCTCCAGGGACTTAGTCGGATGGCAGTCTTATCGTTACCCACGGCCTTTGTGACAGCGCGGGTAACGTCTAGTGCGAAGCGAGAGCGGTTGGGAATAGTACCGCCCCAGGTGTCAGTACGATTGTTGGATATGTCTTGTATAAATTGGTCGACAAGGTAGCCATTTGCGCCATGGATCTCAACGCCGTCGAAGCCTGCCTTTATGGCATTTTCCGCTGCGACTGCATAATCTCTCACTGCGGCGAGGATTTCTTCTTCTGCTAGCGGTCTGGGATAATGCATTTCTCCACTGAACATGCTCTTCATGGGAACATCTCCGCTAGACACAAGGTCTAAGCCCTTCTCCTTCATAAACCCGGGATTCGCAGTACGTCCCAGCGCCCAGAGCTGCATGTATATATGCGAGCCCTTCTCGTGCACTGCATTGGTGACTTCTTTCCATGCGGAGATCTGCTCTTCGCTGTAGATCCCGGGGACATTGGTGTAGCCGCCGTGGCGGGGGGAGATGACGGTAGCTTCGGTAATGAGGAGGGAGCCTGGAACAGAGGCGCGTTGGCGATAGTAGTCTTTTACGAGGGGGAGGAGGGGGGTGTGGGTGTTTGAAGCGCGGAGACGGGTCATGGGGGCCATGGTTAGGCGGTGGGAGAGGGTTGATTGGCCCACGCGGAGAGGTGTGAAAAGTTTAGATGTTGACATTTTGGTGTATTCGGGGTATAGAATGAATGATAGGAAATAATTGATTGCCCAGGTATCCTCCAATATGCCGGCGGATATAAATAGGATGGGCAGTCTGCAATTGTACTAGAGTATTCCGTACCGTACCCTTGGTGCGGACTACCTCCTCCGCATTGATTTCTCAGTCTTTATATTCAGCCAATCAGATTATCTCTATCTCGGGGTTTGGAGAGCGAAACTCCGAGCGACAGTCATCCCCCATCCGCCCGGGTTCCGGGAGCCCACAGCGGAACCCGAATCGGTAGTGGTTCTGATTGGACAGGGGGAGCCAAGAGCGGAATGCTAGACAGTTGTTTACTCCGTACCGGAACTGCAACAACGTATATGGCTTATTGTTTTCATTATTATGCACAAGAATGGAAAGCATGGTTTCCCATAACGGTGTATACGTATTCATTTATAATGTTACCTTGAGCATTCTGAAGCAAAACGAAAGTCAACGGCATAGCTAAAGGATCACAAGTATCATCACATGGATGATCATGCACCATAGTATATACACTCCCCGAGACCTAATTGAACCAGACCCACTCCGGCCATTTAGTCAATGAACTGCAGTCTGATCGTAGTTGAGATCGCACGCATGCGGATTCTTCAAACAGTACTTCGGCATCAACGCTTCAGCCTGCACTCCGTTTGCAACCAGATACTCCCGGAAGTTCAAAATCCGCTGCGTCATCAAGGTCGTCCGCTTGTTTCCCTCGTTATCGCGGTTGCCAGACCACACCAACTCCGCCAGTGCGGCAGCACGTGGCCAGATCTTGCTTGACACTGTCACATCGTCGGTCTGCTCAGTCCACAAGGCAACGGCTGCTCCGATAACGTGCTTCGCTTGCGTTTCGGTGAGGTTGGTCGTAAAATCGTAGTCATAGATGCGCTGCCACGATTTGTACGGTGCACACCACGATCCACCGTTGCCTCCGTAGTTGAAGTTAGGAGTGTCGGGGTCTGGGTTGTCCATGATGTTGTATCGAGGGTCATTGCCAAGGAATCCACCCTGACCACAATCCAGGTATAGAAAGTCGGCCGACGACACAATCACATCGTATCCTTGTGCGGTCAGTTTATCGATATATTCCAGCCCATTGTTCCAGTTCTGCATGACCACGTCCTTGGGTACTTCATTGGCATGCTCATTGGACAGGACGATGTCTTCCCACATTATCAGACGGCGATTGCTGTGAACACTGCGGAATATAGGCAGGGCATGGTCCACCCAGTATTGTGCCAGGTCATTATAGGTACGTGAAGGATCCTCAGCAAACCACTCAGTAACATAGCGACTGTAGTTGAAGCAGTTGGGCTGGATCTCGTCGGCTCCAACATGAAACCACTTGTCAGGGAAAATGCCCGACAGCTCACGGTAAACATCGCCCACGATATCGTACGTCTTGTTGTTCAAGATATCGAGTTGCCCTGGGTTTGGTTCGACCGCAGTGTGGTACTTCCATACATCGTTGGACCACCAAGAGTCGGTGCATGTTACGATTTCCGGATCGACCTGCTGCCATCCAGCAGCCGCATGACTGGGCATGTCGACCTCGGGAATGATGCGGACTCCACGAGCACGAGCATAGCCGACGATGTGGCGCATGTCGTCGTGAGTATAGATCTCCCGTTTCGAGTAAGCGTCATTGGTCATGTTGGGATGCGCGTCGATTTGCGCAGGCCACGACTGAGCATCACCAATGTGCCAGTGCAGGACATTGAGCTTGGACAGGGCCAGACCATCGATCTGCTCGAGCAGTTTGGGAACCGTAATGAAGTTACGCCCAGTATCGATCATGATACCACGGTACGGGTACAAGGGCGCATCCCAGATTTCGACAGGCTCCTCGATAATCAATCCTCCGTGACCGTCAGAGATGATCAGCTGCTGCAGAGTGGTAAACGCATGGAGAACACCCCAGACAGTCTTGGCGGAAATGGAAACACTGCTGGAGCTCTCCGTGACATTCAACGAGTAAGACTCATCGACACCATGTTGCAAATCAGCATGGGTATCTTCAACATTGACATCAACATAAGTCAACGACGGGGAAGGCGCTCGTTTGGCCTTGTGAGCGGAGGGCGTGGGAAATGCGGGATATGAAGCGATGGGAGCCTCTGTAGCAGCAGGAACCCAATGCAGCGAAGAAACAGCGTGCCAGGCTCTATCCCAAGCGTTAGCCAGAAGCTGAGTGTGGGTGTCGTGTGTTAAACGGAGAGAGATACGGCCGTTCAGGTGCTTGGAGCCGGACGATCCCCAGGTGATCTTGCGTGGAGCTGGCAAGGGGTTAACGCTGACTGCTGCGACTGATGAGACAGCTGCAGCCAGAGTCAGTATGGAGAGCTTCATGGCCAAAAAAAACGATGGATTAACAGTGCATGGAGATGGAAGATGTGAAGAAGAATAGATGGGATGGGAGGTGCGGAGAAATAAAGGAGGAAGGCGAGGGTGATCAGCTGGTGATCAGCTGGTGATCAGCGAGGGAAGCTGAGCTTTAGCACCTTCCCAACATTCCACAGTACGGTCCAGACATGCTATTGAGAGACACCAAAACGGCTTTTTACAGCGAAAAACTTACGTGTAACCATAATAGAGACGTTAGGGAGGCTGCACTTCATCCCTGGTCATATTGAGAATGTTCGTTTACTTTGTGGAGTACTCCGTAGTTACTATGCACGCTATACTCTGGGTAAAGCTCGGTTCGTGACTCTGTACTGTACGTACTTAAATAGTAGAAGTAAGGTACATTATATCGACCAATGATAACTCAAATCAGTTTTCCAACGACTTTTCCGTCTCCATCCCTTCGCGAATGCTCTCCTTAATTGCCTCGGCTTCCTGGTCAGAAGGCGCTACGCAGGGCCGTCGCGGGTATCTCCCGTACCCCCGATATGTCTGCAACGCGCTCTTCACCCCCACAAATCCTCCCTTGATAGCGAGCCAATCCGCACGGGCCACAATCGCTTGGAGCTTCTGCGCCTCCGCCACATTGCCGCTGTTGTAAAGCTCCATGACCTTCACGCAGGAGCGGGGGATCAAGTTGGCAATACCAGCAATCACACCAGCGCCACCGGCGATAAGCGTCTGCAGGGTGAAGTCCGAAGAACCGCCAAAGGTAAGAAAGGAGGGTTTGGCCTGCGATGTAATACGGGCGAGCTTGCCGGTGTTGCCGCAGGTAAGCTTGGTGCCAACAATGTTGGGGTGCTGGGAGAGTGCAAGGATATCATCGGACGTGAGGTCGATACCACCAGATGCGCCGGGGAAGTTGTAGATGAGAACAGGGATGGGAGAGGCGTCTGCGGCGATACGGAAGTGGTCAAGCAGGGCCTCGTTAGACACCTGGCCCTTGTAATAGCATGGCGGAAGGATAATGGTGTAGTCTCCTCCAGCCTCTGCAGCGTCTTGACAGAACCGAATTGTTTCTCTGGTAGACGAGGATCCGCAGCCAACAATCACAGGCACGGAGGTGAAGCCGGCAGCGTCGAGAGCTTTACGGGTGTGAGCTGTGACAAGTTTGCGCTCTTCCCGATCGAGGTGGACGGCCTCCCCATTGCTTCCCTGTGTGACAATTCCGGCAACACCAGCTTGGGCGAGGTAAACCGCATGGGCTTCGACGGTTGGGAGGTCCAGGTCTTCATTCTCTTGGAAGAAGGCGACGGTAGGGACGTAAACGCCGGGAATGAGTTGTCTCGTCATGTTGCTGTAGTAGGGTCTGAAATAATTAACTGTTAGCTATGGTCGGAGACAGGTTTATATAGCAGTATAGATCCGGAGAAGCACCGATGCAACCCCGCCCCCACGAGTGTATCGCGATAATAAAGATGCTCCGTCACTGGCCGAAACCCCACGCTGCCAAATCCGGGGTTGCGTGGGATGATGACTCAGCTATCTTCTTCACTCGGCACATATTTATGTATGCACTGTCGTCCTATATAGATGCAGAATTGATAGAGAAAATGTTATAGAATGAGGGGGAGAAAGTATGAAAGTGATGTATTGAATAGAAGTCATGCCATGTATTCCAATTACCAAAGTTACCGTATGCGCCCACCTTAATACGCTCGTCTCCCTGTATTGTCCCGTACCGTAACATCGCCAACTGCTCCTTCGGCCTCAACTTTTCTCTCTCGCCCTTCGCCGGCGACCAGCAGCTTCAATCCCGGGTGAACTCCTTTATTTCTCCGTTATTGGCTTCCCTATACCCGGAAACCCTCCAGATGTAATTCACCATGGCTGTCCGGTCCAGGTCGTCTCTGCATGTGCGACAGGATTCCGAACTGAGTCTGCTTCCTCCGCCCTCAAAACGCCCTCGTATACAACATCTCAATCCCCTTCCTTCGTCTTCTTCGCGCCGTCTTCGTCGTCGCGGCAGTTCGCCCGATCTGCTAGATACCACCATCGAACCCGCTACCACCCCTAAACCTCTCGCTGTCCGTCCCGCCAACTCACCCCTTTCGGCCGCTACTGCTGCTCCGCTACCGCGCGCATCAGCGCGACGACCACGACTCATATCCTCGGCCTCGTCCTCCACATATCACCACTGTTCACCTCCTCCTTCGTCTTCTAATAACCCGAAAACTCCGCATTTCAGAAATCACCATGAAACCCCGTCCACCACTCCCATCCCAGATCCGCGCGAATCCCCCGATCCGCTAGATACCATATCTCCCGCTCCCGCAATTTCCTCCCCCCGACCACGTCCGCCTCCCGCTGTGCGTGAGAGCCGCCACCATCACCCACAGCAACCAAAACAGCAACACAATGTTGAACATAAACCTGCGGAGAACCTCGTGGGGTCAGACAAGGCATCCCGGAACAATGTCGGTCGAAATTCGCGGAGGAACATCAGCGTTCCGCCGTCGGAATCGGAACCGCCGCCAGCGCCAGTTCCAACTCCCGCCCCCTCCGCGGGACGGGAACGGCGGTCCTTGCGATCTCATGACAGCGGACCCAAGTTTAGAAGCGAATTGGCAGCTTATTTCCCAAACTACGATCAATTGCTGAGTCTGGAACCTCAGAAAACGGGTATGCTGCATGCCAATTGTGTCTTTTGTGTCGGCGTGGAACTGACGGGATCGTAGAATTCCTGACCGGAGATACGACGATCCAGTTGATTGACGATCTCACCAAACCTCCATCAACATACCTACCTCTTGATCCGGAATTGCCCTTTGGAAATCCTCTTTCGAAGTTCCACAATTGCAAGATAATACAATTACCGGAACCCGAGGACCACGGTGCTGGCGAAGAAGATCCCTTGAGTGAGGGAGCTTATTTCCGCGCACACCGCAGAGTCGAACGACAGGAGAAACAACTTCGGAACATCGAGCGTGAACGGGCCCAACATGAAAAGCTCCAAGTAGACCGTCTCTTAGAGGAGCTACGAGGTCATGACTGGCTTCGCGTGATGGGGATCACGGCCACAGATAACAAGAAACTCTACGAGCCGAAGCGCGATTTTTTCGTCAAAGAACTCTCTGCTTTGATTGAGAAGTTCAGAATCTGGAAAGAAGAGGAGAAACGTCGGAAATTAGCCAAGGACAAGCCATCCTCACCAGATGCTCCTCCTGAGAACGATAGTATTCGGGATAGCATCGATGTCCAGAGTAACGGTGAACTTGTTGATCCCAACGACGTCGATGTCCAAGCAGCCCGTCAACTCCATCGCGAAGCCCGAACCGCCACATCGGGCAAGAAACCCAAACCCTCAGCATCATCCGAGAAACGCCGCAAATCCAAAATCGCACCATCTACTGCTGACCAGGAACCATCAGAGCCACATCCCTCTCAACAACCTCCACAATCATCACCTCCTCTTGTTCCCGAGCTTCTTCCACCTGTCGAGAGTAAACCCTTCACCTCATTTTACCCCGATCCTCAAGCCCGTGCCGTCGCTCTGGCAAAGGGAACATCCCCTACCAACCGCCGAACCAACCGCCTTCAACATCAAACCCTCGCCTTTGGCCATCCAATCCCAGAGATGGAAGAGCAAGAGTTTGAATTGCCGCCTGAGATTCTCACCGAAGACGCAATTCTGGCGAGCCAGCGAAAACAGAGGCGGATGAGGAGGGATAGCAGAAGAGGACAGGCGTAGCGCAGTATAGTATAGTATCTTCCTTCGTTCTTTCAAGTTCTTTTCGTGTCCTTCGTTCATATTCCTTTTATTTCTTACTTCTTTCTCCCTGGACTGGGTCCAGATCATGCCATTTCTATTAATATTTTTTTTATCTCCTTTTGTCATTACTGGGCTAGCATAGCATCGTTTAGATTAGAGATAGCAATATCGATATTCTTTTCATGTCTGGTATTCTCTGTCTTCCAATATACGCTGAATCTGTGGTTTGCTTAAGTCAAGATTCCGTTCGACTGGACGTTTGACGCGACATCTTCCAAAGTACACTACTATCTTACAATGTCCGCAGACACGTTGATCTTGGATTTTACGTCCACTCATATCCTTGAGATACTAAAAACGTCAAGGTGCGTCATCGATATACAAGATAGACAAAGACGGCATTCCATTTTTGTCTTGAAAGTTGTATGACCATTGCCCTACTCATCTACGGTTCTGATCTAGCAAACTCCTGAATCGGTACCACAACAAGGGCGGCAAAGGCTTCAGCAAATGCAGCCGCAATTTGAACCGCCTCCGCTTCGAACTCAACGCCTATTAGAACCTCAGTTCTCTCGGCGTATGTCGCGAGCCTAGCACGGGGTTGTTCCGTATTATCACGGATACTTCGAGCGGCTCAATCCGGTAGATTTCAACCCTCATATCAAAAGGTTCACGACGGACAAGTATCATCCACCAGTGATATTGCTGAAGTTCCCGCCTGGTGTGGAATAGTTGAATTGCGCGAGCTACTCCGAAGGCTGTATCGAGAAGGCTGTTCGTGGGCTTGGAGAGGTCCATAGGGCATTGGTGCAGCATTACGATGTCTACACGAAAAAAATATTCTTATTGCTACTGGGCAGAAGGAGCAAAATGTGGGGAAAGAGCCGTGTGGATTTATTTTGATGTAGCGATGACTTATCCTTGTCGGGGAGCTATGCCGAAGAAGGTGGGCTATTGCGGTTATGAGAAGAATGTGTTTAAAAGCCATGAGGCGATGCTAGTAGGTTAAATGGTAACCTTGAGCTATAGGGGTGGGTTGGCTAGTGTGACGCGAGGACTAGAATTAGGACTCTCCTGCGAACATGAGGTACTATGAGGGTTGCATGTATTAATATCAACGAACTACTATTGGCTGTATCTGATTATGTGCTGGGACCGGGTTGAAGAAATGATAGTGAGTGAATGGAAACTGCCTTTCACTGATGTATTTGTTCCAACTTAAGCAATTCGTCAAGTCAGTATGCCTCCGCTCCTTTCTTCTCTCTCTCCTTTCAGACTAGCTTTGATACACGCAATAGCAACTAGCAACACGGTAAGGATAAGGGACAGTTGCGTTCTGTATGATCGTATCCGTGGCTTCGACATTAGTAACATCGGTAAGTACAAGGCAAGCTTTAAGGACGATCTCGAGTCATTGCTCCAGTGACTTTATCAAATATGGAGCGCAGGAACAAGCCTGTGCAATTACTGAACACCCCACACCAAGATCGGTGAAACAACCAATTTTGCAAGCACTTTTTCTTCCTAAAACCTACCCTAGCTACGGCCCTTGGAAGAGCGCGAGGCGACAGAATTCGCTAGAAACCTATAAAGCGCTTTTCCGGGAGCTGGGCCAGTGTCAACCTAGTATAACTGCGGACGATCAAGATCCACATAACACATGATTTTGAAAAATATGACGGAATAGAGACAAGTCATGTTAGACAGCCCAACTCAACGGTCAGTGACCTAGCTTGTGTGTATTAACACCGTCGTTGCTACGCTGTGTACCAGACTTGTTCCTTATTCTTGTTGGTGTCATTAGAGACATGAAGAAAGCAGGCACTTTGCTTGTCTATTCAACTGAATGGTTGAAAACAGAAACCAAGGTTGTTCTCCTCGCGAGAAGCATATTTAGATGACCCCTTGTCAGGCTAAGCCAGCAAGCAGTGATTTGACACAGAAAAGAGATTTTGGACATTTTATACAAGAAATGTGGTCAAAGAGACGTATTTGCTGTCCTGAAACTCATCCACAAGAATGCCTGTATGCCCTGTGCACAACGAACAACGAATTCAGATAATATCTTCCCGAGACCTTTCTATAGACGACACCTAGAAGAATGGAAGATACTGCAGAATCAATCTGATAATTCGATGGATTTGGTGCTCAGTGTCTCGGTTCTTTCGCACGTTTGGTTACAAAATTGTCTTGATGAGTATAACAGCTGCCATTCCATGTCCTGGGCTCGCGCCTTAGTCTGCTAGTGCTGTGGAAATTCTGGAAGGGGAAAGCTTTTTGTCCTAGCTGTTTAAATAAATAGCTGTAAACAGAACACTATTTGTTTCTCCCTCGTCCGATTCCCGTGGGATGGATCTGTTATTATTTCGGATGGCTTTTGTCTCTGCAGGTAAATATTCCTGGACTTGATCATGCGCGACCTATGCAGGACTCCAATGATGGTGGGAATCAATCCAGGGCTAGGAAGTCGAGTTCTAGAAGGGTTACTTGGAGTAGTTAGGGCTAGTATGTCGGGATGCTAGACACGAGAATGGAGCCAGAGTTGATATTGCACGCTTCCAGTACAACACAGATGTGGCAATATACAGGGTCACGAACGAGAACTGGCTCTCGTTTGACGCGCCAGTCACATTCCAGCAAGATCTTGGTTACCATCAGACAAGACTAACATGAAAATAAAGCGAAGCGAGTATGCAGTCAATAAAATACAACATCATATTTTTCTCTATAATGTTACCAGTATGAATATAGTATCAATATGCCGTAGATATTACAGTAATAGTTTAACCGACTCCGACGAACGCCAACCTAGTCCATAACTCGGAAACACATGCCATCATGCAATGCACAGCATTATGCAGATGCAGTATCAAGTATCAAAAAAAGAAATTGACAAGGAGAGAAAAAGAGCAAAAGAATTTAGTTGCTTGCAGCACACGAGAAACTCGCGCTGCTGGGATTATCGTGGATGGCTTTTCCGGAGACGTAGAGGCCGAGGCCACACTGTTCACGTTATTAATTTGAACTGATAGTTTTAATACAGGTAGGACGTACCAGGATCGCGCCAATGCCGACGACAATGACATTGAGAAGTGTCAGAGCGATCTTTCTTGGGGAGGAGAAGTACAAGCCCCTGTTCATATGCAGCCAGAAGATCCCGCTCAGGCCATAGGTAAACCAACTTGCGAACAATGCAGTCTTAACTGGTCAGTACGATTTATGTTGCAGAAGGGAGTAAGACGTACAATCAAGCTCAGGAGATTGCTGAACACTGGAATGGCAGAGGCAATGATCCAGGCAATAATCCAGAGGGCCAGGCCGATACCAATCCAGGTGCCAACGGCGATTAAGTCACGCTTGTGCATGCGGTCCGTGCCGCGGAAGAGCCGAATGTAGACGTACTTGAAAGCGACGTGACCGTTGATGACACCAGCGATAATAATCTAATCTGTTAGCAGAGTCCAGCCTCACAGGAGAGTTGGCGTACAGTTGGCAGCGCGATTCCGTAGGCAATCTTGGAAACTAGAGTACCAGCTGATCCAAGGGCGGGAGATGCGACTTCGGCGCCGGTGTAGCGGTAAATGACAATGGCAGCGATGATATACAGTGAGATATCGATACCCTGGAGCAAGCAAAGGGCCTTGGGGTAGTCGCGAGGATCCTTGAGTTCAGCCATGAGGCCGAAGAAGGCGGCGTGTCCGGCTAGAGATGGTTGGTTTGCGGTCGTAGTTATAAGCTGGGGCACTTACAGAAAGCAAAGACAATGTTGGTCACTGCAGTGAAGCCGTGGAAAAGGTTGGTCTTCACAGTAGCCTCAACAGCGGCTCCATTATCTTGGACACCAACCGCAATCATGGTGATCATCACCGCAGAAAGGATACTGATAAACGCTGCACTAAGTTAGCCATCGAATTCGCTCTTAGGGCACAGGGGTCACTCACAAACAAGCGAAAGCCACGACATCTTCTCCAACGTCCTAGGCAGCGAGCAAATAAATGAAATGATCGTCCCCACAACCCCAAACACAATCGAGCAAGTCCCATTGTTGGTGATCGTATTCATAGCCACCGTAAACGTGAGAATGTGGCTCGCCATGATAAAAACCAGGAACAGCATTTGTCCAATCCCCAGCAACTCACGCCCAAACCGCCCCATCAAGACCTCACCCGCATCCGCCATGTTGGTGATGTGCGGATACTTCCACTTGAACTGACCGATGACATAACCCGTATATGTTGCTATGATACCTAGCCCGATGAGGATGATGATAGCGGGGACTAGACCTAGACCTGCGACGGCCTTGGGTAGCGAGAGGACACCTAGAGAGACGGTTTCGGCGACCATGAGTAACCCACATTGCCTGTAGTACAAAGAACGTGTCAGTTGGGATGTGTCCGTGTGGGGTCTCAATGGCCGTTAAACAGTAGCAGAATGAATCCAAACGTACCACCACTTCAAGACCTTGTATTTGACTTCGGCAAACTCCTCGTTACCAAAGGCATCCTGCTGGTAGGCTGGAATCTGATCGTCCTTCTTCTCGTCGATGGCGGAGATCTCGTCCGGGCCAGTGTTCTTCTTGTTCTCACTCTCGTGGCCCGTTTCCAGGTCGATGGTGGTAGGAGGGGCGTCAACAATCTGAGGAGCCATAATGAACTGGACAATAGAGTGCCGTAAACTAACTGACAATGGCACAGATGTAGAAAGTTAAAGGCAACAAGGGAAAAAGTGGAAAGAGATGAAAAACAAAGCAGCGGGGGAACAAGGGAACTTTAAAGAGAGCCTGGCAAGCCAGCACCTTCTTGGCTGGCTTCCCCCCGGCTGGCCTCTACAAGCACAAGTAAATGTCACCGAAGAGAGTAAAACAAAAAGCCCGCGTGCTCCGGATCGAAGCGCCCGACCAATCAACAGCCAGGATATCCTCTCCGTGGTCACGGCCCGTTGATATACATATTGAGGTAAGCTGTCACTACTCTAACTACATACACGTACTCCGTACTCACTCCGTACTACTTGTACTGTACTATACCCTATGCCACGAGAATAAGCAAATAACAGGATCAATAGCATCAAGCTTTGTGCTATATCCCAATTCAGCACTCCAGGATGACAGCTCCGCCCCTCCCTGTGTAACGCACACACACACACACACGCACTCGGGGCGGATATCGCTTATCGAGTCAGTTCCGGATGATACCGAGTTGTTTTGCCTCTGGCGCCACAGCTGCAGGCGCAGATAAAAGAATACACGGGAGAGAATAAACACCGCGACTACAATCCTATCTATAATCTAGCACCTGAATGTCTTGTGCAGAGAAACCGTTGATAACCCTTTATCAGTGATTAAGTTATGAAATTGTCAGATCACTGCCGTTTCCAGTGATTATGTTATCTCGCGTCGCCAGACAAGGCAATTGTCCGAATGCTCCTCGTTATCCAATTGGTCAGGGCGTTGACTTGGATGTTGACAGGGAATACGGGCCAATTACGGGTGAGTGAATGCCAGGGTTACATCTTACAGGGACACCGCATGAGTGAGCAGCTTGGCTGAGTTGAGCTAATGTATGTAGTCAGCTTAAGGGAAAGTATAGAGATCGTTCTAGATTGCCACATTGAGCCAGCACCCAACTGCATCGTATCTACGAGTTCTGCATTTCCGCGGCATCCAAATAGGCAATATAAACGGTTTCAGCCCGCTGAGATTAGCGGTAGGGTAGACTGCTAGTGAGGCACTCATGCATACATAACTAGACAAGAGACTTATGCAGGATCCCATGCATGATCCATGTAGATGAATCCTAATCCCCGGATTCTCCAACCCCGGATTCCGCTCATTCTCGAGAATAAATAGCGTAGTCGGTCCGCTTTTTTTCCCGTGTAATGAAATCCACTGTTTGCGGGGAGTCCAGCACAATTGGTTGCTATTACACATAATATCTGCTACGGGTGGAGTTCATCCGGTTGTGCCATGAGGTTATTTTCGTCTGGGTCTGGGGTAACGCGATATGACAGAATCTACTGGCCCTTTGCAGGTTCGTGCAATGGTACGGAAATTTGCAATTCCGGCTTCTGAAGCGGCACCCTTTAGAATGACGCCGAGGAGCCGCGAGACCCTCTCGCCCTGTCGAGGACTTGGCCGCATTTCTTAGCTCATAGAGTAGGAATATGAGCCATTAACCAATCACTTGGCAATATAACCGAGTGGTCTAGCATCGTTGGTCTAGTGGTAGAATTCGTCGTTGCCATCGACGAGGCCCGTGTTCGATTCACGGACGATGCAACTTTTTTTTAAACTTTTTAAACAAACTTTTTAAAGTTACGGTCGAAATAGCATGACCTGCTATGTATTACGGGCTCAACATTCAATCAGCTTATGAGACTCAAAAGTTGGTGCGTCGACCGTGGCGAACGGATGTTCTCGCCTTCAGCACATTGTCTATCGTCTCAATCACATTCTACACTGTGGAAGCTTGTCTCATGCGAACTTGGCAACACTGAAGACCGTGGCCTCTCGTTGCCAGTGCTTCGGTCAGCCTCAAATGACAAATTGTGACATTACATCGTCATGCAAGGTTCTTATCACTCCGCATTGATCTGGGGGGGGCGGTGAGGTCATAACGTGAGCAAAAACAGCGCAAGTCGCTTATTTTCGGGACCGCGATGATCGGGCCTGTATTCCCAGACGCCAGACACGGAGCTTGCTTATCAAGGGCCTATTTTCATAACGTCAGTTCTTGATAGGATCAGGCGATATACGCAGCGGTGTTTTATTCCGGAGAGTCGTATGCTGTGACTATACTTCTGATAGCTCGAGTTAGCTGCTGGGCAACACAAAATATGCGGCAAAACAAGTAAGAACAAATGCATCAGAGAGAAGATTACGGTCCTCATAACCTCACACATCGAGCTAAGATGGCGTGGCGTTAAGCCTAAGGATGACAAGAAGATTCTCATCATTTGCAGTAATACCAACAAAACAGATACAAACTTACCATGAGCAAGACACCAGCAGTGATGAATATCCTTGAAAACCAACTTCTCAATCCTCATACGAAATAATCCTCCGTCCAGCAAACGGAGCACTGGCGGCAGGTCTCCGAATCCCACGAGATTCCTGCTCATCATCATAATCCAGTGCCGTCGTCCCAGAACCGATATCAGCCGACTCGGTCAGCTTCGAACCGACCCGCTTCAACCCGCCCTCATCATTATCTCCGTCCCCACGCTTCCGCTTCGCATTCCCAGTCTGAGCCGGACCCTGAGCCTGCTCATCAGAGCCCTCATACTCCGCCTCCTCTTCTCTTAACTGTCTCTCGCGCAGTATGGCGTGTATCTCACTATGCCGAAATATCCTAATCTGCTCCTCTGTGAGAGTACGTTTTACGCCGTCAGGGTAGCGCCCGAGATGTTCGGTATCGTCATCATAGTATTCTTCTTCTTCGTACGAGTAGTAAGCATCTTCGGCTGGAGCAGTCGGGGTGTCACATGCTGGTGTTCGGTGGCCGAGGAAATGCTTGGCTTGGAAGGTTTGGAGGTCGTTCTGGGTGCAAATATGTTAGTCGGGTCTTATTCGACGGAGTGAAAAGGGGTAAAGCTTACTGGAGTCACTGGTGGGATTTGTAGTTGAGCCATGATGCTGGTTGTCACTAAGGAAAATGAGTCGGAGTGCGGAAACGCGTAGAATGGCGCGATGTGGTCACGTTACCTGTAATCTTACATAAATTACACCACAGATGCTAGTTTGTTGGTAGCTATTAAATAGTAATATAAAGGTGGAAAGTTATCGAAAAAGAGAAAATGAAACATATTCATGATGCTAATTATGGTATCATAGTAAGTATATGTAAAGGTGCAATTACAATCCACCAATGCCCTTCTGCTCAACAATCCCACTCGGCAGTGGTATGCTACATATATTATTCCCAATCTTCGCCTTGACACAATCAAAACGCACCCTGAGGCCTTCCAACCCCTGCAATTCAATACTCGCCAGTCGTTCGTTGTCATTTGTAGAAGGTTCCGTGAGACTCCAAGCAATAGAGATATGGAAGCAGTGCGAGTAGTCCTCATTTGCCTCGTTCGTTTGCTTCTGCTGTCCGAAACTATTCTGGTTTGCCTTTTCGTATAAAGGAGGTTGATTAAACGAAGCAAGCGAGCGATTGGAGAGCTTCAGCAAACGATTTAATCCATCGTTCGCGGGTTTCTGCGCACGTAGGACAAGGAACCACCGCGTTTTCTCGTAGTTAGATACCCAATGCAGGTTTCCTGGCATGATGTCGAACCTGAATAATGTCAGAACACTGCGTATTCCAAATAAAGGTGGGTGAGATACTCACGGTGGCACATTTGAATCCCGAACCGCAATCTGATATGCATCGATAAAAGATTGTCTTTGTTGAGTCCGCAGAACAACCGGCCTGGATAAACTTATGTGCAGCGGAAGCTGTGCACCCAGGTCACTCCGCAGGAGACTATGTATGACCCTGGGTCTATCTCCTAGTTTACTCTCAGACTTTTGAATGAGATTTTCTAATACCCCGAGCTCACTTTTGCTCGGGAACCCTGTTCACCTATGTCAGCCAGTCAGAACACGTAAGCAATCGGCATCTAGGAGCAGAGAAACTTACACTCGAGATACAAATGCGTAGGCCAGTTCCCTTCAACGTGCGGGATCACTCGTTTCCGTCCTCCATGGAGGCTGGGGTCATCTTGGATGCTGACGCGAGTGCTGGTGGCGTAGAGGTCGTAGAAGGTTGTTGGTAACGGGGGAAGTGATGAGCCTTGATTACTGGGGCGCTGAGCATTTGGGCGAATTCGCTTGGCTGGTGGAGGGGGTGGTAGTTGGGTGTCTGAGTCAGATTCTGAATCTGAGTATTGGACCAGGGACATGGTAGAGTTGGATACGGGAGCGGAGTTGTTGTGATGGTGGTTTTATTGGTAATACAGTACTCCGCTTGGGTGTTGTATTACCGCGCTAACTTTCTATGTTTTCTCTACTATAGAGCAAATGGTTACCCCGGTATACCTTCATAGGGGCGCCATGTTTCTCTATTTCCAATGGTCGACCACCACCATGATGCTGTAGCAAAACTGCTAGCTAAATGTATGCCTGAGAGCCTGTATTGAAAGCCTGAAAATGTAGGCTCAAAGGGTACAGTCATACTCCTGTAACCTTAACTTTCTTTTTCGACTCAGACTCCAGGCACGGAAGGTACGGAAGGCTATTGACTTGATGCGATTGTTCCCGATGTTTCTCGCATGTATTATCCGTATAGCCTAGCACAGATGCTTACAATTGCTAGGTAGGCACCACATAACATATTCGGTAAGTGAGCTGGACATGTAAACGAGCTGGGCACCAACGTATACCATACTGAACCGCCCTTTTTAAAGGCTTCAATATCACAACAACAGGGCTTTTACTTGGATCGAGATTTCAAATAGAACATTATATTACGTATTTAAAACATATAACAAGTGGTCAGGTTGTTGAAATGCCTGTATGGCCAGGTAATATAAGTTACACTGTAATATATATATATATATATGTATATCCGAATGTAGCGAATAAAATTATATATAAAAAAAAAAACCTGGGAAATGGAAACCATATGCTGTAGGCTTGTCTCTATAGGTATACCATACTCACAGGCCTCAATATTTGAAAGTGGTGCATATATCGCAGTTCTAAAAAGGGCGATTTAGTATGGAATACGTTGGCGTCCAGCTCGCTCACCGAATACGTTAGAAGTTGTATCGGATTCCTGTTTGTAGCGAGAACCCCTGATTAGATACACTAGTGAATTTTCCAGTCATCGAGCAGGCTACTCTAGACGGGTCCAGGCCATCGGACACTACAGGTAAGCTTAAATTAGTGGAAAGCACGGCTCATCGGCAGCACATGGCCAATGATTCCCAAGGAAAAGTGAAAGTGAATTCTTCAGTCTCTCCTTGCCTCTTGCGCATACTTCACATAGATTTCCCTGTCAGACCAACCCTACGGTATAATCCCGAGAAAAAGGAATCTCGTCTGTAGTGTTACTCGAGTGTGTGGTGGAGTATACTCAGCGATGATCCATGACGTCAGGCAAAACATACAAACAAGCAGTCAACGACTGTCAAAGACTGTCAGCAACAGCCGGTCTAGATCATTCCATGGCTGACTCCTACATAGTAATATATCGTACTGGATAGAGCCCGACACTCAGGCGTCCGGCACTTCCACACAGTGTCATCATCGAGATAAAACTTTAAATGCATTTCAGTCCCAACCGGGTCTAGCACTCCCGGACAACCCTCACGCTAACCACTTTGGGCATCCGCTTACCCCGGAACTAAACCAGAATGGGAAGTCTAGATCGATAGAGTGTTGGACTACGCAAGTCATCACGTCACTCTGGGCCTCGTGAGTCTTGCGCCTGCCTTACCTGGCTCCGACTGCGCCTACATGCGCTGCCCGCTGGGCAGCTATTTCTAAGCTGCCTGCTGTTGTCCCAGTCAGCATCTTTTCTTTTTCCTCCCACATCTCCCTGGTCACACTGCGTTTCTTCATACTGCCATCTTGCTTTTGCTTATTATAAACACTGCTTTACCCCACCACCTGGTATAAACAGTCTTTTGTTGGACTGTTATTCTTTTTCTTGTCGTGGCAAGGCACAGCCAAACCATAGACACAGCATGCCCACCATTGTGTCTTCCCGTCAGCTTCCCTACGCTGACTACCTTCGTGGCGCTCAGTATATTGAGGACTGTCCCCCTCAGGACCACTGGTACTCCGAGCAAGTCACCAACATGAATGCTGGTAGCAACAATCCCTACCGCTGCAACTCTCTCGAGTCGCTCTGCCGCCGTGCCAGTGCCGACTCCCTCCGCTCGGTGCCTTCCGTCGACTTCTCGGGCACGCTGGAACACCACCCAGTGCACCCCAGGACAAACTGGGCAAGTGCCAACTATGAGGACAGCCGTCTCCGTCCCCGCCCCAAGAGCTACCCAGAGCCTCGGAGATACTCCCCAAATTCTGGCCTGGTCAATCCGGATGTCATCGACAGGATGGACAACGTGGGCGACCTCATGTACCACCATGAAGGCCCTTACGATGCCGTGTGCAGAGAGCGGAATCGCAACACCCAGGCGAGCCCGCTGGAGGCTGTCAGCCGATCGAACGAGGAGGCACTCAGAGCCACCCCTCGCGAGCGGATCATCGACAGTGTTCGCAACAACCGGCCCCTGGATGGCACCGCTTTCTACCCGCCGGGTCATACGGACAACGGTGGGAACACGTACGACTACGAAGAGGGGACCAATATGATGAGTGACTTTGGGAATTTTGCGCGCAATCCTGGATTTGTAAATTCCACTCCCCTTGCTTGATATATTGCATACTAACTTTGTCTGCAGAAATTCCGGGACGAAGACTTCAAGAACGACCCGTTCTACACAAAACCGCCGCCCAAGCCTTATATTTTCGTGGCCAAGGTGCTCAAGCGCTGCGGATTCAAGCGCATCCCTGTCTAGACGGGTCGTTTAGGCATATGTCAAGCCTACCTCTTGACCCAAGTCGCTCATTTGAAGTTGTCACGACGTTACGAGGTCATATACCCTCTTCGGAGTATGGTGTTTATACAATGTTGTGCTTTCTTTTGTCTTTCTTTTGTTTGGGCATTGGTGTTCTTTTCTGGTCAACATGGAGTTGTCGGTTTTGTGTTGTTCACCGTATAGATGGATGGAACCGATGTTACTTTGTTGGGGTATAGGATTTTAACTAGCTCCCTTCTATGCTGTATACAGTTTTAGCTTCACCTGGTGAATACAAACAATTTTCTACTTTGAAATTGCCACTTTAAGCCCCGAAGTCTGGCTCAGTATGTGCGTCAGCCTGACCTCAAAACGGGAAGCATCGCACTACCTATAAGGTAAGGGAAGCTGCCATGGGGAACTGCAATAAAGATCCACGTCAACACGAAGATCATGACAGATCTGACGCTCTCCTGCACGTAGTTTTCTATTTTTGGCCTTTACTGCAGTATTACTCATAATTGATACAGCTTGACCTATCAGCTTAACCATCATGGCTACCGTTCAACGTCACCCTCTCCACAGCCTTGGCCCAATCCATCCGCCCAAAGTTGACAAGAGTGCGATCAAACCGTCCGCCGCGAGGAAAATCAACATCCGTGTCAAGGATCCGTTGGACCACGCAGCCCCGGCCATTCTACACGAGCCACGCAAGTACAGCATCGACGATGCCAATGCATCAGCTGTGGTATTGGTCAGCGGTGCTGGCGGAGGAGTGAGTGGTCCAGCCGGTAAACTCTACACCGTATCGAACCACATCTGCATATTTATGAAAAGCTAAATTATCCCGTAGGAATCTACCCATCATTAGCAGACAAACTATCCCTCCTCCTCTCCATCCCCTGCATCCGCCTCGACTATCGCCTCGCCGCAGACACAGACCACTGTACTGCCGACATCATCGCCTCCCTAAACTACCTCTCGCAGCACTACAAAACCACTAATTTTGTTCTCGTCGGCTGGTCCTTCGGCGGCAGCCCCTGCTTCACAGCCGCAGCCGAAGAACCTAATCGCATCCGCGGCGTCGCGACCATCGCCTCGCAGACCGCCAGAACAGCGGGCGTGAAGGGTTTGGCGCCTAGGCCGTTGCTGCTGTTGCATGGGTTGGGGGATAGTGTGCTGGGCAGTGAGTGTTCGGAGGCGTTGTATCGGCAGTATGGGGATGAGAGTGAGAATGGAGGGCAGAGGGTGATTAAGTTGTTTGAGGGGGGGGATCATGGGTTGAGTGGGTTGGGGCCAGAGGTGGAGGGATTGTTACTTGGGTTTATTGGGAGTGTACTTGGGTTTGAGAAGCAGTTGGGTGAACCGGAGACGAGGGAGGTTGCTGGGGAGGATTTTGTGGGTGGGGATGGAGAAAGGGTTAGGGAGATGGAGGAGGGAAGAGATTTGGAAAGGGAGATGTTGAGTGTTTGATAAATTATTATGGATTTTGGGGGGTATTTTGTGATTATTTTTTTTTTTTTTGGGTAGAGAGTACTCCGGAGTAAATTGTTAGTACGTCCTATAGATTACGGAATAGAGATTGACACCAAATTGCATGGCATGTTGGAAGACCACAAGTACAGAGTAATACGTATCAAAATAACTATCAGACGAAAGTAATCTATTGGCAACGATCTCTCGAGGCGCAACATAGGCCCTGCTTACAGACCCTCACAGCCCGGCGATCATCTGGACCTCGAACAGTTCCCGCCACCACCTCAGGCCAGATTGTCCACTTCGGAATTCTTTCTTTACTCATCCACATTCTTTTCTTTCTTTCTAATCACACTTTCCAGGTTTTAACACATTCATTCTTTGACACCTGTCACCTGCATTTTGCCATAGTGTTCTGTTCTGCTGTTCTGCTTTTCTTCGCGTTGCAGTCGCGGACAAGGATGAGATCAGACTACTGATCAACGCCGTATTTTGTTTACAGCGTTTGAATTTACTCCATACTCTGTACAGAAACTCTACTTTCGCACATTTATACATTCCAGATTGAGCATTATGCGCTCAGCCAGGGTCTTCTATTTGGCCCTTTTCGCCTTTTTAAGACTCACCAGCGCCAATAATGAAGCGCAAGCTGAGCACCATGACTCGAACACCTGCGCTGTAAGTCTCAACCACCAGAATACCCAAGAAACCGCACTAAAAAATCAGATCGACCCCAAGGCCACAGTCACCGACGCCTGCGTCTCATACGCGACCATCGACCACCTCAATGATGAAGTCTACGCCCTCCTCCACTCCATCACCCAAGAAACCGATTTCTTCTCCCACTACCGTCTCAACCTCTTCAACAAAGAATGTCCCTTCTGGTCCGACGCGGAAAGCATGTGTGGAAACATTGCGTGTTCCGTGAATACTATTGACTCCGAAGAGGATATCCCGTTGACGTGGCGAGCCGAGGAACTGAGTAAACTCGAAGGTCCCAAGGCCGGACACCCGGGTCGCAAGCAACAGGCGGAGAGACCGCGGGATAGGCCGTTACAGGGAATGCTCGGTGCTGATGTTGGGGAGAGTTGTGTGGTTGAGTATGATGATGAATGCGACGAGCGCGATTACTGTGTTCCTGAGGATGAGGGCACGAGTGGAAAAGGTGATTACGTGAGTCTAGTTGATAACCCGGAGAGGTTTACAGGGTATACCGGGCCTGGGGCGCATCAGGTCTGGGATGCTATTTATCGGGAGAATTGTTTCTTGAAGCCGGCTCCTGGGCTGAGTGTGTCGCCGGCGCAGGAGCTGGGTGGATTGCAGGCTATGAACGATTTCCGGAATGTGTTGCAGATGGAGATGAAGAGGCCGGATGGGTATCCGTTGGATAATGAGTGTCTTGAAAAGAGAGTGTTTCATCGACTTATTAGCGGAATGCATGCGTCTATCTCGACGCACCTGTGTTGGGACTACCTCAACCAGACGACTGGACAGTGGCATCCGAACCTGCAATGCTTCCAGGAACGTTTACACGACCACCCCGAGCGGATTTCGAACCTGTATTTCAACTACGCCCTGGTTTCTCGGGCAGTGGCCAAGCTGCAGAAGCACCTCCAGGGCTACACCTACTGTACGAGCGACCCGGCGCAGGATATGGACACTAAAGACAAGGTCACCCGGTTGACTCAGACCCTGTCGAAGCGGCCTCAGATCTTCGATGAACATTTGATGTTCCAAGATCCCAGCTCTCCGGGTCTGAAGGAGGACTTCCGCAACCGCTTTCGTAACGTCAGCCGTCTCATGGACTGCGTGGGTTGCGATAAGTGTCGCCTTTGGGGTAAACTCCAGGTCAATGGCTACGGCACCGCATTGAAGGTCCTCTTCGATTACGACGAGACCAAGAACGGCGATAACCCTCCTTTGCGACGACTGGAACTGGTCGCGTTGATGAACACTCTAGGTCGCATTTCGCACAGTTTAGCAGCGGTGCGCAGTTTCCACCGCGCCATGGACCTGGGACAGGGCGAGACCTTTGCAATTCCCGCCGGTGGTCAATTGGGCAGCACACAAAAGTCGAGGCGTCTATTCAAGGACGGTGGTTCTACGTTTTACTACGAAGGTGACGAGGAGGAATTTTCCTACCGAGCCGAGCGACAGCGACTGCCGTGGGAGCGGCGGCCCCGTCGGCCCGATGACGGGTTCCTGGATGACTTCAAGGCCGAGTTTGAGGTTGTTTGGAATACATACATGTTCGTACTGGGGTCTTGGGCTCGCATTCCGCAGACAGTGTAAGTTCTCTTCCATTTTTTATCGTCTCTCAGTCAGGTCTAACGGGTATAGGTTCGAAATTGGAGTGCTCGAGGTGAACCGGCTCTGGAACTACTGGCTTGGTCTTCCAGTGCCACCGAGGGCATGGAAGATTAAGTTTCCTTCGCGAGATGAGCTATGATCTTGTTCTTTTTTTTTTTTTTTTTTTTTTTTTTTTTTTTTTTTTTTTTTTTTCTCCTCCTTTTACTGTTTCTACTGGTGAATTTGTATCATAGATGGCCTGGGCTTGGCGTTATGGTTGGGCATTGGAGATTTCACATCGTATCTAGCATAGACCGGAATGCATCCTCGCATATACTACTTGGAACTGTTATGTAGTAAAACAATTCACAGGTTAATTATCTCCCCGAATCCATATTGTCGGCGCATTTCCAAAATTCGGCAAAAGCCTTAAGCACCTCGGCATTTCCGGCACATGCACCGAGCGTTCGCCTCTCGTGACCGAACTCCACCGCCTCCTCATCGCCATCTCCGGTCGCTTCGTTGCTCCTACTACCATCTAGTTGTCCCTATCCATATCGCATCTACACTACGGAATTCGGAGTAGAGAACACTACTCTCTCCGCTAGTCGGACTGATCACTACATGCGAGGCCGTTAATTTTATCTCCTCGTAAGTCATGGCGTCCGTCTCGCCACCCAAGCCGTGGGAGAGAGCCGGCGCGGCTGGGGGTATGTTCCTTCATCCATCTCCTTTATCGTCGTTCTCTTTTTTTAAGCGACTCCTGCTCAACTAAATCGCTCACCAGGCACCGCTTTATCCACTCCTGCTACTAGCACGGCCGCTTCTACCATGACAAACTCCACCGCTACAACATCCCCGACCGCGACCACTACACCAACATCCACATCCACCGCAGCAGCACCCAATTTGCCATCACGACCAGACGCCCTCAACGCAGTGGTTAACCGCACCGCCTCGAATTACTCTCCCTACGGTGGCTCTCGATTAGGAGGTAGTCCCTACGGCGCATACTCATCGCCATACTCCTCGCCATACTCCTCGCCGTACTCTCGTCTCGGCGGCATGGGGTCGATGGGATCGATGTATGGCGGATATGGTGGCTATGGTGGGATGGGCATGGGGGCCATGGGAGGCATGGGGATGGGAGGAATGGGAGGAATGTATGGGGGTATGCCGGGTGGGGATCCGAATGATCCTAACAGCTTGACGAATTCGTTTGGGCAGAGCACGCAGGCGACGTTTCAGATGATTGAGAGTATTGTGGGTGCGTTTGGGGGGTTTGCTCAGATGCTTGAGAGTACTTATATGGCCACTCATAGTTCTTTTTTTGGTATGTTTTTTTTTTTTTTGAGTGAAATGAGTGGGAGCTGACAAAATGAAGCCATGGTCTCTGTAGCAGAGCAGTTGGGTAATCTGCGAAACACGCTTGGCTCGGCACTGGGAATCTTTACCATTATGCGATGGTTTAGGACGCTGATCGCGAAAATAACCGGTCGTCCCCCGCCAGCGGATGCTACGGCTCTGACGCCGTCTGCGTTTGCGGCCTTTATGAATGGCCGCTCGGCTCCGGCTACGCTTCCTGATGGAACCGCTGCGCCTCCCAAAATGTCCAGGAAGCCGTTTTTCATGTTCCTAGTCGCCGTGTTTGGCCTTCCCTATTTGATGGGTAAACTCATCAAGACCCTTGCACGCTCGCAGGAGCAGCGCCGCCAACTAATGGTCGGTGCGAACGGGGAGTCCACCGGCGGCGCCCAGGCTGTGCCACTTGACCCCTCCAAACTGGACTTTTGTCGCCTGCTGTATGACTACACCCCGGAGTCGCAGGAAGGCGCAGGGATCGACTTAGCCGTGAAGAAGGGCGACATCGTTGCCGTGCTGGGCAAATCGGATCCCATGGGCAATGCATCTGAATGGTGGCGATGTCGGGCACGGGACGGCCGCGTTGGGTATCTCCCAGGGCCGTACTTGGAGACAATACAGCGTCGCCCGACCCCGCAGGCGATCACCTCGGGCAGCAGCGGCAGCGACAGCGGCAACGTGCAGATGAAGATGGGAACTAACGAGGAAGAGAAGAAGAAACCGGAGATCAAGGGAAAGATGGGCGATATCGCGCCGGAGAGTTTTCAAAAGAGTACCTTTTATTCATGATACCTGACTCCTTTATCTACTTACCTGCATACTTACATAGTGTTTACGTTTCGTTTTTGTTTATGGGTTACTGTTACATGATTAATTCTGGTTGGATATGGATGGATGGATCCTTGATGGATACCGAGTTATTGTTTATTTCTTGTATCCTTTACTTGCACTTATTACTTAGTACGACGGCATGCAGTCAGCGCTTTCCTTCCTCATACAATCTACGTCGTACACTCCCGTAGCTGCGTAGCATAAGTACTTTTGCCACCCCTGCCCGTCTCGCATAAATCGCAGCCGTTGCTGCAATGCAGTACAAGTATCGTTCCGCTCACGGAGTACTCCGTCTCCATACTCCATATGAGTAGGCACTAAGTACAGCGTACTTTAGCGAACTGTACGCTTTCGTACGCGTGCATTAGATCTGGGAACTAGGACGTAGGAATTAAGAGGGGGTATATATTGCCTCCTTCGCTTATTTTCTGTTTTGGGTATGTGCTGGTATATACATACATAGGTACTATGATGTGATGTTATAGACAGGGATGTATATTATAAACTGTGTGGGTTGGGCCATTAGACCATAACCTTGTCACGCCTTAAAACCGGGCTAATTAGATGAGGATCTAGAGAGTAAAGAGTAAACGAACTATTGCTGGCTGATCGAATGTAGAGATTGATATAGATAAGGTATATATGCAGCGTGATGGGAATATTTTGGTTGTATGTGATGTGACATGTATGAACCCTAAGCGAAGAATACTTTTCTCGAAGGCATGGTCTTTACAGGCAGATATTGGGATAGTTGTGCATAATTGAGGTAATAAGCTATAATAATGTCTGTATAAGTACTTCTGCTAATCAATAGGGCATGGAATATGTGTACGCATACCTATCACAGTGGTAGCTTATCAGGATTCAGGAAAAATAACAAAGATCTATATGTATGTTTGTTGTTATTACTTTTTATACAGATATCAGTCCCAATCCATGTAGTAGCAGTGGCAAAATCCTCAAGCAAAAAGCAAAAGCAAAGCGCATTCCAAATCATTACAATTGCCTCCTTTCACGCGTCAAGTCTCAAATGTCCTTCTCAAGTCTGAGTATCGTGCACCTTTGTTCATATAGATCTGCAGAATGATTTGGAAGCACATTGATGAAAAAGTATCATCCTATTTCTTTGTACAGATGCATATACTGTTGTTATGGATATTACCCCGTCAATCAGTACAGAGTATACAGGAGAAAAGACGGAGTATGATAAAAGACAACATCAGCACGACCCAAACTGGAAAGAGAAACAGCGACGGAAACAGAACCCGGCAACCCCCATCATGAAAAATACAAATATATCCATCTTTAGCTTAACTAGTTCCCGTCTATCCGTTCTTCCTGTCCGTCCCTTAACCCCATTCTACATAGTCCGTCTCCTCCACACGCCACACCACGCCAAGTCACCCTAGACAACGCTCAATCACGAATCATTCACCCAACACAAGCGGAACCACACACGCACGCCCCAATAATCGCATTACTCAACCGGAGTTATTTTCCGCGCTAAATTCCCAATCATATCACATCATATTATCTACGACTACCAACTAACAAAAGTCACGGAATGCCCGTACCCGTCCTCCCCGATTCAATGATGATGTGCGATGAAATGTGGCTCGGATATCCGGAGTCCGATCCCCCACCAGCCTGGCTAAGCCGGGGAGGGTAGGAAGGGAGTCTGTTTATATAGGAAGGAGGACAGTGGACGGGACTAATGGGTTAGTGGTGACGATCCGGAGATGGACCGGGCTAGTCTGGGCTGGTCTTTGTTTTTGTTTTTTTGTTTTTGATAGTTGGTTGTGTTATGTATACATGTGCATGTATGTGTATGTGTGTGTGTAGGATGGATGGGGTTTGGAATTGCGAGTATATATCGTGAGCGCGAGGCTCGGACAGGAGAGTAGGGTTCGTGGGACTAGCGTGTGGTTAATTTATCCGAGTACAGCAGTTGCACAAGAATGTACGGGTAGCAGTACTTTTGTAGCCAAGGCCCTCGGAAATAGTACTGCCTGGCCTGAGCCGCGATGATAAGCGTGGTGGCTGTGCTGGTGTCAGTTCAGCTGCTATTGTCCATGTTTGATTCGGTTGGAATGTGAATGTGAATGTACAGTATTGTATTTGTATGTTTATGTGTATATATGTACATGCAATGTAAGTGGTCACTTCACGATAATAGGCGTCCAGACTCTGGTACGCCAACCGTGTCTGACTCAGTATCGGTGACCGAGGAGGCTGTCGGGGATGGATTGCCCGGTTGCCGGCTGTCTTAGCCAGGATGCGGCTGGTCGAGCCTTGCATAAGCGTGTCAGTAACGGACGGATAGTCCGTTTTGCTTGTACACCTCCTATGCTACATGATCATCTGCGTCTCCAGAGTGCCAGTGTATGCTCAACAGCTCAATCGGGATATCCATGGGAATAAAACAAGGCTAACATGATACATATGGAACAAATGCAAAAGCAGACAGTTTGCTTTCTCTGTAGAAACAAAAAAAGAAAAGCAGTGGATAAAAGGATGCATCATCATAACTGGATCAATCATCCAGAGGCGAGGTATAATCCGACATGGACTGCTCCAGCGTCTGATGGAGCACAAGAAGGCGGTCTTGAAAAGAGACAAGAGCATGCCACGGATCTTCTTCGCGAAGATCATCGTCTAGTGGTTTGGACGTGTCATTCGTTAAACTCGGACTCAGCGTGGCCGAGAGAGATTGGTCATCGGGCATTTCAGCAGGATGAGGATGAGAACGATGCGATGGAATGGGGTGATTGGGGTCTAGCGGCGAAACACCGAGGGCTCCTAACACATACTCAGTGTTTGTTGCCATGGTCCAGACCGGGTGATGGGGAGTCTCACGGGGATCTGATGGAATTTCTGGCATGGGCGATAGTACTGAGGATTTGTCTTCTGGTTCGGGTGTATAGCAACTCATGTCGGTGGGGGTTTCTACAAAGTTAGAATAACCAAAATAATCAGAGAAAGAAAAGAGAAAATACCTGGCTCAGGACTGTTGGTCTGTGGCGGCGACTTGGGATCATTGCGCGAATTTTCCCACGAAGAACCGTATCTGCGAAGAAAACGAGAGATGCGTTTGGAATCGACTTCCTGTCCCCCAACCCGAAAAGCCGTTTGTTTCCCACGAGCAGCTCGTTTTTGCTGTTTCCGGATCATGACCTGGACTTCTTTGGCTTTGATGTTTTTGCGGATGTGCCATGCTGCAAGACGGTCTTTGTACTGTTTTTCCCTGCTCTAGTCAGATCCCCTATCGAAGCATAGAATAAAAGAATAACATACGAAGCAACAAAATGGTGCTCTCGCTCCATGATTATTTTGACATCTCGCAGTTTCAACTGATTATTCAGATAGAGGTCTTCGATAATGGGCCGGTATTTCTGCCAATCTTCTGAACGGCGGGGACGAAACAAGGCGGAGGAAGAGGAGGAAGGCGTAGAAGCGACAGTGGTAGTTGGAATGGCCGTAGATGATGAGGAAGACGAGGAAGAGGGAGGAATGGAGGGAATGGGCCTGGAGGACGACGGAGGGATGGAACCACCCATCATGAACATTCGGCTGAAGGATCGTTGTCACTCATAGTCTGACATTGATCGAGGGTGATCGTAAATGTAGAGAAAGAGAGAAAGGTTGAAAGAAGAGGAGGAGAGAATGGGGTGAGAAAGAAGGATGAAGCGAACTTAATATGGAGAGGAGTGGGCGATGATGTACAGCAATCCCACATAGTACTAGGACATACAACAACAGTAACAGCAACAACGCAATTATTCAAATATTGGTTTTAATTTTTCTTAATTCCTTTATTTTCTCCATTCAATTTTCTCTCCTATACTTGTACTATTTTGCTTTCCTTTTCCCTCCTATATCCTTTTTGTTGACTTGCTGTGGTCGCCGATAAAAATAAATCAAATGATGAATTCTGCTTTTCACTCCGACCAATCACAGCTTGCGCTTTCCCTATGCGGCGACCTGCCGATGGAAGCGCCCGCGGGTCGGTCGGGGGTTGATTCCCCGGACCAATCACAATAGACATGATAGTGGGGACACGTACTTTTGGCGGGTCTTTTGTCTGTGCGCATACAGTACAATACGCCAATACAGACACTGTACAAGTACAGGTACCTACAAGTACAAGTATACATGAGTACTTGGGCACATTGGGAACTACGTAGACAATATCGTACAAGTAGAGCCACCTCCAGTAGTCTTCGGTACTGCCGTACAAAAGACCACCGGAGATGAAAGCACGTACTTCTGCACGGATGCACCGTTTGAGTTTGACGCGCCGGGTCTGATGGCGCATTTCCGGTGCTGATAGTGCAATGTGCTGCTTAATTCCCGTAGTATAGCCAGGGATGAAACGTAGTCTAGCCTAGGTACTTAAGAGGTACGGGTACTCCGTACTTAGTAGAGTACCACAGTTTTTTGTACCGGGACCTTTAATGGAAAGACCTCGGCCCGTTGGTGGACCCGATCGGGTGTGCCCGTTTTAGTTCCGTTCGCTGTACTTGTATCGGAGTACTGTAGAGGAGATAATTAAAGATGTTGTAGAACCAGGGTACTCCAATCAAGTACTTCGGTATACATATAAGTATGAGTACCAGTACTCTGGAATCTACACATCAACTGTCAATCTATCAACCGTTACGCCTCCTCCCGGACAAACTCCTGACACTCACTCCAAAAACAGTATCCCTACCGTTGGTGGAGCAGGTGGACTCCACGCCAGTTGAACTTTCTACACCCATGTCCTTCATAATAATACTACTCTCTAAATGCTCTGTAGCAGAGACCAGAACGTGGTGTGTGCACGGAGCTTCCGAAGACAAACATCCACCCTAATCCCAGTCCGAGTTCAGTTCACAGTTTACCCACGACATGCTGGTTCAGGGGGATGATCTCCCGTGGTCCCTGACTTGAACATGACTACTTTTCGGAAAGTGAGAGTCGTTGCAGGGGTTGCAGGGGCCAATTGATTGTTAATGGTAGACCCTCCCAGCCGAGGGAATTGATTTGATTGATTTTGGAATTGTGAAATTAGCTGGACTGTGCACAGTTGTCTGAAAAGGAAGGAAACCGTGCAGATTATGTATCACCGCGCCCGTAGCTAGTCATGACAGCGGGCATGTACATGATGTCTCCTAGTGATTCATCCAACCGGCATTGACCCAGTAATCCAGTATTGATCCAGTAAGGTAAATGGTCTCCGCCCTCCCCCCATAAAAAAGAAAACAAATTAACAAAAATCTGAAAGTTTAGTTCCCTTATGACTCCACCGTGAAACGCCTGCCATTATTGAATTTCCTGTCCTAACAACACGTCACTTCCGGACGCTGCCACAGCTGTCCCTTCCGAAAAGAACACTGAGTCAGCTTAATCGTTGAATTCGAGACCGTCCCTGCCCAACCTTACTTGGCCCTACGGACTCCGGACGGCTTCCCCCGCCGTTGCAACGGCTGCAGACTGGCTGCCAGATCCCGCGCTGGCAACGTTGCTCACGTGTGCCAATAGAAACTTACAGCACGTTAGCGTGTATTTACATGCCCGCGTCCACGTCTCGTCGTTCTGGTTGAATCCAAGTTTGATACTTGCGTCGCCGATTTTGTCGCGTGAGATCGTATACGGCAGTTTCAGCCCGGGAACCGTAGCCCCATGACCGCCACTACTGCTGCGACGGCCCGGCGCAGGGGTCTTCTCAACATATTCGCCTAGCTGTCGTAAGCATTCGAGGAATGCGACCATCCCTGCATCGAAGCGGCGGTGTATCCAAGGTAGGTTCAAGGGAAGATCCCCCGAGGAGAACAGGTCCAACACAGTGATCTTGGGAGGTCCAGATGGTACCCCGGTCCCGTTCCCGTTGCCTCCCAGGGTGGATTGCGCGGGGGATTGAGGATATTCTATCTTTTCAATTCGAGAGGTCGAGCCCAGTGGTTTCAGTCGATATACTTGGAATTGAAAGTTTAGCTTTTCCGCAATCGTGGATAACAGCAGTGCCGTTTGACCCCAGGCTGCGTTAATCTCCGGCCACTCCACTGATGGATTGGTCAAACGGCCTAGCCGCAATCCATTGATGGTACCAAAGTAGCCGTCATGACCTATACAAAAGGCGTCGTTGTAAACATTGGTTCGTTGCAGTCGTTCCAGCTGGCGTGAATCATGGTCGTATCGCATATTCAAAGCATCCCTCTCGTTCTGAAAATCCGACAGCGTCAAGGCAAAAGAGTTCCGATCCCGCCAGAACGCCTCCTCATCGACATCCAACTGCCGCGACTCTTCCTCCAAACCAGCAATCTCCTCATCCAACATAGCCTTCTCTTTCTCCAACTCCACAAGCTCCGCAAATGCAGCCTCCTCAGCCTCTAGTGTCTCCTTGAGCGACTCCTCCGCATTCTCGATCTCGTCTGCTGTCGGAACAGAGGAGTTCAAATTCCTCTGAAACGAAATATAAGCATCCCGCTCCTTCGTAGCACTCACCAACCTCTTCTGTAACCCATCCACAAGCATATCCGTACATTCCATACAAATCGGATGATCAATATCAGACCGCGATGAAATAATCTCAAATAACCGATTCGCCCGCTCAACCTGGTCCGAAAACGACCCTCCTCCATCTTCTACCCTGTTGTTTTCCCCCGCTGCCCATCGCTGACCATCACCCGATCCCGCGTGCGGCGGCCCGACTTGAGACTCTGTAAGCATTACAAAAGACATGTTTCCGCTATCACCCCGAGGCAGGCGAGGGGTGTTGGGTTGGGTCCCGGCATGGCGAGGCGCGGGGATGGATCTTCTGTAGACGGGGGTGTGATTTTGTTTGGAGACGTGGTCGTAGAGGTCTCGACGTTCTTGGGGGTAGGGAGGGCGGGATGAGTTTGTATGGTCTGGGAGTGTGCGACCGGAAGATCCTATACGGATATCTGTCAGTATCTTCTGTAAGAGGCACGGTGTAGAAATAGAAGATACACACCAACGAGCAAGTCAAAAGCTGCTGGGTTTAGTGACTCAAGGGAGCCGTCGAGCTTCAGCGAAGTGCGGCATTTCTGGCAGTACATGTTGGTCATGGTCAATCATGGTAGTATTCTCTTTCGCATTATGGGGAGTGGAGACGAAATGTAGTGGTAGGCGCGAGGTTGGACAATCAGTCGGAGACAGGGCGGCGGAAACGTCATGTCTGTTTTTTCTTTATCTCCAACACTGCACACTGCAGGAACGACGATGATAAACGAGTGAATGGGCTATAGCCATGGATTACTGTTAATCAAGGATTATTGTTGTTTACAATTCCCAGCCACTCATTCTATTATGACTTATTATCGAATTCCCTACCAACATGTCACACCAGCTATTCACATGATCCTTTAACAAACCAGCATCCTCAACACAACCACCTCGCCAAACCAACACATTTGCATATTTCTCTTCCTGTACCGACGAAGCATGCCCCAGGGAGAACAAGAAACCGCTGCACGAGGACGATCCATCGCGATACTACTCTCCACCTAATACCCAACCTCTTGACACGAGACCTCCAAACCCGAAAACGCAACAGCAACAATGGAACCACCCACTAAAAGACCGCGACTCTCAATCGCCCCAGACACACCCAAGGATCCCTACCTCTACCATTCCCCATCCCCAGACCCAACAACCGCTGAAGAAACTAATGACGAGCTCGAGCACGAGCACGAGCACGAGCACGAGCACGACCACGGCCAAGTCGACATCCATGCCGCGCGCGCACAAAATGACCAACGCCTGAAAACCATCTTCGAGAGCATCTTCGAGAAATATAGCAGGGATTTTACAGAGATCGGCGATGAGATTGATCTACAGACTGGGGAGGTTATTGTGGATAATGGGCATTTGTTGGGGATGGAGGGAGAGGATGATACTGGGGATGCAGGTCTTGAGTTAGGCGCGGAGTGTGGACATGATGTTGAAGATGGGCAGGATAGCGACGATGACGAAAGGTCAGGGACTGAGACTGGGACTGAGCAGGGAGGGGATTATAATCGTGGGATATGGTCTTTTACGAGGTCGCAGACTGAGCTGAGGGAACGGATGAATGATAATGCATGGGGATGGCAAGGAGACGTCGACGACGCGGATGGCGATGATAACGAGAATGACTATGATGATGATCACGACGATCGTTCAAGTGTTGATTCGCTGCTTGATACTGCTATGAGTGTTGACGATCCTACCGCCAAAGAACCAGTCGATGAAGAATCTCACCCTCTACATCGCATCCATAACGCGAATAACGACACACGCGAACCAATCGAATCGATATGGCGTGTTCCTGAAATCGCCCCGAAGATCTCGTTCTCGACTCCCCAACCGCCTCCCAGCAACAACAAACCTACCATTAACTATAATTCTCCCCGTTCAATATCACCACCAGGGGTACGCTCACTGTGGGCTGTTCCACAGCCCGGAAGACCCAGGAAAGCCAACACCGACACCCCGAAGGAAAAGAAACCGAAAAAGGACATGGATGTGAAACCGAAAACGAAAACTAGTCCGAAGAAGACTACAACCCCCAGCACGAGCAAACCGAAACAGTTCTACAGTCCTGCGAAGAAGGGCGACTGGTCATTTGCAATCCATAGCCAGGGAAGTGATTCGGAATCGGACGACCCGTTACAGGAGGATTATCAGCCATCGCCTACACCGAAGAATCCGTTGAACATTAGAGGCAAGAGTATAGGGTCCGTCACACCGAGTCGGAAGCAAATCAGCATAATTCATGGACATGCTACGGATCTGAAATCTCAGACACAAAAAAAAATTGCTACCCCAAAACAACATCACCAAGAACCAGACAGTCAATGACACCCGACGACGTAACACTTATTGTGACAATGCGCCACGTCCGCAAGAAATAATGGAAAGAAAATCTCGCTCATCTCCCCAGCTGACAAATGAATCACCTGAAAGACTGGAACAAACATCATTGGTGCCGATATCGCGCTGATCTGCTAGATTGTGATCGTCTAAAGAACGGGATAAGTTATCCGCACTGAAGGATAGGGGTGGTCTGTCTTGGAGTGCTGTCCAGAACGAGTTTCCCAGGAGGTCGCATGCGGGGATCCAGTTTGGGTTACTGAGGCTCTGGGTGGGGGAGGAGATCCCAAATGAGACTGGGAAAGATCAGGGTGGAGAGTCGGGACGGGATCGGCTGGGTGATCTGTTGGAAGGTTCGCAGTAGGAGGATGACAGTACTTCTGCTGGAGCCAATCATCGTGAAAAAGTTGCAACAGCAGATCCGGAGGAGCCGTCTGATAAAAGCGCTCAGGTTCACTCGATAGACGGTGAACATGATAAATCTAGACCGATTGAATCAGGCAAGATGACGGCGAATGCTGACGACTTGATCGGACCACGTGCCCATGATGTTTCACAACCTGAACCGTACTAGGACAAGAGCCTTTCAAAAGAGGTTGCATCCCCAGTCATCGCCACAGAAAACCCCTTTCACTCTCTTTGAATGATACCAGATGATCCCCAGCATTCTGCGATGGACATATTTCTTTTTTGCATTTGATACCCTGTTACTCACTCGTCCTTCACATTCAAGACATCTTCCAGTTTCGTATCCGTTGCACCGCCAACATCTCCGGCCTTAGCCCAGAACCTGGAGAGATGTCTTGAGCCAGAGTCTGAAAGGACAGTCACAATCCGGTGACCTGGTCCTAATTTCATGGCGGTCTTGACTGCTGCAAAGCCTATCCATGTATTATTAGCATTAATCCAATGAGAGAAAGAGCGTGTCAATACTCACAATTCACTGCACTGCTGCTTCCAAGGAACATCCCATCCTTCTCTACTAACCACCGGGCCATGGCCATAGCTTGCGCATCAGTAACCCGCACAGCATCATCGACCAGTTCTTTGCCAACCTCGAAGTTGGCAGTAACGCGGTTAATCCCGATGCCTTCAACGATGGTATCCACCTGTCTCCGCCGCCTTGTCCCCTCCCGTTCCTTCAGGTCAAACATGACACCATAGCGGACCCGATTGTACAGCCCACTACCTTGCGGATCCGCCAGCACCACACTCAAATTAGGAATCTTCGGCTTTAGGTACAATGCCACCCCAGAAATCGTACCACCCGTACCAGCTCCTGCGACGAACGCATCGAGTTTACCATCGCATTGGGCGTATATCTCAGGGCCGGAACCACTGTAGTGAGCGCGCCAGTTAGACTCGTTCTCAAATTGGTCTGCAAAGAAACCTCGTCCGCGGACTTGGTCCGATCCGCTCGTGTGGGCTTGGGCGAGGGCGCGTGCGCGATTGACGAAGTTTTCCTTTTCGACAATTGGGGCTGGTGGGACGCGGTCGACTATTGCGCCAAGTTTGAGGAGGAGATCGGATTTTTCGATGGCTTGATCGGAGGGCATGCAACTGTTGTTGTTAGTGGAATATGCCAGGAAATGTAGAGCGAGGTACGTACATATGAGCTAGATAGCCTTTCGCTCTGGCCAAGGTAGCTAGAGAAATACCGGTCGAGCCGGATGTGCCTTCGTAGACTGTGTCGCCAGAGTGGGGAGTCAAGATGCCGTGTTCTTCAGCCTGTATAACAGTGAGAGGGAGCTTAAAAGCCTCGAGGAAGATGCCATACAATTTGGATCATGCTGAGAGCTACTCGATCTTTGGAACTTTGGCCAGCGCCATTCAGGAACTGCATCAATCAGGAAACCACACTATAAAGCACGAGAATTATGGTAGAAAGTACCTCTGCCTTCCCCAGGATATCACATCCGGTCTCGTCTGACAATGACTTGATCCGGAATAATGGTGTATTTCCTATGCAGCCCTCGATACCGTCCACGATGGCGGGAGGCCCTGCTCGCACAACCAAGACATCCGCCTCGCGGCGACGGCGCGATTCAGCATCTTGCGATTGGGATTCTCGAAGAAGCTGTGCTAGCGCGGGGTAGAGCAGGTCTTTGAATCCGAGTGTGAGGAGGATCCCCGCCACGAAGGCGGTGGTTCCCAGATAGAGGCGGGAATTGTCGTTCATTTTGAATTCTGGAGCATTGATTAAGAGTAATTATGTGACTGACATATTAAGAAACCATAAGGAAAAGTTGGAAGAGGAATAGACACCAGAAAGCAGCGTTGTTGAGCTCAGAGCCGAGCGGACCTTTGGATGATTGTGGGGAGAGCTTTAATAATGGCGACGAAGGCGGCGACGACTTTCTTCGTCAACTCCGACGCTACAAACACCACTACCACCACAACCGCAATCCCAACGCAGTCTCATGGACTCCCCCGTCCTTAACCAGCTGTTTCGGCAGCTGTTCCGGCGTCCAGCCTGCCGGTCTCTGCGACATTCATCCGTGTCAACGCCCCCTTCATCGGGTCGCAGAGCAGCGGCGGGCGTTCGACTGCCCGGTCCGTCTCGTCAACAATCTCGCTCGTTCCTCACTCGACGCCCGCAGACGAAGCGCAAGAATGTAAACGATGGAATGATATGGTATAGAATAGGGGATTACCCCAAAGATATTGATCAGGAATTGAGGACCTATCCGTTGGTGACGGCCAAGGACCTGCGGAGTCGGAAAGAAAGGCCACGGCAGGTGAAGATGTTGACGAGGGAGTTCATTGACGGTATGATGGCGCTTCCTGATATGAAGTGTGCGGTACTAACTGATGCGTGCTCTAGACAGTTTATACAACCCGCACTACGGTTACTTTTCCAAGCATGCGACCATCTTCAGCCCCGGAGAGCCGTTTGATTTTAACCATATTGCCGATGGCCCCGAGTTTCATCGGATGTTGGGAGAGCGCTACAACGAGTTCGAGGATAAACTAGACGAAACGCAACCAGATGTGGCACGTCAATTATGGCATACGCCGACAGAGCTGTTCCGGCCTTACTACGGCGAGACGATTGCTCGGTACCTGGTGTCGAATTACAAATTGACGCTTTATCCGTACCACGACCTCATAATATACGAAATGGGCGCTGGTAATGGAACAATGATGTTGAATATTTTGGATTTCATTCGGGATACCGACTACGAGGTCTACCAGCGGACCAAATTCCGGATCATTGAAATCTCCCCGGCCCTTGCCAGTCTTCAGATGAAGAATCTAATGGATTCGATTAACGCTGCTGGTCACTTGGATCACGTTGAAATTGTCAACAAGTCCATCTTCGATTGGGACACATACGTGCATTCGCCGTGTTTCTTCTTAGCCTTGGAGGTTTTCGATAACTTCGGCCACGACGCGATCCGCTACGACACAAGAACAGAAATGCCTCAACAGAGCGGGGTGTTGATCGACGCGGATGGTGAATTCCATGAATATTACAACGCTCAACTTGATCCTCTGGCTTCGAGGTTTCTTCGCGTCCGACAGGCCGCCGCACGGAGACAATTTCCCAGTCCCTTGGGGCACAAGGTGACGAGAGGCATCCGCAACTCTCTGCCATTCCAAACCCCGTACACGTTACCCGAGTATATCCCCACCCGACTCATGCAGTTCTTCGATATTCTGGACAGTTATTTCCCGGCGCATCGGTTGATTGCGAGTGATTTCAGCACCCTCCCTGATGCGGTCCCTGGCTTGAATGCACCTGTCGTGCAGACCCGTTACATGAGACGGACAGTGCCGGTATCTACACCTTTTGTGAGTTTGCTTTCCGTCCTTTTACCTGCATGGGTAGAATGGCAGCTGACAACACTAGGTCCACCAAGGATACTTTGATATCTTCTTTCCTACCGACTTTAACGTCATCGAAGACGTCTACCGTGCTATTACCGGGAAGCTGACGCAGGTCATGAGCCATGAGGACTTTGTTGATCGCTGGGCGTACATTGAAGATACCGAGACAAGGAACGGAGAGAACCCGTTGTTGAACTGGTACAAGAATGCCAGCATGTTGATGACGGTTTAAACTATGTATTTTAGTTGTAATGGTCTTCGCTCTTTGTACAATCTTTTGGCTCAGTATAGCAAATACAAAGTTCAGAATTCAAGAATTGCTCAAGTCTATCCTGCCTGACTACTGCCGTAAATCGGACTACTGTACATTGGAACTAACCCTACTACTAAGCCACAACGGAAACGTAGCGCTGGTTCATTCCTATTCCTAACACCCGTCTCCAAGTGAATTAAAGTTTCCCTGGCGTTCATTCGCTTTTGCTTATCCATGCATCTCCAATCACTACATAATTTCCATCTTTTACACGCTACTCGCCATCCTCAAACTAAACTTCACTGCTTCAGCAACTATAAAGCACCGAGCTTTGACATAATGAATATTGGAAGAATTACATGGGGAAGCATGACGTTGCTTTTCTCTCACATCAAAGTTACACCGAGAAAGATATCCAGCCTCTATAATTTGCCTCCGTGTTCCGGCGTTGACCATGGAGCTTCAACAACCACCATCCCGACATTCGAGAGTCTACAGGCATCGAAGCTCGAGAAACCAGACGTGAACCTAAGCAAGGACATCGAAGAATAGTATTGTTCGTCCATTCCTAAAGATGAGACAAGTCATTACTACAATTTTCTCTTAGAGAGGTAGATCCCAGACCACGACAATTTTGCTCTGCCCAGATCGTCGCCTACCAGGCACCATGACCTTCCCGTACCTTTTCGGGCCACTCCCTACCGCTGCTGAAGTAAAAATAACTGAAGTAGCCAGCAAGATGTTACATCCTGAGACGACCCAGAATGCGGATCAATCCATTTCCTTTCGAATATTTGCTGACAGGAGAGCGTCGTCCAATTGACACCCCCAAATACGATTGAGCTGGGGAGATTCATCGGCGAGGTGAGAAAACAGACCTCGTTGCAATACGAGGATTCGGATTTGCCACAGAATAAGGACCCTCACAAGAAGCTAGATGTTCGGTCATGAAAAAGCAGCTCAGGAAGCCGACCCGTCCCTCAAGAAGCGGTATAGCACTGAAGTGCCAAAGCTAGCTGTCTAATGACCCGCAAAACTGGTTCCAAGGCTTAGGGAAATTGGTGGTGCCAGATAAACCGTGCTTATAGATGGGTGCACACATATTTGTGCTCTTCTATGTCGATGATATCATCCTTATTTATCCTAAGACTGCCGGGATTTGTGAATTGTACTTTCAACCCTCTGTAGAGTGACTATAATCAATATAACTTGAGCGCCGATTCGACGTATGTCTAGTCCGAAAGCATTGAGAACGTAAATTGGTCGATAAATAGCTACGAGGGACAGAGCGGAGACATAATCAAAATTGGAGTTGAGCACATAAAGGCAGCCAAGGGTTTGCGAAGCTTCCGAGACATCTTTAATACAGCAATAAACAGCATCATATCGGCCTCGGGAAAGCTGCATTTGAACCAACAGCGAGCCAAGCTGTATAGGATCGTGTGCCATTCTTTTTCACATTACCTGCTCTTTATCAGACGAAAAGGTAAGCCTGGGGAAGACATGATCGGGTCATAGCATAGCCGACAGGAACTTAGCTTACCTTTTGAAGTAGATGTCTTTGTGTTGGGTTACATCGTTTGGATTCCTTTAATCGGACTGTCGTTTGCGCTTTGACAGGAAATACATGATTGTCAGATAACAAAGAGCCGGTACTACCATTTTCAACTAGAATCAACCAATTGCGCTTATCCTGCGCCAATAGTTTCATAGCATCACACATGGTTGTTATCAAATCAATAAAATGCCCTTCCCCTGAGTCGGTTGATAAAACTATACCCTCGGTAATATGTAACCCATATAAACTTGCTCCAAAACCAGGATTCTTACTGATGATTCCTAAGAAAACATCCAATCCAGAGCGAAATGATACCCTCGTGGAAGCCAACCGTCCAGCAAAAACGCTCCCTCCAACTCGCCGCCATCCCACCCTCCTGGCGACTCCCAACACCAATACCATCATCGCAAACCACTCTCGAGACAATCCGCTCCTGCAACATCCTCTCCCCCCAGGAGCTCGAATGGACTGAAACTACAGACGCCGCCAAGTTACTCTCCCTTCTAGCCTCCCGGGAAGTGAGTAGTGTCCAGGTGACCACGGCATTTTGTAAACGGGCCGCAATCTCACAGCAATTGACCAAATGTTTGACGGAGATCTTTTTTGATCGGGCGTTGGCCAAGGCTCAGGAATTGGATGAGTATCTTGAGCGGACGGGGAAGACACTGGGATCGTTACACGGATTGCCGGTTTCGATTAAGGATCGGTTTGATATTGAGGGGTATGATACTACTGTTGGTATGTTTTCGTCTCTTTTCTACTTGTTCCCTGTTCGAGGTGCAGATGTTGATAATTGTATAGGATGGGTAGGGTTGGTTGGGAAACCGGCGCAGAAGTCTAGTTCGATTGCGCAAATGCTTGAATCGATGGGTGCTGTTCTCTATGTTAAGACGAATGTTCCTCAATCTCTGATGGTTTGTACCTCTCCATATATGTCAATGCAAATGCTAATGAGAATTAGATGTCCGACTCATACAATCACGTCTTCGGCCAGTCAATCAACGCATTTAACTCCAAGCTCATCTCTGGCGGTAGTTCCGGAGGCGAAGCAGCCCTCATCGGAGTTCGCGGCAGTATCCTGGGTATTGGCACGGATATTGGAGGTTCCATTAGAATTCCGGCCACTTTACAAGGCCTCTATTCTATCTGTCCAACGACTGGTCGAGTACCGTGGCATTGTTCATTGTAAGATTACTTTTGTCCACCCGACAAACGATATACATTGACCAAATCAGTATGAACCAGTGTTACCTCGTGCCACCCGTGGCAGGACCAATGGCCAACTCCCTTGACACGGTGGAGTATTTCATGCAGAGTCTTCTCGACTCAAATCCTTGGGACATCGATCCGGGCTGTATCCCTGTTCCGTGGAGGAAAGATGTAGCTGCGATTCCGGATCGGAAGTTGAGAATCGGTATCGTCTACGATGATGGGGTTGTGAAGCCTCAGCCACCAATTGCGCGGTTATTGCGGGAGACTGCTGCGAAGTTGAAAGAGGATGGCCATGAGGGTACATTCCTCCTTCTCCTTTTACATTGTATCTTTTCTCAGAACACGATACTGACAATTTAGTCATTGAATGGGACACATCCCTGCACATCCAAGGCACCAACCTCTGGACAAAGGGCGTTCTAGCTGACGGAGGTCAACACTGCAAGTACCTCTGCGACTTGGTAGGTGAGCCTCTAATCGAGGGCATGGTCGTAGGCACAGCGAAGGATCAGCTCTCCATCCCAGAACGCGAATTGGTACCTCCGTCTCCCTATTCTTTGCCCTGCTTCTCAAATACTAACTAACAACAAATACAGCTCGAAGAACAAAAATGGACCTTCCAGACCACCTTCATCAGCCACTGGCAAAATGCCAACGTTGACGCTCTCCTCATGCCCGTCTTACCCTGGGTAGGCTACCCCCCAAAGGCCTGGGTCATGAGCTCGCAGTGGTTAGGATACACGGCTATATGGAACTTGTTGAATTATGCTGTTGCCACGGTTCCTGTGGGGAAGGCGGATGTCGAGCTGGATCAGCCTGGGGAGGAGTGGGTAAGGCACGTACCAAGGAATAGATCGGATGAGTTTAATCATACTCAGTGTGAGTCATATTACCTTCATGTTTGTCTATTTTGCGATGAAGAGGCTAATGGATAAGATGATATCGAGTTGGTCAAGGATATGCCGGTTTGTTTGCAGATTGTTGGAGGAAGATTTGGAGAGGAAAAGGCTGTTTCTGTGGCTAAGATCGTGGATCATCTAATGAATTGAAATATTAATAGCCTTGATACATACCCAGGGTATGCTCTGTACACTTCGGAACACCGACCTCGCAAGACTGAACCATCCCTATGCTAGGAAGAAGGGGATACTCCTGTTTAGTTTTGTCTAGGGGTTACAGAGGTTATAGAATAGACCAGCTGGATCAACAGCTATTCAAATATCGAGTGCTTAGAGGTAGTCAGTATGTGCGGAGATGCGGCTACATCACTTTAAATGACTTTCCTACTACGATGTATCAAGTTCAACACATCGCAACAGGAATAACAGTCAGGTCAAACATCTCGAATTTGGAGACGACAGTGACTAATGCGATTGAGCCACTTCACCATTCTCTCCCATCTTCACCGCAACAGCCGTAGCATCATCCAAAACCTCAACAGGCAACCCAGAAATATCATTATCTAGCGGCCGACGAGACTGATAATCACCATCAGCAGATGGGAGAAACATCCGACTGTACACCATCTTCGGAAATGCCCTGAAATTGTCCTGCTCCACGGCCTCAAAGCCCTCCTTCCAACGCTGCTCGGCCGACTCGTGGGTGATGGCCCAATCGGCATCCGTCGTTCCAGTCACTCGCTTGACACTCTCAAACATGTCTCGCTGAGTGACTCGGAAAGAGGAAATGTACACAGGAATATTCCGGAATTGAGACAGACTGAGCGACTTGTCCGATTCATCCTTGGGGAGTTCCTTCAGACTGAGCAGACCGCCAATGGCCCGACCACACTGTGGCCAGGTACTAACGCAAAGCGACACATCGCCATCGTCGAACCAAGTGAGCGATCGTTTCTGGAAATCGAATCCAAACCGATCCGCACCACCGCCTAGACTGAATTCGTACAAAAAGTTACACACGAGCAGCAGGCGCGAACTGACGCTCAGACTTTCAATCTCTTGGGCGATCCTGTCGCGACTGGCCTTTAGCATGCTTTCCTCACATAACTTGTCGTTGGTGGCGTCGTGGCCGAACTAGTTGGGGAGGACGTAGGGGACACCAGCTTTAGCGGCTGCGCGAACAAGTTTCGGGATGGCGACCATTTGAGCGGCCACTGCTATTGTGATTAGAAGGACCGGTTGGCCGCGTAGGGCTTCGACTAGGGCAGTGTTGTCATCGCCGCTGTAGTCGACGCGGATCCGTTAATACTTTCTGGGAGTGTGCTGTTGCTTTCGGCGCGTTGGATCGCGGTCAAGGTGTGTTTGCCATTTCTGAGGATCTCTCGGGCCAAGTGAATTCTAACTTGGCCACCGGCCTGTACGCAGTATTTGTTAGGGTCTATTCCAAGACCAGTTCTAAAGGAAGCTGACTTACCCCGACAATAGCCACTTTTTCAATGCGATTGGTGAAGCCCGCAGGCTGATCCTTGGCGTATCTTGCAGTCATCTTGTGGTGGTGGTGGTAGTAGGTGTGGTACAGGATCGAAAACATACCAGGCCTTGATATAGCTGTAAAAACCGGAGTTATTGGGCTTACTATGAGTGATTGGGGGAGATAATTTGTTAAATCCATTTGCCTTTGGTTGTCGCATGCTGATTGCTGATTTGTGATCCTGTCTATAGAGCTTTGTCTTGATAAGGTCAAGATACCAATCCTTGTTGATGTTCGGGTAGAGATCACGGCCTTCTCCAACCATCATCTGAAAGGGCTTAGCACATCTTTGGACATGATTATACAGAGGGCGACTGAACTAAATCCAGATAAGTTGGTGTGAGGGTCTCAAAAGATAATCACTGAGCAAGGCCCTAAATACTATCAATAAAGCATGGGAATAGAAAGACTGTTATTCAAAACCAAGTATGTAAAGGCACATTTACACTCTGCACACATTACAGCTTCGCCTCCTGCTTATTATTACCTCCCTGCCACGCAAACCCAATCTTCTTCCCAATTCCCGGCTCAATAACCACATTCACAACCGTAACACTATCACTCAAGAACCCCTCCCTCGTAGCCTTCTCTAGTTCCTCCTCAGTACGCGCGAAATACCCCTTTCCACCACACATTGTCGCCAATTTCTCATAGCGGGTCTCGTACAGAAGACTCGTTGAGCGCAGACCTTTCTTTCCTTCCTCTTCGGGGCTGAATGCTTTCGTACTGTTTGTGATTGTTTGGTATTGTAAGGATTTCCAGGAATCTTCGCTTGTGCTGTCACCGTGGTAGATGCCTGAGTTGTTCATGACGAAGATAAGAGCGGGAATTCGGTAGCGCGCCATGGTCTCGATCTCCATTGCGCTGAATCCGAAGGCGCTGTCACCTTCCAGTGCGACGATCTTCTTTGGTTTAGCTGCTGCGGATAGTGTAGTGCCGAGCGACGCGGAGGCATTGAAGGCTTCATGCGCCGCGATAATGTAGCCCAGTCCCACACCCATGGTTGCGTAAGTGCCTGCATCTAAGCGCTGACGAGGATGGTAAAGAGGGAAAACTGAACGGGAGATATCCATCGTATTGGCGCCTTCCGATACGTAGACAACATCACCAGCTTCAGGAGGTGTTAGTGTATTCAAAGTTGATTTGATGATATGGTATGCGCGCTGGTAAGTCAATGGCGAAGAAGATGGTGTCTTGAGCAGCGCTGCTTTCTGCGCTTTAGCCTCGTTCTTCTTCGCCGATTCGGCCAGCAACACTGGGAATGGCTGTCCACCCGCAGGCAACGGCGATGGCGTATATCGCCAATTCGCCAACGCATGCTGCAACTGCTCAACCACGAGGTCAATATCCCCAACAATCCCCAACTCTGCCGACCCCGCATTTCGCCCAATCTCCTCCGCACAAAGATCTACCTGGATAATCTTCGCCTTGGGCGACCACTTTGGCGGCTCCCCATAGTGCAGAATCCAATTCAACCTAGCCCCAAGCACCAGCGCGACATCCGCATGTTTCAGCGCCGCACTACGCGCACTTGATGCATTCAGCGGGTGCGAATCAGGAATAACACCTTTCCCCATCGGCGTTGGCAAGAAAGGCACCTGCGTATGCTCAACAAGCTTCCTAATCCCAGCCTCCGCGCGCGCGTAAGCAGCACCCTTCCCAATAACCAGCAATGGCGCTTTCGCGCTCTTCAGCAACTGCACGGCTTTCAGTATCATCTTCGGATCCCCGCTTGCCCTTGGCGGAGATGGAAGTAATATCTTCTCAGGAGGCGGGATCGCAGTGCCGGCTGGCGCATTGCCCTGGATGATATCGGCGGGGAGATCAACGTACGTCGGACCCGGGCGACCGTACCAACATGTTCTGTAGGCGTTCTGCACGGAGCCGGATATGGAGTCTAGGGTGGATGCGCGGACAGCGAGCTTGGTATGCGGTGTTAGAAACGAGATGGCGTCCATTTCCTGGAACGAGCCTTTCGTCACGTTGCTGGTTTCTGCTGATCCTGCGAGGACTATCAGAGGGAAGTTGTTTGCTGTGGCATTGCCAATCTAGTTAATCCGTAGTTAGTATCTCCCATCTATATGAAGGAAGCGAAAAGGAGACATACACCCGCCAACGCATGAAGAACCCCCGGCCCTCCAACAACAAGGCAAACGCCCGGCCTCCCCGTCATATATCCATATACGCTCGCTGCATAGCTGCATGCCTGCTCGTTGCGGAACGCAACGAATCGAATTCCCAGATTGATAGCTTCTTCGGCTATCTCCACGACGGGGATACCAACGATTCCGAAGATCACTGTGACACCTAGATCGCGTAGTGTGCGCGCGATTAGCTGCGCGCCGGTTGCTTTGGCCATGATTTCTGATAGAGACGTGAATGCTCTAGAATTTCTATTTCCGAATTTGGTGAGAAGTCTAGGCTAAGGATTTAAGAAGGGAAAGATGGAGTTGGAGTCGTGCGGAGGCATCAGTATTTATTCGGCCGAGGTTAATGACGCAATGCCGGGGTTGTCGCCGTTGGATATATGTCCCGGGCGAAATATCAACCCTTGATTGCGCTTTGGTACCAATTCATATCATGTTCGTATTCTCATTATAGACACAATAGTATTGCAATGTTTGTAGTATTGCATGGCCGCCACGGAATCGTGGAGTACGCCTGCTCATATGGCTGACCCTAATTCCGAAATAATTACAATCTATGAAACATCATATCATTTCCCTGTACGTTAATAACAGTCGTGGTATCCAACATAGCATCCTTAACACATGCAACCAGATCCCGCGCTCGTTCCGCGCCAGCCATCACGGAAAACCATTCCGAATGTACAAAATAGTACATCCCTACATCCCCTAGATCAATCATTCAACAGACAGCATCTGCCTAAAATTCAAACTCCTTCCGGAACACATTGACATCCATCCCGGCCACGACTGAATCGGCCAAATCCCGCCGCCCCATCTGGCTAAACACCCTCCGTAGAGTGTCATACAGATTTGTACTCTGGTTCTGGCTCACGTGAAGCATGCGCTCCAGTTGTTCATCGTCGACGTTGTCGCCTCCGATGATTTCCCGGGCACGCTCGCGGCCTTCCTGCTCAACGACACGATGCATTGACAGCGCACCCAGCAGGTGCTGAGCGGCTTCTGGGTAACAGCCAATGTTAATACACGAAACACCCAGGTTGTAGCGTGCGCGGACGAAGTTGGGGTTGATTGTGAGTGCCTGTTCGTAAGCCTCGATGGCTTCTTCAGAGCGACCAGAGTTGGCAAGAGTGGCACCGAGACGGTTCCAGAGCAGGTGAAGCTGCTCCTGCTGGTTCACGGTACCGGATTCGGTAGAGGCTAGTGCAGCGGAGAAGCAGTCAACGGCCTTATCGTACTCTTCAGCGCAGTAGAAGAGGACACCCAAGCCGACCTGCACGTCTGGGTCCATGTGCTCTCCGGAGGGTGACATCTGGGCGGCTTGGATAAAAAGATCGGTGACCCGGTCGTGTAGGATCTGACGGTCTGTGAAGCCCAAGTCCGCGTCGGATGAGAGATTCTTGGGATCGATGACTGAAGGGTACTTGGCGGAAAGCCATCGCTCAAGTGTCCGGTATGCCGTCGAATCGTATCCTTCGTTAGTGTAGGAAACAGCCAGGCCCATAAGGGCATCGAGGTTGTTTCCATCAGTGTTAAGAGCTTGCTCCAAGGCACGAATTGCAGGTAGTTCCTTTTCATTCTGAGCCTGCGCCGCTCCCAACATAGTCCAGGCGCGCACATGCGAGGGGTCCTTCTGCACAGCAGCTTCGAAAGCTAATGCAGCCAGAGACAGATTGCCCCCTTCGCGCAAGACCTTGACACCCTCCTCAAACGGGTCACTCACGTTCCGGAAAACATTCTCCTCTTCGAACATGTAGTCGCCCAGCTGCGGATCTCGGGAACGGGTGTTGAGCGCATCGAACTGGTCCCAGTCTCCAAGATCGCCCATATGCATGTTATCAGTAACATCAAAGTCGCCCTCTTCTTCAACCAGTTTCCTGTTTGCCGACGTCTCAGCTTGGACTTTTCGCCATACGCTTTCAAAACCACCATCTTCGGTGGTGGTGGGGACTGACCTGTCAAGATCGTTCAGCTCCGCCTCCATAGCTTTATTGGCCTCTTCGTCCGTGGTAGCCTCATTAGTCTGAGCTGTCTCTATCTCTGCAAACTGCGCCTCCCAGTTCTGATCATCCAACTCCACCATACGACCCTTGCCCTTGTCCTGCATAGCCTCTTCCGCGGGTTGCGGCTGTTGCATCGCTCCCATAGGACTATATGTAGGTCGCATCATACCCATTCCACCCATACCCATACCTCCCATCCCCATTCCCCCCATCCCCATCGGACGCTGATAACCAGCCATCATCGGCGACGCAGCCGAGGCCGCCGGACCAGCGGTCTGAGGCATCCCGACATGACTCTGCTGTTGGAAACGGGCGAATTCGGCCGGCGTAAAGCCTGATCCATTATTCATAATTGGCCCCTGGGGCCCAGCAAAAGCAGCCTCCATCCGGGCGTGTTCTCCACCGTCGAATTCAGCCGCCCACCCGGGTGATCCTGTTCGCGGCGGAGCGGCTTGGAATTGTTCCAGTTCGCGTCTCATGTGTTCCATTGCAAATGGCTGTGGGGGGGCACCGGGCATTTGGGCGGGTTGTTGGGCGAATTCGTCCATCATCTAATCATTCAAAGCATTACGTTAGTTTCAATCCAATCTACTTCTTGCTCAATGTGTTCTCTTTCGGTAAAGATAGCGTACCGGATCCTGGCCACCCATCATGCCCTGGGACCGCATGCCTTCATGCATACCCCCAGGGCCTCTTCCCACAAGCCGATCGCGTTGTAGAGACTTGTCATCTTGAACGTGCTTTGTGAACTGTGTCAACGGATTTCCAGCCGTCGAGCACTCAGCGCCACCGAGGAATGACATTTTGACAGATATGCGGTAACGTCGTTCTCAGCGATATGGCAAAAAAAAAAAAAAAATCAAATCGCTAATTGTTGCTATAGCTAGATAGGGATAAATCAAGTATGAGTAAGAAGGAAGATGGTCACAGACCGTATCTCCAATGGCAAAACGTGGGGTCCCGAAACCGCCTTGAACCGACCGGAAGATTTGGGGATGCCGAGGTTCGTAGCTCACGTGAGAGACCATTAGTAATTTAAATTAGATTCCCAGAGGGAAGGTGTCATTGCGTCCGCCATCTATCAATCATGAAATAGAAATACAAAACCGCTTGTTACGTATATAGTACATATAGAAAATAACATCAAAGTTCCCAATTAAGAAGACTCTGACGAAGAGGGACCACTGTACACAGGCGGCTCGTAGCCCGCAAACCCACTTCCGATATTAGGCCCCGGCATCTTCCTGTTTGTGTGACTGTAATCAAGTTTAAGCGGCTTGTTATGCGGTCTCTTCTTGCCAAGAACCTCAAACGCTTCCTTGGCGCTCTGGAGATCGAGGAACTCAGCGTGCGCAAAGCCTCGAAGGTACCCCGTCCGCCGGTCAACGGACACTCGGATATCAATAACGTTGTGAATGTCGTCGAAAAGTTCATGTAGCTCTTGGACGGTCATCTCAGCCGGAATTCTGCTTACGAAAATCGTTCTGGAGGGCGGGTTCTTGGGTTTCCGGAGCTTATAGTCGCCGGTGTTGACGCGCGCGTATTGGGCGAAGACCTGACGACCTTCATAGTAAATGCCGTCCATGTTCTCGATTGCACTGCTGGCAGACTCAGTCGTGTCGTAAGTAACGTATCCAAACCTGCATTCATCCTCCATTAGTTTCTCGGCCCTATAGCGAGAGTCAGCAGACAAACTCACCCTCTGCTAATCCCCCGCGCATCATGAACAATCGTCACATTCTCAACAACCCCAAAGTCTTCCATCTTCTTTCGTAAATCGTCCGCTGTGATATCAAAGTATAAGTTGGAGATAAAAACCGTCTCCTTTGGCGCCGCTGGCTGCTCAACGTATCTAAACCGTGCAGGACCGGATGGTGGTGTCGGCGCAGTTTCTTGTGCTTTGTTCGATGTAGGCTTAGACTCGGTTCGTGGCCCCTCCTCTACCGCATCTGGGTCTGAATTTGCAGATTCTTCCAGGTTTTGGCTTATCGTTTCTGGCTCTATTTCTGCCACTGTCTGGGTGGGCATAGACTTTAATCCGGGCTCGGTCTCTTCTGTAACCCCACGCTTTCCTTCCTGTGTTGCGGCATCTTCGCTCTTATTTTTTGCATTTTTCTTATTATCTTTATCGTTCTCGGCCTCTAACAGCTCTCGCCTCCCAGCCTCATCGCTATTCCATCGGTGCTGAAAGGCATAATGCGGGGATTGTCGCGGAATGAAAGACAGTAATTGACGTCGATTAATCGCACTTATTGACCGACGCTGTACCGGTGTAGCCAAGGCTGATGTGGAGAAGAGACGGATGGCAGCCCGCCGGAAGCAATACCTGCTTTCCAGTAATTCATGTTTAGCTATCACTTTTTTTCTTTTAATGATGAGGGGACGGGAAGTTCGCGCATCACTCACATTTTGCCCCTGCCTCAAGTAGCAGAACAAAGCAAATTGATATTGCAGGTAAATTAAACAATATAAAGAAACACGAGTTGGGTATTCGCTGGGCTGGACAGGAATAATTGCTCCTGGTGCGGAGGACGGCTTCGGAGATGCTCGACGCAAAAAGTCTGTTTACCCGATTGAGATATATTCACGTGATTTATATCCAAGAACGTGATTCTGTTTGGCATGCAAATGGCAGGTGAATCATACTAAATAATGAATGTGTCCAATTTTTAGACCAGTATGGGATTAATTAATAGATACAATTTCTTATCGACTTTAAAGCAGACTTGACAGTCTGCTATCGCAACAAAAACCACCGTTGAAATAGCATCAAGGCATGAAAATCAATGAAAGGAGATTTCATAACGCCATCCTCATGTATCATATATCATGAATGTAGATCCAATTGGAATTTTTCCCTAATCGATCTCTCCAGACCGGATTAAAACAATAATACCGACCAAGTCCAAACGCAAAAAGTGAAAGACGATATTAACTCCAGTCTTGGTATGACTTCATTCACATATTTTCCTGTCCTCTGGAAAGCCCGTTCTGCTGTCGGGAAGGGTCTGCACTGTTATAAACTCCAGGTAAGGATGCAGTATTGTAAGCAGCGGCGGCTTGAGCCGGGAAGAATGGCTGCGGTACGGGCACCCGTGAAGGAGATAGGGGAATTGAGGCCTGCGGCTGTTGGGTTTGAGGTTGTGGCTGCTGCATGTCAGCAGTAGGCCACCACTGGTTGGATGTGTCGAAGGTTGAATTCTGAATATAGGTATCCCATGCATCCTATAACTAGATTAGCTTGCAGTTCTCATGTGCCGAGTGTTAATACTTTACTTACCCAGTCCAAGTTCAGCTGCATGTCGGGCATTTGCCCAAACATTGCGCTGAAAGGTGAGGCAGCAGTTGCGACGTCTGCTGGCCCTAGTCCTCCTTGTACTAGAGAAGAGTCCGACATCTTGAACGTTGGGTCGGTGAATGCAGGTGGTCCATTGTTATTCATGGGGCTCATTCCACTGCTGAGAAGCCCTAATGTCATAGCAGCATTTTGCTTCTCATCCTGTGGTTCGAAGGGCTGTGCGACCCCACCACCGTTCTCGGTTGCCAGGAATCCTAGGTTCAGCTTCGACAGCATGACTCCCATCACGCCAGAAGCCTTCCAAGCCTCCAGGGTCTCATCACGAAGTTCATCCCAGATTTCCTTGCAGCGTCCTATTGCGGCTAATAGTTCTTCCCGGCGCTCTCTGCCCCAGACATACATATCACCGGATGGCCTACCCGCTGCTTGCAGTCGAAGACCATGATGGAGATCAAGACAGACAATGGTAGACGCAAGTAGAAAGTCTGTGCAGCTAAGCGAGGTCACCCTATTATGCCTACTACGCAAACGACCGGTTGGTTTCATTTCTTCGTGGAGCATGGACTGGAACCGCAGCAACTCCAATGCGGAATCAATACATGTCCTTCGGGAGTACGTGAATCGCGGGTTGTCCCGTGCTCGGACGAGATATTGCCGATGAAGAACACATTGCGCCTTGTGGTAAACGCTCATTACCTATATAATCGTCAGCACTTGATACAGGGAAAGCAAAAAAGCAGATGCGTAACTTACCGAAAACCGTGACATAATCAAGGGACACTGATCATGCTGGCATTCTTCCATAGGACGCACTATGAGATGCTCGGGGATCATGTCCCTCGCCCGACGAAGCTCTGCATCAAATTCCATGGTCTTCTCATAAGATCCGCTATGAACGGAGGAGGTATGATCAACAACGTTGCCAAAGACATACGACAATCGGGCTTTGGTTATCAGAAAGCAGACAGGAGTTGGCTCATCTGGTGGGCGCGAAGGTGGGAGCTCTTTGCAGTCTTCATCGAAATCATCATCGTATAGATTTCGTGGGAGTTCTGTGTCACTGTCGGCCGAGCGCAGCATGCTAGGCAGGCCGAGCTGGAAAGAGAAGAGTAAATCTGCTTGTCTCACAAAAGTCCATATCCGTCGACGCATTTCACCATGGAAAGGCGTTATGTTGGGAAACATCTTCGAATCGCGATGATACCCCATCCGCATGGCTAGTCGTGCAATGACGCCTACCAGGATCCATATAGACACATTCGCCTCTTTGGTTTGACGAAAGTCTCCATGGAGATGGAAAACCAATGTTTCAATCAGGTATCGGTACGGCTTCGTATAGTCTGCTAGCATTAAGCACTGCGCCATCACGTTGCGAAAGTTCGCTGCCATGTCCAGAGATTTGCCCCGAAACTCAGGGGGTTCATCGCCTTCCAGATGATACGACAACATTGCAAGCCGCATCATAGAAAATAACATGGCGATCCAGACAATGCACGTTTGGGAAGGGTCTTCCCAATGTCTGTTATACTTTGGTAAGGTCAGTACCAGATTGGATTCCTAGCCATTGGAACTCGCTATCTTGGAACTTACTGCAACCTGGAAAGTAGGTCCGTGGAGAATGTCTGAATTTGTTAGAATATGTGCCAGAATCAATGAGAAGTCTGCCAGAAAAGGAAGCAACTAACGAGTAGCAGGGTCGTAGGAACTGAAATATCGTGCAACTAGGATATCTGTAGTATATTTGGAGGGCAAGGAGGCCATGATCTCAGCTCGATTGGTTGGTTTTGTAGCGCCAAAAAGGAGTGCGGACCCGGGGATATCGGTGGGTGGCTTGCTTGCCTGGAGCTTTTCTGCTTGTTCTTCATACTGCTTTTTGTGTGTGGTAAAATAATTTCGAACTTCGGCAATCTGAGGGAACAATGTTTGTTAGAATGGAAAGAATAGCAAGTGGCGTAAACGTGAACTTACATCGTTCAAAACGGATGCCCAATGCGCATCACTGATGTAGTATGACTTGTTATTATCAACTTTCATGATGCCGAATGATTTCGTGACTTGTTCTGTATCGCTTTCCTCTGGACCCACAGGGCCATCCTCCTCATTTGCGCTTACGCTCACGCTATTAGAATGATGAACAGAACCCGCACTGTCGCTACCAGATAACGCCGCCATGGCTGCCGCTGGCCCTGCAGATGGTGATCCATTGGTCATCAAAGACAACACCAGACCCTCCAACCGGTCAATCCTATTCTGCATATCGTCTGGAGTGGCCAAAGCCGGTTGCTGCGGGGTGTTTTTCTTCCGAACGCTGGGTTGAGCATATGAACAGGACGAGGCATCGCCGCGTTTGACGCAGTTTTCACATGGGTTTGAGCGATTGCATTTTAACCTATCCATGGTGTCAGAAGCTACGCATGTGGACATAAGTGGGGCTTTGATGAAAAGCTTACTTTCGTTGTCGACAAGGGCCGCAGGACAGAGGTACTCTGTTTCTCTTGCGGATAATTCTGTATTGTCCTTCGGGGGAATGTCCGCTGATGCTGGACTCGAGCGATGGTGGTGTTGGGGCCATTTTCAGGCACTTTTAAAATGATAATAAGACAACTGATATGATTTGGCGTCCAGATCAAATTCAGAACGCGATACAAACGGCGCGGAAAGCTCTTCGCGCTAGTATTCCAGCAATTATCCTCGAGGTTCTGTATTTCTCTCCAGGCCGTGTGCGCGCAGGGCCACGAGGCTGGCAATCACTTTATAAGTGACCACCAGACAGTCCCAGAAAATAGCTTAGTATATAGTCGCGATGCCACAATAAGTCACGTTCCAATGGCCAATTAAAGCGAGCAGATCTCCTCGTTATGACTTGTAAACGAATTCGATCGGTAGACGATGGGTTCAATTTTCGGGTCGCGGGGACAGTTCGAAGTGTGTTATCGGATCGAGAACGCAAAGGATCAGGCTAAGTGGACCAGTCTGTTTTTTTTTTTTTTTTTTCTCCCTGCACGTTTGGTTATATTAACAGTTAGACGCGCAATCTTGAAACAGGGCTGATATGGCAGGGTAGAAGGTACAAGATTCGAGTATGCGGCGCGGGGCGCAATATGATGAACGTACCATGTACCGATACCAATAGACGGTTCGAGCTCCTTTTCCGTATTGGATGTTGACAAAGCGCGACGATCTCAACGGAGAACAAAGAAATAGTCGAATCCAGCTCAGCAAATGAAGATTAAATGCTGGTGAAGAGTGTGTCGGGGAAGAATGTTGACTGTTGAAATCGTGGGTAGTGGTTGATTATCTCCGTTATCGCCCCGGGCGGTCTGTCTTGGCCGTAGAGCTTTATTCTGTCAGGCCATACGAAGCTTGGTAATTTTGGATGTCAGACTAAATAAGGATTTATAGACATATAATATGTTATATATATGGCTTGGTGAAGTCAATATTGTCAGCAATGAATTGCTTAACTGCTGTTAGATCATTCTACTCTCTATGGTCTAGTCTAGATATATATACATTTTAGTGAATGGAGGAGCATCTTTGTTAAAGAAAACATTTATATTTCTACTAGACAAGGTACATTTCTCATTTGGGTTCCTGGGTCTCGAATCAGATTCCCGAATCGTCCTGGAATCGTCCGTCGGGGTGCCAGTGGTTTTTCGGATTCTTAAACCAGATGTCCCAATCCTTACAGCTTTGGTTCAGTTGTTTAACATCATCCTTCTGGCTCTCCATTAGCGTCTTGAACATATCCTTGTCTTCCAAGATCTGGAATGCGAGGCCGGCCGAGGCATGCCATGCGATATGGCAGTGAACTGCCCAAGCGCCCGGATTGTCAGCCCGGAAGGCGATCACTATAAAGCCATTTCTTGGAAGCAAGACAACATCCCGACGGGGTGGATTGTTATATGTTAGCTTCAGCGAATTTTGATCAACATAGGGTTCATCTGACTGCTGCAGGAGTGCAAAGTCATGGCCATGCATATGGATCTATTTAAAAGTCAGATCCATTTTCTGAAATGAACGAAACGGCATATTTGCGGCATTTCCACTTACAGGATGTGCAGCGGGAATTAGTCTTCCTCCTTTCGATGGGCCTGGGTTTGTCTTCTGGTTGCCAATTATCACCATGTAATTCCAGTTCTTATGGGCGGAATCTTTTGCAGAGACTGAGTACACAACGGCATTGGGACCGAACGAACCGTCAAGATTCTTGACTGTTGGTTCCGTATAGTTGACCCAGATGGGGTGCTCCTGGGCGTTCCAGTTGTTAACCACATCACTCTCTTTCGGAGGTGATGGCAGACTCCAATTTGCAAGCATGATAGTGGAGTTCGGTATGACAAAGTCTTGCTTGTCCTTCTCTGTGAGAGGGGTAATATTCCAGTTCAATATTGGCTGTAACTTGTCGAAGGGCTCATCACGGCATATATATTTATAAGGACCCTCATTTGTCTGCGGCCATTTGCTCTTATGAGCTTCGTAGTAGAGAATTCCCTGTCGTACATCAAGTGTATCCCTAAAGTTGTTACAGTGATCGGCAGGAACGGTGCGGATCCAGAATTCATCTGTTTCATTGCGTTGGCTGTCAGGCCAGGTATTAAGAACAACATGGTATCGTTGACCTGGGGAATTGTAAGTTAAGTGCCCAGATCATACGGAAGAGGAACATGTAATACCAATTCCGATAGCCAGATGGTCAGTTATATATGGCTTTATGGGCACCAAATCCGCTTCGACGACCGTGAAGTTATGGTTATCAATGGCGAATATGAAAGTTGTATCTGTGGAAGTGTTGATCAATCTCAACAGGTACCGTTTTCCCTGCAGCATCATTAGACAGATTCACTAGTAGGTAAATAAAGAGGTGATAACTTACCCCTTTCACTGTTGTATTATATTTCTCCGGCACAATGCCAGCATAACTCCCTAAAGCTAGTCAGATATGGTGACTTCGAATCTTGGGTTTAGCAAGCGTTACCTCTCCCGTTCAGCAAAATACTTGTCATCTTCGGTGGCGCCTTGACAGCACTCCCCTTGATCCCAGCAAACTGTTCCTGATAATAATCTTGAAACGCACTTCGGTGGTTATGGTCTCCTAAGAGAATCGGATCGATTGAGTAGTCCCAGTTATCAGACGTGGGCCCATGAATTGTCAAAGGACCCAAAACACCATCGCTATATTGAAGTGAGTAATGACTGTGATACCAAGTTGTACCGTATTGTGTGGCAGTGAATTTGTAGGTAAAGCTTTTTCCCGGTGCAATCGGGCACTGGGTCACGCCAGGAACACCATCCATAAGGCTTTGGTTTAGCATGCGTATTCCGTGCATATGGATTGCAGTTCCGTTGTATGCCAGGTTATTCGTCACCGTGATTTCTGACAACATGAGCAAAGGATGCTGACTGGCAAGATTAGTAGGTCAAAACAGGACTCACCAACTTCATCGCCCCAGCACGCCTCTAATCAAGGTTGTCAGCAACGGTTTAAACCTTGAAGGTAAATGAACTCACGGATCCATGGCCCAGGGAAGGTTCCATTAAGCAACTTGGCCCCAGGGAAGTCTATTCCATCCCAGTTTGCTTTCGTATCATTGTTGACGAACACGTGATACTGTGTATAGACGTGTCAATGGACGTACACACAAAACGGACTATATCAAGTACTTACTTTGCGTGTTATTCCTCTCGGCCAATATTTCTCATAATCCGTGGAGATGTTGAACTCGTAACCATTGGTTTTATGTTGGAGCCAGACAGCTCTTTTTTCTGATGAATCAGGATATTTCCAGTTTTCCATATCATATACGCAACTAATGCGATCGTCCGGGTTCTCAGGGGCACCGGGAGGTTCAAATACCGGCGGAGTCTGTACATTGTCGTTCACAACATTGCCTACGCTCAAGGAGGCTGGGCCTTGGACTTCTTGCAAGGGCTCCTGGTCATTTCCAACGAAAGACGACAGGCCAAGGAACCTAACGATACTGATCATCCAATATTCGAAGCGCATTTTGAATGTCAAAGTTGCTTTCGCTCGGTTTCAGTGTGAATTGGGCTACAGCTTGTCCTGCAGCTTGACAATGTATATATACCCTGGCCATTCGCAGAAGGGGCCACTGTCTACCTGGGTCAATACGTGCACTCATAAGTCGTATACATCACTCCCGAACACGTTCCATACAAGCATCTAGTGGACTAACTGATGCATGCGGAAGAAAACAATGCTTGATTTGATATCCACGGGTGGAACCGAAAACGAAGCCCTGCAGTTAAAAGGTAATTGTTAATTTAACCTTGATTGATTTTAGGCTTAGCCGGCTAAGCCGTTATCATACGAGGGAACTGGGTCGTAGGTTAGCGTTGCTGAAGTATCTTGATCACTTGCAGCTTCCTCTAGCGCAGCTATCTTTGAATCAGAAGTGATTGATGGAAATTGATGTGTTGTCTTTTAATTGCTCTACAGTTTCTTCAGACCTCTCTATAGAAAGTTTTTTTGAACTACCGTATGTTCGATAGGGTTAAGTTCAGACGGTTACAACGGCCACTCTACCAAGATTTCCAACCGTTTCTTCTTTCAAGCTATAACCATGGATGGAGCGTTATATTATGCATAAACACCAGATCAAGCAGAATATAGATTACCTCGAGGATTTGGAGATACGACGTCGCAAGTTTGGTAGCGCCATTTTAACTTTGAGCTTAGGCCTGTATATGGGCTGGCCCGGAAAAGACAGGCCCCGAAGCCATGATGGAGCAGAGTCTATCACAAGTCTACCCATCCAGAGTAAGCTAAAATGGGGTAAAGATTATTAGACAAGAAATTACGTACCGACTATAAAAAAAATACAATGGGATGCAATAAGTGTCCATGCCCCCGTTTTTTGCCAAAATTTGAACCCCGGACTCTATAACCACCTGGTGCGGTGCACCTAGCAGAGGTGGAGGACCATACAGCATTTGAGACGATCCTGGGGGCATTATGAGCCAGTGCTGCAGTCAGATCTGTGGCGGATCGGAGTGGGAGGGCTCGGGGCCTTTTTGACCAGTCCTCAATCCGGGCGAGTTGGTGGAATGATGGATGATATGTGATAGTCAATGTGACAGTCTCGAACAATATAAATTTATTGGTAGACTCTCTATCGAAATACTAACATGGAGAAGGAAAGAAAGAAGCTGGGCCTGCCGGCGCTGCGCTATCTAGTGTGCGAAGGGGGTTCCTACCCTATATTCAAACAGGCCAAATGATACAAACATCTTGCGTTGTTGGTGAATGCCCGTACTCCGTGACAGTCAATAGGAACAGTCTGTAAATATCCAGGGTTCTTGAATTGACACTGCGTGGCAGTTACTTTCAAAGGCTATTTGGAGCGCAGATTCGTGCGCTTCCCAGTTTCAGCCAACATAAAATTGGAGGATCTGTAGGTGAGATAGTTTATCTAACATGATTGAGACTGTTCTCTTGTAGGTAGGAAGCCTGAGTTTCCCAGGGGCTCAGTTGTGCCAGTCTGATCTTTTTGCATGTTTTGGCGTGCACCTGATTTCCTGACTGCAATGAGTTGTGATTTAGATAGCTTTTGGATGATTCTCTGTTGTATGGTAGGTCTGATGAGACAGTTGTAGTGGACTGTTGGGAAAGGGCCGCAGTGTAACGGCTCAGCCCAGCGCCTTCATCAGCAAACATCATCAACACGGCAAACAATACCATGGAAGCAATCAAGATAAACAAGCTGCTTAGCGAGACCACACACAACCATATGGGACTTCTTCACGTAAAAAGACTTGCCTCTTATTTTCTTTTCTTCTCCAGATTCGATATTCTAGTCAATGGCTACACTGGTTTAGATAGGAAGATCAATTCGTTAATATCTTCTAGCTATTGAGCCCGTGACACGCAGCATTGGTACAGCATGGGTCTGAAGTTTCAACATCCTCTGGAGACGAGTGAGTCTCTTCAGTGTGGCCTCTTTTGCTGCAAATGTAGCATTTGGGTGTGCAGGTACAGGTCCAGGAGTTATGATAGTCTCAGCAACGTGTACATTGCTCTATACGGGTTCAGAAGGGGTTAAGCTGTGTTTTGTCAGGGTGCAGGGTCATGTACAGATATATTAGGAATTGATGAACAGGTTAAGCTACAGGTCAGGCTATCTACAGGTACATAGACAAGACGCAGCTCGAAGAGCTGCGATAGGATCGGCTTCAGCAGGAAGAGATATCTCCTGTGGGTCACTGTCGGAGATGTGGCTTAGTCAGGGTTGAAAGTACGTATCAAGCGTATATGGTTGAGGTCTCTAATTCTTGCAAAAGTGTGCTATCTAGGATCCTATATAAGACCGTAACTACCTTATAGAGTATACTAAGCGATTGTGCGGTTTCAAAAGCAGTAATAGCAGAGTAAATACGCTGCTTGCGCCATATGATATCAGCGAGGCATCAATCAGGCATCAGTTGGTATTGTTCGGTAAGGAACCTCTATATTCCGACAGTCACATGCAAGTCACGTGCATAGATCGCAGGCTGTGATGAAAGTGATTCGGATTCGGATTCGGATTCGGATTCGGATTTACTCATACCCGTCCCAGCCAATCTTAATCCATGGCTATGCGGGAACTGCCCCTCCGGCTGTAAGCCGCCGGGGTAGTTTTTGATACCTATTTACATCTATGGTGTGTGCTTTTCTTGAGGGCTCGGCTCCTCTCAGATTCATGAGAATCCGGGGCTCCCCGGGCTCTCTTAGATTGCTATGTACCCAAAGACCTCAGTGCTCTGCCTAACTTGTTTCCTCCTCGTTTACGGCCCCGAATTGCCCAAGGAGCCTGGTTCTCAGCATGAATTTGGCTGCACAGATTGCAAGCTTAGGCGTGTTCAGGATTGCCCTCAAATTCCCTCCCCCTTCTAGTCCTCCGCCTGGTTTTCCCAGGAACTGCTCTCGAAGATCCTTGAAGATGGGGCATGCCAGGAGTACGTGCCGCACTGTCTGGGTGGCCTTCCCACAGCGGCAGTCCCTGTCTGGTATGTCTGGCACCCCACGCTGGTAGAGGTAGTGTCGGAGCCCTATCTTTCCTGTGCGCATCTGGATGATGACTGTACTGAGTGCCCGATGGAGACCTGAAGAAAGTGAAGGAAGTCGAGATGGATTAATAGTTGGTCCGATTACCGAGGCCGACAGATCCCTCATATGCGGACAGACTCGTTTAGATAGCTAAGCACTCATTCTACCATCTATGGTGTCTATAGATATCAATGCCACTCTCCGTGTAATCTAAATTTCCTCTTCATATATAGCCTCGTGCAGTCCGGATAATCGACTCCCCGACTTCCCCGACTTGGAGTTTAAACCGCCTTATTGGCTTATCCGTTTCATTACTGATAGCCAACACACACTGCATCTTCTCTTTCTCTTGATTTGCCCACTTCATATCCTCTTTTGCTTCACTATTCTCGTTCTTTTGGTGGGACACTCTTAGAAAGCGAGGCTGGTCTCCACGTCAACAATCAATTTATCTCCATATTTTATCCATTCTCCGGATCTCAAGCCCGGGGGCTTCTTCAACGTATCTTTTTTTCTTATCTATTTTCAGTCATCCATCACTCATCCCACCGTAACCATGTCCTCCAGAGGTAACCAACGAGGTCGCGGTGGAGGCGGTCGCGGTGGATCAATGGAGCTTCCTTACCGCCCTGGGGGTGATAACCGTGGTCGTGGTGATTTCAGAGGTCGGGGTGACGGTAGAGGCCGAGGTGATAGTAGGGGCCGAGGGAGAGGTGACGGTGGAGATCGAGGAGGGAGAGGTCGTGGACGAGGCGACTTTCGAGGCGACTTTCGGGGTCGTGGAGGTCGTGGAGGAGGGCCTCCTAGAGAACAGGGTCCCCGGATCTTTACGTATGTCCCCTTAAATGAAGATGTGGTGGCTAAGGGTGGCTCCGACTTGACTAGGTTGATTGAGACATGATGTTCCTTCTAGCAACCCAAGCGGTCAGGCTGCACCATCGACCGAAGTTACAAAGATCGAGGATGCAACCGCCAATGCTTTGGCAGCCAAGAACCAGAAGACTCCAGGCCAGCCTCGTTATCCAGCACGACCGGGATACGGAACCCAGGGACAGCCTATCAAGCTCTACGCCAACTATTTCGAGTTGAAGTCCTTGGGCAAGGAGCTCTTCCGCTACCATGTCGATATCGGGGGTGATTCTGCCGGCCGCAAGCCCACCGGGAAGAAAGCCCGACAGGTCATTCGTCTGCTGCTTGATGAGCACTTTCTCCAGCACCAGAACAGCATTACCACAGACTATCGCTCTACGCTTGTGTCGCGGATTGAGCTTCCGAATGAGGGAACCTATGTTGTCCGTTACCGCGATGAGCATGAAGACGAATACTTAGAGAACCCCAAAGTCTACAAGGTCACCTGCCAGTTCACAGGCAAGCTCAATCCTTCCGATCTGCTGGATTACTTGACATCCTCCAATGCCTCAGCCATGTTTGAGACCAAGGCAGAGGTCATTCAAGCTATGAACATTGTCCTGGGCCACCGACCGAAATCCGATCAAGCCATTGTATCGGTTGGTGCAAACAGACATTACGCTATGTACCCAGACTTGGCGGAAAAATGCAGCTTGGGTGCTGGCCTGGAGGTCCTTCGGGGCTTTTTTGTCAGTGCTCGTGCAGCGACAGCCCGTATATTGGTAAATGTGCAGGTCAAATATGTGGCCTGCTACCAGGAAGGCCCACTGGCAAACGTTATTTTTGATTACCAACGCGGCAACGGCTCAAACATCTACAAACTTGAGGCTTTCCTCAAAAAATTGAGAATTAGGGCGAACCACATCGTCAAGAAGAACAAAAAGGGACAGGATGTTCCCAGAATGAAGACAATTGCAGGCCTGGCCACTCGTGCTGACGGATCGTCACTATCTCAGCCTTCTAAGGTGTCCCACCACGGGGCTGGTCCTCGAGATGTTCAGTTCTTCCTTGGCCAGCCGGGCCAACAGTCATCGTCTCAAGGCCAGAGCGGGCAAACACAGGGCAAAAAGGGCAAGAAACATCCCAAAGCTGGCCCAGCGCAGGCTGGCAAGTACATCACCGTGGCCGACTTCTTTCGTCAGGGTAAGTATATTTTGCAAATATATAATTATGTGATCATTGAACAAGCTTGTCTGACGTGGTTCAGCGTATAATATGAACCTCGACCCCAAGATGCCCGTGATGAACGTCGGGAACAGACAGAACCCGTCATACCTGCCTGTCGAGGCTTGCATGGTCGAGCCCGGCCAGCCTGCAGGCGCCAAGCTCAGCGGAGACCAAACCCGACACATGTTGAACTTTGCTGTGCGGACTCCTGCGCTTAATGCCGGGTCTCTCGTGAACCATGGAAGTCGCGTACTTGGCTTTGTTGGGCAGAACCCTACTCTGGTGAGTTTTGGCTTCGTTACCTCCTCTCAAACTCCGAGCCACAAGTCAGAGGCGTTGTTGCAATGCGTAACTGACAACCATCTCTAGGCGAATTTTAACATCCAGCGCGGGCCTGACCTTGTCACTGTCCCTGGCCGTGTTCTCCCCGCGCCTCGTGTCTACTATAAGGACAACAGGTCGCAGCAGAAACCGGTCGATCCTATGAATGGTAGCTGGAATATGAAGGCAATTCGATTCTCACAGGGAACTAAATTGGCTTCTTGGTCATGGATTTACTTTGATGCTCCCAGGGCCAGGCAACACTTCAATGACCCCGATGATTTGACCGCTTCCTTGAAGGGTCTCGCTGGGAAGTTGAACGAAATGGGTGTCGCGACATCGGTACCTAAGCCTGGCAGGAAAATCAATCTGTCCGGACAGAACACGGAAAAAGAGGTTGAGAATGCGATTTCTGATATGGTGGCCCGCCACCAGCCTACGCTGATCTTCACTATTCTCCACGGCAATGACAGTGAACTGTACAAGTGCGTGAAGCAGGTCTGTGACGTCCGCCAGGGTGTACGCAACATCTGCGTACTCGCTGATAAGCTGAAGGGGGCCAACGACCAGTACTATTCCAACGTCGGTCTCAAGTTTAACCTGAAGCTTGGCGGGGCTAACCAATCTTTGCGACCGGCGGATCTAGGTATCATCAGCGAAGGAAAGACTATGCTCGTGGGCCTTGATGTAACACACCCGTCCCCCGGTTCGGCAGGCAATGCTCCTAGCGTGGCCGGCATGGTTGCCTCCGTAGACCGGTACCTGGGCCAATGGCCCGCTGAGATCAAGATCCAAGCCTCGCGACAGGAGATGGTCTCCGATCTTGACTCCATGCTCAATACATGTCTCCAGCGTTGGGCCCGGATGAACAAGAGGAACTACCCCGAGAACATCATCGTTTATCGTGACGGTGTCTCTGAGGGTCAGTATGATATCGTCCTCGACAAGGAACTCCCGCTCCTCAAGAAAGCCTGCGAGGAGACCTACCCAGCGACTTTAACCAAGAAGTCTCTCCCGCGCGTCTCCATTATCATCGTTGGCAAACGTCACCACACCCGCTTCTACCCTACGACCGACGCAGATGCCGACCGCGGTGCCAACTCGAAGAACGGCACTGTGGTGGACCGTGGCGTCACCGAAGCCCGCAACTGGGACTTCTTCCTGCAAGCCCATTCAGCCATAAAAGGTACCGCCCGTCCCGCCCACTACTTCACCGTCTGGGACGAGATCTTCGCCCACCAGAAAACCCCACAGGGATCCCCGTTCAAGAACGCCTCGGATATTCTCGAAGACCTAACCCACCGCATGTGTTATCTCTTCGGACGCGCTACTAAGGCAGTCAGTATCTGCCCGCCGGCGTATTATGCGGATTTGGTCTGCGAGCGAGCTCGTTGTTACCTGAGTCAATTGTTTGACCCGACGCCTGCGGCGACGCCGTCGGGAAGTCTCATCAGCGGTGCTGCTGGAGGCTCGGAACTTGGAGATGTTGCGATTCACCCTAATGTCCGTGACACGATGTTCTACATCTAAGCGTGTTTTTCTTGGTTAGTATGCTGGGCCGTATCTTCGGCTTTAGGTAGGCTTTTTTTTTTTTTTTCAATTTTTTGTTGAATTGGCTTTTTGAATATGAACGACGTAAACGACCCAGAATGTCAATGTTTTAACCACGTTTGTCAATCGCTCTGAGATTGGTATAGCCAGTGCCATTTACTGCATTTTTGGAATATCTCCCTGTCGGTATTCACTTTACTTGAAGTCAAGTCTCGTAGTAAATTCTGCAACTCATTGTAGCTCCCCTTTCAACAAAGTTGCCACCTCAAATCCTCGCCAGGGTTGACATCATATGGCTCAACCATACGACCTAACGTTATAATCGACAATTTCTTCATCATTCTTTGAATACATACCAGTCAGCAAAGTCTACAGCCCATGATTTCTACTGTTCTGATCAATTTTAACCTTCCCTCCAATATGAGAGGCAGAATTTGCATGTCAGTCTATTAATAGACCTGTGTTTTACCAAATAACCGTTTGAAAGCCCGTTCACCACCTCTACAGCTATCATACAACCGGCGACGCCCAAGCACTCACCCCTCATTGAAGGTCCGACCCAGAAAAGAAGGAGTCACCTGTGTATATTGTGCAATGCCATAGGTACCTTACAAGTGTTATAGGGAATATAAATGGCAGGCTATTTCACAAACTCCCACCACGTAGCTGGCACTGCCTGGAGCCTGATAAACTCCAAGGGATGGTCTTCGGGTTTGGTAATTCTTCACGAGAAGGACGTGTTAGTATGTAGGACATGAGACAGATCATGGAAGGCGTTGAGCGAGCGTTTGTGTTCTTGGAATTCCTCGAAAGGAATAATCCTGGGCTTGTTTCCCGAGGACTAAATTAGCAGCAAACCTTCATTGGAATGACCTTATGTAGTGACCCTATCAAGAACGGGATAAGTCAGTCGACCTTCTTGATACTGAGCACCGCGATCGAAAGCATCAGCACCAAATGATCAATGCTTCTGCGCAATTATTTATTCCATTATAACTTAAAAGGACATGGAAGAGAAGAGACAGTGCGAGACTTTGAAAAAAGATTTAAGCCACAGAAAAGCCCAGCACGATTCCTGCAGATAGCATGGGTCATTTAAGGTAGTTGAATTTACAACAAACTACTCGAATCAAGCCAGAGTGCAAGGGCATTCGACTACAATACTTTAACACCATATATTATATTACAGAGCACATAGCCATTGGTGTTAGATCTTGTTAAACGAGCCCATGGGGTTCAGGAAGGCTGTTACCTGAAAGCATGCGAGACTGACAGAGACAAGCCAATTACGGATAATCTGCTCACTGCATTGGCGCCCTTTTAGATCACCACTGTATCTCTTCCAGGCAATCGAAAACACATCGAACATGGAAAAGGGGGCCCAAAGAAACGATACTTACCGTGCCTAAAGCATCTTGGCTAAACCCGGAGTTCAATTCTATTGACATCAGTGAAAAGAATTGTCTACCATCGGCAACATAGAGGACTTGGAAATTGGAAATATCACGAGCCGCCATTCTGTGGCCCTGTTGCAATGTATTTTTTGACAAAAGGGACCCTCTCACCAGAATTGCAAGCAAGAAGGTGCTTAAAGAAGGCTCAGGAAGCAGAATATATCACAAGGGTCAACTACCGTTGATAAAGAAGGCGCTTAAAATTGTTATAGATATGAGTCGCCATACGATGGCCCCTTTACAGCGTAAAGCAATATGAAGGGGCATCCTGGCCAGAATATCTAGCGACTAAGTGCAAGAACCACTTGAAACAAAGATCCAATGGATGGAATCCACCAAAAGGTCGACCAAACACAGCAACGATAGCTAGTCAAAGTTCTATCCTCAGCTTCCAATGACCAATTGAATTAAGAAGATCTATACATGAAGAGCAGACAGCCCTAATGGAGAAAGCCAGTATACAAACCTAACGCAGCCTGCGACTCGATGAAATCTCTAAATAATTTGTTCAATCTCAGCGGATATCCAAGCCCCAAAGCAAATATCGATGCACTGATCAATTGGGTGAACTGACTTTAATAGTTGCATCTTCTGTCGTTCTGTCTTACGTTTTTGAATCATAGAGTTTATCTGGTTTGTACAATGCCACATAGATACTGTCACAACCTGGCTTCTCTCGTATCGTACCTAGGGTTCTAAGTAGTTGTATTTCGAGACAGGACACTTACCCTAAGTGTCTTCCAAGCACTCATATGCTCAATGACCATCCAGGTCCTCTGTATATCACGTCGAAGGTATATCGCCCCCTCCAGGCTCCGTAAGATAATCAACAAGTAGAAACGGTAAAGGTAACGAATAGAGAAACAAGGCCAACCGAGCACGTATGCTGGGTTGTTGGTTAAGTGCGGACGAGTCAGAAACTAGAAGGTAACCAATGCTTGGTTAACTAGATTGATTGCGAAGAACTAACTAGGTGCATGAATGAGTGTCCTTATATATCCTCCGCTTGTATACCATATGGACTACCATTCTGATGGTAGTGACTATGGTAGTTGTATACCATCTACCAATGCCAAGCCATGGTATATGGTAGTTGATCACGTGATGCGCCTGTTAACTATCACCTATGATCCCTGTCCTTCCTGCATTATTACCAGAGCTTATAGTCCAATGATTCTGCCTTGACTCCCCGCATAATCACGTGAGATTAGTGCCTTAGGGGTCTGTAACAGATACGCAATGACTAAGGATGCATGGATTTAAGGCTCTTACAAGTCTTATTCCCTTGACATTGCACGACAGTTTGCGACAGCTGCAGATAGAATTAAAAGAATTTTCAGGAAGAACCACGACTTGTTGCTGCAACAGGACGACCACAACAGTCTAGGAGCTTCTGGTTCCACCTCTCCATGGTTCATGGGTTTCCTAGTGGGGTACATATGCTCTAAGCTTGCGCTGTGGGAATCAAAAGTTAGTGGTCAATGGGCGCCATATGGCTTTCCCTGTTCATCTTGGAAAAATACATGCTCAACATGTACCAAGGACGAGGCAAAAGTAACACACAGTTCTTCATGATGACCGACGCAGGATGGCCTTCATCATCTATACAAACGAAGTATCATACCAGCAAATGTGTCTCCCCAATTCCTCATGTCGTGAATAAATATACAAGCAGAGTTAAGTTGTAAAAAAAACTTCACGTAGTATAATTATCAAACCATATCTGGAGTATACACTGCAAAAACCCCTGTATGTAGAGAAATAGCCCCGACTGCATTTTTGAGGGGCATGCGCTCGATTGGTAGGGCGAGGGAAGAATGGTTTGGTGCCGGTTTACGCCATCAATATTAGCAAAGGTTCACTCCAGAACAGTCTATAACCCAAAGGAGGTACACTCTATAAACATGCAATGATGTAGATATACATTAAGAGACGGAATTCTGTGGCTCTATGTACGAAAATCAATACTTACTCGGATCCGGTGACGTGGACCGACTGCTTTCCGTTCTGTTGCGAGTTAGCATATGTCGATGAAGATGTAGAAGTGAAGTATACCTCAGTCTTGTAGTACTTTACACCAACAGAGTTCCCATTCGCAGTATCATGCGGGATAGGGCTCGTGTAGTTGTAAGTCGGCTGGAGACCGGCCCAGGTCTTCTTAACAGTGTTGAGAATGCTGCGACTACCGGAGCAAGTACCACTTGTCAAAGGAACAGCCCACTTGGGAGAGTACTCAGAGAATTCTCCCTCAGACAACGGGCCGGGGTAAGTCTCGTTGAGGTACAATTTATCGGTGTCCACCTCCCAGTTAGTGTATCCAGTCTTCTCAGCAACCCAGCTGAGGAGGTTGGCACCGCAGTCCCAGCGGCCAAGGGAAGGAAGTCCCCAGTTCGCAGACAAGGAGGCAATGATGGAGTAGTGAGTGTAAAAGGTGTCGTCCTCCTTGCCCTTGAGGTTCTCAGGGATAGCACCGCCAAGAAGGAAGGTGAAGACCTTGTTCCCGATCTCGTAAGTGTCGGTCTCATCGAAAGTGAGCTGAATCAGAGTGTCCTTGGTGAAGTATTCATCCTCGAGCAACTCAGCGAGGAAGTGGTAGGTCCAGCTCCCGGCAAAAGTGATGTCAGTGTCGTGGGCATCGTTAGTCATGTTAGGAGTAATGAACATGTGCTGAGGGAGTTTCTGGTTCTTCAGGTCATCGTAGAAGCTGGTAAAGTTCTTGATCTGGCGTACACGAGTGTCATCATCGGTAACAGAGTCGAAGAGGACCAGCGGGTTGTGCTTGCGGACGTAGTCGCTTGCGTCGGTTTCGGAGAAGCTGTAGCCCTGGTAGCCAGCGTAGGGCAGGTGCTCCTGGTACTCGCCCCAGGAGATGTCCTTCGTGTCGAACAGATCCGCGATTGTCGAAATGTTGGAGGGAAGCTCGACAAATTCGTCATGGTCCATACCCCAGGTATCACCACCGGCGGAGGCACAGTAGTTGGGTTGCGAAGGGTGCGTGAGGGCCCAGAAGTTGGTCAGGGTGACACCCTGCTTGGCCAGCTTGGAGAGGTGGGGGTCTTTGGTGGCGGCTTCATAGTCCTAGCGATCGCATAGCTGTTAACCGTTGGCCCACACAATCAATGCGCAAGAAAGAACATACCGTATTCTCCAACCAGATGTTGACAAACCGGTTAAACGACAGGCCCTGAACATTCGAAACCGGAGAGTTAGGCTTCACAGTCGCCCGTGCCTTTGCGGTATCCTCGGAAGATGGGTTATGAGAGCTCTGTGCGGCGGAAAGAGAAAGACCTCCGAGGAGGGCGACGAGAGAACCCTTGGCGTGCATGATGCCAACAACGCTGAGAAGCTTGATTTGACAGGAATGCTTGTTAGAAAAATAAGAGAGCTAAGACAGCGACCGGCTGCTCTTATATATGGCTGATCTTGTCGCTTTGCGTGCGCTGACCAATCGGTCCTTTTGAACTGTCGGGCTTGGGGGGTTTCCCAATCGGGAAGGCGAGATCGGGGTGCTTGTTCCACGTTGTTCATCCCCTTGCGCTGATTGGGTGTGACAGCCTGATACTAGTCTTATTTGGGTATGATTTTTTAGAGTGGAGTATCCTCGCGCCTAGAGCTTATCCCGTAAGCCAGTCCTATTGGACTGGCTAAGCGGGGTGTGGGGCAATACCGAGATGGCAGAGGCACGTGCCGGTATCTCGGACTCTCTATGCATCGGACACAAGCGAACGTCGTATTTCGTACATGCCATTTCAGTCCATTCATTGTGATAGGAAATGTCATCAGACAATACCGAACTGTCATCAAACCGCATCCTGTGCCCTCCTCACGCGCTGTGCCGCATCGTCCCGAACTCTCTCCACAATTTCACCAGCATCCAGAACCTCGCTAACCAATCCAACACCCGCTCCTGCGTATGTAGCCAACCTCCCTTCGGGCCCCCATGCGGCATCCCCCTTAGCTTGGACCTCGTCGTGTAATTTCTTCAACTCATCAAACGGAACGCCGGCAACATGGTCCTCCCAACTGCGATTCGTCACTGTCCGCGGACTAAACGGTTCAGGCCATCCATATGTCCCGCGGAGATGATTATATAGTAATGTACGCGTAGTACTAACAGCACCCTCCGTGGCCTGGACAACAGCATCCCGATATCCTTTACTTATGCGCGCCTCAGTCGATGCCAGAAATCGTGTTCCCATAACCACCCCATTCGCACCCAGACAGATAGCAGCAGCAGCACCCCGTCCATCCGCAATGCCACCAGCAGCGAGAAGTGAGATGTCATATCCCACAAACACATCCGCGACTTCAGGTAGCAAAGTAATAAGCCCCATCCCATCCTTTGCTCGACCATGTCCACCCGCCTCAGCACCTTGGACGATAACGACATCGGGCCGATGCGCACTTTCGACTATGGACCGTGCCTCTGCCACAGTCCCAATTTGAAGCCAGACCTGCGTTTCCGGAGAAGCCTCGCGGATCCCCTGTGTCCAATCATTCAGGTCCTTCTGGCCGTTGCGGGGTGCATATAACCATACCGCACAGGGCTTGTGCGATGCTATAGCAGACAAAGCCGTTTGCAACTCATCTTTCCAGAGAAGAAAGCCTACTCCGACAGGCAGAGTTGAGTGACCAGAGGGCAGCAGGCTAGAGAGAGATTCGGATTGCCAGATTGCCTTGGCAGCGGTGCTCAGATTTTGCTCTATGGTATTGGCATCCATTGCTGGGCCGATGAATCCTAAACCGCCTGCTTTAGAGACGGCGACGGCCAGGGCGGGGCCGGCGGACATGGCCATCGGGGCGTTGGCTAAGAGGGGCTTTTTGACCCAGGGAAAATTGGTTGAAGGCATTTTGATGAAGTAGAAAGAATTTATATGATTCAGTTTGAGTTCTCTGGGACTGTTGTTGAAAGATGGTGTTGGTACGAACTGTTCATGTGTCATCAGCTGTACGGATTTACGGATAACCGAGGATGATAGTCGAAAATTAAACGTTCACATTTCTACACATCAAGAAAGGATGGTGATTTATAACTAGAATCGGTACTGATATCATAAGAGCCGTATCAACTTATTTTAGCGCTACAATTTTCTTTTATGTGGTCGAAGTCGTCATTGATTCTCCGTACCAAAAGAACGCTTTCTATCTATATACATGTATATGCAAGCATATCTAGAAAGCATCATGAAAAGACATTAAGTCGTCGTCATATCTAATTAAGCAAAAGACTTGGCCTCGCCCTCCTTGAGCTTACCAGCACCAACCAGTCTCTTGACCTCCTCAACGTACACGTTCTTAACAGCGCCAGCATCCTTGCCAGCAGCAGTAAGACGCTCAGCAAGTGAAGCAAGGTCCTCAGCCTCGAGCTTGCCCATGATAAGGTCAACATCAGACAAGACAGAGTCAACCTGGGCAGCAGAAGGCTCTCCTTCGGCAAAGTAGCCGACATCCTTGACAGAAGCCTTGACAACACGCTTGTTCTTCTTAGCGGCATTCTTAGCGGCCTCTTTGGCCTTCTTGTTCTTCTCACGGTCAGCCTTGGCGGCCTCCTCGGCGTCCTTCTTGCGCTGCTCCTCCTCAAGACGGGCTTTCTCCTTCTCCTCAACCAGGCGCTTGGCCTCGGCTTCCTTCTCGAGACGCTTCTTGTCCTTGCCGGCACGGGCCTGCTGGCGGAATTTCTTGATACGCTCGTCCTGGCTCGAGGCGTCGTCTAGGATCTTACGGAGACGGGTAATGTCCTCGGTCTTGCGCTTACGGCGGGCGTTGGCGTTCTTCTTCTCGATGTGACGCTTCTGGTCACGGTTCTCGTTGTCATCGGGAACATCCTCATCGAGGTACTCGAACGATCTCCAGCTGTCAAAGTTGTACCAGAAGTTGTAGAAGTTCTCAAGCTCCTCCTGGGTGGTGTTGTCGTCACCGAACATAGGCACAGGCTGGATCTTGGAGAAACGAGCCTCAGACTCGAAAACCCGTCCCCAAAGCTTGAAGAATTTACCCTTGGCGGCAGCCTCCTTCTTAGTCGGGGGCTCAACTTCGGCAGCTTCATCGACGGAGTCGAACTGGCGGCGACGGACGGGGTCAGACAGCAGCTCGGAAGCCTTCTGGATACACTTGAAGAATTGGTCGTTCTCGTCGCGGTCTCCCATGGCGGCCTTCTTGTCAGGGTGGTGGCGGAGGACCTTCTTGCGGTGGGCACGCTTGATCTGGTCGGGGGTTGCGCGCCAGCGGTGCTTGGCCAGACCCATAACAGCATAGTGGTCTTGGCTCTTCCAGTCCTTGGCTTCACGGGAGAGCAGCATAGGATCCTCGGAGTCCGAGATGTCGTCGTCCTCATCCTCCTCGGTCTTCTTGGCGGTGTTCTGGGCCTGGATGCGCTCATCCTCGGAGAAGGTACGGCCGTGACGGGCCTAGGCGGTGTTAACAATTCAATTTCATCAATTCATGAGCCATAGAGGATAGAAAAACATACACGGCGAGCGTGAGCCAGGAAATAAGGACCAACCGGCTCCAAGTTCCTCTGAGTAGCACCGGAAAGGGCACCAACGGCCTTGAAGTCCTTCTCAGCACTCCATCCCCCGGACACAAGGGGAAGGGTAGCGTTAACAGTCTGCACAGCAACCATTTTTCTGATTCCCTTCTGCTGTGTTATGCTTTGAAGGAGATTGGAGGTGGGATGTGAGGGTTGTGCGGCGCTGATCGAAAGAAGTCAAAGCAATTTTTTTCTGCCGAGGTATCCCGCTTTCTGGTGGACCAATCATGGCCAGCTGGTTTTGGAGGCATGGACTATCATAGAATTTCGGACTGCAAGTACTTCTCTGGCTCGATTTCAATCGTCACTTTTACTTCGATTTTAGTATTATTGCTTTGCTGGAATCTTGCTTGTACTAGGCAAGTGCAACTCTTTTCATTCTGTGACCGTTGCGACTCGATTCTTCAGATCTTCGCCACCCGCTCTTCCGGAGAAGCAGCTCGATAACTACGCTTGACATTGACCATTCTACACCACTGTCCCATTTGCAATCAATATCTATACTATGGCTCCCCAAACAGCCATCTCCGCACGAAGTGCCTACCGTCAACTCCTCCGCGCCACCCGCGTCGCTTTCCAAGGTTAGACACCTCCCCAATTCATCGAAGAAGCACTATTAGACTAATACTTCATGGCTTATAGATGACGTCCGAGTCCTCGTCGCATCCCGACAGGAAGCACGCCGGAACTTCGATGCCCACCGCCGCCTAGCCGTCGATACGCCGATGCAGATCAAACACGCTGTTGAAGTCGCGGATCTCCTTAGACATAACCTCGTGCAGGGGTCAAGGGAGCAGGGTGTTGAGGATGCGAGGTGGGGTGAGTTTCTCCCTAACTCCAGTGGTGATTTTGGTATAGTGACAGGATGGTGCTCACATGGTTGTAACAGAACTCCGTATCCACGAGGAGATCGAGCGAGGGGATAATGACTCGATCAAGGTTGGAGGGAAGAGTGTCAAGGTTGATAAGCCCTGCTCGGCGCAATGATTGTTGCATACCTTGATTATTTCCCTTCTCGTTTCCCATGGATGGTCTTTACGCTTACGCATACTGTATTCTTCTGAACGATTACTGGAGCGAAAGCAGAAGCACTCGCAGATTGTATTATAGTATACCCAATTTTTTCTCTCCTTTGGCGTTTTGGGGGTACTTTATTGGATACTGTGTATAAAACATAAGCCAAAATCAACGCCCGCTCTTTAACGTACACATTATGCAACTTCCTTTGTCCAATTGAAATCAAATCATAAACAGGCAATTAATCGCCATGCAAACTCGAGTATTGAACTTCGCTGCTTCCAGGAGGCGGAGCCACGGCGAAGTTGCGAGGAGTCTCCTGCTGTGTCGCGCCCTCGCTAGTAGTAATGGCTTTCTTCTCTGGCTGCTTGTTTTGGATGGTACCGGCGGCTTGTCTTCCTTCACGGGCATTCTTAATACGCTCCTCGTTGCTCATGTTATCCAAAGGCTTAGGCTTCCCCCACTTGATGCGCAGAGGGCAACCGTTGACGACAGCCTTACCCTGGCAATGTGCCGCGGCGCCTTCGGCACTAGCGCGAGTAAGATAGTTGACAAACGCGCAATGGGAGCGATGGGAGCAGACGAGAGACCGAAGTTGGCCAAACTGCGTGAAAAAGGTGCGCAATGCATGTTCCGGAAGATCGTCCTCGATACCAGAAACAAACAGCGAGGTGACGTTAGGATCAGCAGGAGGGAGAATATCCTCCGCCGATGGTGGAAGTTGTGCGGTACTAGGGAACGGTCGGCCACCGCGACCTCCACGGCCTCCACGAACTCCTCCTCCACGGCCGGGTAAGGGCGTCCCTCTTCTGCTTTCGCTTGTCCGAATAGGTCCAGGGCCATTTCCGTAACGACTGCGCACCTGAGGCGCCTCGGACGACGGTGCCTCGGCTTCCTCTTCATCACCCGGAGGAGCTTCCAATCGCCGGGGCTTCCTATAGTACGGCTCACTGTTCGCAAGCCTGCGGAGCAGCTCCCGCGCTTTTTCATCCGTCTTTTCGTATTCCTCCACCGCGCCGCGCCCTTCCTCGATTTCCCTCTCGTGTTCTTGGGCGTAGTATTCACGGTTAACATCACTCTGCGGCCCCGGGGCAACCATTTTCAAAGCCGCATCACGGACGACAATGGGCAGACCGAATGACAAGTCAAGCATGCAGCACTGGCAACAGTTCTTTAAGCGGGCGCACGTCAGGCAAATGCTGGTGCGCTTCGTGCGTGCGGTGCGATCGGCTTTCCACCGGAAAATGGTAAATGGACGCGTGCACTTGTTATTCGTTAGCATACCTTTCGTAGATTGTGAAAGAAGAGGTCCATACAATTTTACATTCTGCGCCATGGTCCTCCTTCAGCATCTGCACATATGGGTTGTCCGGGAGGCAATTCTCGCAAACCGAAGGGAAGTCAGTGCTTTCCCAACCGGACCGGTTGAGATCTTGCTTAATCTGTGGGGGAGGCATGGTTAAAGTAAACGACCTATCTTTAATTGAACAGCGGGCCACGAGTAATCGAAGTCACGCAGGACAAACGTTTATCGATAGGAGTCTTACTCTGTGGCGGTGCGTGAGGCTGGTGGCTGTAGAGTCACGTGGTGTTCTCAAAGGTGGTGACGCTCGGCACCTTGATCCTGCGAGGTCGTAGGTCGGAGGGCCCCGCTTTAGCGCTCGGAGGGCCCCGGAGCCCCCTTACCGAGTCCCGCTAAATCACATGACCCACTAACATTAG